GCATGAAAAATAACCTAGGCTCCTTTGTATTGGATGTAGCACGGATATTAATTTGGACCAGCTGTCCCGGAAATAATGTCAGCAAGAGTAGTAATTTTTGGGTCGGCTTTTTGAGCGTGAGGACAGAGACAGAACCTTAGAAGGTGTCACCTTGACCTACATTAGTCCTATGCAGAGATCGTGCAACCTGGAATCCGGTTCCTAGATCCGGCCCAGGCCTTGATTTGGACACGGCTTGACCAAGGAATGATGTGCCACGATGTACCTAGTAGGAGTACAGGCATAGACTGATCCGTGTACAATGGTCTCCTGTTGACTACTGGCATTTACGTATCAATTGGATCCTGTGGGTCCAACGCCTGGATTTACGGTTTTGGAGATGAGCATGAGATCATTAGGCCTAATGTACTGGGGAACAAAGTATCCTGAGAATTGACCGCAGTGCATTGTGCTAACATCCAATGAGCTCCTCGCTGGTGAAATTGTGTTTCATATTGGTCGGAAAGGGAAATTGCGAGGACAAGCTTCAGGTTTTTGGAGCATAACTGACGTAGGAAATTTCTATGTATCCGACTCTGGTGACAACTATACTATCAATTGGCAGTCCCTATCTAGTTTGAATAGTGTTGCACTCTTGAATTTGTTTATACAAGTGATGAAATTGGATACCAAGATGTTTGACCAAAGGCCTTGAAAACATATGACGGTCGGTTCTCTGCACAGTGCAGAGCACAGAGATTCACGGACTCAGGGTACTGTCGAGTGGCACCTATGGTTTCGCCTAGAATAGCAAGGTGCAGAAAAATAAATGCCAAAATTGACCCAAGAGATAAGAGAGACCTCGCTTGTGAGCTTTTATTGGATGGTGACGACATTCAGCCCTGGTGGATTCTTCCCACTGTATGAGTTAGGAAGGCGTGTTGGCATTGGTGGGTCATGACCCCTTTTCGAAAAAGAAATTGAGCTATTTTTTGCATACTGCACTCGGTGGTCTGATTCTGTTAGCGTATGAAAATTTCCTAGCCAGTTCACCGCAGATCACGGAAGGGGCGTGGGCCAAGTGGGGCTCGACGATAAATGAATGTGCGGTTCCGTCGAGCCTCTCGCGCATCCTCTGAAGATCCCGTGTTTCGGGATGCCGAGTGAAAATTTTTGCAAAGTGTTTTTTGGCAACCATATACTCTGGAATGGCGTTCAAAATAATTCAGGAGTAATCAGAGACTGATTCTAGTTCTAGTAAGTGCATATTTGATGTATCCTGCACTGTGAATCTAGCCGCAGGACTTGTGTCGCAAGCCGAGACAGTACAGCATCGATCCCGAGTCGGCTCGGCGTCGGCGTGCAAAGTAGACTCGGTGTGCCGATTTGGGCCAGGGTGGGCCCGGCGAATGGCTCAACAGATCGGAAATCTCTGCGCGGTCGTCGACCGAAGGCTCACCGGTGGTGGGTCTAGCTTAACTTGAGCTCGAACCACGTCGACCGGTGCACCTATTCAGCAATTTCTTATCAGCACTGTTTTCAAAGCGCAGTTTGAGACCTGGATGGAGATGGTATAAGAACGGGGCTCTAACCCGGTCTAAAATCTGAACGTCCGCGTGACGTTTTGATGGATTCTTTTGTCATGTAGATGTAGGGACACTGTGTTCATCGTAAGACCTCCCGGATCGAGCCAAGCTTTATTCCGTGGCGATCGTCATAGTCTGAGACCGGCTCGGGTGATGGCCTGTTTTGCTGTGAGGAATCCACGCCGCCCCACCCAAAGTAAATGGAAATTTTCTGTCGCAAGCTCCCTGTTCCAGCATTTGCTTGTCGCAAGTAAATGGGAAGTTAAAGAAAACCCAAAAAGAAAACTCAATACGAGAAAAATGCAAGGAGGTGATTCTATGACGGTCAGGTCTACCCAGCATCATCGCATGTACATGTAATGTATGTAAGTACATGAGCTAAGGTAAGCTGATCAGTGACCACGGAGTCAATCCGTGGGCAGTCAGGCACTTCATTCTCATTCGTTCGGCCCAGACCCAGTCATTACATAAATTACTCAATCGCGCAGGTTTCTAGAAGGTGGCAAGAAGCTCGGCAATGTTGTCGTCCATGTATTCCGTACATACCAACAATCGTGGTTCGGAATTCCTCGTGTGATGACATGGCATGCTTGCTGAGACAATGTCTCTAGAAAACAAACAAACAAGAGAAGAATAAACAGAAGAAAAAATAAACAAGGAATTAGCAGAGTGACATTATCCATGTAGACCTGGTTGTTGACATTCCTAAAATAAGATGTGAGGTTGTGTACTACAAAAAGTCATCAACAAACGGCCCTCACGTGGACAAACCGCATTCGGGTCTCATCTCCAGAGACTCTCCAAATGCCATTCTCCACTCTCTTCTCCACCCCAAGAACCCTCCTCCTCTGTATGGAGTATGTGCCCATGGAGACGAAATTTCTCTCCGCCCCATCCCGACAAACGTGGGACGCGAGATCCGGGCCCCCGTTTTGTCTGCCATGGTACCCCAAGGGGCAGTCCGATTCTAGTTCTCCGCTAACGATGTCATGCTATTTATTTGCTCACTTCCCCTGCCTAGCCCACCGTCTTTTTTTTCTTTCTCCATCCCTCTCTTCTATATCCCCTCCGGCTTTTACCACTCCCGGTTTGGTAACTTGCATCATGGGTGTCGGCAACATCATGGCCCGTTTTAAGGGTGGTGAGGACTCTCAGTTCTCCTCCCAGGCCCCTACACCTGCTCGCGCTGATTCGACCACCGCTGAGAAGGATGAGGGCATCATCGACGATAGCCCCGTCAAGTACCTCACTTGGCGCTCTTTCATCCTCGGCCTGTGTGTCTCCATGGGTGGCTTCATCTTTGGTTACTCTACTGGTATGTTTCACTGCATCGTGGCGACGGGGAAAGCATATGACGCTAATTCGATGACCAGGTCAAATCTCCGGTTTCACTACCATGACCGACTTCAAGGAGCGCTTCGCCGAGTACAACGAGTCCTCTGGCGAATATGTCTTCAGCAACGTTCGCAACGGTCTCATCGTTGGTCTGGTAAGTTTTCACAGGCCATGGCCTCCAGCTCCATAGACAGCATGAAGAGCGGACCAGGACTGACTATTTGACAGCTCTCCATCGGTACTATGATTGGCGCCCTGGTGGCTGCCCCCATCGCCGACAGAATTGGCCGCAAGCTCTCCATCTCTTTCTGGGCTGTTATCAACATTGTCGGAATCATCGTGCAGATCACCACTCAGGATAAGTGGTACCAGGTCGCCCTTGGCCGTTGGGTCATGGGTCTCGGTGTCGGTGCCCTTTCCAGCGTTGTCCCCATGTACCAGTCCGAGTCGGCTCCCCGTCAGGTCCGTGGTGCCATGGTCAGTGCCTTCCAGCTGTTTGTCGCCTTCGGTATCTTCATCTCCTACATCGTCAACTACGGTACTGTCCACATCAACTCCAGTGCTTCGTGGCGCATCACCATGGGCATTGGCTTCGCCTGGCCCCTGATCCTGGGTATCGGTACCCTGTTCCTTCCCGAGTCCCCCCGTTTCGCCTACCGTCACGGCCGTGTTGAGGAGGCCCGCGAGGTCATGGCCAAGCTCTACGGTGTTCCCACCAACCACCGCGTTGTTGCCCAGGAAATGGCTGATATGAAGCACAAGCTGGACGAGGAGAAGAACGCTGGCTCTGCTGCATGGCACGAGATCTTCACCGGTCCCCGCATGTTCTACCGTACCATGCTTGGAATTGCTCTGCAGTCCCTGCAGCAGCTGACCGGTGCCAACTTCATCTTCTACTACGGAACCAGTATCTTCAGCGGTGTTGGTCTGAGCGACTCCTTCGTTACCCAGATCATCCTGGGTGCCGTCAACTTCGGTATGACCCTGCCCGGTCTGTACGTTGTCGAGCACTACGGTCGCCGTAATTGCCTGATGTATGGCGCTGCCTGGATGTTCATCTGCTTCATGATTTGGGCTTCCGTCGGTCACGAGGTTCTGCACGCCAACCCTTCGTCCCACCCTGCCGGTGTTGCCATGATTGTCTTCACCTGCTTCTTCATCGTCGGTTTCGCCACCACCTGGGGTCCCATTGTCTGGGCCATCTGTGGTGAGATGTACCCTTTCCGTTACCGTGCTACCTGCATGGGTATCGCCACTGCCGCCAACTGGACCTGGAACTTCCTCATCTCCTTCTTCACCCCCTTCATCAACAGCGCCATTGACTTCCGCTACGGTTATGTCTTCGCTGCTTGCTGTTTCGCCGCTGTGCTTGTTGTCTTCTTCTTCGTCAACGAGACCCAGGGCCGTACCCTTGAGGAGGTTGACACTATGTATGTCCTGCACGTCAAGCCCTGGAAGTCCGCCGGCTGGGTTGCCCCCGAGGGCATTGTTGCCGACCTCCACGCTCCCCGTGAGCCCAAGGAGGGTGCTAGCGAGCAACAGCAGCACGAGACTCTGATCGCCGAGCCTACTGAGGTTCCCGAGTCTTCCCAGGCTGCTCAGTCTGACTCTCAGGCTTTCCAGAGCTCTGAGAACCAGACCCACTCTCAGACCTTCCAGAGCTATGAGACCACTGAGGTCCGCGAGTAAACTTCTTGCTTGAAACAAAAAAACTTCGATACAATACCCATCAACGGGCCGATAATGGCTTTATGTACTTTATAGTGATATGATTTCCGTGTTAATATTACGAGCCCGGCTCTTGCTACAAACTCCTCAGAGGAGACAAGAATTGAATAATGGCTTTTCCAATCCAAACCTACTATGTTCTTGATTGCTTCAAAATTTTTGCGAATGTACCTTTGAAGTCGTACTTGATCCTTCGAATGACAATTCCAAGGCTCTTATACCTAGGCGAGTCTGCCTAGGCCGTGAATTTCTAGCTCTGAATATCATACAAAAGTAGTATGAAGCTCAATTTCAAGAATACCTAGGTATACATCATATCGCATTCAAAATAGCACCTTTATCTGCATGGTCTAGTATAAATAATATGTCCAATTACTTATCATCCTGATTCTCAAACTTCATCCCAGCAGCCTTCCTAGCCGCCCCATAAACACCCGCAATATCCCCCTTCTCCCCCCTCTCCGCCTTAACATCCTGCAAAAACGAATCAGTAACCTCAACATTCCGCATCCGCTGACCCCCCCTCCTTCGCCAAACTAGACGCATGCCTCAGATCCTTCCTCGCAAGATCAACCGCAAAAAGCGGCTCCTCCCGCTGATAATAGTCCCCACTAATCATCCGGTCCGCATACTTCGCAAACGGCCCCGGAGCAAACAGATCCAGCCACTGCTTCAGCGGGCCAACGCCCAGCCCCGTTGATTCGGCCGCGACAACCGTCTCCGCCAGCACGCCGACGGTATTCAGGATAAACGTGTTGCCAAGGACCTTTAGCGTGGACGCTTTGCCGACGTCGATGTCCGCGCCTGTTCCGTCGGACAGGTCGATGGTCGATCTAGCAGTCACGCCCTCGAAGAATGGCTTCGCTTTCGCAATAGCGGACTGCTTGCCGGCCGGTACGACGATCAATTGTCCCGCGTCAGCCATGTTCGGCGCGCCGAAGACCGGGCATGCGACGAAGGCTGCGCCGCGCGCGGCGTACGCGGCTTCCGTGCGTCGAGAGGTATCTGGGTGGACGGTTGAGCAGTCGACGAAGGTCTTGCTAGACAGATCGATGGTCTGATCGGCTAGGATTGTGTTGGTGATTGCGTCGATGGCGGGGTCATCGCCGACGCAGGTGAAGATTACATCGGCGTTCTGCACGGCTTCGGGGAGGGAGGTGGCGACGATTGCGCGGCCGTTCAGGGATTCGGCGTGGGCTGTTGCACGGGCTGTGGTGCGGTTGAAGAGGATGAGACTGGATTGGGGGCCCTTTTGAGCGATGTTCGTGCTCATGCCCTGTTATGCACGTTGGTTAGCCTGGTCTGGTCAGGTCAGGTTACGCAGGTGGTCGGTCTTTCTTACCCGGCCAATGTTGCCGAGGCCAATCCATGCAACGCGGATTCCGGACATTTTTGTGCAATTGAGTAAGTATCGCAAGGGGTTGATATGAAAAGTGGAAGGTTGAGATGGCAGAGCTGGGAATTCCGGATTTAAGACAAGCTTCGACGTGGGGCAGCGTGGGGTAAGTCGAGGGAGATCGAATCGGGCTCAGTTCTTATCCGCTAGGGTCGGGTCGCGGGTTTTATACTACTAATTGAGTGTGTGTGTTTCTTGATATATTTAAATAGAAGCTCTTTTCGGTGAGAAGGCTCTGCTTCGGTCTCGACACTTTTTGGTCAGCAGTTTGGCGCGAGCCTTGCGCTCTCTAAGCAGTGAGTCACTAAGGCCGAAGGGCCGAGCTGTAAGGCGGATGTGGAGACTAAACTGTGGGGATTATTATCTGTTATATCATGATCCTTCTGTTATAGTACTTCACTAAAACTAATAAGAAGTCTACAGCTTCGACGTCGACTTTTCCAAGATCGCCACATCCTGGAAGGGAAGACCCAGATACTGCCACATGAATGCAAACCTATACAGCTTGTTAGTACTCCATCCTCAGTCACACAGAGAGTTTCGGGTCTAGACTCACCGGTCACTTCCAAAGAATGGCTCTTCTTTGCCCTCCTTGTTTCGCACCCAGAACCAAGGAGCACCGTAGGCTCCTTGATCAAGAGCCGTCTGCGTATTAGCAGTCAAGGCCTGCTTGTACTCGGGGCTAGAGGCAGCCCCGACGATAGCCTTGATCTCCTCGTCGGAATAATTGTGGCTTTTGAGCAGTTCTCCCAGTTGCTCCGGCTTGCTGATGTCGATGTTCTTGTGGTACATCCACTCCCACAGCGAGAGGAAAGTGGTCTCGTAGCGTTCACGGGGGTAGTTGTTCTTGATGTATATCATGCATCGTTGAGGCTGTGGAAACAAATTAATCTTTTTCTGATCCCTGTGAGTCCAACCATTGCTCAAAACATACCAGGATCGAAAGAATGGGGAAGAAGTCTGGGGTCTTGATCGGGGCCACGCCAAAATATCTACAAGCTCGCTCAGAGTCAAACTTGGAGTAACTTGCTTTGGCTGGAACTGTCCACGGAGGCTTATTTCCTATTAAGGAAAGTTAGTAAATATTCCATGATTTGTAGTTTTTTCGAAACTATACCAGAGCCAACATTGACGCCGCCCAAGAAAATGGGGTGAAATCTGTCTAGGTCAGATATGCCGGTCGCAAAAGTGGCAAACCCCTGAGCAAAAAGGTGATCTTACTCAACCTCGATTCCATGCGATTCCAGTGCCTGGCGATTTCTTCTCAGATAGAGGGTGGCATAGTATGAATAGGGCGACACTATACACCAATCAGAAATCCGCGAGACCCCGGATGCCCCTAGAAGGAGAGGGCACAATGGCCTTGGACTCATACCGCAATCAACATATGCATCTATCTTGCCTGTCATCTTGAATGTCAATATTGTAATCACTCCCAAATTGATGACGCGATAGATAAATTCCTAGCGTATTGTGAAAGGAAGGATGGGTATATAGCAGTTGCTGAAGGGCCCGAGGTGGAGATGGACCGAGGCTGTGGGGTTGATCACTCATCAGCTATTTCCGTCCCCCTCTACAACCTCGTTAGGAAGGCAGGCAAGCAACCAGAAATATCTGTCTTGTCTGGTATGGCATGCAGATAAACTGTATTGATTCATATTACGTAAATTTAGAAGATCTGGGAAATATTTCTCAGTCGGTAAGCCTTTCTGATTTTGGTCGAGTAGTAAATCCGGAGAAGATCTCCATCTCCATGTCAATCGGCTAAGATTTATGTACAAAAGGTCATCAACAGAGTTGGTTATTATGAATTAGTGATGATTTCGGTTTTTTGGACCCTCCCAGAAAAGCAGCTAGTATTATCGTCGGGTTTTTTGTGGCTTCAAGCCCACCAATAATGCGAGACAATCGCAAGTTTCAGGACATCAGTCCTTTTCGGAGGCGTTTTTGTGTCACCCAGCATCGAGAAACAGCAGCAAAAGGCCATTTTCCCTTTCTTGAATCAAATCCGCAGATGCTTAATATGAAGTAGGGATTGGTTCTTAGCTAGGGGAGTCCCCCATGTAGCGATAGATCAGGCCCTTGTAGCCTATGGCATCAGGGCACATCCGTGTGGTTTTCACTCCTTCCGAGTAGTGCTGATAGCCGACTGCCTGGTGTTGACAAGGTCAAGGTCGTACGGATTCTCTTCATATTGCGTCGCAGTTGCAACCCGTTGAATCGACCGTCCTGACTGGCGGGATGCCCTGGAAGCATGCCTTCCAAATGAAACACGGCTTGGAACTGTCGACAGACTCTCAGTGTCGCTTGTCTCGTCGACGATCTGGCTAGAATGACCTGCCTGGTCGGCGTCCTTCTCTTCGTTGGTTTCCTCCGTTTCTTTTCGCACCTCTGCTTGGTTCTTTTCAGCAAGACGACGCATAAATGCATCGGCTTCAGCAGCATATGTGCACCTTTGTCTTATCTGTGCACCATACTTGTAGAAGATGAATGGAAGAGGCACACAAAGAACAGACAAGAACGCCGGAATGGATGAAGCCCAATGTATCCCCAGATTTTTATACATGTAAGTTGTAAAGAGGGGGAAGGCCATTCCGAACAATGATCGAAGGGCTGAATTGGCGGCTAGAACACTAGCCGCATAGATGGTGTAGGAATCGATGAGGTAATTGAACACACTCAGGAAGATAAGTACCATGCCGAATCCAAATGGTGCACCTGCGGCAATCGAGGCCATCCAGTGAATTGACGGAGAGTTTGTCCAAGCAAACCAGAAAAGTCCAATAGGCAGGGCAATTCCACCCACCATGCTTGGAGGGAGTCGAATCTCGGGGGCTAGACGATCAGTAGTCTCGCTGCACATTTTGGCGTAACGCATGTTCTCGGGGAATGTATACGCGACTGCAAGGAGCATGCCGACCAAGATACCCAGGAATGCAAGGCCACCAATTCCTTCACTCCAGCCTCGGACTTCTTGGAAGACGATCGGGTATGCCGCAAATAACATGTAGAGCGTACCATAGATGATGGACATGTAGATCGAAAATAGGAAAACAATTGGCTCGCGGAATAACAATAGCCATGGCCGTGAGAGAGCTGTCTTGAGGGTCTTGCTCATTGGCATGGGACCACGCTCGATATCAATTTTGCTCCTGTAGACATGACCTGTCAATTCGGAAAGCTTTGCAGCTCGACGACGAAGTAGAACTGGCGCATAGGTTTCAGGCAAAAGGAAGATAATGCAGAGCCAAAGCACACCAGAGAATGCTGCCAAGAACCCTTCAACCCAGCGCCATCCAGCGCCCGTGGCAAGGAAGCCACCAATGATGGGGCCAATGGTCGGTCCCAGAAATGGTGCTGCGGCGAAGAAGCTAATTGCAATACCTCGCTGTGAAGCAGGGAACATATCGGCAATTGTACCGCCTGCATTTCCAAACGGTGAAGATCCGAAACAACCAGCAAGAAACCGCAGGATGATAAGAGTCTGGATGTTCTTTGCGCCGGCGGCTCCAGCATTGAAAGCTGTCAAAAATGCAAAACTGATGGTGAAGATATGACGACGACCAAAGATTTCACTCAGAGGCGCCCATATTAAAGGTCCGATCTTTTAAATCATGTTAGCCGTTTGATCCTAGCTTTCAATTTTCGCAGATGTTTGCTTACAGCGAAGCCTAGAACGAAGAGCGAAACTCCAAGAATAACAACCTCCTCTTCCACGCCGAAATCGACAACAATCTGGCTCATTCCACCTGAAAATGCCGAAGAAACCAGTGCGACAGCCAGCGTGACGAATGATACCAAGATCGTGATGGCCCATTTCTTCACGGTCTTAAAATTCATCGGATTTCGTGGGTCGTTTGGCAGCCATGTTACAGCGAAGGGGTCATCTTCGGTGCCAGAGCCTGGATACGGGTACTGAGCGACTTCTTGAGTGATGACTTTTTGGTCGAATACCAAGCGCCAGAAGGGGATCTTGGAGGGGTACGAGACCTCACCCCCGTCGTTAGCAGGTGACATTTTGCGATCAGCCAGTCTTGCAGTGTCCAGCACAGAAGACTCTAAGCCCACTTTTGATGGAATAGGCCAACACGAGCCTGAGATGAGCGCAATGCAGATCAAATCCTTGAGAAGAGGATAAATTTGGAAGCAGAAGTGAAAATCATCTCGCCCTAAACAGTGACATTGAAAATAATTGTCAGGAACGATGATAGCGATCCACTTTGATAGCCGGGAGCCTCGGCAGGTTCCTATCCAGGTTAATGCATTGGTCAAGCGAGGAGGGATAATCGGCATCGAGTGCCGATTCGACAAAAGTGGAGAAGTACTCAGAGTTTTCGGTGGAGCTATGTTTTATCTTCCAACTTCAACCGATTTTGCAAATGCGGCCCGGACGCCACCCACGGCTTGTCTTCAGGCTCACCCACGGCTTGCCGAATAACACTTAGTACGGTGGGAGAGTTGAGAAATACCTAGGAACTCATATCTACGCTCTTTTTGGCCTTATGGCTTACATGATAACTTTCCATGCACTCCAGATTTTCTCCACTTGGCCTCTTGATGGGTCCAAGCGGAGTAATCTTTGACGGCTGCGCCCGAAGTTGGATTGATTTGCATTGCGTACCTGCATTGAGCATAAATCCATAAAAGTATATGGATTCAGGCTTCTTAGTCTCGCATTGACAGACTTACCCTTTTCTCCTTGGAACGTTGCCCAATCAGGACTTGCTGTGGAGGGCTTCATAAAACTTCTCACCGATATGAAAGTGACTTGCCAGACAGCATCCATACCGGGCTATGATGTTAATTCTTACGCCGATAAAGGTCTATATCCCACTTCGTTCAATCATTCAAACACCGGAGACCTACGTCGAAATCAAACAATTAGAATATATCCAACCCGTAATCTTCTGCTCGAAACTTTGTGCAGCCTTTTCCATTGAATAGATACAGACCTCGACAGTTTCAATGAGAAAAGAATCCAAGAACTTCCAAGGATTGAAGGGATTCTCTTGCCGCGATTCAATACCTAGGTACATACTACTCGCTGGTAAAATTCAAGGCGAAAGACACTGTGATAGTGAGTGAGAAAGAAGAGAAGTTGACCCGGTCAAGCGACCCCTTATATGGCCTTACTTGCATGTCCAAATTCGATGGACTGGAAAATAGTTGAAATTGTCTCTTAGTGAAAGAAGCTATCATTCCAGACCATAGAATCCTCTTCGTTCTGAGTCCATCCAAATCGTTATCTCCTCCCTTTACCTAGGAGTCCAGAGGGCATCGGGGAGTTCCCCGTTGATTTCTCTGAGCGAGTCACCTCGGCTTCTTACGCAGGTGGAGACAACCCCACATACAGGGATTCACTGGCTAGCTACGCATTTAAATCAACACATATTTTATCGAAAGGGGGGGGGTTATCAACATCTCGCTACGTCTTGACTTGAATCTTCATCCTAGGGGTCAACTGAACTATCCTCTGCCGCGCTTCTTCAAACAAAGCATGACTAGACAGACCCTCGGTTTCTTCGATATGGCTCTTTTATGAATAGGCATCGTCACGCACAGAGCTTATATTTGCGGGAAATTCTCCCTTTCTCTACCTCGATCACTCGCGACCCTTCGCTATCAGATTCGCTCTTTGGGGGCCTGTCATTTGTTAAAGAGAACAGAGTCCTCCACTCATTTTCCGCCCCCAGGGAGGGGATTGATATCGGGCGGGAGAAATGAATAGCAGTCAACATTTCTCAAAAGGTGGCTCATGTCGCGATGTTCCATTTTCGGATGGTCATTCTGCCAGTGACCATACCCAGGTTTCACGTATGCATAGCACCATAGACCACGATATTCATGATGTATCTTTCGATGGCGATGGAGATCCCATGAGCCCTAAAACGCTGCCGCTGGTAAGAAAATGGGTGATTGTTATTATTGTCTGCACTGGAACCATGTGTGTGTAAGTTTAAAGTGCCTTTTCGAATTCCTACGAATATCTGGTGCTGATTACGGAACACCAGGACCTGTGCAAGCTCAATCTACACAACGACGTATCCGCAGATGAATGCCGAGATGGAGACTCCGTCTCTCATTGCAATCTTGGGCCTATCGTTTTTTGTCCTGGGTCTTGGTCTTGGGCCATTATTGACGAGCCCCTTGAGTGAGTGGTACGGTCGACGACCTATTTACGTTGTCGCGTGGGCTTTTTTCGTTATTTGGAACATCGTAACAGCTGTTGCCAAAAATATTGAGACGGTTATTATTTCTCGTTTCTTCACTGGCTTTGCGGGTGGCACATTCTTATCGGTATCGGGTGGTACCGTGAGTGATGTGTTTCTACGCTCTCAGATCCAATTGCCAATGACCTTGGTTTCATCGGCCCCCTTCATTGGCCCTTGTCTGGGTCCTTTGATTGGCGGATTCATCAGTTACAACACGACATGGAGATGGAACTACTACTTTATCATCATTTGGTCCGGAGTGCTTCTAGTATCGATCGCCATATTCGTGCCTGAAACATTCCCGCCAGTCCTACTGCGGGCTAAAGCCGTGATGCTCCGGAAATCAACTGGAGATGACCGCTACAAAGCTCCCACAGAAAAGCTTCAGACTTCAAGAGGCAAAGCTTTGGCATACGCCCTCATGCGACCTTTCCAACTTCTATTCTTCGAGCCCATGTGTCTCGCTCTCGATGTTTATGCCGCCCTCTTGCTAGGTATGCTGTATCTATTTTTCCAGGCTATTCCTCTCATGTTCGAGACAACCTATGGCTGGAAGATGTGGCAGGGTGGTCTTCCATTTGTCGGCATCATTGCTGGCATGATCGTGGGGGCCTTGAGTACCCCACTCTTCGCCCGTATCAAGGATCATCTTTTGGAGCCTCAAGAGAAGCAAACCGGAGATATTGCTCCAGAGTATAGCTTACTTCCAGCTATACCAGCGGGTGTTTTGATTCCAGTTGGCCTTTTTTGGTTTGGCTGGAGTTTGTCATCAAACATACACTGGATTGTCCCCATCATTGGAGCCTCCTTTTTTGGTTGCGGGTGAGTTCACAAATTTTACAGCGAGACTATACGGGATCATTGCGGAAAATCCTGCATCAGGTTTTTAAGTTGATACCTATAAAAATTCCGACTAACCTATTTGGACATACTAGGATCTTACTTGCATACAAGGGAATCTTCACTTTTCTTGTGAGTCCTTCCACCCTCGGCCTTTCCCTCCTAGCTGTTGAGAATGGGATCAAATGTCACAACATACTAACTTCTCTCCAGGTAGATGCCTATCCACAATATGCTGCGTCTGCGCTCGCCGGAAATGGATTCGTGCGATCATCCTTTGCTGGTACGTGTGACATGGCCAATTCCGAGAATATCGAAAAGCTACTAATTCGATTAACAGCTGCCTTTCCACTGTTTGGGCTGCAGATGTATAATAAACTGGGCTATCATTGGGCAACTAGCTTACTCGCCTTTCTTACGATTCTCATGATGCCATTCCCATGGATCTTCTTCAAGTACGGAAAGGTGCTGCGAGGCAAGAGCAAGTTTGCTTTGGCTGCTTGAATATATGTAAAAAGATAGCGTGAAATACCTCCTGCCTATGACTGATATATGTGCTTGGGTTGCCGACACTGCTTTCTCCAGTATCCGCTGAAATTATCGGCCAAAAAATGTGCATTTTTTATAATTTTAGAGTCTATACCATTCAAAATTCGCCTATAGACGATTGTCCCCCGATAGTCGAACCTTCAAAAGACATGTACTGAGTGAACCCACCACCATCGTGCAGGAAAAGATCAATATCAAGCGCATTATCGAGATACCCAGCCCATAAAGAATCATGAATAAACTGATCAGGCGCTCTCCAGAGGCATCCTTGGGCATGAGAACCGTCGGAGTTGTTGCCTATATGACAAGTGCAATGGGAAATCGGTCCATCATTGTTTGGTGAAAGTTGATTCGCGATCGGTTGTAGTCTCACGGTATGTGCTGGTAGTGATGTGCTCGTGTCGTTGGAGGGGCTCCATATGCTCGATGATACATTCACAATTGGTCCATTCAGGTTAGACCCTTGTCCTGTCAATCTTTTCATTAGGTTGACGAATGCCTTTGAGATCCAGATTCTGACAGGCCATGACTTGGCTATCACGCTCAGTGCCAGCATGCACTGTCGTGATTTGTTCTCGGCGAGTTGGCGGTGTATTGATTCTTTGCGGCATATGACGAGTGTATGTATTGACAGCGCAGAGAATAATGCAGGGACCCTGGTAATTGTCAGTTCGGTCATTGCTTAAACTTGAATGGGCTCGGCGGTACATATGAATTAGACCAGAATGGATCATTCCAGTGGCTAAAAGATCCTCTGCTAGACGGGTGATGAAATCTGCTGCTGCTCGAGCTCTTGTATCCCTTTCAGCCTCATCTGGTGAGCCTTCTTTATTGGATTTTGGTCGGAATAGTAAGATCGTGCAGTTCCTGATATGTGTCAAGTTAGAGGATTCAAGCCTCTTTAGTTGACCAAGTAGCTTAGAAACACTCACTGGTATGATATTTGCAACATGCAGCCCCAAAATGATCCTTTTGTATATCCTTCATGAGTTTTCATTTGAACCTTTTTGGGAAGTTCTGATTCCCATTCTTCCAGCCTCCGTATCAATGTGTTTGTTTCAAACTTTTCTAGCGGAGGCCGTTGGGGACTAAATTCCCCCAGAAGGATATCACCCACTATATTCATCTCATTTAGTAACCAAACAAGGCATCGATTAGAATATTGTTGGTGGGTTGACTCACGTAGGGCTGCTAGTTTGGCCATTTCGATGACATATGAAACTTGGTAGTCTTTCTGTGCTGGTATGAGGCTTTGATCGAAGTTAGTATCAAAATCGAAATCTTCTTCCGTAAGAGCTTCGATATCACAATCTTCGTCTCTTATACGGCATGGTCGGCCAAAGGCGCCAGCGGTGTGCCTATCACGGGACTGGAATTATTAGATCCAGTGGTGATAATGAGCGGAAACAATATGACTTACATAGATGATCCACCATATTCGTTTCCTCAAGGACTTCATTCGCGGACTCATCGATGACTGAGCCATCCTTGTAGACTTAATTAGCACATCCCCTTCGTGGTCTTTGCAAGGATCGTACGTACGAGCGATGCATTCCCAAAGACTGTGCGAAAGTGATCGCACATCCAACCCAATGGCATACGTCTTTCTGGTCATCATGACTAGCCCACCAGAACCCAAGTAACAGCAGAACCGCGGCGAGGTTCATGCGATCAGTCTCATAGTCCGCATCGTAGAGTGCCTTTGCGCGAAGAAAATGGGTCTTTCTTGCTATGGCACGGTCTGTAAATCCGGCCGCGAGCACCAAATCATCGTCTCCAATCGTAAATCCCAGCAGACATATTGTCTGTAGGACCAGCGGAGATGTCTGACCTGCCGAGTACGATTGAGAAAACTTCTCACGATCAAATACTGGATATGCAGGATGAATCTTATCAAAAAAGGTATAGATCAGACGGCGGAGAATATCTGGACCGGGCAGCGTCAGAGCCTCTTGTAAAGAGATTGGAGTCTGAAGCTGATTTGATTCCATCCCTGGCCTATCTGCTATTGATGCAGGGATGGGGTGATGAACCGTCAGCGGCTCAGTCGAGCCACCCTCAGGCCTATGGCTTAGCTCGATAACATAATGGAGAGTGGATGAATCATCCGCGGCGTAGTTCTCAGAAAAGTTCGTCTGTGTACGATCGCCGATGTGCTGTGCAGGCACTTGCTGATTCTTTTGGGATTCCACTCCGTTGGTTTGGCCTGGAGTAGGTCCCGGAATGCAATGGTTTGGAGTTGAGGATGATATAGCATACGGCGTTTCAGTGGAGCTGTCTATATGGGAACCCTGTGCACTAGGCGTCTCACTGCCTCGAAGGATTTGTCGAGGCCCACCTTTAGTCCGAGAGTTATCCCGAGTTTTTCTGATATACCTGGATCAATTATTAGATCGAGACGGTAATTAGTGGGGATGAAAGAATACATCATACTTTCCCCGTTTTGAATCAATCAATTCGCATTTGATTTGCCTCATGCGGCAATGCCAACATGGCTGACTGTCACCAGCATCACATTTGACCCTCCTCGCATTGCACGCCTTGCAGGCAACCCGAGTCCGGCGGAGCGGAGTTGGGGTCTCGGACGTGCATGTATTCAGCGAGGATTCCATCCGATATGCGCAGCTTTGGGGCTGTAGAATACCCCACGGTGTGTGAAAATGCAAGTCAGCGAGGTTGTCACTGTAGAAAGTACAATGTAGTTGGGGGTAGGAGAAGAGAAGAAACCGTCGGGGACTTACCTGCGGGCAAAGTGGAGTCGTGGCGAGAGCCCGACGGGATCCGTGCTATCACCACACTTGACAGTTTATCTGAGTCGAATAGCTTATCATGCGCTCATTTTCATCATATCATGATAAAATATAGTAAACTTACATTGAGTCAATAGTGTGTAAATCTCGATTATATTCCGAGCTCCTAAATGACCCATTTGTCTACCTAAGTGCAGCTTTGCCACGCAGTAATGAAAGCCTTCAAAGTCCACGCCACTATCCCCAAAACATTTACATAGTATTCTTTTTTGCCGAAATCAAATGGCTGCCTATGTGTATCTTGAAATCTTTCACAAAGAAAAAGTTACCACCTCTTGTCTATCCAAGCCCGTCTCCGCTTTTCGGATATTATGGAGCAACAGTGCCGACCGAACATGCAACTCTAGTTAAATTAGTGACCGTCTACTTCCCAAGTAATCGAAGACGGGGTGGAATACCTTGAATTTCCAAATCAAATGACTTGGCTTCATCTTCAGTCGCCGCCTTTTCGACTGCCCGCATTCTGAGGCCTACCGACTTTTCAGAATTCATCCAAATAATCTCCTCTGTGTTCTGCTCAAGCCATGCCCGGTTAATGCGAATCATTCCATCATGAACCACAAATGCAGGAGCGATGAAGTATTGTTGCCCCGAAATGACGAGGTTCAGTTTCACTCGTAGCTGGATAAAACTTTCATAGTCTTCTAAGGTGACCTGGCGCGTCGCAAAGCCTTTGCATCCCGCCCCACCCATGTGAGCACGGATCAAGTCGTCTCCCCCACACAGGAGGATGACGTTCCCTACAGGTGAACCAGTGGGAGCGCTGTCGGGTGGAAGTGCTTCTGGACGGTAGACGCTATGTAAAGCCGTTGTTCGGGGCGCGGAGCCATCGTCGATAATATCCAAACCCGGGGTCTGCAGGAGCTGACATCGGACCCGTGATTGGACGGAGTCGGGGCAGGCACAGAGAAGCATTAAACTGATATCACTGCGCTGTACCATTGCTCGTAGCTGTGTTCTGAGTGTGGGCTCTACTGCATCTTGGATATGCCGGGAGACGGCCATCATTTTGGCCAGGGAGATAATGGGGAGATGAGAGAAGATCATGATGATCAGCTGTCGCCTGTCAGCCTTGGAGTTCAAGTACATTGGGTCTAAGGATGTATTCAGGAAGTCTGGATATGAACAGAAAAATAGTTATGATTCTGACATACCTCGTTCGGAAGAGAGCATAAATTCAATCTACTTTCGGAGATGTGAGAGGGGTTATCAGATAGATGGCAATCTGCGAATCTTGGTTGTCTGATACACCCCATATTGTAGGATGAGGTAGTAGTCTAATGAGTAAATAGACAAAGGAAGGAAGGGATAGGGAGAGGGAGAGGATAAATATCGAGATGATATACTCTTCTCTGGTCTGCTCTTCGCCCTTTTCGGGTAGGCAATGCTCCCTATGGTGGTGTGATCTGCGTATCTTCCCGTGCAAATGAAGGACTCTTCATTGTTCTGTGTGACCCAGAAACATCATATAGTGCCTGAGGTACATGAGACAACAACATCCGATATGCTCGTGTCTGGAAATGGGACAAGGTATAGGAACCAGCGTGTTTCTGCCGAAATAAAACCGAGGAGGGTTGGACGCATGACGTCAGGCGGATGTTTTGATGCTGACTGGTACATCTACCAATAGTACATGTAGCCAGTTATAGTTATCTATGTACAGGTCCAAACTTGAATAGCTTACACTGCAGGTCAAGAGTTCCATAGCATGCCACACCACACCACACCACACCATCCACCTACTGGCATACCATGCGGGTCCCCACTCTCTGCACCCCATGCCGTGCCCCGTTCCCCCCGAGTGCGGGAAGCCGAGCGATGCCTTATCCGGCTCACCGAGAAGCAATGACATCGGCAGTCGAGATATCCCATGGGGTATGTATACTCCAGAGAGTGTGAGGTTATTAGCATTATACTATTATTATATTATTATATCTGCATCCCCTTAGATACTAGTGTAATTTAAGCAAACATTGAATTTGGATTGACCGATTGATTACCTCTACATTCTTAGCTCTACATCGCTGAGGTAACATTCGAGGGAATCCTAAGAACCCCGCGCCCCCGCCGGGCCCAAAAGAGAATTTAACCGGCATCCGGGGGTTTTAAAGGGCTTTTTGATTCAAACGCTTTCCCTTCTCTGTTTCTCCAAGGTACTCTCCCGATCTTCTCTTTTCTTTCCTTTATTTTTCCAGTCCAAGTTCCGCAATGGAGAAGGTACTTGACGACATCTCCCACCGGAGATACAACCCCCTCCGAGGGTCTTCCATTCTGGTTTCTCCCCACAGAACCAAGCGTCCCTGGCAGTGAGTTAGCCCCCTCCTCGCAATTGAGTATTGTTCAAATTATCATGAGTATCTAATTCCTGATCCCATCTCAGAGGACACCAGGAGAGTCCCTCCAAGACTACTCTGCCCAATTATGACCCCGCATGCTATTTGTGCCCTGGAAACCAACGCGCCCAGGGTGACGTCAATCCCAAATATGACAACACCTTCATGTTTGTGAATGATTACAGCGCCGTCAAGGAGGAGCAAGCTGCCTACGATGGCAAGACTGATGATGGTACTTCCCTTCCCCCTCTCACCCCCTGGCGGTATGCACAGTGCTCACCGGCAGTAGAACTCGAATCGCGATTCCTCAAGGCTGAACCCGTTACCGGCAAATGCTACGTCCTCACCTTCTCCCCATCCCACAACCTCACCTTGGCCGACCTTCCACCCGCCGAGATCGTCCCCGTAATCAATGCCTGGACCGAGATCTATACCGCCCACCTGTCGCCCACCTCCCCTCTGGCAAAGGATGCCCCGGCCACGCACCTCCCACCCGTTTCGCACAACACACCCATCACCAAACCAAATGAGCAGTACCGCTACATGCAAATTTTCGAGAACAAGGGTGCCGCAATGGGCTGCTCGAACCCCCACCCCCACGGCCAGGTCTGGACCACCAGCACCCTGCCCGAGGAGCCCGCTGCGGAGATGGAGCAACTGCGTAAGTACCGCGCCGAACACGGCGGCGCCCACTTACTAGAAGACTACGCCGCGCTGGAGAGCCGCAAGCAAGAGCGTGTGGTATTCGAGAACGAGGCCTTCGTCGCCGTCGTCCCTTGGTGGGCGACCTGGCCCTTCGAGACCATGATCGTCAGCCGCACGCACAAGCGCGCTCTCACCGATCTGTCCGATGCCGATAAGACTCTCCTCGCCGAAGCCATTGCCGAAATCACCCGTCGCTACGATAACCTCTTCGAAACTCACTTCCCCTACAGCATGGGTATTCACCAGGCTCCGCTGGACGGAACGGTCGAAGAGATCGAGGCTTCGTACCTGCATCTGCATTTCTACCCGCCTCTGCTGCGCAGCGCGACGGTGCGCAAGTTCCTCGTTGGTTATGAACTCATGGCTGAGCCCCAGCGTGATATCACCCCGGAGCAGGCCGCTGCCCGCCTCCGCGGCTGCGGCGGAGAGCTGTACCGCAAGAAGATCGATTAAAAGCCGCAGCTGCTGGTGGCCTTGGAATATGCAGTTTGCTCATAGTATGCATTATCGGCCATTTCTAGCTCGTCGCTCAGTCAGATCCCGAGGTCAAGAATCATGAAAGAAAGAAAGAAAGAAAGAAAAAATAAAGTGTAGCTTGGAATCAATATTAATAAATTTCCACCATAGCGGTGGCGTGGCTCGAATACATATTTTTGTTGTCAGATGGTATTTTGGGGATCTGGTTTCTCGGCGGAGGAACCGACCAAATCCTCATCAAATAATCATACATCATAATCCACTGTTATATTGTATATTTGGCAACGGTCGACGCGGTCAATTGCCCCTTTAGGCCAGGTATGCGTCGCGCTGGGTCAGCATCCAAGCCAGCGAGGACGAGGCCACAATCAGAGGGCTGAGGAATCGACCACGCAGAGAAGCGTTTCCAAAAACGAGCTCGCCGACAAAGTGCGTCAGGGCAATGCCGTAGGTCCACAGAGCAAGATCGTAGGCCACCGAGTTGTCGATGTTATAAGCAGCAGTCATGCGGATAACAGCGGAGAGGAAGGTCCAGGTACCGAACACGCGACCAGACAAGGGCTCAACGGCAATTGATCCGTTGGTGTAAAGCTTCGAGGTATAATCGGTAGAGAAATAGGCTTGCAGGCTGTTGACGGCGGAGACCACGGAGACCTGGTTCGGTGTCAGTGGAGATTCACAGTCAGGAGAGAGGGCAGACATACGAAAACAAGCCATTTGGGCAAAAGACCCTCGAAGGGGGGCAGGTAGGAGAGCAATTGATCCATGATGTTCAAGATGGAGGGGGTGATAGTGATGGAAGATGGAAGGAATTGGCTTGTGACGAGACCGAGGATGTTCTCTCAATGTTTGGGGTTCTTGGCGTCGATCTTCCCAACAAGCTGCTTTTTTTTAACTTCTTCCACTTCCCCATTCCCCTCCACTTCCGCCTCCACATACCATTCTCACGATGGATCTATCAAAGCACCTCGAATGCCTTTCGCAGTGGCCTGCTCATATCCCGGCAGGTCTACCCGCTGTAGGCGCGCTGGTCCTCCTCGCAACTGGTGGGCTTGCTGTCGCCTGCAAGGTTTGGAGCTTCCTACGGGTGATCCTCAGTCTATTCATCCTTCCCGGCAAACCGGTTTGTCTATATATTCCCTAGCTACCCTTGTTATAATACTAACATGTGGAACCCTTGCAGCTTCGTTCATTCGGACCCCCCGGTAGCTGGGCTGTGGTGACTGGTGCCTCGGACGGTCTGGGTAAGGAGTTCGCCTTGCAGCTGGCGCGGGCCAAGTTTAACGTTGTGCTGGTGTCCCGGACCGAATCAAAGCTCGAGACCCTCGCCGAGGAAATCACCAAGCAATTCCCCAATGTGCAAACCAAGATCCTCGCCATGGACTTCTCCCGCAACTCCGACGCCGACTACACCGCGCTGAGTGCGCTTGTCTCGGATCTGGATGTCTCGATCCTGGTCAACAACGTCGGCCTGAGCCACTCTATCCCCGTCCCCTTCGCCCAGACCCCAGCTTCCGAAATGGCTGATATCATCACCATCAACTGCACCGGTACCCTGCGCGTCACTCAGCTCGTTGTCCCCGGCATGATGCAGCGCCGCCGCGGTCTGATTCTGACCATGGGTTCATTCGGTGGTCTTCTTCCTACACCTTTGCTGGCCACCTACTCCGGCAGCAAGGCTTTCCTGCAGCAGTGGTCCACCGCCCTGGGCGGCGAGCTGTCTTCTTACGGAATTGAGGTCGAGCTTGTCCAGGCTTACTTGATTACCTCTGCCATGTCCAAGATCCGCCGTGCATCCGCCTCCATCCCAACTCCCCGCGCTTTCGTGCGATCCGTTCTCTCCAAGATCGGCCGTAGCGGTGGTTCTTCCTCGTACGCTCACAGCTCCTCTCCTTACTGGAGCCACGGCCTCATGGCCTGGTTCCTGACCTCCGTCGGAACCATGAACGGCTACGTGCTTGGTCAGAACAAGTCCATGCACGAGAGCATTCGCAAGCGTGCCCTGCGCAAGGCCGAGCGTGATGCTCAGAAGAAGAGCACTTAAGCTCCAATTGACTCAATTGTTAGGCACGGCACAGCGGATGTGGGCCGGCTCTTTTTTTCGACAGGGTACTCCATTCCTGCTCAATGGATGGCGGGAAAAGTGGATGCAGTTTGGAACCCAAACTTGTTACGCATGATGATGATCAGAGTGTACTAAGCGCATTTTAGGACGGCTACTATTTTTAATTATACATTTTCGGACGTCTAGATCACCCTACCTACCCTCAGGGTCCACGGAAGTGGATTCTCGCTGTACGAGAATACGATTCTTAAATTTTAGGAACTACTCCGTTTATCGTAGGAAACTTTGTTCTGTTGTTTCAGCCCTGTCGCAAGCTTCTGAAAGGATGGATGATTTGGGGCCATCCTGGGTTGGAGTCGCGAACGGTTCGCCTGGGCACCTCGTGCCTGAGACATGAGGGTGGATCTCGATGGGGCCACGGTCTTTTCTACATCTAGTCAATGGGCGACACTTACCGTGCATGTTTCATGACCAACGACGGATTGGGCATCCCAGGACTCGGAACGGCCTTCTACGGCACAGCCGTCAACAACCAATGGCCCGAGCATTGAACGTAATTCATTTATCAATGACGTTCCAAGGTGTGGAGATATTATGCTACCCTGCAACGCCTGTGCAAGTATTCCAGTGACGCAACCTCGTATTCAAAGGCTTTCGGCTGGATATCACGATGTGCTCAGTCCTATGGCTCCGACATCTTTCGTTGCATGCCCAAGCGTCCATCCCTTCAATGGTCTAGGCCGAAGCAACTGCGGCCCAAGCACATATTTTCATGCTTCCGTTCAAGTCTTCCTCAATTTTGAGCCCGTAGATCTCCTATAGCAAGTGACACAGAATTGGAAGCTAGTCGCGGCACCAGGGATCAAAGTTGACTCCAAATATCCACAAGAGAAGCCTATTCTAACCCCCGGTATCCCTTTTCGTCGCACTGGCACCTGGTCGAGAGCTGACTGTACCAGGCTCACGGCAGAACCTCAGGAATCTCGGGACCCTTGCGTGGTATCGGTTTCATCGGTGATCGTCGAGACCTCTGTGCGATTTCTCCAACTCGAAGTCACTGCAAGATCCCGTCAGTGGCGCCGTGTCGCCCGTGGACCTAACTCCACTTAACTGCAGATAGACGGGCACGAGAATGAGAAGAGGGGTGTATCTTACCTAGGACATCGTTCGATCAAGATTCTCACGAGCTGCAGCCCAGATCTACGGCAGATCGGGGATTAGCGATGCATGTGAGATCCCGACACACGATCAAAATCAAAACCTGCTGCATTTGAAACCGAGGAAAATAGAGTAGTAACCAAGGAATCAGAGTGTTTAGATTTCACCTCAGAACTTCAAATCTCCCTCACTGGGCCGTGAAACGCGGGTGTCAGAGATAAAGTACCAAGTGGAGCCGCAGGCGGGTTGCCTAAGGCTGTTTTTGGCAGCGCGGCCCCGGGAGGATTACACCAAGCCGGGCAGCCCCAGTGGTCTCGATGGGCATTTCGAGAAAAAGAAAGAAAAACTAGGCTGAAACTTAATCAGAAAGAGTCATTCGCCCGGGTCTACTAGAATAATCTAGACACGATTAGTGGTTCGCCTGCTTAGCATTTTCGTGACCGCTGATCCTGTCGGCAATGATGCAGGGTCCCCCCCCCTGTTGGTTAGTTGGTGGTAGGTATTGCTGGCAACGTTTTACTTTGTTAGTGGGCTTACTTTAATGCGAGCCCCGCGCTGTTTCTGGTCCCTCGTGGCTCTTGGCAGATCTCGATGCAATATATCTTTAAATCGAGTCATGTCCATTTTTGAAGCTCCCGAGGTCCCGTGTTGAAGTTGAAGTATTGTGAGATTTAGATCATGTCTTCGACGTCGAGTGGAAGCCTGGTTCATGCCCTGAGACAGAACTGGCTGGGCAAGACTGCTATCGCGGTGCAATCATTTCTGCTGGCGGTTGCTTTTGTGGTTGTTGGTCTACGGGTATGGACACGGCGAAGGCAACGGGTCTCGCTACAAGGGAATGACTGGTTCATTCTTGCAGCTACGGTAAGATGCTTTTTTTTTCTTTTCAGCCAATGATGGATCAAACTGACGATATGCAATAGGTCGTCATGCTGGGACGTTATATTGTCGAGCTTCTTCTCGTTTTACTCTGTGGAATGGGAATCCATACGGATGAAGTCGTCCGTCTTGGTGGATCTGAGACCTTAGTACGCTTCAACAAGGTAAGTTCTGCTCTATACGCATAATAGGCTCTTCGAAATGTCACTGGGAAACACGCCTAACTTCAAAACAGCTTACATATGTGGGAGAGCTTCTTTGGGTTACCGTGGTGGCCCTCGTCCAGCTATCCATACTACACTACTACTTCCGCCGGTTCCAGCAACCGATCATTATGAGGCTGACCTGCGTTTTAATCGGTCTATGCTCCAGCCTTTGGATTGCAAGTTTGCTGGCAAATGCGTTCCTTTGCACACCACCGCGAAAGGTCTGGCTGGCCAGCGAAGAGCCTGAGGGCGCCTGCGGCGATCGCAAAATGCTACACACTGGCTGTGCAGTGAGCGAGCTTATCCTCAACATCTTCATCCTTCTTCTCCCTATACCGATTCTTCGACATATGAAATTCTCACGGAAGGGGGGGATTTCTCTGGCCAGTACTTATGTCCTGGGTCTAGTGTGAGTAGTTCTGTTCGCTTTTGCTTACTGCCATACCTTCAAGTTTCAAGCTCAGTCCTAACATATTCAACAACAGCATCATCGGTCTCTCGGCACTCCGTGTCGACACCAAACTGTTCCTCATTTCAAAAGACTCAACCTATGGTTCAGCCCCGGAGTCTCTGGTGTCGAGCATCGTGACTCTCTTGGGTATCATTGCCGCCTGTCTCCCGGTGCTGGCACCGGCTAGCCAACGGGTAACCGGGACGCCAGAATGCAAATTAATATCCGAATCCCCAAGGCCAGATCCCGCCACTACCAGATATTGGAAAGCAACAGTATCAGGCGGGCAGATGGAGGAGCCGGAAATCCCCCTTGTTACGGTCACGCAAGCACCGGTGGGGAAAAGGCCCGGGTTCAACGAGTGGGCTCTGGGGCAGATCAAAATCACATCGGATTGGGAGATTCATTCGACGCGGAATTCCGCGCGGCTGGATAAGGATTCTATTCGTCGTGGTTGAGATGGGATTTTGTTTGGGACTGAGACTGAAACTGAAACCGGGATGTGAAGTTATGGTCTGATCTGATCACCGTGCCAATTTTATTTGCTAGCCAAATCGGCAATCCCGACCGTTGAGTTGCAGTCTAGGACTAGTAGGCCACAAAGTTCTTCTTTCGATTGACGGATACCAGTTGAAACGTATTGCCTTGATTCTAGACTGCGGTACTAGTTTTTATGAGAGTACAAAAAGGAGATCACAATAGAAAGTTCTCATCTTGCAAGCATTTCCCCGCATTATCAACCAGTCGGCCATCTGGCCTAGTGGTAAGGCATCCGTTTCCGATGCGGGAGATCGCAGGTTCGAATCCTGCGTTGGTCGTTTTTTGCTACCCTAGCACTTTAATAGTATTTATTCTGAATATTTGTTTTTTTTTTTGGTAAGTGGGGCTAGTTTGTTAGTCACTTGCTTGATTTTTTTAACCTGGGTGAATGGAATGAGTAGATAGTATCAAAAAATATTAACCGGGTACGATGACAAGAAAGATACGTATGTGTATGTATGTATATCTGTTTTTGATTCGTATGAATATCCAACACATCCACCACACCACCCACACCTATACCGCAGATGAGATAGCAAAAGCAAAAAGCGACCAACGCAGGATTCGAACCTGCGATCTCCCGCATCGGAAACGGATGCCTTACCACTAGGCCAGATGGCCGATGCATAGAAAGAAACTTCTCAGATAGGCAATAGAAGCCTACGAAGTGTTACCCGATATCGCCGAGTTCGCCACCGTCGACTAAGGTTGTGGCTCACGCTTTGACAAGACGAAGGTTTGGATACACGTGTATGTGTCCATAGTTTCTGCAATTCTAACTGGCCGGTCCGCAGCACTGGAAATCGTGCGGGTCCCTGTTGAATACAGCAGCCCAAGCATTGATGCATTCATAACAATCATACACGCAGGAAAGCAACCGCAAATCGACGATGACTGTGATTATCGGATAGGATCAATCGCCATGGATTCGAGCCGATTCAGGGGATGATGCTTCTTGATCATGTACTATATTGCGTTTCTTCAAGTTGTCGAAAGTGGTACAAAGATTTGTCGCCCTCAACGGTCTGCAGTTGATGCTGCTGTGCCTCGTGTTGCCTCGCTCAAGTACCAACGCTTGGGCCATGGTGCGTTGTGCCACTTCTCGCGACGCTAGGTATTTACAGATGAACAACAATACCATTGTTTTACAACCCAGCGTGTGGGAACCACAGGTGCCAAGTAGACGGGAAGTTGTGGCGCCTCGGAGGTATCATCGCCCTTTCGAGTTGCGGATTCCCTTTCCACCCCCACCACCTCTACAATCCGATATAGCGAGCAATTGACCAAACTAGGAAGAATAAAGATAGAAAATCAAATTGGCAGGATTTTCCTTTTTTTTCCCAGGGCTTCTTCCCCACAGAATAAATTGCCCGGGGGTTATTGTGACCAAAAAATCGGAGAATACCGAGCTCCGGCCCTTCGCAAAACAGGATCCGCAAAGGGATCCGCACACAACCGAAGAAAGAAAGCTAGTTTCGGTCCCGTCGTCCCACCTGTATTGTATTGCCAGTGGAATGCCAGGCCGCTGCGTAAAGCACGCCTTATAAGTACACTCGGGTCGCTAAATCATGCATGGTTGAAATCGAGTACTTCCATTACCAGCTTGTCGAAGTGCCGATAGCAGGTATAATACATTTGAAACTATGTCTTCAACAGTATCATTCTCCCACGATGTGCCTATCGTGATTGTTGGCGCTGGCCCGGTCGGCATGATCCTTGCCTACCAGCTGGACCGCCTAAATGTACCCTGTCTTCTCGCTGAAAGGTCCCTTGAAATCAGTAAATGGCCCAAATTGGACTTGACGAACCGCAAGTCGATGGAACTATTTCGTATTCTAGGTCTTGCTGAGGAATACCGAGGACTCGAGGGTAGTGTGAGCCAAGATGCAACCTTTGATACCCAATTCGCGACAAAGCTAGATGGCAAGGGACACCTCTTAGCCAATTGGGTGAGTGCTGTTATATTGCCATGTTAATTATAAGCCGTTCAGCTCTAAGAGGAAGCCTAGAAACTGCCATCATCTGCAGGCCAAAAAGCTCTTATTAAGGATACGAACGATGGAACTCAGTGTGCGGAATCAGGTCAAAGATGCTTACAGCCAATCTTCGAAAGCTGGTTGAGGCAGAAAATACAGACCAAGAGCAATGTTTCCACCAAATTCGGGTGGACCTACCTGGTGCACACTGAAGGTGAGCAAGGTGTCAGTACAACATTTGTTGACCAGAACGGCGAGTATCATGTTCTGCACAGCAAATATCTCATTGCCTGTGATGGTGGAGGAAGCCGAATTCGTAAGACCGCAGGCATTCCAATGACCGGTGGTCAAATGTATGTTTTTGCTCGGAGAATTCGAGAGGAATATTCTAATCCTGTGAGCTATAGGCCTTTAAGAATGCATCTTGTCCATTTCAGATCTCGACAATTTGCCGAGGAGCGATCATTCGGGAAATATTGGCACACTTTCTGCTCACATGGCGGAGTGATACTTGACCAGAATGATGATGATATGTTTACCGCTCATCTTCCCACACATCTACTTCCAGAGGGCCCAGTTGACCCCTCCGAAGTTGTGTATCGGATTATGGCTTCTGCTGGCCAGCGCCATGAGATTAAGATTGATGAAATTTACGCACACAGTGAATGGGCACCGAATTTCAGTATCGCCAAACAATACTATACGGATAGCATGAGGGTTATTCTGGCAGGTGATTCTGGTAAGTTCTGTCAGAGATACAACTAAAACCCGCAGGTACTGATCTATTCAGCTCATCGAATGCCGCCTCATGGCGGATACGGCATGAACAGCGGTGTCGTAGATGCGGTCGGTCTTGGTTGGCGCTTGGCTGCGATAGTCAAAGGCTACGGCGGCGAACTACTTCTCAAGTCCTACAACATGGAGAGAAGACCAATGCAGATTCGTACTTTGGAAAGAGCCCATCGTCATATCATGGAGCATATCAAATTGGCACAGATGTACCCACCAGAAAACAACCCTATTGACGATGATACGGAGGAAGGCAAGGACCTGCGCGCACGCGTCGGCAAGTTCCTCGAAGAATCAGGACCGGAAACCGAGGACCGAGGTGTTGAGCTCGATCTTCGCTACCATTCCCCCACTATCTATCAAGATGGAACGCCTGAATTGGAGTGGACACCCGACCAGTATCGTCCCAGCACCCGCCCGGGATCCCGCGCCCCTCATGTGTTTTTGAAGGATGGAGAAACGAGTATCTATGATTTGTTCGGTGCTGAATGGACCCTGATTCACTTCGTGGACGATGATGGAGAGAGCATTAATAAGGAATCTGCCAGTGACCGTATTGTGGCTGCAGCTGCTAGGCTCAGCATCCCTCTTTCACGCGTCATCATCAAAGACGAGCCCCATGTCCGTCGCATTTGGGAACGTAATATGGTTCTCGTGCGTCCTGACACGCATGTCGCGTGGAGAGCGGACAACATCTGGGACCTCAATGTCGATGAGGTGTTGCAGGTTATTTCGGGCAAGAAAGAGTTTAGCAGATTCCAGCTATCGCGTGCGTCCGCGGATGCAGAGGCTAGATTCGAAGCTCTCGTGAAAGGAATCACTGATGGTGTAACTAGCGGAGCGACCATTGCCCAGGATGATATTGCATAATGCCCCTTGCGACGTAATTTTGTGGAGATCTTATGATTCAATAGTTATTCATTATGTTGTATATACATTATCTATTCATGTAAACAGCGCCAAATGATATGGAAACTTGGAACTAAAATCATTTCCCATAGACCCTGAACCGGGGCTCAATCGGATCGAACTCTTTCTCCTCGATCTTTTCGCCTGGGGTACCAAAGACCATCTGGGCCTCGAGTTTCCAGGAACTAGGGATGTCCCAAGTTTTTGCAACTTGGTCATCAATCAATGGGTTGTAGTGTTGCAGGCTTGCGCCTAGGCCCTCAGACTCAAGTGATAACCAGACTGCGATAAATGTTAGGATTTTAACCTCAGAAAGATGTTAGTAGAGAGGTACATACTGAGGTACTCGGCCATGGCATTCGCCTCCAGGGCGAAGGTGTCAACCTTGTCTGCATAGATTGCGAATTTTTCCTTGGTAGCCTCAAGGGACTTGTAGTCAACAAATAAAAGAATCTTTTGAGAAGTTAGTCATTCGAACCAATGAACCTTGCAGTATAATAGACACTGCATGTACTTACAGTTCCATAGGCGGCCTTAAAAGCTTCAAGCTTAGGCTTTGTGTAGTCTTCGAACATCTCCTTCGGAACAGCGCCCGCCTTGACTAGACCCTCAATGACTGAAATGGCGATATCCCACACCTTCTTGTGCTCATCCTTCAGTAGCAGAACAACCCGGGACGATTGTGTGTTCCAGGCAGTAGGTACATGCTTGGTCGCATTCCGAACAAGAGTCTCGAGATCATCATCAGAAATGGGGCTTTTTCCTAGCAGTTTATAATGTGTGCGTCGCTCTTGAGTGAGCTTCAGCAGACTGCGGGTGTTTTTGTTGAAAGGCTTAGACTGGCTTAAACCCATGGTGACTGTGAGAATTCTTCGATTTTCCACGGATAAGAAAGCAGCGATAGTAAGTTTTAACAACTCCCCATTATCCAGAAGCTGTCGAATATTTATAAGCGGGCAACGAACCTGAGACGGATGTGATCGCTGGGCTAATATCCGTTAATTAGAAGCAACCTTGATTTTTACGGAGACGTTTCTCCATAAAGTTCGAGGCCGTTATCCACTATATTTCAATTATACCGCGCTTGTAATAACGCTAATCGCTCTCCCGGTATCCAATAACGCGCGGGTATATCTTTCTTGCACGGGATAGGCCTACGTGGGAGTAGAAGAATGGTCCGGCGGCCAGAGCTCACAAAGGTCTCCACCGAAAAGTGGACAATGGCTTAGAAGCGAACCTTCCCCCACCTGCCAACCTCAGTTTACTTTTGCACCGGACCGAGAGCCGTGCGCAGTGTGAACTGGGATTGTTTCTTCAATACAAGACACGGGAGGGGGGGCGGAGGAAGTAGGGTTTTAGTGAAGGCAGCGCTCATGCAGCGCTCATGCAGCGCTCATGCAACCCAGACGGGCGACACCCAGCACGCTGGTTATGCTAACGCATGATCTTCCTTCTGCCAGCAGTACTATGCATCTTGACGGATTAGGGGTATGCAGGCGTTTTCACTGGAATAAAAGAAAGACGAGCGAATTGCCTCGGTATTGCCTAAATAAAGGAGATCTTCCGTGTTCGTGGCATAGCTTCTCGTAGTACCTAGTAGTATTGTGGTCCCGGGGGAGGAGATATAGATCCACTCTGATAGGAAAATCACACCAAGTCGCACCGGGGCTGGGGGCTTATCTGAAAAAAAATTTGTAGCTGTCTCCAGGGCTAGCGCGAGGTCGAGTTCGGTTTAAAGGCCAAGCTCAAGGTACTTGGCATAGAACGGCCTCAGGCATGGGTATCCACTTTCTATAGGGGCAAGAGAGCAGTATAAGATAAATCTGGATTTGAGGGTTTTCAGATGCCATGAATTATCTAGTAGCTCTCCTGGTTGGAGGGATGGAGCTAAAATATTTCCCTCATCTCTCATTTCACTGGATTGATGTTGACTATAGCCACGCACGAAAACAAAAAAAAAAAAGAAAGGAACCTTGGCTGCCACTTGATTGTTTTACTAGAGCGGATCGCGAGAAGCGCGCGGCCTAAAAGGATAAAGGCGAAAATTAATGCCGAACTTCATGTGCAGCGGCCAAGTTTCCGTTATATTATATTCAAGTTAAGGGTTCACAAGACGAGCCCTATTGATTTGGCGCATAATCCAGCCCACGGAAGGTGCCCGAGGGTTTCAAATCCGTGCCAATCATTTCTTTCAAGGTATCACCCTGCGGACGGAGTACTCCATACTAAATTCGAGCGACGGGACAAGGAGTGATATGAGGGTGACAGGGGTTGATGAATCACCTGGGCATGACTCCTTGATATACCCTATGCAAAACAACCGATCAAGGGCAAATTTGAAAGGCCCAGAAGCCAGAAACAAATTGCTCATAGCAGCCTCAATCGATGCATAGCTTGTATGCCTCGTTCGAAGCTCTCTGCGAATGATTAGCAGTCCTCATGTCGAGACAAGCCCTACCGCAAGCTATTGACGCCCACGATCAGTGGCGAGACCCCTTGCATAACCTTCTGCAATTATGATCGACGGAGATATCTCACTAAACAAGCATCGGAACATTCTTGCCGCTATAAACAAGCCCAAGCCACCAACTCCTGGGGAGCATGGAAGTGACAACATGCCAGAGCAAGGGCGTTGGCACTGTCTAAGGATCCTCTCACGAGGGCGCAAACCCAACCACTCCCCACTGCCCCTTGATCCCAGTAATCCTAGAATGTCACCAAAGCGATCACTATAAGTTGGCCGAATGTCCCGCCATCCCTCGTTACGACGTTTCTTCGCATTCCCAGACTTTCGTTTATACACCCCTTCTTGCTCGCTTTTGACCTTATCCGTCGCTCGTCGACGTTGACACTCATTCTACGACTACAACCGCAACGCCATCAAGATGGTTAAGACAACATACGCCCTGACCCTTTGTGCCGCTGTGGCATTGGCTGCGCCTTTGCCTCCGAGTGAGAACGACGCAGGAACCGGTATGGTTCACATGCGCCGGGATGGCAGCGGTAACTTTATCGGTGCCGGTACAGCAGGCGGCGAAGTAAACGATATGATTGCTTCGCTGCTGCAGCCCAAGCTGAGCTCCCGAGATGGTGAGCCGGCGGATGAAAAGAAGCCTGTCGGCGACGAGAAGCCTGCTGGTGATGACAAGGATTCGAAGGATGGCAAAGATGACAAGGATGGTAAAGATGGCAAGGATGCGAAGGCCAAGAAGAAGACGCCTGAGCCGCCTAAGCACCACATCATCAACAGCCTTCCCATCATTGGAACACTTCTCGGTGGTGTGCCGAAGCGAAGCGTCGAGCATACTCCTCGCTCGCTGACTGGTGATCTCAGCAATTTCCCTCTCTTGGGAAGTCTGTTCGGCGGGGTATGTTTGATGTCTCTTCCCTTGATTGAACGTCAAGTTGATATTAATGATTCCCTAACAGAACCAGGCTCATCCAGCCAATACTCCTAAGAAACAGACTCGATCTGTTGATGGGTACCCCTTGTATGGTGGCCAGAACTGGGATCAAAACGAGGGTCAGAACCACGGCCAGAACTATGGCCAAAACTATGGTCAAAACTATGGTCAAAACTATGGTCAGAACCACGGCCAAAACGACGGCCAAAACGAAGGCCAGAATGAAGGCCAGAACGACGGTCAGAACGACGGCCAAAACGAAGGCCAGAACTGGCTCCAGAACTATGGCCAGAACCACGGTCAAAACGAGGGTCAAAATTACGGTCAAAACCACCGTCGATCCAACGAAGATCTAGTAAGTTGGAGCTATCTAGATCAGTTTGAAGTCTCAATAGAATAACATAGTGTCTAACGTCCCGCAGAACCAGCAGAATGCCGAAGATATGAAGCTGGGCAGCATCAGTGACGCCGTCAGCGGTGCTATGGACGGCGGCCTTGATCTTGCCGACAGCGTGATGCCCGTACGTCAACGCAAATTATCCCTGAAAGAATCCAAATACTTACATTGCCTTAGTTCCGCCGCAGCGACCCCATCAGCGATCTTGCCAACAGCATCGGACCTGCTCTATTCCCTCAGCACGGAGGCCTAGTATGCCAACTTCCCAATTTGAGCCTCAAATGAACCAAATACTGATCTTTCCAGTCCGGCCGCAGTGAGAATGTCGAAGACGGCGAGCCCGATTCTTTCGACACCGGGTCCAGTGATACCGACGCTGCAGATGTCGCTGACGAAATCTTGATGGTATGCTCATCCAATCCAACTAGAGCCCAAATGAACTAATTGCTAAAACCTCCTTCCAGCGCCGTGCTACTCCCACCGGAACTAAGAATCCTACTACCACACCTTCCTCTTCGTCTACCCCCCCTCGGCCTCACCTAGTACCAGCCTCAGTGACCCCCCTCGGTCTGATGAAGGAACTCGCCCGTGAGAGTGGCCTGGGCGGCCTGATTGGTAACGCCCACCACGGCGTTGGTATTCTCCCGGTATGTAATTCACACCTTACCCTTGGCAAATACCCATCCGGTTCTTAGGGAGCAGTCTTAGCTGACCTGTTCATTTGATAGATGAAATCTCGTGATGTTCACGAGCTTGAGACTCGTGATACTTCCCCCATTCAAGGCTCGACCCTCCCCGATGTCCTCCTCCAGGGTGGTGTCATTGGGAAGGTTAGCCACTTCCTTTCTAACCCCATTGGTGCCCCTGCTGCTGCCCCCGCTGCTGCCCCTGCGGCTGGTGGTGAGGCTGCTGCCCCTGCTGCTGCTGGCGGCGCTGCAGGTGCCGGTGGTGCTGGCGCCCCCAAGGCCGGCGGTCCTACTCCTCCCCAAGCGGTGCGGAAGTAGTGCAGCCAGGTATCGATCCCTGCCAATGGTGATGCTACTCACGGACGTACCGTCGCGTGATATGGTTGAGCATTTTTTTTTAGTAACGAACTATGTTATCGGATTTGTTTTGTGAATTGGATTTGATTAGGAATTTGGTGAAGTGGTGTACGTATTGAAATTGAAGTACAATGCCTATTGTTTTGAATAAAGTCCTAGTTCCAATAATTCGTACCATTAAGCAAGCAAAGGTGTATTGTGCGTGCGAGGTGACACTTTCAAAATCGTAAACCTCCTCGAGCCCAATACAATTAGTAGAGCACGCGAGGAACAAAGCAAGTACACCGAGATCATAAAGTCGTTGTCGTTCAGCGTTATAGTCGATTTCCCATTCAGTCAAGCTTGACAGAAAACGAGCGCTTTTGGGGGTATCGAATCATTATGTGCGAGAAAAGGGGGCAGCCCAGCCCAAAAAAAGTCCCAAAAAAAGCGATAAAAGAAAACAGTGCGAGAAGAAAATCGAGTGAAACGACCAAAGCGAGAGAGAAAGGAAGGAAGGAAGGGTATATCGCTCAATCTGACTGGAAATCCATGTCCAGATCATCCACCTCTACCGTCGTCCCCAGCGCTTCTTTGCCTTGCCGGATCATATCCTGCAGTTGTTTATTCAGGCGTTGGATACTGGCGTCTTCTTCGCGCTCTTTGCGGCGCATCCGTGCTGCGTATTTCTGCATTTCCGCAGAGCCAGGACCGTTCTGTGATCGTGGCGATGGAATCGCAGAGCTCCTTGTAGGTGTGGATGGTCGCACGGACAAGTTTGGTCGTTTCGCGAGACGAGGCATCACGGCTTGACGTCGACGCGGGCTTGAGGTTTGGTGGATGCGACGGGCTCGGAGAGCGGATGGACTATCTGTGCTGTCGGGATCGTCGTTGCCAAAGGGATCGGTGGGTTCGCCAGGAACAACTACCCAGCTGCGATCGATGTCTTCGTCTGGGTACTGTCCGGGAATGGGAGTGCGAAAGATGCGATCTTTCTCGACGGAAGTACTGGGACCGGCCTCCCAGGTTGGGATGAACTGTGTCGTGGATGCAGGGCCAGAACCAGAGCCAGCGTGCATGTCATATCCTTGTCCGCCGCCGGCGTAGAAGCCCTTGAATGCACCGGACCAGCAGAGGTCGAGGACTTTGCCTACAGCGTTGATCACCGTTCGTCCCCACCCGACTCGTGTGGCTGGACTCGGTAGATCGGGGAGATCGGTCATTGGTGAGGCGATGTTGGAATCGCGGCGGGTGCGTTTCCGACTGTTCCCCTCTGCGAGTAAGGAATCAACGCTGACATCGAGTGATGGGGGTAGGAAGGATTCACGGTATCGGTTGGGTCGGTAGTCGAACTCGGCGGAGGCATGGTACTCATCGGTACCTGGTTGACGGAAATCGGACGAGATCAGTGGAGAGGCATTATTGTGGATTTCGGATGATGGGTCGAATTTGGTTAAAAGGGATCCAGTGTCGCGACGGGCTCGTTTGCGACTAAGAGAAAGCGAGTAGAGTGATGAGGATGCGGAGGTGGAAGAAGGAAGCTGGAAGAGCTGCGAATTGGCACTGGCGAGATCAACCTTGGGAGGTGAAGCCGAGTGTTGGAAAACGGCGTGCATGTCGGGCATAATGAGATGGAAATACTCGGTAGCGAGGAGAAAGGAGAAAGGAGGTGTATCTCCCTGGTGGAGGGAGGAAGCAAAGAAAAAAAAGGTTGAGTTGGAGAGGAGAACTAAACAAATCCCTAAATCTGACTAGTCCCCCACGAGTCACGACGGAGTACGGAATACACTTAAGACACTCCCAGCCCCCCCCCTGCTTCAATATATTTTTCCAACCAACCACCGATTATTACACCGACTATTATAATCTTTGGCTGGTCCACTGGACTCCAGCTGATTCCAGTCCCTCGTCACCATCAACCAACACACACCATCCCTCGCCGCCCTGTCCACCATCTCCCGCAATCACCGCCTCGAAATTGGCATGGGCAAATTCCAGTACTGCGTCATCAAAGGTCCCCGGTTGCAACCAGACAGCAGGGATTCCTACAGAATGAGCTTCCTGTAGTACTTTGAGGGTCACTGGAGGTGGAGTCACCACCGACAACGAAGTCTGAGTCGGGGAGGGAAGTCCGGATGGTGAGGGAACTGTATCGTAGGCACGCGAGGGGAGGGAGATCTGCGCTGCCCTCGGATTGAGGGGAGTCACAGGTAGTGAATGCTGGTGATACCATGCAAGAACTAAAGGGAAGAGAATATAATGGAATGTTAGCGAGGGTGGCCCATGGAGATATTCGTCTTTTGACTTACGCTTATATCCAAACTTGTGGGCGTCGTTACTGGCGCCCGCCACGGCGAAGCGCGGAGAGGAGAAGAATCGCTTGACAGGATCCATGGATGATATAGAGTAGAGTCGAAGATGTAGAGGAACTAGAGGAAAAGTGACGAGTTCTCTAGTTGACTTGACTTGGAGGGAGAGGGAGAATTGTAGATTGTTCCCGCGGGCAGAAGTGGTTACTAGTAACTACTACTGTATTGCAGACTGGTACTTGTCATTTGTATGGCAATCCCATACAAAGTGGAAGTACTCTTCCCTTCATACCTCGGCCACTGCCGACCTTCACACCTCCGCGCATCTCCTTCCTCCGCCGACCCACTTCCATTTCTCCAAATCCAAATCCAAATCCAAATCCACTTCTACATTCAATTCAAATCGTATGCCACCTTTCGTCCCCGCAAGCGCTCCCACTCCGAGGACCCGCCCCCAACCAAACGCCAGGCCCTTGATGCCTCCAAGCCCTTCTCTATCGATGAATCCGACTCCGATTCCTCGGAGAGCTCCTTGAGCGACGCACCCGCCGATAACACCCATGAGTCGCGTATTACTGCGTCAGACGACGAAGATGAGGAGGATGACGATATCGACTGGGAAGACGCGATCGACCCCAAAACAAGCGCGACAACTCCAACCCTCGCTGGCCCCGAGCTCCAAGATCTCGAATTGACCCTCGATAAGAATGAGGCCCATGTCTCGGATTTACTAGATGGCAAGAAGGGACCGACCAAGATCGAACGTCAGATTCGCATTCAGTCACACTGCATCCATGTCCAATGTCTCCTCTACCACAACGCCATTCGCAATGCCTGGATCAACGACGCCAAAGTGCATGAGACATTACGTCATAAGCTCCCGGAGGGTATTCACAAGGAAGTGAAGAAATGGCGAATCGCAACCGGATTGGAAATTCCCGAACGAAAGCCAGACCCGCCCAAATCTAAGAAGAAAAAAGGAAAACAGGCCAAAAAGAAGGAAGAATGGGGCCCGGATTCAGAACGACTGGAACCGGGCCAGCCAGATATGAGTCGCGGGGATCCGATCATCACCCTGCTCAAGGTCTTGGTGGCCTACTGGAAGAAGCAGTTTCAGATTACGGCCCCAGGTCTCAGAAAGCATGGGTATCGACCTGTAGCTTCCCTCGAGGAGATCATCACTGACTTCAGGAAAGAGGAACACGACCAAGAGCGCCATGGGGAGCGCATTGCCAACATCGATGAATTTCGAACCGTCGCCGAAAATATGCAGGGCTCCCGTGATGTCGGGGCTCAGCTTTTCACTGCTCTGATCAGGGCGTTGGGCATCGAATCCAGACTCGTGTCGAATCTACAACCGCTAGGATTCGGATGGACAAAAGCAGAAGTTTACACACCATCCAAGACAGATGCAGTTCCTACGAACACCAAGCCTGAGAACGGCTCCGGGGAGTATGAATCAACGCCTGATGTGGAACAAGATCCGCCTAAAGCAAAGAAAAGCGGGCCTCAATATGACAAGGATCTCCCATTCCCAATCTACTGGACAGAGGTTGTCTCTCCAGCCACAAACGAAATCATTTCTGTTGACTCTCTAGTCCTGCCGAAGCCCCTGGGACTAAGTGCCGATCAACAAGAAGCCTTTGAGCCACGTGGTGCCAAAGCTGATCGTGCTAAACAAGTAATTTGCTACGTGATTGCACACTCGGCGGATGGAACCGCCAAAGATGTCACAACTCGATATCTTCGACGGCGCACATGGCCCGGAAAAACTAAAGGGTTCAGATTCCCGGTGCAGAAACTACCAATACCAGGTCTTCGAGGCCAATACTTTGAATACGATTGGTTTCGAAACGTCATGCGTGGGTACATAAGACGTCCCGACAAACGAACCAAAGTGGATGAACAGGAAGACGAAACAGATCTAAAACGGAAACAACCCGAGAAAAAGAAAGCTGCGCAGGCAGGAGATACCCTCCAGAGCCTTCGGGCATCAACCGAGTTTGTGCTTGAACGTTTTCTTCGCCGCGAAGAGGCCCTCAAGCCTGGCGCAGAGCCTGTTCGCACATTTACGGCCGGCAAAGGAGCCCGTGCTAAAGAGGAGCAGGTTTACAAGAGAGCCGATGTGGTCAAATGCCTGTCTGCGGAAAGTTGGCATAAAGAAGGGCGACAGATCCAAGCTGGAGCCGCGCCCTTGAAAAAGGTACCCATACGAGCAGTGACTCTCATCCGCAAGCGCGAGGTCGATGAGATGCAGCGCGAAACGGGCCAGAAACCGACGCAGGGCCTGTACGCGCGTGATCAGACCGAGTTCATCATCCCACCGCCTATCGTTGATGGCAAGATCCCCAAGAACAACTACGGCAATATCGATTGTTTCGTGCCAAGTATGGTACCTCGGGGCGCCGCCCACGTTCCATTCTCGGGCACTGTCCGACTGTGCAAGAAGCTCGGGATCGACTTCGCAGAAGCAGTCACTGGGTTTGAATTTGGCTCTAAGATGGCTGTTCCTGTCATCCAGGGCGTTGTCGTGGCGGCCGAAAATGAAGACTTGCTCAAAGACGCCTGGCGTATTGACGCGGCCGAGAAGCGCAAAAGAGAGGAGCTCAAGGCCGAAAAGCGGATTTTGCAAACCTGGCGCAAGTTCCTGTTCGGCTTGCGCATTGCTGAACGTGTTCGGGAGGAGTATGGTGGTGGAGATCCTTTCGCGGACCGCGAGCGTGAGGCACAAAATCCCTTCGCTCTGCGGAAGAAGAATAATGAACAGCATGAGCCTGACGATAAACATTCTCATGATCATTTTGAAGAGGACTCTCATGATCCTGTTGATCATGGTGGCGGGTTCCTTCTACCCGGTGAAGGAGATGATGGCGACGACCACTTAATTGTCGAGGAACACAAGCAGGAAGATCATGTTGGCGATGATGATACCGATGATGGAGAACTATCACCGCCAATTTCGATATCATCAGAGCCGGATGAGGACCAGGAGACAGGCGTCGAGGATGATCCCGAGTCTGATTATGCTCCTCCAACGCGCAGCGGCGTACGACGTCGTCGACGTGGTGGATGAATGTACCCAAAGGACAAAACTTATTGTAATCTAGAAAGTCCTTGTACAATAGTGTCGCTTTATGACTATCCTGAACTGATTTACAACACCCTAGTCTCGAGACTGTATTTGATCTACTAGTGAAACTCAATCAAGCACAAGAGCACCGACTGATTCATCTGCTTAAGTCAGTTATAAGAAGCGCCCTGTATGGCAGCCATAGGTTTTGAATTTCTTGAAGTGAGGCGGCATCTTAATTTCCAAACTCATTGCCAGAAAACTACAATGATCCGAATTGCAAAAAAGAACTTGCTAAGAACATAGCCAACATCTGAGTAAAGACCAAGGAAATTCAGCCCTGTAGCATTCAGAGATCTCGCTCCAAAGTTCCCAACCTTTGCCTTCGTCACCAATTGAACAATAATTTGAGACACGTCACTTTCCAGAGCATCTTGGTCGATCCGTGACGACTGAAGTTGTCCAAATCAGCACAGATCGAAGTTTCTCAACACACAGCAACTTACGTCCTATCGCCCAGACTTCGTATGTTGATCAATCAAGCGCTGAATCTCTTGAACGAGCTGATTGGCCCGACGCTTACTATTCTGCACTTCGACAGCCTCGACGGTGAGAACCGAGCGCTTGCTATAGTATGCCCTGAACTTTCCACGCGACCATTCGGACGTATGCTTTATCACGTTGTCCTCTTGTCCATTTGGAATGTTTGACTCGAGCTGGACTTTTTCAGGCGCTTTTGCGGGGTCATCTGATGCGGAGTATCTGGCAATGTAGTCGATTCTTGAAGCGATCACGTTGATGGATAGGAGCAGGAGTCCTAAAAGGAGCAGGTAGAAGTTTTTGTAAGTTGTCATTTTGGGTTCGGTTCCTCGGATGGGATCTGCTGAGGTGGGCTTATTTGAGAACTTTCAAGGTTGTTCTGGTTGAGGGGAAATAAGGTCGATTCAAAGTCTATTTATACCTTCCCTTGATCTCTATCGCGAGGTCAATGCTACTGTAAATGCATTGTGACTTAGCCTACATGCTCCAGGGCTTGTGGCAACATAGTACTCATCCTTCTGGTAGAATCTATTTTGGTAGTAGCCGTTGTTAAACCCCAAGGTACGACAATGTGCCACCTGGACAACAATACCTGTGCATCGTTGATGTTATTTAGTACCTGTGCGGCCTCAGATAAAAAAGGATCTTGCTGGTTGCATCGGGGCATTGTTAAGTAGTTGGGTTGTTATACTCCTTGGCACATTATTCAATGTAAGACGGGTCTTATTCCACCATTCCAATGTTATTGATCAATCCGCTAGTACTAACAAGCCACTAGAAATAAGAGTGGCAAGGAATCGAAACGCTTTACTCCTGAAGATAATTGAATACCCCGTACTACATATCAGGGCTAGTGGGGAAAACCTAAAATTGCATAAGAGAGCGTTTGTGCTTGCTACACAGTCACACAATAAAGAACTGTAGTACAACCCAATATTCTTCAAGTTGCTGACATTCCTCTGGTTTCCGAGAGTTGAATTTCTGCTTCCGAGCTACCGGTGAAAACTTGGGTGATTTGAACGACCTCATTCCGGATTCATCTATGGAAATATCAAATAAGATGCCTCGATGATGAAACACACTGGAAGGCAATCAAGACTGAGGATGTAGCTGGGTGACCTGAGTGTGTGAGGAGGGCTCCAATGGATGCTGATATGGACACCGTTTATTACACAGACATTTGGACGGTTGAACCTGTATATGTCAATGCCCAGGTGTATTTAAATCGATCATTTCTAATTCAAGGACCTTGGGGTTCTCAACTGAATATCCATGCCTCAGTATGTATAATATGCATGATGTGCTTTCAAGTTTTATCGCAGTTTTTTAGCATCGCTCTGGTCCCGTTCGACTTTCTGCATGCCTTTCTCTAGTATGGAGCTTACCTAGAGCTCTTTGAAAGAAACTCCGCTTTTCATTGGGCTTGTTCGCCTCATCATTCTTGTCCTTCTCATTACTGTGACCTTGGAAGAACTTCTTCAGCCCATTTGTATTGAATGCCAGGACCACAAAAAAGCCAGATACGATGAAAGACACTCCAACTAAATAGAATACCAATTAGCAAAAGTGGAAGACATTTCAAATCGCTCTCTTAGGCTGGGATTGTGCTGACTCACAGATGATGGGAAATATCCACCAACCCTTGTACTCTACGTTGCCATTCTGGTGAGGGAAATCGGAGATGTTCAACGCAAAAAGACTAGTCAAAAATGAAGCAGGAAGCTGAAAACGTTAGCAGTTATCAGTGATAGAAAGGACAGAACTTACGAAAATAATTGTGACCACCGTGAAGGTCATGACGGTATCACTTTGCTCTCGCGTAGCTTTAGCTTCTATAATGCTAGCTTCCTTTTGCTTCAGATCCAGCAATGTGTTGATGTCTCCTTGAACACTTTTGGCATCTCCAATCATGCTTTCGATTTCTCGGCTAATCTCGGATGGGGTGACCGCATGATTGCTTTTCTGTTTCGTCTGGATCTGTTTCCACATATCATCCACATGATCCTGTTCTTGAGCTAAGGTCCTCAAGATGTTCAGCTCATCGAGAATATCCTTGATTTCCTCTAAAAGACCAGTCTCTTGGGAGATGTCTTGATATGGGTTCTCCTCATCTTCGGCTGGAAGCTCTAAATGGTCTTTGTCTCGGCTTCGTGGTGAGTTGGAAGGCCTCTCTTGGTTAACCCCACTGCCACGGCGTCGTGGGTTTGATATGGAGCCAGTTTCAAGGGCAGTGGTATGAGATATCAACTGCTGGCTTAACTGTGCTTTTTTCGATGCTGAATCTTCCTTCGTGGACTTTGTAAACTCCAAAAGATGATTTTTCAGAGCAGACGCCCACTGAGAGATCCATGTACGTTTTTTAACCAATTTCTCTCTTTTATCATCCAAAGATGTGCGAAAGATTTTAAAAAGCGATGTTTCCAGTTCGCGCTTTGTTATATCATCAGCATTTATCGCTGAAAATCTGCTGTATCACTCACCATGTCCTGAATGGCCTGTCGGTATGCATCGAGAGGTGCAATTTTCCCATCATCAGAATCATATATCTCAATATCTCGCGCATTAAAGAGGCTCCTTGCTGTGTCCATGATAAGAGCCGCTATATGGTTTATTGGAGACGCTCTCTTGTCATTCTGTTGGATGTTGTCCAGCTCGGTCCGATGAAGATTGTCGAGAACACGCTGCAGAAATGTCTTTTGAATGTCTTTGTCTTCTTCTGTGGTACTGGTGATAATCGTATCTAAAGGCCAATTAATAGCTAGACTCACGGGGTGGATTTGAAAGATGGAACGATACGATTGTCCAAAATCCATAGCCACAGTTGATTCACCATCAAAATTTGAGCTGGTTTGACGGTACGGGCCGCAGTCTTATACGAATCCTGAGGGTTTACCGATGGTGAATCTTCCTTTTTATTTGTTCGGATGGTGTCTTTTTGTTTCTCTGCGTCCTTCGCTCGTTGTTTCTCTTTCTCGGCTGCGTTTTTAAACAATCGCGAAAGGACTTGATCATCATCACGATCATAGGTATCTCGGAGCGACTCGTAATAATACTGATCCAGAGTGAGTGGTCTGTGATCAATTCCCTTACCAGAACTTCTATCATCTGCTGGCCAGCGAGACTGTTGCTGCTCAGAGGTACCATAGTTCTCAAGTACGCGGTTCAAACTGGGTATTTGTGTTTCTTGGAGTGCCTGGATGGTACCAGTCGACTCAGAGCGTTGTGTATCCGCAAAACGGGCTTGACCGCCAATGTTATGAGTCTGATCAGGTACAGCTGGGGTTTGTGTATCAAGCACTGGAGAATTTTGACTTATGCCTTCTCTTTCAAGCTCCTTTACCTTCTTTGCAGCACGCTTATTCCCCCAAAATATGTAAGGTACCTGCCGATCTATCAGTCATAGGACAATAAAGAATCCCGCAGACATGTGAACAAACAAAGAGTGACAGCATATGGATACTTTCCGAGTCATCAAACTATGAGCCAACTTATTAACAACATGGTCACAAAACATTTTTGAGCTACCAACGTACTTGACAATGTGGTCTCATGTATGATGTGCCTTCCCCAGAGGGAATCTCTAGATAGCTTTTATCCGTCAGGGCGAGCAATCGACGGTGTTGGCTTTTATTGATAGACTTTTCTCGAGATATTCGTGTCATGAGGTCCTAATTGTCATCGGAGTCAGTGCATGCCTCTCAGTCCCCAGAACGGGAAAAGGCTAAGTAGTGCATAGGATCAGTGCCACCTACCTTGACATAATTCAACTATTGCAGAGCACCAATTAATAATGCCCTTTTGAGGTGAGCGTATGAATATCTAGTATGGGTTACTAACATCGTTCTTTGGGATATGAATCCACCGGAGCTTGTGCTTGAATCCGCTCGACTCGGCAGAGTTCTTTTTTTTGTCTTGATCCAGGTGATCTGCGCCTTGTGTTGGGGCCGAGACGTCTCCTGTCTGCTGCACAGAGAATTCCCCCGTGGAGTTTGACGAAAAAAGTCTTTCTTTGATGCTTTGTAAGTTTTGCGAGTTATTATTCGACATGAGGTCTTCGGGCCCTTGGCAGTACACAATCTGGACAATGTCGGCTCGCTTAAGCTTGATAACAACCGGACTATCTTCTTTGATTTCAACATCCAGTACCGTCCCTTTGAGCGTGCCTTTACATGGCGCCTCATGCTGAAATTGTGGAAGACCTTGTTCTTCTTTGGGTATGCGTTGGCGAGGTAGATTTTGCAGCAGATCCATCACCAGTTGAGCCGCATTGAATACCTGAGGTGAGTTGTGCTGACTGAAATTTGATTGAGCTTGGCTTTGGAGAGGTTTTTGCATTTCGAAAACCTTCTCACACTCCTTCAGGTGGGTTTCGTCGAAATAGTCACCACCAGAAAGAAGCCACCAAAGTGCGATTGGAAATTTCCTCTCCACCAGAAACTCCAAAACAGAAGAGCTGTCATTCGGAAGAGCCTTGTTTAATTCTCGTCCCTCTATCAGATTTCTGAGCCCGTGAAGATATCTGCGTTCTCCAGCTGTGTATCTCCAGGTTGCAACTCCAATCACATGTTGTCTGTTGTTTTCCTGCCTGATAAACTCCGAGTTTGGCGCCATCTGGCTTGATCCGGTCAGAAACGCTGAGCGAATTGAAAGTGAATCCGATGAAAAGCTCCTATCACCCTTGGTTATGTCAAAGATCATGTCCCAAAGCCACTCTTCAACCTTCAGGCGACCCTGGCTAGCAGCTAGAGAAATCAAGGTATCCAAGTCTTCTGTTTCTTGCAGAATAGCATTTAGGACTTCTTGGGGCCCATATTTCCTCTTGTGGGATGCCAAAAGTTTACCCAGAAATTTCAAATGTCCCATGCGTGCTGCAATATGCAAGGGTGTTGTCTTCTTCCTTGCTTCTGCCACGATATCGTCTCTCCAACCTGGAATGAATTGCAGCAACTTGATATTCCCGACAAGTGCCACCATGTGTAGCCAAGTGGCATCTGCCTGACTGGAAAGTTTAGGATGGTGGTTCATATGAACGAGGGTCACCAGATCATCGTCACAGCCATGCCTGTCATCATTTTCATCTTCCTCATCACTGTTCGTATTCAAAAGAGCCCAACAAAACACAGCAGAGATGGACCGATCACTAAACAGGTCTTCATTCTCACTATCCTTGTTCTCATTTTCCTCGTTGTCACTCTCCTCGTAATCACTCTGCTTGTTCTCACTATCACTTTGACGCAATTTCGCCAAGAGCCAGTTCGAGATATCCTGCGTTTCAGAGTCTGGAGAACGATTCACTTCGTCCAGAGCGGGATTTTGAGGGAAATAGAATCTTGACTGCAGCAACTGGGAGACAATTGATACATCTCCTCTTTCAACAGCAATTCGTAGAGGCGTTCGGCGATAGTGATCAGACTTGACCATGAGTTTCTTCAACTGATGCTGTGGAATTGTGAGAAGAATACCAACAATGGAAGAGTATCCTTCAACACATGCTAGGTGTAGTGCATTCGATCCGCTGGCATTTTTCGCCATTGTATCTGCCTTGGAATCAATAAGATACTTCAATACCGGGCCAGCATCAAAGTAAGCACTATTCAGGAGCGGTGTGTATCCCCAGCGGTCCCTGGTTTCTTTGTCTGCGCCCAATTTGCAAAGATATAGGACAATATACAAGTTGCCATGTAGTGATGCTCTCAAAAGAGCAGTCTCTTCGACATCATTTCGCTTTTCCAACAAGCTAGGGGTCTGCTTTAGCAGTGTTTTCACAACCACCAGTAGCTCCCCCTGTAGTGTTGTGGAAGAGAAGTCTTTTGGGCTCAATTTGGAAATGAGATGGAGCGCAGTGTTTCCACTGTCATCTTGGGCCGAAGTATCAGCGCCCATCTGATTCATCAACAATATGCAAATAGATGGTCTCCCATAACGAGCTGCGACCAAAAGAGGAGTCTCTTCGCAATTGTTGCGTTTTTCCAGCAGCCCTGGTCGGCTGTTCAGAATTGATTTGATGACTTGGTGATATCCTTGCATCACATTGGTGGTGGCCTCGTGTTCTGTCCCACTCTGGCAGACGAAATGCAGTGCTGTATTCCCATCTTCATCCTGAGCCAAAACATCTGCCTTGTTATCGAGTAGCCATTTCACGGAGTTAATATTACCGGAGCGAGCAGCTTTCAGAAGACAGGTGTCTCCAGCTTTATCCCGTCGATTGAGGATTATAGGCGAGGCATTCAGGATACTCTGGGCAATGGAAATATGGGAGCCCCTTGTGGCCAAAATCAATGCCGCCAATCTTTCATCTAGTGAGGGGTCGTCTTCGGTTGACATCTCATGGATGCATTTGAAAACTTCAGTTCTCCCATACGCGGCCGCTAACATGAGCGGAGTCGCCTCCTCTAAGGTTGGATTATCCTCCGCATTGATCTTTTCAGGGACCCAATCGAATTTCTTTTTAAGAAGTTCCGGGTTTTTGGAGATAAGGTCTTTTGCAAGCTCCTCGTCAACCTTCTTGTCTTTGCCCCCAGTGATGGCATCCTGTAGCCGCTTGGCCATTTCATCAATGGAATCAGATGACACAGCAGGGGTATTTTCGAGCTGGCCGAGAGACCTCTCGGGATCTACTCTACAAAGTCAGTCAAATAAATTAGAAAGAAAGGCCACTGCCCGGGGATGGTTTTACCATCATTGTTGTCCGACATAGTGTTGCATCAAATCCGAATAGACTGAGATATTGGAGCTTCAGGGAGGAATGACCCTGGGCGATGTAATAAACAATTTAGAAGAGGATTGAAGAAAGGAATAGCGAAAGAGACAAGAGGCGGAGCAAAGCTTCTTCTCGTCCCAAAAGTACGTGTTAGCGCCATCTTGGGCTTGTGACCGAGCTGCATAGCTCGAGAGAAACAAACGCCGACCAAAAATAGTCCGTGGATCAGGTGAAAAAAGCAAAAATAGTCCAGCTCAGACGCTTCTGGTTAGTATCATGTATCTTGGTACATAGCATAGCAATCTCCGCCGGCTGTGCAGAGAGGCTTTTATTCACTCTGTGGCAGTTAATTTGAGCTCGGGCTCTGCTCTTGACGTATGTATGTTGGAGCGATTCGAACCGATAGGCAAAAAAAGAATTTGGCGAGCCAGTCAGCTCTACAAGGATGTATGGGCGGTCACATTGGGCACGAAGAGTAGCAGGGGAAAGTCAAGACTTCCTCGTCGTGCCCGCATTAGTTCCTACAAATGGGCATGTTCGCCCAACCAAAGCGATTAGACATCTGGAGCTCCCCCAAAGCCGGATAACGCCCAGCTTGCACAAAACAAACCCTAGGGAATGGGGTCGGTTATTTGGAACTGCTGAGTGGCTGGAGGACCAATCCCCTGTTGTCATATTCGAAGGGGCTGCAGAGGTGGTGGCTTGTAACAGCCAATGGTTGATATGCGGGGTTTGTATCAGTAGGTCATAGGATGCGTTTATAAATACCAGTGGCAGTGACCACCCTCTATGGAGGGGATAAGGCACTGGTTGGATTACTATATACGATACGTAGTACAATTCAAATACCTGGAAACATTGAAACCTTAGGAACCTTGGAAGATATCACACATGCAGTTGACGAAACCATAAATACACCTGGGCATATAGCATGCAATTTTTTTTTCTCAAGTATGGGCAGGTGCGGTGCCTTACTACTAGTAGTAGTTCCTGAGACTTACGGCTCAATTGACACAAAGAATTACTAGTAGGAATTTATATTCAGCAATTAATGTTCTCGTCGCCTGGAGCCGGATACTATGTAGAAAGGAGGAGAGCCGTAGCAATACGGCTAACACAAGGGTAGAAAGATCTAGTTACACAAAGATCAGTACCTGATAACTTTATTCTTATTTCAACATCAAAGAAACTAAGTTATTTTATGCCCAAACTTACCGCATTATCGCCGTATACTTCCTCATGGCATGTCGCAAGTGGGGAGCACTAATCCGGAAACAGTAAACAAAAATCATCAGGAGGAATCTAGTACCTAGATACATCCATTTCCGTGAGGAAGGTGTTGGATAGTTAATATTCATTTATCGTTTTGGAGCTCTGCACTTGACGATCACATTGAGATTAAGTTGAGAGGGAGCCCACGCATTATATGATCTTCCACACGTCGGAGTAGTACTAGTAGTTTGTAAGTTACAAGTAGTAGTACATACTAGTAGTAGAAACTATTGTTACTTCATAAATAGAGTCATATTTCTATGTGCAATTTCCTAACAAACTTTTTGCTCGTGACCATGACATGAAGGCAAGTCCGTGATATCAAATAGACCTGCGGATCCGAGTCGACCCCCATACGGAATCGAGATTGAAGGGGGTATTAAGAACAGACCGTCTAACAAACAAGCAAGCACAAATATAAAGAAGAAAATAAACAGACCAAACAGGATTGGAGAAAGATTGGAGAAGAAAAATGCAAGTTCAAACGATTGTCAATTCAGTAATCCGGAAAGACTCCTCATACCTATGCTGAGCTTTTCATTATTTCCAACCTCCATAGACCTGATCTGTAGAGAAAAAGGAAAGACGTAACATTTAGCGTCTCTGGCCACGTCCACCACCACCTCGGCCACCGAAGCCACCGCGGTCACCGCCGCGGCCTCCACCGCGACCTCCAAAGCCACCACGATCGCCTCCACGGCCACCACCTCGGCCACCGAAGCCGCCACGATCACCGCCACGGCCTCCACCACGACCTCCGAAGCCACCGCGATCACCACCGCGACCGCCACCTCGGCCACCGGAGCCGCCGCGATCACCACCGCGGCCGCCACCACGACCAAAGCCACGATCACCGCCACGACCACCTCCGCGACCACCGCGACCGCCGGGGCTGAAACGCTTTTCAACCCGACCATCGGGGACACCAGGGGTCTTGGGGGCACCAAGACCACGACGACCGGGGCCCTTGGAGCGGAGGTTCTCACCGACTGCAGCAGCCTCATCATCATCCAGGTCCATATCATCGTGACCACGCTTCGCCTGGCCCATCTTGACCTTGCCCTTTTGGCCACGACGAACAGCGTCAGGACCACTAACAGCAGCAAGGTAAGCGTTGACACCACCGGATCCTTCACCAGCACCGCCCATCTCGACATCAGCATTAGCGTCGTCATTTCCAAGAATGAGACGGCCATCTGCGTCGAACTTGGCATTGCGCTTCTTTTTGGAGCCGGGCCCGGTGTTCAGGAAACGATCGCTAGGCTTGGTGGTGGAAATATTGGCCAGGGCGTCGGGGGCCAGCAGATCCAGCGGGTTATCTTCGGGAGATGTCTCGCGAATGTACTGAGTGCTCTGGCCCTTCTTCCTGCCTCCAGTAGCCTTGATACGAGCTTGGCCGCCATCGACATCGACATCACTGGCTCCATCATCAGACTCGTCGTCGGAATCGGAATCAGAGCCGTAGACAGCCTTATCGAAAGCGTTGCCGGATTGCTGGGCACCAGCCTTCTCTTCGTCTTCATCGTCCTCGTCTTCATCGGCACCACCCTCCTTCTTCTTGCGCTTATTGCGCTCACGCTGCTTACGGATATTCACAACCAGCTTGCGATCTTCCTCGCCGACAAGGGCCTCCATGAGCGGAGCACCGAAGCGTCGAACCAGTCGGTCGATGATACCCTTGACCTTGCTGCGGAGACGACCCTTGTGCTCCTTGTTCCAGGCCATCAAGTTGGGCACAAGTGCCGACAGACGCGGGCGCAAGGCCTCATCAGGCAGGATGACAACGGCAACCTTTACGAAGCCAAGAACAGAACGGACGATCTCACGGTTGTTGCTGGTAAGGAAGAGCTCGACGGTCTGGACCAGATCGCCAAGAATCTCGGGTTTCAATTTGCTCTGGTACTCGAAAAAGAGGCGGGAGAGCGCAGTGACTGAGGCAGCGACCATGTGAGGAGAGGAGCCAGCCAGACCGGCAGAAACCATGGTGAAGAATTCTTCAATAGTAGCAGGAGCATCAGGTGAGTCGTCTGGCATGTGAGGAACCAGTGAGTTGCGAATCACAGTGCCAGCAGGGTTGCGCTCCTCATCGCAGGTGCGGTTGGCGAGGTGGATGAGAAGGTCAAAGGCAGCGGTACGTGCCTTCTCGTTGCTCTCCTTGCATCCCAGGACAACCTCTGACAGGATAGAGGGGATGAAATGGAGGTCGGAAGTAGGGAGATGTGTGATAAGCTCGTGAATCGCGAGCATGCGGTCTCGTCGACCAGACGCGGGGGTCTTATCTGAAGTCGCAAGCATCAGAGCGTGGAGCTCACCGCTGCGCTCATTGAGAGCCTCTCTGCCAGTCTCAGTAGAAGCGAGACGGGGGATGAGCTTGTATGCCTTCTTGATCAGTTGTTGATCGGGGTTAGGTGACGATCCGTTGAGAATGGCAGCAGCCATGCCGAAAAGTCCGGCAAAGCTTGAGCGAGGCAGGTAGATAGACATGGCGATAACCAGATCGATCAAAGTGTGGGAAGTGGGCGGCATCTTCGCAGATGATCCCTGAGGGGCGGGTGCCTCCTTCTGCTCCTCGGTCAAGGATGACTCGAGCATTGTAATTACACGAGTGAAAGTCTCGTTGAGTTCCTGCGAAGTATCAAATTAGTCAACTGTCATTATTTAGATAAGGCTTCCGGAATGATGTCTTACCTGTTCGGGGGTAATGCTCAAATAGGCATTGATACATTGCAAAATGTATCCGCGGTGATGCGGCAGCGTCTGGCTGTAGACGTTAAACAACACAGCCAAAAGGTTACTAGCGAAGCCAGACAGGTGTTCAATGTTCTTGGTAGCAGCGGCCTTGGTGATTCGGCGCTGCAGAATCAAATCGTCTTGCTCGGCCTCGACGGAAAGAATAGCCTGGTTGGACTCGACCAGGTTCTGGAGAGCGCGGCAGACCTCGACACGCAGCTCAGTCTGTTTATAGAGAACGTTAGATAGAAGCTCGGCGAAGCTCTGGTCAAAAGCCTCAACAAGATCAAGAGGCAGTTCACAGTAGCCTGGCAGGATACCCCAAGTCTGTTGTACCAGAGTCTCGAAGATCTTCACTTCGACGGACTTCTCAGCAGCACCGAAGTCTACAATCTTCTGGTAAAGCGCCTCACTCAGAGGAACCATCTCTGAGCGGAAATGACGCAAATTTGTGTTGGTAACACTATCACGGAGAATGGGTAGCATCCAAACGCGACCGGGTTGGCCCTTCTTTTGCTCGACGATGTTCAAGGGCAGAATTTCAAGAATAGCCTCAGGGCCCATTGCCTCGATGGCACTGCTGAGAACACCATCGGCCTCCTTCTTGCCGTGGAATGACTCATTGCTGCGCAGCTCACCAACGGTTGAGACGATCTCAACAAGGAATGGGCTGGACTGCCACTTGTAGCAGTCGAACATGGCGGAGCAAACATTGAACACCTCCATCCACGCAGCCTGGTACTTCACGGAAAGCAGGTCAGCGGTCGCGTGGGCCAGCTTCTCAAGAGTCTTCTCATCGTACACAGATGGCTCGATAATGACGCTATTGGGGATACAGTTGTGCAGGAAAGAGATGAGGCACTCGGAGGCCGAGATGCGGATGTTGTGCGAGGGCGAGGCCAAAAATCCGGAGATGAGCTGGAAGAGACCCGGCAGCTTCTCGAATGTGTCTTCGGGGTTGATCTGTGCAGAAACATCATATCCGCGAGACAGGACAGCAATCCAGGGAGGGAGAAGCTGTGAGTCGTTCTGTGCGGGCTTGAGCTCGGCGATGGCGTCTAGGAGACGGGGGAGCTTGGACGAAGAGAACTCATCGGCCATACCTTCGAAGATAGCTTCGAAGACCTCGAAAGCACCCATGGTGATATACTCGTTGCTGGAGCGAGATGCATTCATCAGCAGCTCGCAAAGCGACTCAATTTTCTTACTGGGCCAGCCGCCTGATGCGGAGGCAAGGGTCTTGACCAATTGCAGGGAGTGAATAATCAGAGGCTCGTGGTTTTCGTGGCTGTTCGCATCGCGCTTTCCCTTCTTTTGCTTGGAGGCAGCTGTGATGCTGTCGCTCAGCGTCTTCATCGCAGACTCTGCGCACATATCCGCGGCCGGATGGTCCAGCGACGGGCTGGGCGGGGGTGTCTTGAGAACCTTGATCAGAGCCTCTTGGGCGCGCTTTCGCACCTTAGGACGGTGGTCAACTGACAAACTCAATAGACCAGCCGTCGCACGGCGCGGTCCAATGGCTGTGTGGGGCAGGCTCCAGGCTGCGGCATCCTGGGCGATGAGCAACGACTCAAGACAACCAATTGACGGGCGCAAGAGGGGAGCTTCAATTTCGGGGAGAGACAGCGCAGGGGCGAGACTGGTGAGAATCTGAGAAAACTTCGAACGAAGGATGGGTTCGGGGACGTAGGTGGTGGTGATATCGAGAAGGTAGACAACAGATGTGGCGAGATCCTTGTTCACGATGCCTTGCTCGGCAGAAAGGGACTGTGAGAGGAGTGCAAGGAGAGCAGCGAAGTATGCGGTCGAAGAAAAGTCGGCCTTTTGATCGCGAAGAGTGTCCTCGACTGCAGAAAGCACCACAGCGGTCTGTACGGGAGAATTGATTAGAGATGTGATTTGCGCTGCGGGCGGGTGTTAGGGTAACTTACATGGTGCTGATTCTGCAGCTTGGGAGACTTGATCTTCTCGAGCTTCTCCGCCAGAGTCGCCATAGTGACTGTGACTGTGAGGGGAGAACTTCTCGAATAGTGGCGTGCGGGGATGCAGTTCTAGCGGTGATGGAGAAAAATCCAGCGAGAAAAAAAAGGTACGGCAAGATTCTTGGCGGGTTTATCGATAAGCCTCCACTTTCCCCCCGTGGATCTACTTTACCCTACACATCTAGCCCGGTTTCCCGATGTCTTTGACTCATCGGGAAATTATTCATTCATCTTTAATATATTGCTGGTCCATCTCAATATCATCGATTATATTCAACTTTCCCATTGCATTGGATCGACAATGGCCACCTTATCCAACCTCATCAAATCCGCCTCATTGGACTTAACTCCTTATGAAGCCCTCTACAAATACTTCCATGCGCATCCTGAACTATCTCGGCAAGAGAAATCTACTTCGGAAAAGCTCGCAGCCCACCTAGCCCAATGGGATGTCTTTGACATTCACACTCACATCGGAGGCTACGGTCTTGCGGGTGTCTTTCGAAATGGTGAAGGCAAGACCATACTTCTGCGGGCAGATATGGATGCACTCCCAGTGAAAGAGCAAACGGGTCTTCCCTACGCCAGTTCCATCACCATGAGCGATGCTGAAGGGATCGAGAAACCAGTCATGCATGCCTGTGGTCATGATATGCATATTACTTGTCTACTCGCTGCGGCAGAAACGCTTGTGAAGCTGCGGGACTCATGGAGTGGGACCTTGATCGTACTATTCCAGCCAGACGAAGAGAGAGGCGGAGGTGCTCAGGCAATGGTTGATGATGGGCTGTACTCCAAAGTTCCGGTTCCAGACTATTGCCTTGGTCAGCATGTCATGAGGTTGCGGGCTGGATGCATTGGCTCGCGCTCTGGTGCAATTATGGCTGCTGCTGATAGTATGAAGATCACCGTTTTTGGCCGTGGTGGTCATGGTTCCCAACCCCATCAGACCGTGGACCCAGTTCTCCTCGCCGCACACATCGTGGTTCGACTGCAGAGTATCGTGAGCAGGGAAATTAACCCCAATGATCTGGCCGTATTGACGGTTGGGAGTCTCCAGGCTGGACAGGCAGAGAATATTATTTCTGACCGAGCCGAAATTGGCGTCGATTTCCGATCTGTTAAACTCGAGATCCGGGAACAAATCATTGCGGGAATTAGGCGTGTTGTCGAAGCTGAATGCGCAGCGAGTGGCTCGCCTAAACCACCTATTTTCACACCAACAAGACGTTTTCCTCCTACTTTGAACGATCATGAAGCTGCATCCCAAGTTGCGGCGACATTTTCCACTCACTTTGAGGATTTCGATGATGATATCCCCCGGACTAGTATTGCTGAAGATTTCTCGACTCTGGCGACCTGTCGAGGAATCCCGAGTTGTTTCTGGCTCCTTGGTGGCATTGATCAGGAACTTTGGGATAAGGCACAGGCAGAGTCTCGTACCGAAGAGATTCCAGGAAATCACTCGGCTCTTTTCGCTCCTGTCATTCAACCAACTATGAGAAGTGGAGTGGATGCGCTGTGTCTTGGTGCCTTGACTTTTCTTAGGAAATGATGGATTACATCCATGGATACCTAGGTATACTAGTAGCAGGTGAAGACCTAGGAATCCACGACTACAACAATTACCTAGGTACTAGTAGTATAATACTAAATATGAAACTCAGCTGAGCCATGAATAATAGTGATTCAGAACCTTGGAATAGATGATTCCTCTGGTATTATCTAGGTAGATTTTGGGCTCTGAACTAGTTAGTCCAATACCTTCGGATGCACCACGGCAGATATATCTGCCAGCATTTAGAGAACTAGTGCTTCATTCAGTCTACGATGAATTCCATAATGTTTTCAGTGACTCGGAACCGTCAATTCGTCAGATATTGCTATGAACTAGGATAAGAAAAAAAGAAGCCAAGTGTGAAGTAGCGTCAGCACATCAGCAAACAACTACACACCTCAGCAGCAACGGGATGCGGAGGAACAAAGGCAGAGTCAAAATGCACCAGGCTGGGGCACCTCTCGCCTCAGATATAGGTCCTTCGTATAAACCCAGGTCAATGTGCCCATGAGAGCCAACTGAGAATAGGATAGGCGTGCAAAAGCTGGGCAAAAAAAATACCGCCCGGCCATCTACCCAACACGCAAAGTTATGCTGGCAGATAGCAATTAGGAGCCATATCCCATGGAAGCCGGTGTTATCCTGTCATGGAGGTCGCCCAGCTGTTTAGTTGAAAATACGGCACAGTGGTGTTTTGTTCGGGCTTCGAGGATAAATTCAGGAGGGACTGCGCCGGCAGGAGGAGAGGGGCAGGTGGTTTAGAAGAGAATCTCGCCGCTGTGTTCGGGCTCGAATCCGAGGGCTGAGAGCTCGGTGTGTCGCTTCTTGTCGCCGGACTTGCGCTTGCTATCTTCCTGCTTCTTAAGCTCGAAAACTTCTTCGAACGGCGCCTTGGTCACGGTGGTGGGGATTTCATCTTCGCGGTCAAGGTCCTATATCCGTCGGAAAATAACACATTAGTCTCGGCTCGAGCATGAAATGACTTGCAAGAACCACATACCACTTCGCCCAGCAATAGCACGTTCTCACCGCGCACCAGGAAGATGCCGCGGGGCACATCGGCGTAGACCTTTCCTGCGTAGATGCGCTCAACGGTGTCCTGAAGCACGAGGTTTGCTGCATCATATCAATGATTGTATATGGTAAGCCAAGTGTCCTGTGTGTAGGTATTCAATGCCGCAGCAGATCGACATGTCATACCGAATTGATCCCAGCTTCGGAGCACTCCGACTAGTTTCCTTCCGTCGCGCAGTACTAGAACTAGCTTCTCTGTAAAGCGAAAGAAAGGCTTGCGCGTCAGCAAATGAAGAATTGGATGCTAGTCATGCCTTTTTCCACATACTATCTGTCAAATCCAGCAGTTGAGCGGCGGTTGTGAACATCTGAGGAGGGAGTTGTGGCGGGCCTCCGGTCGGGCCAGTCGGGCCCTGACTGGCAGATCCTAGTGCATTTTGCTGCTGGAACTGCTGCTGCTGATGAGGGTTCCGCTGCTGCGCATTGGGAGGAGTGTCGTTGCGCTCCATGATTCTGGTGGGCGGAGGTGAAGGTGGGGTGGGATATAAAAGCGAGCGTGCACTGCTTCGGTTCGGTCGGGAGTACTTTGAGAGGTAATTGTTTTCTGTTGGCGACTAGTATGATGGCGTTTTCATTCTGGTAAGGATTGAACAATCGATTTGAGGGTTGCTGCCAGCGCTGGATGTCGCAGTTGAACAAGTTCTCCGGGACGGCGATCAAGGGCGGCGGCGCGTTTGCTCTGTTTGCATTGATACCCCAGCTCGGCAGAGCGCAAGTATAAAGATTGATAGACGAATCAGCTACGCCAACTTGATAGGAGACACTCCTACCTAGGTATGAGAATCCTATTCTTCATTACCTCAAGATTGCAAACATCGAGTTCACTATTGAATTAGGTCCTGCTGTCTTGAACGCCCGGGCGGTTACGGTCCGAAACTCGAAATTCATCATGGTCTTGAAGATATATCATGATCCGAGTCCCCCCATCTGCCCACCCAGTGGCAGATGGGCAGGTGGGCAGTGCCTGTGTCAACTTCAAGTTGGAACCTCCAGCAGTTCATCCTGAATTTAGAACCTAAAGTTGGTGCTCATTGAATCCATCAAAAACTTGAGTGAGGTTTCAAATACTTTGCAAATCGATCGCTACTACCTGGTACCTACTAGAAGGTACCACTATCACTACTAGTACTTGGTAAGATCCCGAGATCTGGCACTCTTTGGAAGTTGACGAGAGTAGATTAGATAATGATGATCCTAATCCTAGGATAGTTACAGCCACTTAAAAATAGCTTTAGCCTTCCACAACGCCAGGAAACCTATGTATACAGTACATACAAACATAACAATCACCTATCCGAACGCCATGGGTATCATAAAGAGAGTAACACAAGACAGATCAAACAGTCAAGAAAAAGAGAGAAAAAAAAGCAAGCCTCCCCCCCGAAAAAAGCCCACGCAGACACAGACCAGCCTCAACAAATCACACGCGCAAATTCTAGTCCGCGATAAAATCTCACGAGAACAGGGAATGAGACCGAGCAAGGAAACAGCTGCAGAGCCACCCAAGCCAAGCCAGACCAGACCAGACCAGCCACGCCCCAGGAAAACCAACCCAAATGCTCGATACACTTAGCATGTAGGTAGGTACCTGAGCCCTGAGCCCCGAGCCCCGAGCCCCGAGCCCCGAGCCCCGAGCCCCGAGCCCCGACCATACCAGACCAGACCAGGACCGAGGCTGAGATTGCGGCCGAGTTCATGCAAGCCACGCAGCAGACAAGAGACAGACAGCAGGAGTAGCAGCAGGAGCAAGTCTACGGCTGAAACCGCAGGCGAAACTGACGCCCCCGTCGCTCTTCGCGGACGGTATACAGAAATCGAGCAATGCTCTCCTGTTCCGACATGCCGGCGCTGTTGAAGTGCTTCCGCACGACGAGCGCAAACTGGTCTTTGCTGACGCGGTCTTGTCCGGTGATTTTGTGCAGCGGGGCGTCATCGCTGGATGTGCCATCGCGCGAGGTGTGATTTGATTTATCTCGATTGGAGGAGGAAGGCTGGGACTGCGCGCGGCGGGCGGCGAGTGCTGTTGGCGAGCGCAGGCCGATTCCCTGCGACAGGACGATTCGGGAGTAATCGTTTGAGTAGGCGCTTGGTGTGGAGAGTTTGTGGGCGTGCCGATAGGAGTGGAGGATTTCGAGAGGAAGGTCGGACCAAGGGACCTGTCATTCACAAGAAAGCTCAGGTTAGCAATGCTGACTTCAGTCGCTGGGGTGGAAAACGGAGGGGGGTTTTTTTTTCTCTTGTGACAGGTACTTGCGGCCCTCTGGGGTAGGTCTGGATTGGATTCGATCGACTGACGTCGTTTTCGTTTCCTGTTCCCATAAAAGTTCTGCATGGTACATACCCTTGGCTGTTCGTCTGCGACGTCGGCGTTGGCCGGTGCACTGGTCACGGGTGCTTTGTCCTTGTTTGCTCCTGTCTTGCGTTTATTCGTGGCCGTTTTGTTGAACTCTCGCGTGCCGCTTGAAGCTTCGGACCTGGAGTCGTCCACGATTGCGGTGGTACGTTGGCGCGGAGGGGCCATGGTTTGAGCGCGGCCCGATGGGAGGGCAGTCAAATGTGGATATTGGGGTTCAATGGATGAAGATGAAGCTCTGGATGCGAATTTATGGCCAGAATTTACAGGCTAATGAGGACGATAGCTGTTCACGGCGCTGAACTCGACCGCCATCCATTCTCCGCCACGAGGCGGAGATGGATGGCAGAATCATATCGGCCGGACAATGTTCCGATCCCATGTCATAGTACAGGAGGCAGTGATGATAAGGGAACTAGTGGGCGCAACCCTTTAGGAATGAATTGCCAATGACTTGGAGATACTGCATGTAGAGACTGATGCAGATCTGAAAGTATCGCATATGAAAATTGCAATGGTGCAACAATAGTCTCAGTCTCAGTGTGGGCTGATGCTCAATTGGGAATTGTAGACTATGGGATCAAACAAGCCAAATATTTTATGGATCTCCACAACTTGCCTCCCACAGACATAATGCAACCCGGAGACTCACCGCTCCATGCGGAGAATCGTTCTGGACAAGGAAACCTCCGCAAGTCGGATAAAGGGGGCAAAGAAAAAAAAAGTGCGGAAGCCGGCCGTCGGATCACCGACGCCGCGCTTTTCCGAGTGGGGGAGCCTGGAGGGCATTCCAAGAGGGGGAGGGGGTAGAGAAGGGGGGGGGCGCGCAATGGGCAATGGGGCAGAAAATACCTTTCGGGGTGGCACGGTGTACGCGAGAGGACGTACGTTAGCCCAGGTCAAGCCCAAATCCTTAGCTAATGGATTATACGGAGTACTCCAACACGGCTCCAAAATTTCCCCAGAGGACAAAACCTCCGATGTGGCCAGCAAACCCGAGCCTCGGAAGAATTTCGGTAGATGGGCGAATGTAGGGCGGGAAGACTTCCGAGGTGCCAGGGCAAGGCTAAAGGGGGAACCTTTAGGAAGGGGGCGAAGTGTGGGGGAAAGCGCAAAGAAGAAGGTAGGAACATTGTACTCCGGGTAATGATAATAATTAAAATGAAAATACTACTCCATACGGAGTCAAGAGAGGCAAAAACCACCTAGCCAAGGAGAACCGGGCTCACAAGCACGACCCCAAGTCCACCTTGTCCTAAATAGGCCAACTCGCAAATTTGTACTGGACCGAGTCGGCACGGCAATGCCGAGTGTTGTGCCCGAGTTGAATCGGGCCCGCGGCTCCAGACACGGGAACGCTGGGTTGGGGGAGAACAAGAAAAAAATCTCAGCACCGGAAGTCTCCCGTAGACAACACACCGGCGCCCCCCTTTCCAGGTTCTCGATAGTCCTCTTTACCCCGTACAGGTCTTCCCCCGAAGTGAAAATTTTTCATGCTATGGGGAGCAATCGCGTCTCATGGGTGGACAGTCGCGCGATCTGCAATAGTATCCGCGATCCGTGGGATAGTCCGGCATACTTACCTGAGAATGAACCAATGCGCACAAAAGAACAGCCTCCTATATCATCGTGGAGACAGACAAAGCCACACTAAGCCCCGCACCGCGACGCTGGAACGACTGGGCCTTGCCGTAACAGGCGAAAAAAAAATGGAGTATGGCACAATGCCCCTCCAGCTGGACGTGCTCCGACTTCACCCGATGACATGCCTTCGTCTTCCCCAGCCCTATGGACGGCTTTGATGGGCTGATGCTGAACTTGGGACTCGGTGAGCCCAGGCCTCGAGAAGGTGCGGTACCTGCAGGAGACCGTTCTAGCTGGCTTCGAGATGCGTTCATACAGTAATCCATTAAGGCAGGTCCCCCATTTAGTCTGGGATTAGCGTGGTTCAGTGTGTGAAGGGTCTCTGTGTGCCGGTTTCAGCTGTCCTAACTACACCAAGTACCCATTGGGTTGGTCAATAGCTGGATTCGGATTGACCGGCCCGGTTGGACTCCATACATACCCCCGTCGAGCAGATCTTGCGAGCTTCGGCGGATAGATATTTTCAGGTGACGGCGACGATCAGGTACCAGGTGTGTACATATCCGATTTGTGCCTCAATTTGGTTTTTTCACAGCCGGGCCGACAAATTGCTGGATGGATGGGCATGGGGGCCGAAGCCGAGGCTGATTGGGGGTGTGCAAAGGGGGTACAGCTATCAGATGTATCTGATCCGTATCCAGAGATCATCCGGACTATGTACAATCACGAGCAGCTGGCAGATGAGGCCACTGATGACAGCATCGCGATAAGACCCATCTTCACATGTGAAGATCGTACCTATGGTAGGGAGCTATCGATCTGGCTTGTGAATAGCGGCCGGGGCCAGACCCAGCGAATGAATGAATGATGTGCGTGTCGCCTACATACTGTCGAGAGACTTCATGGCATGCAACACGTGAAAGAGACATTGGCCAGCATAGCATTCATCCTCACACAATGGAGTCATTGTCTGGAACCATGTGGTCGGCTTGGTCTGGGGCAAAGCGAACCGCTCTTCCTCTTAGCCCCTTTAGTCTGTTATCTCCTTTCCCCGCCACGGAGACAACTACCCCGGGGGCAGCTGCCTTGGAAATCCCGTGGCCGCGGAGAGAAGCCTAGAGATAAGCCAAGCGAGGGATGTAGTCTGAGCACAGGAGGGAATTCCCCTTGCAGTGTCGCGGGCACTTCTTTTTTCCCCGGTGGGTAGCACTACTCAATTCGGGCGCAACAGTGGATGAAGTATGGGGTAAGAGAAAATCACTCAGTGGTGGAGTGCCCTAGAGACAAGAGGGAAAAAGGGAAAGAAGGGGAGGGGGGGAAGTGTGGACACCACATTGTACGGGCCTCACCGAGAACTGGGATAGGTGGTGCGGGCCAGCATCCACCCCCTCTTTTGTTTGAATTTTCTCCATTATGGAGTTCGCCGACAACGATGACAACAAGTTGCCATGTACCGTTCACACTTGCTGATTTGAGTAGGTCCAGCATGTCAAAGCGAAAACGAAAGCGTTATCAATACACATTTATCATTATCCTTCTGTTGTGATTTGTCCCCCCGGAGAATCAGATCGAGACCGGAGTCCGGCCCCGCATGGGGGCGGATGGGATGATATCAACATGATGGCTTTGCGGAATATGATTGGCTACCAGGGTGTATGTTCCAGAAGCTGTGGATCGCAGATCGCTCGCCTTGGCGGACGTGGCCCGGTAGGCAAAAAGTGCGTGCACATAGGTGAAAAGGACACTTCCGTATCTCTTAGGTAAAGGTTGCACTGGTGGGAGAGTAATTGGATCCGAGGAATGCGAACCAAACCTTCCCCGGATTTCAGGGGCCCCGCATTAAGACCTGCCAAGCGCGACAATGTTACCCTCGATGGGTTGATAACTTTGACCTAGAAACAGAGAAAGTGTGTGTGACTAACATTGTTGCATTATTTTTTTCAAAGATTAAGATTTCAGAATTCCTTTTGGGGGAACGGGGGGGATTTTCCACAATCTCTGACGAGGATTCTCCGCAAATGCCAAGTCAAATAAACATAGATAAAATAATCTAGTAAAAATATTAAGTAAAAGGGAAAATAAAAAAGTGGCTCCTGAAAATGCGTCGTCGATCGTGGCTCCTCCTCCTCCTCCTTCTCCTCCCCCACCCCCACCATGCTTCTGCGACAGGAGTCTCTGCGTCTTGGATTGTGAACTTGAGACTCGTGCCCATAGCGCTGCGCTTGGTGAAGTTTCAGCGCCAGGCAGCAGAAACAGGGCGATTGGAAATGGAACGCGGACGAACCCCCGACCCCGGTCCTCGTCGAACCCGGAGGGCTATCAGGGTATAGGCTAGAAGATACTGAAGGCTAAACCACTAAGATGTTGAATGCTGAATGATGAACGCTGAAAGGGCGAGCACGTCATGACTGATGCCTGTCGCAAGGGGGCTGCAGCGAGGGCTGACAGGACAGACATAGGTGTCCAGACCGTGTCGGTGCATACCAGATTCTTTTGTCTTCAGCTGAGCTCGAGCACCCTGCTGGCAGCCAGGATCGGAGTCTATCTCATTCCATCTGACTATCCAATGCGACGCAGAGGAAGGAGGCCATAGTTCTCACAACGTAGGTGGAGGTCCCTTTTGGGGCCAGCCTTGACTAAGAATATCGCGTATTGGTATCGGGCACAACTGAGTTGCGAGCGAGTCGGAGGCTCGGCGTTTTCCTCTTTCGTCCTTTTTTTTTTCTCGATTCCCACTTTCCTTTTTTTTTGGCTTTTGATTGTTCGGTTGGTTTCCGCTTCATTCTTCTCATGGGTCCATCCAATCGTCACCAGAGCTGGGGTTCCTTTAGCGCTGATAACACCGTATGATCGACCATTGGACCGCCGTGTTGGGGCTGAGATTTACCCGGTCCGGGGAAAGCGAGTCTAAAAAATTGGCGACACTTGTCCCCCAGAATAATGGCTACTGAATATGGCGTGATGTGGGCTTGTGGGTGAGGAAGAAACTGATTTTTCATTTTCATTGCTGATGATGCGTAATCTCTGACCGTTGCGGCGATGTCGGACATGGAAGGAGGCCTATCACTTGCAGAGATCAATGACGATCGCGGCATGTGCTAGCGGGTGCGCGGACAACGCTTGCGAGACAACCCCTGCTGCATTGCGGTAAGTGAGTTCCTTTGAGTCGTACATCCTCGCCATAGGGTAGATTCTAAGACCATTTGTACGTTGATCAGCAGATAGACAACATTTTTTCTTTCTTTTTGGCTTGTGGTATACAAAACCCTGAAGATTGGAGATTGCGGGGTATCTCTGACTCAGAGCTATCGAAGATCATCGGGTACATCCTCCCAAACTCTGCTGATCATTCCGGAGATTTCTGTGCTGCGATAGGGTGGTGATTGACCGCTGGAAGGGAACACGACACACCCTTTTCCCTTTCCCGCCAACCATCCCAAAAGGTATGTCGCCGGATGCGGCGACTATGAAGGTACTCCAACAGATTGTCTCTGTAGGTATGTCCCCCCCCCCCACGCTCTACTGATTATAGTGTGGGTAGCGGTGCCGATCCTTGGAATCGCGGGGAGAAGGATCTTCTTGAAAATTCTGACAAGATGACCCAGCTTGGGAAAGTAAAACGAGAGTTGCTCCATCACATCATGGATAGGCACGGAAGTCAGCTTCCGATCTGCCAGATTCCGCTGGAGTTCCCATCCATCCACTTGAGGACTGCAATCTGACGCTGACCACAGGCAAGGCATTATGTATCTACGGAGTACTTGAATCGAATCGGATCGACTCGACCTGAGTCGACTCGTCAGCTGAAACCGCATATTGCCCCCTGCCAGGTAGAGAATGACAGGTAGTGTTTCACGCCGTGGCTGTCGGCAAAAAGCGGGTAATAGTACGTGGTCAGAGTAGTGTGTATGTATTATGTAACTAGTGAGTGGTACCTCCGTCTTCTACTCCGTACCTGCTTTGCAAAGGCCCCTCCACAATTCCCCCCATTCATCACAAATAGCCCCCCCTGCAGATCGGGGGTATCGGGGCGCCGAGTCCGGAAGTTCTCCAGGGATCACGCTATTCCCCCGTGGAGTGGCAGTGTTACGAAACGGGAATTCGTCGGCGTTGTGGATCATGGCTTGGTCTCAATTTGGCCTCTTCAACCAGACGGGACAAAGTACCCCGGCCGGCAATCGATCCGGCATCCCCTCGAGACGAGCGATCAGTCGCCGCCTATTGAACCAGTTCGGGGTATGGTACTCCGTATAGACCACGGGGAGAAAATATCCCACGGGTCTTATCTTCTCATTGTTCAGTGGTATGGGAGGATCTCATTATCTCCACGGTCTGGTTCCCCAGACTCCATAGGCCGAGTTTACCCAGAGCCAGAGCCGGAAATCTGCCGAAGCTGGGGAAAGAAAAAAGCCAAATGGCCACTACAATTGTATTTGCGTATCTTTGATCGCCGAGGCGAGCTGAATCGCCTCACTCACCTAAATTCATGACCCTTGGAGGATCTGCGATTAGTAGCCAGCCCCTTGAGCTCGGGAACATGCAGCTAGCCCACCGCCCTAGTTCGCGAATCGCAAATACCAGAAAGGAAAGGGGGCAAGAGGCTTGTTGGCGGCCACCGCGGCACCTCCATGAACCAGCACGATGGTCGACAAGAGGTGGAATTCGAGACTTCGCTAATTACCCATTTTGGGGTCCAATTTAGGGGAGACTGACAAGATAATGAGCAATTATTGCACCAACCAGATAGACCGACACGGTCACATGGCGGCTGAACGGGAGGGTCTTGCCGAGCAGCGTATCTTTCTTTATCCCCCAGTCCTCCGCTGGTGGCGCGATCGCGGGGCGGTTATCATCAGTCCATTCGGGAAATGGTGTTCCTCATCGGGGTCAAACCCGGGTATCCTTGGCTAGTCGGATATGTGAGGCAAAGTTCTCGGGGGAAGCTCCGTTTGCCCCCCAGATGAACAAAAGACTCCAGATTCACAAAAGTCTGGAGTCTGGAGTCCGGAGTCCGGAGAGTCTGGAGTGTAGACTCTGGAGAGCATGAACCTGTACCACAGATACGCCACCCAATTTCCGAATGCGCAAGTGTGATTGTCATGTGCAGGGAAGACAGAGTGACGAATTGACATCTGGACGGATTTGCGGCTGGAGGGTGCATCCTTTCCTCATTGGCCGATTTACGCCTATCAGCTATCTGTCAAGGAGATGATGGTCCATGCTGGCGCTGCGGTGCCTCCGAATCTGGGGTACTCTTCTCTCTGCCCGTACGGAGTGCTCCGTATTATGGTTCATCGCTATCTAGTTTTAATTTTTGCGACCAAAGGCCAAATCGTAGGGTATCTATGCCCAGTATTTGATTTGATGGGCTTCACGAGGGAGTTTCCCTCTGGTCACTTGCAAGCCCCGGGTTATTTTCGTAGCCTCCGTCTGTATGACCTCTCCATTCCTCCCATGACTAAATCATGCTCAAATTATGTATCATGCGTCGACATCATCGATGATCCTTGCCCTCGTCACAGCCCTAGATCTCCTCTCCCTGGCATTAATTCGGTTGGTATAGTTTTTCCTTTTTTAACTCTCAAGGTTTTCCCCGTTCCACAATGGAGAATGGGGGAAGACACACCCGTACCCCAGGTCTCAACTAGAAAGCCTCCGTCGCCCCGGCCGGGGGAGGGACACTTTGCCACTAGATCGTATCAACGATCGTAAAAACATCATCGTTTATCATTCTCAAATCATAGATTGTGCCATCGATGAGACCATCGACCATCGACTGTCGACCATAGGGTCAGGGATCATCATGGGCCAGACTAGTCTTTCTAGCATTCCTGGCGTTCCTCCTTGGTCACCCCAGATAAGCCCGCATTCTCCAGATGCGCGATAGCCGGAAGAGTGCGGACGTGGAGCGGACAGGACAGTGTGGGCAGCGTGGGCAGTGTAGGCAGTGGACAGTGGAAGTGGAAGTAAGGCCACGCACTCACGCCACACGGAGGAGGGTTTCTTCACATCAGGTAATCAAAAAGGACCTTTCGGGTGTCCCCACACTGGCGTACTTCGGGGTTTCCTTGGGGGTTTTTTTGTTGCCTTTTTTTTCTGTCTTTTTTTATTTCCCCTTCAATTCTTTTGGGGAATAAAATTTGAATTTTTTTCTTTCTTTTTTTTTTACGTTCTCCCACACTTGTCTCCCCTTACCCTTTTAGGGTTCCACCCTTTCCTTGTCTTCCTATCTTCCCCAGAGTAACAGTTGATTATTTGATTGTCAATACCTGAATTTGAAGATATAGATATCAAGATAGAGGTAATAGAGGTCATTCACTATAGCGAGTAATGTATACTCCAAAGTCCAAAGGGAAGCAAAAGCCCGGTCCATTCCTTCAGTCGATCTACCGCACGTTGTCCGCTCTTTTCGGCCATTTCCCGTCCTTTTTTCATTTTTCTTAGTCAATCCTTTCCCTTTCAGGATTTAAATTCTGATTTATTATTTTTTTCTTTCCTTTTTCCGGTCGAATTCTGAATTTTTGATTTTTGATTTTTCTTGCCCCCAGAGAGAGAGAGAGAATACTCTCGTAGTAGCAGTCTGTTCTGCTCTGCTCTGCTCCTGCTTGTTCCCCCACAACTCAACCTTGTTACGATCCGATAAGTCTTGAATTTTATTGGGATTTTATTATTCTTTTTTTCTTTTTTCATTTTCATTTTTTTTTTTCACCGATTCCGACTCCCTTCTCCCCGATTTCTCCCTTTCCCTTTTTCCCCCTCCATTCCTCATACTTCCCCCTCCCTTTATTACCTCCTGCTCCCCAGATCGTCATCTCCAGATTTTTTTTCCCTTTCCTCCTTCTCGCACACACCCCCATACTCTTTCCGATCTTTTTTAGTCTTCCCAACTTGAGACTAGAAATTATACAATTCCCCAAGAAACAATCTTCAAGATTTACACTCGATCCTCCTGATCGACCTCTATCGACCCCTCTCCATCTCGGGTGTTGATCGACCGGACGATTTTAGCTCCAAGTCACACTCTCTCGCACTTTACTTCCCCCCCATCTTCCCCCTGCGCGGTGATAAATCACACCCCCGGTCAACTCCTTTCCACCTCGGCAATCTATCTTTTTTTATTTCCCTTTGCCTGGCCCTTTTTTCGGATCTGCTTGACCCCCGGCTTTAAATCCGGTCTCGTCCCACTGCAGATTTCACATGCCGCCTCCCGTCTCTTCAGTGGGTTTCTCCAATCTACTGAATCCTCAAGAATCAACCACTCCGACTTCTGCTCCTATTTCTCCTCACGGAGAATCTGATTCTTCAATGGCTTCTTCCGTCAGTCTTTTGCCGCCTCTTATGAAGGGTGCTCGTCCGGCCGAGGAGGTGCGCCAGGATCTACCCCGGCCCTATAAATGTCCTCTCTGCGACCGGGCCTTCCACCGCTTGGAGCATCAAACTCGTCATATCCGGACGCACACCGGCGAGAAGCCTCATGCCTGCCAGTTCCCCGGTTGTACGAAGCGCTTCAGCCGTTCCGACGAACTCACTCGCCATTCGCGCATTCACAATAATCCCAACTCTCGTCGCAGCAACAAGGCTCAGCACCTCGCGGCGGCCGCGGCCGCTGCTGCTGGTCAAGATGCTGCTATGGTCAATGCTGCCAACATGATGCCCCCTCCCAGCAAGCCTATCACTCGCTCCGCGCCAGTTTCCCAGGTTGGCTCCCCAGATGTGTCTCCCCCTCACTCTTTCTCCAACTATGCCAATCAAATGCGCTCCAACTTGGGTCCTTACTCGCGTAACAACGACCGCGCCTCCTCTGGAATGGACATCAACTTGCTGGCAACTGCAGCTTCGCAGGTGGAACGGGATGACCACCTGGGCTATCACTCCGGATCGCGTCATCAAATTTTCGGCTCGCGCCATCACACTGGCCGTGGCCTACCTTCGCTCTCCGCCTACGCTATCTCGCAAAATATGACTCGTTCGCACTCCAATGAGGATGATGATAACTATGGCGGACACCGCGTCAAGCGTTCGCGACCCAACTCTCCCAACTCTACTGCACCATCATCCCCAACATTCTCTCACGATTCGCTTTCTCCTACTCCTGATCACACTCCTCTGGCAACCCCCGCACACTCACCTCGCCTGCGTCCCTTAGGCGCCAACGAGCTTCACTTGCCTTCAATCCGCCACCTGTCCTTGCAACATACTCCCGCTCTGGCCCCCATGGAGCCGCAACCCGAAGGACCAAACTACTATAGTCCCAGTCAGGGTCACATGGGTCCCACTATCTCCGACATTATGTCAAAACCCGATGGTACCCAGCGCAAGCTGCCAGTGCCGCAGGTGCCCAAGGTTGCCGTGCAGGACATGCTCAACCCGGCCAGCGGATTCACATCCATGTCGTCCTCAACGAACAACTCCGTCGCTGGAAACGACTTGGCTGAGCGGTTCTAAGAGGAAACCTTCCACCAAAAAAGACAAAAAATCACTCCTCCTCTTCTCTCTCATGTCTCCTCAAAATCTCCGTCATGCGCGCTACGAAACGATATAGACTTTGTGCATTTTCTTCCTGGATTGCAGGCATCAACGGTGTCGGATGGATCGGTTTTTTATATTATTTTCTCTGCTCTCTCTTATTCTTTTCTCATTTTCATTTACCTGCGAAAGGCGCTGTAACCAATAGACGGATCGGGATATTTCTGTGGCTTTTTCTCTTCTCCGAGTCCAAAACTTTGTCGTTCTGACTTCTTCACCTTTGCGATTCTCCTCTCCGAGGCCTGCGGTCTCTATTCAATTCTTGATCACTATCTTTACTATCTCTCTAATATTTGCTTACCCTTGAGGGAAATCAAAATTGAAAAAAAAAAAAATCTTTATAAACTACTCTTCTCTGGCTCTCGACTTTTGTAATTGTGTATGAAGTATTCTTCTGTCCTCTCCCTCCATTTTATCAATTAGGGTTCATTCGAATATCCACGAGTGGAGACTGCGAAATATTGAACGGAACCAGCCACGGAACGTCCCATACAATTAGATTCATTACAATTAATTAATATAGATAAACTTGTGCTAGTAGATATTTTGTCTAAGAATTCCTCAGTATCTAGGTACTTCTTACAACCACCAAGCCAATCCCAAACCGTCACGACAAAATCATGCCATGCCATTTCTCCACCCCACCACCCTATAGGATTGACCCTGCCCACTGGCAGTCTTCAAGAACCACCTTGGCCCAACAAATAACACTTCACTTAGGTAGTCAACTACTGCACTGCCCAAACGTTAGCCCCCGACCACCCCCGCTCTCCCTCCAACGTTCCTAGCGCGAAAAAAAAATGCCCTACATGTTTCAAGAACACAAAATATTATTCCTCTCCCCTTCCCCCGCCCTTCTTCTTCCATTCTGCGTGAAATGATAGTCCAATGCTAGTCCGCATTCCCCACTCCTTTACAATGACTGTCGACGCTTAATCATACTCCGTGCACCCTGGGCATATACTGTACCCAGAGGAGGTTCTACTACCTCAGTTAGAACCCACCGGCCACCCACGTATGTGCACACTTGCACCGGTGCAGCACGGCACTGCACTGCAACCCGGGCCAGGCCGGCAACTAATGTAAAATGTCATGCATGCTGACACTTTCGCAAAGGTACGCGATTGCAGAGGATTTCGGCGATCATTTTCAACCTTTTTCAATAGTAGTTGGGATTGGATTGGAACGGAACGGATCGTGAGCGTGAGCGCTGAATATCCATTCGTATACATCGGGCTGCTTTCTTTTCCATTTGTATGTGTATCATGATACTGAGTCCCCTTTTTCCAACTTCTTCCTTCACTGCCCGTCTGCTTTTCTTGATATCTGATATCACCACTCTTCCCTCCCTTGGCGCATACCCCCATCTCGCGCACGATCCGGCCCTCTAGTAAGGCTGTACCTGCACCTATTTCGTTCTCGGGATGTACTCTAGAACTAGTGATGGGCAACAGCCTTGCAAGAGAGTCTGGGTGTGTCCGATGACTGAAGTGGACTGTGTTTCCCCGCCATCGGCCGTGCGGAGTATATCGGAGCCTGCGCTTAAGCCCCAGCACGTCTTCGCCGTATCTGCTCTTTGCTTTCCCGTCTGACTGATGAAACAGACATACTAATCAACTCGTCGGCAGAACATCCAAGGAGATAATCTTCTCTTCCCCACCCACCCCACGGCCCCCCCGTTGCAACAAGCAAGCGATTAAAGAAAGCCAGAGTCGAATGAGCAGGAGGGGAAGCGGAGGAAGAGATAAAGGGACCTTTGGAAGGTAGGGGAAAAAGAAAGAAAAAAGCAAATAAAACGCAAGAAAGAAAATAAAAAAGAGACGAGACGAGACGAGACCCCGCCCCAGTCTCCGCTCCGGCATGCCGTCTTTCTCCCCCTCCATCCCGGGCTTGATCAGCGGTGACTCCTCGTCGATCTCATCGTTCGGTACAAACACCACTTCCAGCGAAGCGGCCGGCTCAGCTCGAGACCGTGACCGAGACGACCATGAGTTCGGAGGTCCGGTAGGAAGGGAAACGCAGGCCCGCCGTCAGAATCAGAATCAGAATCAGCGCCAGCAACATCGACAGCGCCAGAGTATCGACAGAGAGAGGCTTGTGACCGTCACATCGAATATATCAGCGCCAGCGGGGTCTCGCGGTACTAGTACCCGCGCAGCGCGGTCTGCGACTTCAGGATCGCATACATCTTCGTCGTGGAGTATTACTGCGCCATCCATATCCTCCGCCGGACTATCGGTACCTGCCCATATCGGAGACGCAGATATAAACGGCGAGGAAGGAAATGGACTTGGACTCGGACTCGGACACGCAGCAGATGCAGATGCTCCAGATCGTATCTACACATGTCTCTTCCACATGCTCGACTGCCACGAGTCCTTCTCCTCCGAGAATAACTGGACAACCCACGTCCTAAGCCACTTCCGCACCCACCCACCCCCGCAAACAGCGCGATGCCCGCTCTGCCCAAACAAGTTCGTAGACGGACACCCTCACCCACTCTCCTCGCCAGCCCCGGGCCCCGACGAAGAAGACGCGGAACCAGAAGACGTGGGGAATGATGCGAACTTGAAAACCCCACCCCCGTCATCCCCGCGAACCTCAATCCGCCGCGTCGACTCAGGAACAGACGTCCGACCCGACGGGCCCTACACCCGAATCGACCACGAAATCACCGGCAGCCTCACCACCCGCGAAAGCGCAGGCACAGCCTGGCCCGACCTTCTCACCCATGTAGCCGCGCACTACCGCGCCGGCCAAACGCTCGCCGGCAGCCGCGCCGACTTCGAGCTCATGCGCTACTTGTACGGGCGGCGGATCATCTCCGACGCCCAGTTTAAGGCTATGCAGCTTGCGCCTGCGCCGTCGAGTCCGGCGTATCATGCTTCGCAGGATGGGGTTAGGGCTAGTATTGGATCGTCGGATGAGCCGTATTGTGCGCCTTATAGTCGGCGGAGGGAGGAGAGGTTGAGGGGACAGCACAAGGGTGTTGGGGCTGTTTGAGGGTTGTTGGTTGTTGGTGAATTAAAATGTTGGATGATTGGATCGGATTGTTTGTCGTGTTTTTGTCGTTTGGTTGATATTCCCCCTGTTCGTATTTGGTTTGTGCCGTGTCGTGTTGTGTCGCTTCGGTTTCATTTTCTTATGCTCGTTGTGCTTGTGTAGGTTGCTGTTTGGCCTTTTTGGTCGTGGGCGATTCGTAGCTGTATTATCGTTTGTCGTTTGTCGTTTGATTCGGCTGGTCGTTTGTCGAGAAGGTGAAGTTTCTCGCCGGTGCTGGATACAACATGAATATGGCTTTGCAGGTTTTGTCGAAGAGAAATTGAAGGCTGTCCGCTTTTTGATTAGAACCTGAAAGGGGAATGGTGATGCACTGCATTGTTGGATATTGACATACTAGTACTGTAATGGTGGACTAGCTGGCTTCGAGTTCAACCTTGAAAAATGCGACGACATTTTTGCTGTAAATCTGCCGCTGCTGCAGCCGCGTCGAAGGACATTTGATACCCCGGTTGACAGTCTTAAAAAGACCAACACCGCAGCCAGAAGTATTGTAGTCCCAAATTCCGAGTCGTAATTTTATCCTGACCTCTGGTTTATGACGAGAGTTGCTGGACGGGGAGCAAAAAAACCAAAATCAAATCTTCAGGGAAGGGGACAAAATTAACACGGCTGCACCGACCGAGGGCACAACGATGGCCATTGCGTTGAGAGGGTTTTATATATCGATAATTAGCTGTTATGGAAGGGGAGTGAAGCCAAGGAATGCGCATGGATGGAATTCGAAAAAGAAAATGAGCCAAGAAACCGAGAAATTGATAGATCGAATCTCATCCCTTCCCCTCCTCCCCTCTCCCCTCCCACCCCGCCATCGGTTAATCTTGTTGATTCCTGGACTCCACAATGAGAGACAGGTGAATGATGAGTAGTTGGATGGATGTTGAGTTTTTGCTTTTCACTTTGGTTTGCTTGTTGTCAATTGACGAAGGGATTGTTGACTGTGTTTCAAGTTGTCATGGTAGGTTGATTCGCTCCATGGCGTATCTTGGTGCTTCCCTGAGTGTCTGCTGGACCCTTCTCTCCCTTCGAAAGCTGAGCTTTAACACTTGCGCGGGGAAAGTTGGAAGCCCCACATGAGTGAGTACACAGAATGAACAGCATTACACCAAGAGAGCTTGGGGAATGCCGATGGATGGCTATTCTTGCTGTTGCTGCTTTTGGTGTCACCTCGGAGTGTTTCCTTTAATCTCCGTACATGGCACTGCAATTAGCCTTATGATTTACGCCGTCATAGTTAGGGGCTAGACCGTCGAGAAGTTGATACACGTTGTACGATTTTGGAATTCCTCGCTACTACCATAGTGCATCCAATTGACAGCATCGTCCTTTTCTTTCTCCCTTCCACACTGCCATGACACGACCTTCAGTAAGCACGTGAAAATGTTACCCCAGGTTCCAGCCAGATCACTCTGCACGCTAGTAAATCAGACTAATTTTCTCGTATGACCTTTTGGGCCTTTTCTATCCAATCGGGAGGGGCTCATACCCCAGGGGGTGCGTAGCTGCGGAGGTGGTTGACCGGCTACCTTGGGCCATCAATTTGCCTGGGCCTATACTAGTATGTAGTAGTAAACAGTAGCTATATTTTCAGATATCTTTATTGGTTACGGGTCCTCAACAACCAGCAGCAGCATTGGGAAAAGCCAGGTTGTATCAAATCTAGTCGGCCATTAGCAATTCTTGGAATTGAGAAGGCCCTTTCGTACTAGATCAGAAGGTATTTTCCCCGTGAACTACAACTCAGTATACTACCTTTTCAATAATATTATATACGTATGCCACAGATGTGGTTAGTGTTCTATCAAGCTCTCGACATAACCCCCGCGTCAAGTTCCGGTCTTGGAGAGAAGTTTATCATTCCAAGTTCCCTTTCAAGCCTGAAAGTTCAACTTAAAGTTGATAGGAAAATATCTCGGTACGAAGCTACCTAATATCATGATGCAAACTAGAAACCGGAATACCCAGGAGCCCACCAAGCCACATAGTAGTATTGCTGCGTAAAGCAACAGCCTTTCATTGTGTTGTACCATCGCAGACCTCGGGATATCAACACATCGTTTCCATCTCTCTAAAAGTACCCCCTTGAAATTCCGTCTTCCGGAACCTCGCTGATCCTCCCAAAAACTGCAATCGTTCTATCATGCCCTCACTCATCGCCTCATCTTGCTCATCAGGATGAGTCAAGATAACTGCCTTTTCTCCTCTTTCATCGTATAATCTCTTCACAAAGTCATAGTTGGATTCCGAGCAAGAAATCGCATTTTCAACCACCATACCCATGTGTCTACATCGTTCCAAAGGATATGGATTCGATAACAAATCGTCCGACACAGGAAGTTCCCGCAGCTCTGATCGTAGGAAGGACGCCAACTGGCCATCTATACAGGCCTGATGAAGGCCCATCTCATCTCCACCCCGGGCGAAGAACTCCGCGTACATTTGTCGGAGAGCCATTCGCTCCCGCGGCGTCTGGCATTTGTCGAACCCATAGTCTAAAGCGGCAGCCTGCATCGGATTTGCCATCGGGAGTCTAGTAAAGCGCTTTAATTCCCAAACACTTTGGTACCAGGTTCCCACGGCCTTCATGAGGTGGTTGAAATTGCGCAGCTCTGCGATTGCGTGTCCAAGACCGTAATGCTCGAATAGACCGACCATATCGGACCGTTCCATGGCCTTCCAAAATTCTTGAAATTTGCACCTGTCGATAAGCATCCTGTAGAGGGTTGCGAGCATGTTAATACCCCGATTGTCTCGGGCTGTGCAGAAACCAAGCAAAATCCAGTTGTCTTCGTCTGCGTCTGGAACGAATCCGTTCAGGATTTGATAGAAGAATACGTATGTCTCCAGTTTCTCCCGCGGCTCCCACTGATCAAATGGGATTTTGCGATCTCGTGGCTCGACTAGATGAAGTTGCGATTTGAAATTCTCTTCTATCTCATATTCTGCGCCGGTAGCGAATCCCTCCTGCTGATGTAGCCAACGCATATCTCGTTGGAGTGCAGAAGAAGGTATCTGGGAGCCGCGGAAGAGGAGAAATTCCTTCAGTTTGTTGCTTCGCCATGCTTCTCGAAGTTCATCTTCGGTTACTCCATGAACATTTACTAGTTGGCAATATATGTGGAAAATTCGTCTCCGGCCGTTGGAGGATGCGAAGTATAGAAAGCCAAAGGCCTTTGCTACAAGGTCATCTGTTGGGAACTCTTCTCGTTGGCACGCCAGAATGAAGTCATCCGCCTGGTCTAAGGGTCTTCCGAGCCTGCAGGAATATTTGTGCTCTAGCCAGTGCAGGTTTTGGCAGATTTTGCTGCAGTATGATGTCGTGTCACATTTTGAGCAGGAGGTCAGTGGATCTGCTGTGGTATGACACTGGGCGCAAGGACTGGGTGGCAACTGGGGTCCGATTAACTCTAGAGTTTCTGTATTGTCTTCTTCAGGGATATCATTCGTCTGATTGCGGTCGGCTCTAAAGCAGAGTTTAGTATCTGCTAGTATAGATTACTGAGCCTCGTACCTGTCAGCCATTGCTCTTGGGCTGCAGGTTTCTAACCACTCCATTTGTCTTGCCTGGATTCTAGGATCTGTGATATGGCGATTGAATGGAGACCTTGTCACCATTTCTGGTGCCGTTGGGGTTGAAATAGTTGACTCCTTGACCGCATCGATGTGTTGGTCATCAACCGCAGCACATTCATGCCGCAGCACATTCATGCCGCAGCACATCGCGGAGGTTTTGAACCGCCGATTCTAGCCTGCCTTGATATAAGGACGGAACAATTAGAGTGCTGGGTAACGTCCATTGAGAATAAACTTTGCCATGGTTGTTTCGCGCTTGAAAGGGAGCCAAACTCTGTAAAATATGACCACACATAAACCATGTCTTTTTGCTGATACCCAGATATGGAAAGGTTCGAGCTACGCTGTCGTTTTTAATCAGATGGGTAACCATTCCCATTTCAGCATGGATCCATCTCTTCTGCTTGAGTAATTTGGGAATTGCTTGGTCCGCTTTGGTTAGAAATTGGGGGCACAATGACATGCTCGGTGGAACATGCTTCGCCCTAGCTCCGGGGACGAGCGTGATCTTCATGCTCTGGAAACCTTCGATCTCACGCGCTGCTTCCCAGAAAGTGGCGAAGGCATATCTAGGGCGGCAGAGAAAGCCCAGCTCACGGGTTATTCGTTTAACCTGCTTGACTGTAAAGAGTTGATTGAGTTGAGAGTAGAAAGTTGTGCTATAGCAGATATCGTCGACAATAGCGACAAGGTTGGTTGAAGAGACACTTCCTAAGCCAAACTCCTTCAAAATTTCAACCAACTTGAATTTGCACATTTCCTTCTTCTTTGTTACCAGGCCGAAGAGCTCCGACGCATGATACTTAAGGCGTGGAGTATAGTATTCACTGAGAAGTGCTTGGAGGTCCGGTAAAGATTCTATGTCAAGGGATTCTGGCAGTATTGATTGTAAATTAGACTTGAAGGGACTAGTTGATACTCACCAATACACATCCCCATCATACCTTTGGTTGCAACTATTTCTAGCTGCCTCGACACCTCCTCGAGGAGCTCGATGTCCTTCCCACTCCATGCAGCATTTCTCAATGCTAAGATATTTACCTCATCGTCGGTCTCCTGCATAGCTGTACAAGTCACATAGTGCGCAACTTTTTTGTAGCAGAGAATTTCAGCCAGCCGGTCCAACAACCGCATCTTAACCGACTTTGTACCCTCCTGCGTCAAAGAAGCGGCAATGCTCGTCGAGGGCTGTTTACAGCCATTCATCTGCTCGTCATCTGAACTTTCCATATCCTCTACCTCTCCATCCATATTTGTCTCCAAAGGAACACGTTGTTGATGCCTGGCTTGACATATTGCAGCTAGGGTCGTGATATCTGATTCTATTTCTGTTGGGAGATGCCAAGCACTAGCTCCGTGACAAGGTACTTGGGAAGATGGATCATGATGGAGACACTTAACGCGTTTCATTTTATCGTACATAGGTATGTCGTCAATCGTTTACTCGTGTCTAACTCATGCTCAACTTGAAGTTACTTCGAAGAATAATGCCGTAGAAAATAAGCTTGTTGGGTAGTGGGTTGAAGTACGTCTCTCGAGGGAAAGGGTTGGCGGGGTCAATCGGTTATTATGCATGGAAAGACATCGAAACCACAGCCCCGTGGCTGCGTGGCTTGACTGGTAGTTACCTTCAAGTGGGCTAACATGTCATGTGGATGCATCGCTCATACTAGTATATGCGTTTCAAGGTTGTGGTATTCTTTTCGCCGCAACCTAGATCCTCTTGATAAACGAGTTCCCACGTAACCTCAAGGGAAGTTCCTACCATAGACCCCAATCACAATACTAGTATACCAATGGCTGTTTTGTATTCGCATTTGTCATGTACATAACAACACAGGGGCTGCCTCAAGCTGAGTACGAGTAGAAGAGTAAACATCCACCTACGACCGAAAATCTTTCCTCGGCAGAGGAAAGATAATGCAGTGCAGGCTAGAGACAAAATTTCAAACACGAGTGATATCAAATTAAAGCAAAGCTAACGCCGAGATATGCCCTCTCCCCTCCAGATTTGCCATTCCCATTTTTCCTGGTGAGACTTCATTTCCACGCATTTAGTCCTGCCCACGGGTCATTCGATGCGGATGGTGGCTGAGATTGGGAAGGCGCCTTTTGGTGGCCGTATGGCCGGGCCTGCGAGTAACCGCCAGGCCCGGATGGGTAGACTCCACCAGCCGAAGGGGGGTAGCTGGGTTGCTGTGGACGAGGGGGAGGTGGAGGGGGGATGTAGCCCTGGGGAGCCATGTAATGCTGTTGTGGAGTGGCTACTGCAGCAGAGGGAGCTGGACTGGCGCTGGTGTAGCCGCTGTATGGGGTAGGAGTTTGAGAGAAGTATTGTTGGTTCGGAGGCGGCGAGACAGGTGTCTGATACGGGTATGCCATGGGGTTATATCCTTCGGAGAGAGGCGCGGCAGCTCCCTGTTGGAATGGCTGACCAGACATGTATCCGGAATTCGCGCTCATGTATTGACCGTAAGGTGCCGGTGAATGCGAGAGAGGAGCACCAGGTGCCCCAGGCATGGTGGGCGGATAGCGTGGGGACATCTGGGGAGACGGACCAGTTGCTGAATACGAAGGTGCATGGACTGGCGGCGGAGGCGACTTGATTTTAGATGGAGCTGGGGGAGCCCCCGCGGATCCAGTGGAAGGCGAGGTCGACGATGTTTTAGGCTCCGTAGAGAGGCGTTCCATCAGCTGTCGAAGCTTTTCTCGCTCGCGGTCCTCCTGCTCCGAAACACCGCTTGCCTTGTCTCGCTCAATCTGGCTCAAGAGTTGTGCACCTTCGGACCGGCGGTTGCTGATAAAGGTCTCGACGTTCTTGCGCAGGCTATCGGCATTCTCGCCCATTTCCTTGTAGAAGGTCCGTGCCTGGACAACACCAGATGAAAGACCATTGTAGGCCTCATAGATCTTCTTGTAACGTGCCATGACAGAATTCCGTTGCCGAGTAATGCCCTCATATTTTGACTGCTCGGACTGGACTCGCTTGTCTTGGAGTAAATCGGCGTAGATCTTTGTCAACTCCTTCATCAGTGAAGACTGTTTGTGGTTGGCCTGTAGGAGGCGATTTTGATGCGGGCGAAACTTCTCAAGCTCTGCTTCGAAAAGCTGGGTCTCCTGGCCGGCAATTGACTTCTTATTCAAAATTAACACGTTTGAGATGTCATCATTGTGAACCTAAGGATTGAATTAGTATAGTTTCAGACACACGGTTCAAATCAACAGTCACTATGCTACCTACCTTTTCTTTCAGATCCTTCAGTACTTGAGAGCGTTCACGCTTGACAAGATTGAGCTTCTTCAAGATCTCCTCAACCTTGTTAATTTGATCCGATACAGACATGCCGCCCTCAATGTTCACATCATCCAGGAGACTACCTTCGGCAGGGCTAGATACGCCATTTTTGCCTTTAGAATGCTTTGAGCCGGCTTTGATCATGGCCCGCTGGAAAAGCACATCGGCTTCATCTGTCTCTCCAGCGGAACGCATCTGATCGAAGTCACTCTCGTATTGCCGGAATGTGGCTGAAAGCTGAGTGTCACTAGCACTGGCTTCGCTGATCGTATCCCGGTAGGCGCGAACGTCCCCTCGAAGCGTAGTGTTGAGACGGCCGCTGGGTTGTTGGCTCCAATCACCCCCATACTTGGATCGCATCTTCTCACAAACGCTCTCTTCCAGGTCGAGTTGTTTGGAACATCCATCCAGCGCAGCTTGGACCTCTGCTTTCCGGTCCTGCAACTCATCGAGGGCTTTATTGAATGGCTTATGCCCACCAAGCTCCGAGCACCAACGACGGAAATCTTCATCCACGGTCATCTCTTGGTCCATGCCGCCTTTCAAAATGTTAAGACTACCAGGAAGTTTCAAATAGTCAAGGCTAGCAGCCATCTCGCCGTTGGCGGTTTCCACCTTTTCGGTTTCAGCACGAATCAGCTTGGCCTTCTCTTCGTCGTACAAGCTAGCACTCTCTGTAATGGCCATGGGTACGAGTTTCTGGAATATATCAGGGCCAATAATCCGCTGGATATCCTGTCCTTGGTATAACTCGCTGACTGGAATTGCCTTGGCAGCTGGCAGCTTGGCTACTGGCGAGAGCCCAGCCTCGCTTGGGACTGGCTGGTGGTAGATGAAATCGTTGTCCTTGGTCATTGAGGCGAGCTGGGTCTCAACATTTGAATGGTGATGCTTGATTTGATCCATGAGGGTACTTCCAGACTCTGCAGTGAGATTGGATGTTGCTGGAGGGGACGAGGGGAATCCCTTGGCGCAACTGATCGCCGTAGCGGATTGTTTGTCGGCAAGCTGAAGTCGAGCAATTGCAATACCATGGGAATTACTCTCGCTGTCTGCAATCGCCTGGAAGTAAGATGCCACAGAGCCCATATGCGCCGTCTTAGCCTGCGCTACGACCGACCAGACCTTGTCAAAGACATTCTTAGTCACAAAGTCCTGCAAGGTCTCCGCAGCCTGAGAATAGAGATAGGCGGATTGGCTGGCTAGTTTGGCAAGAAATCCCGGCTTCTTTCCGTCTGCTATTTGCTTCTCGAGGAACACCTCTTGGGCCTGAGCAAGTGTAATGTGGATAAGGGTCTTGACGGTATCCCTGTTCAGATCGGTCGAGGGTGCATGAAGGAAGTTCTCGTTGATATAGGTGAACATTCCAGCTGATGCCTGGAAGGAGTGATATGCAGTCTTGAGCCCAGTATCCTCGGCGCGATTCTGATCGGCAGCATGGCAGGAGAGAACGGCAGAGATATTGAAGATGATGGAAGCTTTCTCGTAGGCCAGGGAATACTGTGAAGTAGGCTTATGGGTGAAGGCATCGTACCTAAAAGGATTTCGAACAGTGGGTAAGCAATGGTTTGTAGTTGTAAGACGGGCTAGCATTCTAGATCGTACCATGTGAACGAGATCTTGATATGGTTCTCATCAACGGGGAACCGTAGATCCAAGAGTTCTAGTTGGCCATAGTATCGATACAGCAGATCACGGCCGGTAGCGCTATCCTTTCCAGCTCCTCTCATATCCTGGCGAAGTCGGTTGAGGGTGTTACATTCTTGCGCGTAGCGCTCGGGGTCCTCGCCATAGGTCTGTCGGATGTAATCCTTGAGGGGCTGGACCCAATCGATCTCGTTGGTCTGCTTCAGCGGACACGAAAGCATAGGTGACTGAACCATGGTGACGGAATGGTTGTCAGGAGCCAGCTGCTCCCATCCACTAGCGATAGCTGAGAGTATGTAGGAACAAGGGGGAAGGCTGTTGAATCAACGGTGCCTTGAGGGGATCGGAAGGCTGTGTGGGGTAAAGGGAAGGCGGAAGGTCGGCGCCTGATGGTCGCTAATCGCTAGTTGGGTCAATGACGTCGGTTTCGGTGGTATCAAAGGCAGCAATCGAATTCAATCTCAGCGCAGAGAGAGGGGGACATGGACATGGACAAGGGGGAGAGGGAGGGGGAAAGCCCGCGCGCGGTGGAAGGTGACAGGTGGGATGTGATGACCGTGACGGGTGAGTCGGGGGGCGCCAACCACAGGGCCCAGCCAGATCACTGGCAGGGTACGGATCATCATGGACTGGGTCCTAGGAAATCGGCACTAGTAAATATTGGAGGAATAATTTAAAAATTATTTTCATCTGGCTTGAATTAAATTTATCCATAAATTCAACAAGTAGGGCAATCTCCAAGGAGCAGCTCCAGACTATTAGTATGCTTCCGAGAGGCCCAGGAGCCCTACTATCGTATCTTTTCTCAAACTTCTATATTCTAATTCTAATACTAAGGAGTAGAGAGCTTGATGACAACCTAACACAAAGTAATAATAATACAAGGCGTCTGCCCCATCCTCCAAACAGAACAAGGCCTCCCCGAGCTCGCCGGCGCTATGACATTGAAAGTAAATACAACCCAAGATGAAGGGAGATAGAAGTACATGGAACATTTACATTAGCTCAACTCGACTTCTTTGAGTCGTCCTTGCCAGTTTCTTTCTTATCACCCTCTTTGGTATCTGTCGCATCTTTTGCGTCCTTTGCGCCCTTGGTCTCGGTCTTGGAGTCAGAGTTCTTCTCCGTCAGCTTATGCCAGACAGACTTCAGAAACCCTTCATTCTTAGATGATTCTTCGGTAGATCCGCTAGTCGATGGAGGGCTGGCCCATATATTAGCATTGTGATCAATCTCGGTAGGCGAAACTGCTGGAAACTTACTTGTCTTTGCTGAAATTCATGGTCCGTCGAGCCGTTTTATCCTCCATCTCATCCGCAAGAACCTCCAGAATAGTGCGCTGGTTGCCAGTGAGGTACTTGGGCATAGCAACCTTGAATTCTACCTTCAGATCACCAGTAGGCTGGACGCGCATGCGACTGCTACCGATCTTCTTCATACCCATTCCCGCCAAAGTGATTCGATCACCAGTACCGGTACCGGTAGCGACCCGGACCTTAACCTCCTTGTCGAGAGTAGGAATTGTGACTTCACCACCGAGAAGTGCAGTGGTGAGCGGAAGAGAGGCGGTATAGAGGATGTCATCACCAGAACGGCTGAAACGGTGATCGGGAGCAACACGAATGGTAACATAAAGGTCACCACGCTGGGTGCGAGCACCAGCAGCCGCGGCAGCTCCGGTAGGAGGAGCATCACCTTCTCCGGTAACCCTCATTCGCATACCATTGTCCACACCAGCAGGGATATCAACCTTGATGGTCTTTCGTTCCCTTATAACACCGTTTCCGCTGCAAGTACCGCACTCAGAACCCCGAGGGACAGTCATACCGACACCTCCGCAGGAATCGCAGGTTGCCGCAACTTGGAAACCACCTTGCATGATGTGAACTCGGGTTCCGGTACCATTGCACTGGCGGCACTGGGATCGCTTCGCACCGGACTTGAGACCATCGCCGGAACAAGTTCCACACTGAGTAAGAGGCGTGATGACAATTTCCTTAGATGTACCCTTCGCCGCATCCATGAAGGAAATGTTGCTCTGCACCTCAATGTCCTCACCCACAAGAATCTGTTCCTGGAACGGATTGCGGCGGCCACGAGGGCCGCGGCGAGCCCCTCCTGTAAAGGCGCCAAAAAGATCCTCAAAGTTGATATCCTGTGAGAATCCTCCTCCAAATCCACCACCTCCGAAGCCTCCCCCGAATCCATGGAAGCCACCTGCTCCTGCGAAGGGATTGCCTCCACTTGGGTCGAAGCCGCCGTTTTGATCGAAAGCCGCGGAACCAAATCGATCGTAGTTCTCTCGCTTCTTTGCATCGGATAACAGCTCGTAGGCTGATTGAGCCGCGGCAAATTTGTCCTTCGCATCAGCCTCCTTATTGGTATCGGGGTGGTATTTCTTGGCCATGCCATAGTAGGCCTTTTTGATGTCGCCGGCGGAGGCCTTCTTGTCCACGCCAAGGGTTTTGTAGGGATCGGCGATCGAGAGTGGCGCGGTAGAGTGGAAGGTCTGTCACTGGTTAGATTTCGATCGAAAGATTGGCAGGTAAAAGATGCATATTGAGATCGCAGAAGGCCACTTACCCGAACGGAGAAAGCATTTGAAGGTTTTGGGTTGTAGACTCCTTCGCGGTGGCGTCTGGCAGGTGATGGGGAAGCCACGACATTATAACCACGCTTCTGACCGGCCGAGCAGAGATTAGGTGTCGTTGTTTGCTTCGAGCATTGTGTTGGTGCCCGCAGGAGGCGCGCGGGGAGACCCGCGGCCTTAGGGAATGCCGCGGATGGGTTCATTGATAGTAATCCCCGGGAAGTGGTTGGATGGTTGTCGTCGCGACTATTTTTCGGCGATTTAATTGTTTGTGAATGAGTGGACGAGGAATGAAGATGAGAGGGTGAATGGCAAAGCCTGATTGACGCCACTGGCCTTTACAATTGTTGCTCGATGGTCGCGAAGAAGCTTCTCGTCGGAGAAGTTTTGAATCACGTGAGTGCGCTATTCCTAATGTGGAGATGATGTAATAACCGAATGCCGGGGAAGTATGGAAGTATGGGATCATGATTGCAGATTGGAATAGAATAACGACTACTATCTTAAAAAAAAAACCACTCTTGTTGGAGAGGACTGGATGACATGGAATAGTTGTGTAGTTTGTGAAATATCGATTCAATCCCATAGAAGGTTCACCTTCACAGGAGACACCGCGCCTATTGTTCTTCCGATCTTCATTCGGCTATTTGCGGCAGATCTAATCATATTTTGGCATGCTTAAGTTCGAAAGTCTCCCTTAGAAACTTGTCACATTTTGTTCGAAGATGAGTATCACAATAAGTCTCTTCCCGTCACTATTTTCCGTCAAAACATTGGGAAAGGGTCCAAAGTAATTGCGTCAATAAAACCACCAACTGTTTCCAGAATCATCAGCTCATCGCTCCTGCAGTATCTACCATTACTTTGGAGCATCGGAAGTTTATTTACAAAACGATCGATCGCCCCATATATGAGCCCCGAGACACAGAAGATATCATAAGTGAGATAAACGCGCTGGCACAATTCTGTGAAGAGCCGAACATTGCGCAATTAGTAGGCCTAGTGGAGTCAGAAAACCCCTACAAGACCTCCCCGTCAAGCAAGATGCTGCGTGTGGTTACGGGATTCCTTCTCGAATACTATTCCAAAGGTTCACTCGACCATATCACGAGCGAGGAAATAGCCGTGACTGAATATCTAAAGATGCAGTGGGCTATGCAGGTGGGAAAAGCACTGAACTTGCTACACACGAAGGGTCGGTCTCACCTTGATATCAAACCTTCGAATGTTGTTTTAGATAGTGAGCGGAATGCTTTCCTCATCGATATCGGCGGTGCTGGATATTACACATGGGAATGGCTCTCCCCAGAGATGCAGGTGTACATGGAAGAAAACACCGAGAAGACCCCGGCCGACGCGTGTTTGGATGCACAGATTGCTACGGACTGTTGGGCTTACGAAAAATTACTCTTCTTCATCGCCACAGAATGTAGCCCTGGTGGTGCTATATCTGATGAATTACGAGCTTTCGGGGACGACCTGACCAAGTCAAGGCCCGAAACTCGCGCCACTCCTAGTAATACCCTCGCCATACTGAATGAGTTGCCATCCTAGGATGGTGTATAGTACAGTCGTGATAACGATAAAACTGATACAATGTCACATAAGTTATGATATAATAAACAGCACTAATTAAGTGAGCAATATTTCATTAAACGGACAAGATCTAGGCCACTTATCCACTTAAAAGGGTACTACAGACCTATGTTTCTGGGCGATCCAACGGGTCTTAGGGTTGCGTGGGCGCATCAAGATAAGATCTTTAGGGCTGCCAGAAGCTTCCCCGGGTCGAAAACGGAAGGCGGAAGCCTCGGATAATGGTTCTACCGTCGCCGACGAGGTGAGCCAAGCACGAGCAGCCTGGGACCGAGCTCCGAAGACGGACCACCAGCTCTTTTCCACCTCACACTCCTCCCTCCTCCTTTCCCTTCCTATCTCCTGGAAGCTCGCCGACGTGTAGCTAGAGCTCATCCTTTATATCTCACCCTTCATCCTTAATCGACCACACCACCGACCGTTTCCCGCCAGAGATTCGAATAGCATGCTCCGCGGCCAGACCCTCCCCTGGAGAGCTGCGCTCCACCAAACACCTCGTCCTTTGCTTCGTCGAACGATTCTCTCCATCCCAAGGAATAATGCGACGCTCCGGTCCTCGCCGCTCTTGAACCGGGCACCCCGATCCCCTCTCTCCGCTCCCCGCACCTTCTCCTCAAGCTCAATCGCCCGGAGAGAGAAGCCTCCATCAGACGACCCCAAGGACGATGTCGACCAGAAAACGGAGGACGAGTCGAATAAAGAATCTCAGGATGCTAAGGATGCCGATAAAATCCCTGAACCACGGAAGAAGTCGTCGGAACAGACAGGTCCCGCACGGAAGAAGGACCGAACATCCAACGACAAGGAACAACGTGGGCTAGAGGAGGATGCTAAGAAGGATGCCAATGCATCGGATGGCAAGGGTGATGCGAACAAATCTCCATCTCCCATTCCCCCGAACAGTGGCCAGGCAGACTCTAAGCCCAGTTCTGCAAGTGGTGGTGGTTCTGGTGGAAATGACGACGGTGGAAAGAAGGGAAAGAAGGGCTCTGGGGACAAGGCTCTACAGAAACCGGCGGTGCCGGATGTATACCCTCAAGTGATGGCAATTCCCATTGCCAAGCGTCCTTGTTCCCCGGTTTCTACAAGGCAATCACTATCCGAGACCCGAATGTTGCCGCTGCTATTCAGGATATGATGAAACGCGGGCAACCTTACGTGGGTGCCTTTTTGTTCAAGGATGATAATGCGGATGGCGATGTCATTGAGAACATGGATGACGTGTATGAGACCGGTGTGTTTGCCCAGATCACCGCAGCATATCCACTCCGTGGAGAGGCTACTGGTGTGACGGCTGTGCTATATCCCCATCGCCGCATTAAAATCTCGGAATTGCTCCCACCTACGACCCCGAAGAAAGAAACCGAAACGCCAGAAAATGAAACCGAGAAGAAGGGAGACGTTGTGGCTAGTTTCGAGGAAGGGGCCCCGGAAAATGCGCCCAAATATCACTACGAGCCCACTTCTTTTCTCCGGAAGTATCCCGTCAGTCTTGTTAACGTCGAGAATCTTGCGGAGGAGCCATTCGATAAGAAGAGCCCAATCATTCGCGCGGTCACCAGTGAGATCGTGAATGTGTGCAAGGAAATCGCTACCTTGAACCCTTTGTTCCGCGACCAGATCTCAGCCTTCTACACCGACCAGTTCCCTGGAAACCTGAGTGACGAGCCTGCCAAACTTGCAGATTTCGCTGCCGCAGTTTCAGCGGGTGAGCTGAAGGAGATGCAAGAAGTTCTTGAGACCATGGATGTTGAAGAACGTCTTCCAAAGGCACTCGTTGTTCTGAAGAAGGAGTTGATGAACGCTCAGCTACAGTCCAAGATCACCAAGGACGTTGAGGCTAAGATCCAAAAGCGCCAGCGTGAGTATTGGCTCATGGAGCAAATGAAGGGGATCAAACGGGAACTTGGTATTGAGTCAGACGGCAAGGAGAAGCTGGTAGAGAAGTTCAAGGAGAAGGCAGAGAAGCTTGCTATGCCCGAGGCTGTTAAGAAGGTCTTCGAGGAGGAACTCAACAAATTGGCCCACCTTGAACCTGCTGCGTCGGAGTTCAACGTTACTCGCAACTACTTGGACTGGTTGACCCAGATTCCTTGGGGCCAGAAGAGCGTTGAGAACTTTGGAATTAAGAATGCAGTGACTGTTTTGGACGAGGACCACTATGGTTTGAAGGACGTGAAGGACCGAATCCTTGAATTCATCGCTGTCGGAAAACTGCGCGGAACTGTGGAAGGAAAGATTCTCTGCTTTGTTGGTCCCCCGGGTGTTGGAAAAACAAGTATTGGCAAGTCGATTGCCCGCGCCCTGAACCGACAATACTACCGCTTCTCCGTGGGTGGGTTGACAGATGTTGCCGAGATCAAGGGTCACCGACGTACCTATGTCGGTGCTCTTCCTGGCCGCATCATTCAAGCGTTGAAGAAGTGTCAAACCGAGAATCCCCTGATTCTTATTGATGAGATTGACAAGATTGGCCGTGGCCACCAGGGCGATCCTTCTTCTGCATTGCTGGAACTGCTTGATCCCGAACAAAACTCCTCCTTCCTGGATCACTATATGGATGTCCCAGTGGATCTATCCAAGGTCCTCTTCGTCTGCACAGCCAACCTCACTGATACCATTCCTCGTCCATTGCTGGATCGAATGGAGCTCATTGAGCTTTCCGGCTATGTTGCAGACGAAAAGATGGCAATTGCTAAGCGCTACCTTGCGCCAGCCGCTAAGGAAATGACTGGTCTGGACAATGTCAACGTCAACCTTCAGGATGAGGCTATTGAGGAGTTAATTAAATCATACTGCCGGGAGAGTGGTGTCCGCAACCTGAAGAAGCAAATTGAGAAGGTCTACCGTAAGGCAGCATTCAAGATTATTCAGGATCTGGGCGAGGAGGCTCTCCCGGAGGAGGATGCCCTCACCGAGGAGGGTAAGGCTGCCCAAGCAGAGGACAAGGAACATGAGTCCTCCGACCCTGCCCAAGCGCCGATCGAACCCGAGAAATCTACCACTGAAACTCCTCGCTTGGGCCTCAAGGTTCCCGATGAAGTCACACTTGATATTGGCAAAGAATCCCTGAAGGACTACGTCGGACCCCCCAGTATTCACTGCCGACCGCCTGTACGACCAGTTCCCTCCTGGTGTCACCATGGGTCTCGCATGGACCAGCATGGGCGGAGCGGCGCTGTATGTTGAGTGTATCCTGGAAAGTGTCCTGAACCACCGATCGCGACCAGGACTTGATATTACCGGAAACCTGCAAAATGTGATGAAGGAGTCGACACATATTGCTTACTCGTTTGCCAAATCTCTCATGGTTAAGCAATTCCCCGAGAACGAATTCTTTGAGAAGGCCAAGGTTCATCTCCATTGCCCTGAAGGAGCGGTTCCCAAGGATGGTATGTTTACTCTCGTATCTCTCCGACCTCCACGCAAAATTCTAATTAATGATTTACAGGTCCCTCGGCTGGTATTACAATGGCCAGCTCGCTCCTTTCTCTCGCCTTGAACCACTCCCTCGACCCGACCGTGGCCATGACTGGAGAGTTGACGGTGACCGGTAAGGTGATGCGCATTGGTGGGCTTCGAGAGAAGACTGTCGCCGCTCGCCGTGCTGGTGCAACCAAGGTTATTTTCCCTGCGGATAACTTGTCTGACTGGCTGGAGTTGCCTGCGGTAAGTTTTGAATCACCATATTACCCATTCGGTCCATAATCGCGAGAATTTCAAACTAATAATGCTATTATGTAGAATATCAAGGACGGTATTGAGGGCCACCCAGTTTCTTGGTACTCCCAGGTTTTCGACATCCTATTCTCCGACTTGGACCATGATGGTGCTCGCCAGATCTGGCAGAAGTCACTGGCCAAGCCAGAGGGCAAGAAGGGCGAGCATGAGGGTGATGAGTGAAATGTCTTTATGGATGCCCAGGTGTCGAGGAATCCCCCCTCTGGTACATATGTGTGAATTATTATTTCTGTACAGTTTTTTTTTCTTCTCTCTCTTTCTTGTTTGTTCCCTTTTTGACTGTTATGGGATGTATATGGCGTCTTATCATTCCATGGAATGCATGGACTGGAGTTGCGGGTAGACGCGTGTTTTGATTAGCATTGAGCCCCCAAGTCCAAAATTTCACTCCACTCTCATGAGTTTCCGAAGCAGTACTGTTTCAAGTTCCGTTTGCATGCATGTCTTTTTTGTGAGGTTTCCCGATAGCAGATAGATCCTACCTACGTCACTTTTGAGGTTCATCTCCAAACCGATCCACTGTGAGTGTGGAGTCCTGTCGATGAATCCATGTTTACTACTACGACTCGGAAAAGATATGATACATACTAGTACTATGAAGTATACAGGATAATATAGAATAGTAATAATGACTCCGTAGTACTACTAGTATCCTGGTTTATGTCAACTTTGAATATTGTCGCCCAGCCGATCTTCGTTGAGCCTCCCAATCAGGCATGAGTTGTCAGGCCGCAACGCATCCTGTCGGCTTTTTATTTTCTATTTTTTTTTGATCTGTGCGCGCGTTGGATGAATCATATTCTTGACCTTGATTTTCCTCTTTATTTTATTTTACCTATTATAACTCCCTTGACTCTTTATATCTTTTGGGTTGCCTCCTGCTGGCTCTTCTGATTGATCCCCTGCAGAGTCCTTTTGCTCCGGAGCGCTGTGAGACATCAGGCCTTGCAGTGGATCAACACACTATCTCATCCCACCAGCAACATTTATTCTTCTGCAAAGAATCAATTATTTGTTGCCTTTGGGAGAGTCAGAGATTCTTGACCGAGTTCTCTGACCGACATCTCTCGTCTGCACCGCCTTTCCGCAAGCTCATTCTCACGGACCAGCCCTCCCAGCCACCGCGCCTATTGCAGCCCGACGTTGTGTGACACGTTTGAATCTTGACCTTGACCTTGACCTTGACCTTGATCTGGACCCGGACCTCAGCGGAAGTCTCTATCCCTCGAATTGACAGGGTGACTTGAAAATTCAAGGGGGATACGTCCCAAACCAACGTGACTCACAGGGAGAGCTTTGGGGAGCAGAAAGCAAGCTGTGTGTGTGTGGGCTTGTCAGGACTACGCCAACTTTTTTATTTCTTATTTTTTGAGTCTCACCTTTTCCGCCACTAGGAGCCCCTCGAATTTTGGTTCAATTCTTATGGCCAGCGGACTTTCCACCAGGGTGTTCGAGTCTTTACTTGGACGACAGAGCCAGAACCAGAACCAAAATCAAAACCAGAACCAGAGTCAACAACCAGAATCTGCAGGTGGTGCCGTATGGCCATCTCTCTTGCCAACAACAACTGTAGCCCGACGCGGCTGGGTCTAGTTCCTGACGAAAAGTTGAAGAAGCAGAGCATGTGGCATAAATTAGGTCTGCGAAGATGGCTGGGCCGCGACGATCGAGATTCTTCCGACGACTCTTCCTCCCCCCACAACAACCACAATCAAAATCATAACCGCGCTGCCTCGGTCGACAGCAACTCACGTTCTAGACAGGACAACTTGACCCGTCGACTATCTCGTCGGGTAGGGGTTGGTTTACCTCGATCAACCTTCAAACGATCAATTCCCGAACGTCCAACCCGTCTAGCACCCCCCCGAACATGAACACCGTCGCGCCCAGTCTGCCGACCGCAGTAGCCCCTCGAACGCCCGATCCCAGTCTCCACTACCACCAACGGGCCCACGACTGTCCGCGCCAGAGGTTCAGTGGCTCGGCCCGACACCTGCTACCATGGTTGACGAACCCCTGGACGATTTCGATCCCTTTGCATCTCCCGAACCCCTCGAACCCCTCGAACTTGTGGAATCACAACCGAATGAAGAGAGCAGTCTCTATGCAGACTGGGAAGGCGACGTGACAACCGATACCCCTGAGGTGGAGGCGCCGGCGCCGGCACCGGACACAATCGATATGGATCTGGATAATCGATGGATTCTCAATCTGAGTATGCACTTCCGGGACCGTTCAGAGAGGGAGAAGTTTTTTATCACCTACGTCGAAAACCCTTACCAATGGCGACGAGTGACGATCTCATGCGATTACCGTGGAGCAGAGCCCGATTCGCTGGAGGCTGATCTGAAGGGACTTCGATATCAGCGAGACAAAAGCGTTCGGATCTACGAGTCACTCCGTGATTCCCTGGCTGACATCCAGTTCTACGATACTGTGACGAATCTGAAGGTTGAAACCAGCGATGGCCGTCTCCACGTTCATGTCACCGAGGACGTCAACGAAATCATTCCCTACCCACCCATTTCCAGCATCGGTCATCTCGCAGGCGCTCGATGCATTCCCGAAACCCACCTCCACTTCGATGCGCATCTTTCCGGTTTTGTTTATAAAGTGCAACAGGGTGGACACAATTTCATCAAGAAGGAAATTCCTGGCCCCGACACCGTCGATGAATTCCTTTACGAGATAAATGCTCTTCACGCCCTGGTCGGATCGCCCAATGTGATTCAAGTGGGAGGCATTGTGGTGGATGAGCATCATCAGAAAGTCAAGGGGCTCCTCATTAGCTACGCTGAACAAGGTGCCTTGGTTGACATCTTGTACGATCAGCGTGGTCGCATTCCCTTTGCGAGGCGGGAGCGGTGGGCCAAAGAAATTGTCCAGGGGTTATGCGAGATCCACGAGTCCGGCTACGTCCAAGGCGATTTCACGCTGTCAAATATCGTGGTGGATGGGGAAGACAAGGCCTCTATTATCGACATCAATCGCAGAGGCTGCCCTGTTGGATGGGAGCCCCCCGAAATTGCTCAGAAAATTGAGAGCAACCAGCGGATCTCGATGTACATTGGCGTCAAGACAGACCTCTACCAGCTCGGCATGACATTGTGGGCATTGGCAATGCAAGAAGATGAGCCTGAAAGACAACCTCGTCCATTATTCCTCGGTTTTGATGTGGATGTTCCTGATTACTATCGACGAATAGTCGATATCTGTTTGAGCCCAATGCCTCGACACAGAATATCCGCCAAAGAACTACTCTCGTTCTTTCCCACACATCTATTTTCTCGACCAGACCACCGATTCCCATACGCCACCTCAGCAATGACCCACCTTCCTAAAGGCAATATTGTCGATTCCCAGCGCACGAGAAATACACCAAATCCCAATCTATTCACCCCTGTTCCATCAGTGAAGTATTCGAGTGAGCAGGATATCGATATTTCTCCGCCCCTGTTCCACAACCACCCTGGTCAGGGTAAACGATCGACCGTCACACTTGCTGATTCCAACGACGGAATCGCCTTTCCATCTCGGCATTCTTCCACGTCCACTCTAAACCACCATGAATCCGACGGTCTGGACGACGGGTGTTGGAATGAAGATTCCCACGCTTCCTTCCAGGAACCAGCTTCGGAATTGCCAACTGATCATCAAATACAAACTGCCGTACCATCTGTATGGGAAAATACAGTCGTTCACGACCTCAATCCAGTGGAAACGGAGCCCCAACCACGACTGTGGGAATCACATATCGAATCGGAGGAATCAACTGGTGGATGTCAATTGCCCCTTGCCAACGACGCAGAAGCGGCCCGATTCATTCCTCTAGAGCCTTCATACCACCCTTCCAATGCTACAACGGCGAACGAGCCACTATCTAATAGGCTTGGTCTCGCCGATGATGAAGACTCTAAATCAACTCCCACCGATGGCAACAACGCGCCTCTGGTGCGATCAAATGAGTTTCCTGAAACGTCAGCATCCCTGTTTCTCTCAGCTCTGCCGATTAACCCGGCGCTCTCCAAGCGCAAGTCGTTTCCTCCAGATCTTCGCACCGTTCGCCAAAACGAGGACATATCTGCTCAGTCCAACCCTTCTCACCATCAATTGGCATTCCTGCTCGCCGATTCTCAATTGCCAATCAACCCAGCCGTGGCTCACCCTGTCCCTTTACCCGTCTCTACGGAGTCAGAGACTCCAGACTCTTCGAAAGCACCGCCTAAGCAGCCCGTGATCACTCCCCAAGGGCTGAACATACCTCTTTCAGAGTCTCGGCTGCCAATCAATCCAGCAATAGGCATATCGAAGCGCAAATCTTTCCCTTCGGGCTCGATATCTGCCCGAGATTCTGGAATACACTTTGCCCAACCTAAAACGGTTTCTGAGCGGCTGGTATCGTTCCTGTCTGAATCTCGATTACCTATCAACCCTGCTCTGAGCATCTCTGAACCCAATACCATTCTCCCGACCTCGGAAAATCAACCACACCCCGGTTTACGACCAGCACGAGCACCTCTTCAACGCCGCCTGACGCCATCTCTGTCTGAATCTATATTACCCATCAACCCTGCCCTAAGTACCCCTGAATCCAACACCATTCCTTCGGTTTCAGAGAATAAACCACATCCCGGGCTACGACCAGCACGACCCTCCATCCAACGCCGATTGGCACCATCTTTGACCGAATCCCAATTACCCATCAATCCCGCGTTTAGAGAAAGCCTCGTCAATCTCATCTAAATTCCGTCCAAGCGTTCAAGCGCCAGGCTCTCTTCCCAGAAGCCTTTTTTCCGAAAACAATACACCCAGATTCGTTTTTATCTGAAATAGCCCCATTACCTGGGGAGTACACGCTCGATACCCCTTCGTTTCTTGATTGTACATTCAACCCTCGTCATTGTCGCGTTCAAGCTCTGCTTTTCAAGGCATGTGCGCCGCCCATGGCGCAAGCCGGCGAACATTTGGCGTCCCAACAAAAGTCTTTTTTTATTTATTCTTTTTTGCATTCTTCTGGCGGACTTTGATCTGAACAACTGTTTTAATGCTACTTTTTGTGTGTTTTTCTTTAGTCCCTTTTAGCCATTTCCTACGTGTGCTCTTGATTTGTTTTATTTCCTTGTCCCTTTTTTATATACTGGAGGCTTCAACTGTTCGGCGTTTCATGAGGGCTGTTTGAATGTATCTGATCATTAGCTCTCCTTTTTTGGCTGACATGTCTGTATTATTTCAATTGATTTCTTGCCATGCAACTACTGGTTCACTCTAGATCTCAGGTATGTGGCCCATATTCTGCCTAGTCCAGGAGGGTTTTCAAAAGAAAAAGCTCTTCCATTTCACTTCGTCGTAATTGAGTAACTGTGGGAGACACTCTCAGCTTTCCCGGACGTAGGACTCAAAGCTTGCCTTCCATGGATCGGCGCTTGAGCCGAGACCTCTACCAATGAGCACAATCTTGCACTGGACTGGACCGCTACCATCACCCTTAGCGGGCTCTGTATCTCTAATCTCAAAGACATCCCGGACAGCCTGAATAATTCGAGTGGAGCCATCCTCAAGAACGAGAATACCCTTCAATCGATGAATCTCAAAGCTAACAGGAGCCGTTTCAGGGTCCGAATTGGCTGGCGCGGGGTATATCGACTCCCAAAGAACAGAGCGTAGCCATTCATCCACTCGTATCACCTTGTCGGCAGTAATCGGTGACGTGGTTATAGCTACTGTAGAGATTGCCTAAAGTCACAGGTCAGCATTATCAGACTGTGAGAGACGGGGCGAAATAAGAAGATACATACCGGGTCCATATGACTATGTCCCTTCCTACTGAAATCCAAGTCTGCAAGATGATCATATGCATGTAGATCCAGCACCACCCCCTCGATCTGCGGCGTTCGACTATGATCAGTCACATTGATCTTGGCCACGCTATTGATAGCCGTAACGCGGTCCTTGACAGCCTCAAGTTCTTGGGGCGTCACTAAATCCGTCTTGTTAAGGATAATCACATCAGCGTGGGAAATCTGCATATGCGCCATCGATAGCACAGGGCCAGAGCCATGGTCGTGATCGGCGTTATGGGCTTCTGCTTTTTGCTCTGGCGTTGGTTCGTCGAGAAGGTGGAGGATGTTCTTCGCGTCGACGAGTGTGACGATGCCATCTAGGTAGATGGAACTGCCGAGACCTTCGTCCATCCAGAAGACTGGGGCGATGTTGCCTGGGTCGGCGAGACCGGTTGTCTCAAGGAGGATGTAGTCGAACGTTCCTTTGCGCTCCATGAGAGATTCAAGAGCCATGACGCCAGTGTCTCTGGAGAGATGGTTAAATTGGTTCAAGTGGGAGGGTCTCGGGGTTGCATAGTAAGTACTTGACTGAGCAGCAGATGCAACCATTACCGACTTCCATCCACTCGGTGACTTCCTGGCCGCCTTCGTTGACGGTCAAAGGTTTTTCGATGTCCGTTGCTATGATGGAGAATGAGAATTGCCGAAAAAGAGATTCGAATTCGCTTTATACATACAATCGCCGAATTCTGGACCCTGTTAGTAGCCTGTGTCTGGAATCGCCACTTCTTGATAATGACAAACCGTTCATGATCACGGCGATCTTTTTGCCATGCTTCTCGGTCAATATGTAGTTCAATAAGGTGGTTTTTCCCGCCCCCAGGTAGCCTTTAAATGCCTAGTTAGTGCTTGATCAAATATTTTCAGACCATTCTTCAAAACCATACCTGTTACCAGCGTGATAGGTACTCGAGCTGTCGGCTCTTCCTCTATAGAGTCTGGCTGATCAGCGGGCATCGCCGACACATCGACTAGATCTGGCGGTGCGTCATCATCCTCGATATTGGCAGACATCATGTAAGATATTTCTGCTATGGTTAAATAAAGCGGCCCTGTTGTCCACAAGTCCGTACTAGAGTAGCTACTAGGGTAGCAAAACACGTAGAAATGCGGAGATGACGTTGTTAGCTACCCAGATGGGAAGTAGGGCTTAGGGCATTGGACGGTCATTTGTTGTTGCTTATCGCAACGGCCTCGACCGGAAGGAGACAACAGCCCCGTTTACACTTGAACTTGAATCCTTTAGGACATGCTCACTTTTTGATCGCTTGAGGGCGCGGAGTCACCTTCCACTCATTTATTTCCTTCGGTTTCTCTCCCTTAGTCTTCGCGCGCCTCTCCCTTCTCTGCTCTTACTCCTCCCCGAACCTCGCGCCATGACTGCCGGAGCCTCCCCGTCCAGCTCTCCCCGTCTCCCCAGCCCTCCTCCTTTTACAGAAGTGCAATTCGGGCCCGCGTCGCCTTCTGTTGGCGAGACATTTGGAAAGGATGCGGAGCAGCTGTTAGGCGTGCCGGCACAGGATGATGGCTCGACGCGCAGGATTCGGCCGGGCAGCAGAGCGGCTAATATGGCATTCGGCCCGCCACTGATTCCATTGTCGCAGGTATGTGAAAAGCACCGAGCATCCCCGGCAATCATCCAAAGCTAACATGCCCAGCTCGACTCCCCTTTCCAGCTCCAGGAGCATCTCAAAGCCTTGTACCACCACTTTACGAAACCCGAAGGATCGGACACGGTGGTCCCGATTAACCGCCAAGTCGCGATCGAGCTCGCGGAACCACCAGAGGGCGTCGACCGGTCCCTCTGGCTTTACGAACTTTGCCGATTCCTCACGATGAAAGTTAATAATCTGCTCATTGCGTTTTTCGCCGAGGATCCGCCTTGCTCGGCGCAGACGTGCCCGGAGATGCGCGCATCGGAGTGGCAATACCTTTGCGCTGTCCACGAACCTCCTAAATCATGCTGCGCTATCGATTACTGCTGCCATACTCTCGACTGGGCTACAAATACCCTGACTTCGCCGAAGAACTTCCCCAGCCGACTGACACTTGGCTCTGAGACCGCTGGCGGACCGCAGGCAAGTATGAGACATCTCACCAACATCTTCCGCCGTCTGTACCGGATCTTCGCGCACGCTTGGTTCCAGCACAGAAGTGTCTTTTGGGAGGTTGAGGGCAATGACGGCCTTTACGTATTTTTCAAAACCGTTTGCGACATGTACAATCTCATTCCGGAAGATAACTACACCATTCCTGCGGAGGCGGAGGGGATAGATGCTACTGAACCCGCAGTTGTCGAGCCGGTCGAGAGCAAGCGTCTGACAATTCTGCGCAAGGATGGTGAAAGTCCTTTCGGCTCGCTGGAGAACATGGCTCCCCCAATCGATACCGGCGCCACCACACGACGACACAAGCACAGTCCTTCTACCGGGTCTCATGTTGGAACTATCACCGAAGCTGCGGAGGACTCCGAGGATTCTCCCCGAGCTTCCGTTCTCTTGCGGCCCACTCTGAGGGACTCTCCTGAGCCCCGGCCCCAGTCACCCGTCAAGGCCGAGATCGAGGCTGAGATCGCTGCCGAAGAGACAGAAGTGACAGCAGAACCCCCTATTGAAGCGACCGAATCTGCTCCTGCAGATAAAATTGAGGTCCAAGAGCCAAAAGAGTCGCTTGTAGAGACGGAAGAACCCGCTGAACAACCCACCGATGACAGCTCAGAGAAAGATGCAGAGCAATCGGAGCAGCAGCAGGAGCAAATCCAACAAGGCGAAGATACTGAAACGCCAGAATCTACCGAAAAGGCCCCCGAGGGCGACGATGTGACGACCCCTTCCGTTGACCAGGAGGCCAAAGAAGAAACCGAGACGAAGGCCGAAGCCGAAACCGAAGTCCAAGCTGACGCTACAGCTGAAGCCGAGTCGAAGACGGATGCCTAGGCGACGCAAACTGCGGCCTCCCCAGGTTCATTGTTCAAACATTAATTTTCCTTCTCATGTCCTATCTTTATCGAGGCCTCCTGTGCTTTCTTAGCTGCGACGGGTGTTTTATTTCTTGTAATATAGCTCAGGACGTTTTTCATGGTCAATGTCAATGATACCCTTCACCTGAAGCTTTGTTGATGTCCAGCTGGGCTCGTGCAATTGTATGATTATTGTCCGACTCTGTCTGGTTCTGGTACCGTGCATGCCGCGTATAAATGACTTAGTCTAGATCTCATAAGTGACGTACGACTCATAATGAAGAGATAGTCACCATTCTGAAGACCAACTAGATGTAACTACTACCCGTATGCCAGCTTCGATAGCTTGATTCATGTTTGATGGCTACGTAGGCGGTGAGTCAAGCGGTGGAGTCAACAGTCTATCGACTGCCGCATCTTCGGCGTTAAGACCACCAAGTATCAACCTGTTAACAACCCCATGTCCTCCGATTCTCCAGAGAAAATGTCGGCGCTGAAAGGCGCCGCTGCGCCAATTTACTTTGGCTCATTCCTAGTCACACCACAGGTACTTTGTCCCGCTGGAAACCTTCCACCTCCACCTCCACCTTAGAGCTTGACCTTGATCTCCACCTCCACCCCGAGAGATCTCAAGCCCTAAAGTCGATAACAAATTCACTAACAACCGCCAATTCCCACAGGTCTTCTACACAACACCCTTAACCTTTGCCCTCGTCAACCTCAAACCAATCCTACCAGGCCATGTCCTCGTCTCACCCCGCCGCGTCGTCCCCCGCGTCTCAGACCTAACCGCCGCCGAAACAAGCGATCTATTCCTCACCGTCCGGCGCGTAGGACGAATGGTCGAAAGGATACACGGCGCCTCGGCTCTGAATATCGCCGTGCAGGACGGCCTGAATGCAGGACAGAGTGTACCACATGTCCACTGTCATATTATCCCGCGCAAGGCGGCAGATCTAGATCACCGCGGTGGCACGGACGCTATCTACGACATGCTGGATGGGGAAGAAGGCGATGTGGGCAAGGTATTCCGTGAGGCTGGGAGTTCTGGTTCAGAGCGCGCGGAGACAAGGACAAAGTTCCCTGTTGTCGATGATAAAGAGCGTAAACCGCGTGGACCGGAGGATATGAAAGCTGAGGCAGAGATGCTGGCACGGGAAATGGAGAAGGAGCCGCTTGATTGAAGGGGTGGTGATGCCTTGGTGGCAGTATGCCACGGCCATCGACTGTGTTGATAATCTATGCGCTACACACGACCACTGCGATTCAGAAATAGGGTTTCTGGTAGAGATAGGAGGTTTTGACAGGGCTGCCAGTGAGATATCCACGGGATACGGAGTTAACTGGTGCATGCAATCGTGGCTGGTGGAAGAGATAAACGAACCCTTCCGATGAGTGGTTCCCAGCTCTAATTAGATAGAAGTTCTGTGCAAATAAGTGTATTGATAAAGGCAAAGACGTACTTATCCCCGAAAAGCCTTGTGCAGTCATTCATCGTCATGCATCCTTCGTAAAGCACCTCCTCAACGCTTGCTCTGTTTCTATAGTATCTAGGGAATTCCAAAGCTCCGATCTAACCAAAAGAAACGGGTGAAAGCAAAGAAAGGAGCGCCTGGTTAACCCTTATGCGAGCAGAGGTTTCATTAATCCTCCAATCACCGAGAAACTCTAACCTTTCACTTTCGCTGCGGACGCTCTTTGATCACCTGCTCGGCCCAGACCTTGATCTCGGGCAGTTGGACACGGGCCGCGACACGCGTGAACTCGGTGAGATCGACGTCATTGGAACGCTCGTATTCGACCATCTGCAGCAGCAATTCCATCTTATCGATATCGTGCACGAATTGCGCCTCCAGGGTGACATTCTCCTCGTATTCCTCGAAAACGCGCTTGATTTCCTGGGCCGACAATGCGCCGCCGGGGACCTGGCCCAGCAGGGAAGTAGTGATGTAATCCATGACAGCGGCCTCGCGGCTGGCCTTCTCGGCCTTGGTGATGTGCACATCGACCGGGGTGATGTCGCCGACTAGTGACTCGGCCATGTCGTGAACGAGAGCCATCTTGGTGCAGTGGGGGATGTTCAGTCTAGATGCCAATTCTGGCGGGGCAAACATCGTCATGATCGACATGCGATACATGTGGTCGGAGATGGATTCGCCATTGATTCCGAAACGGCGCCAGCCTTCGCGCTTGGTGGTCTTGAGGCGTTCGAGGAGGTGGAAGAAGGGGATTGGAGAGGTGGTGTTCTCTTCTGGGGGGTGGGGGAGGGTCGAAAGGACTATTGAGGGTCAGAAGCAGAGATTGGTGAGGGGGATGACTGGGCTTACCGGTTTGAGGAGTCCAGGAAGAATTGTCGGACCCCATGGCTGTGAGGAGAGGGGAGATTGGGGTAAAAATGAGGTGGAGGTCAAGAGAAAAACAGAAGAATCAGGAACCATGGGAGTTCTACTTTGGGAAGGGTACCCTAAAGTAGGAAAGCGGGACTGATAAGGGCTTATCGCTTTGTTGACATGCGTTTTCGGAGGAGCTCTGACTGGCTGACGGGACCTAACCTTAGAGGTAGTGACCTCCCGCTAGCATCATCTCCCCCGGTCCCGCCTTTAATTAATTTGTACACTTCCTCGAACCCCTCTTCATGGCATCAAGGTCCGCTCGGCCAAAGCCCCTGGACTGGGTGACTCCTCCACCTCTGACTATCTTCATCCGAAACCTCAAACTCCTTCAACTGGACCAGCGCGACGATTGGCCCGACATCACTCTCCGCGCGCTATCCCCATCATCTCAGAATCAACGACAGCGAATTCGCCTGGTAGAATGGGCTCTCTACCATCTATTCGCAACCTGGGATCCGGAATATGCTCAAAATGTTCGCATACTAAATTGGATCCCTCTTGCTTTTGGAGCTTGCTAATCTGATCTGATTCCGATATCCTAGAAACTCCGCCCATTCTTCCCACCGCTAGAACCCCTACAATCTGTCAACCTTCGCGCCGCTCTATTCCGCTCGCTCGGCGAATTGAAGAAAAATGGCGATCTGGGTCGGGAAATCATTCTCCGCAAGACAATGCTGGATGACTGTAAGGGGGAGAAATTCGATGAGCTCCTGGCTGTCTTCTCGACCGCTGTTCTCCGCAAGCTTCTTGCGCTTTCCGCACTGGATACATCCTGGAACCCAGCCCTGAAGGTCGCTACTGCGGCAGCTATCTCCCCCACGGAGTACCAGAATCTCCTGCCCCTAGTGCTTGCCCACCAGGTGTCCCTTGGCGCAACAGGGGGGCGCCGAGCACATGCACACGAGACATATGAGAAGTTCTCACAACTTCTGGACAATAAGAGGGAAGAGCTTACGCAACGAGCTAGTCTTCAATCCGAGAAACTTCCGACCTACGAAGGGGTGAAAACAGCGGGACTAGCTCAAGAACTTCAAGCGAACTGGCTGGGCAGCGAGGAGTGGGCTATCGCTTTGCTTGATGGTGGATCGCACAGCAGTACAGATGGGTTCTTGGAGCTCCCCTTTTCGCAGGCTTGGGCACGCACGAAGGAATCCAGGGTGGATGGTCTAGGTGGAGGCGCCAAATCAGACCTGGTAGTTGACTTGGAGGCACGGGTCTTGCGTCTACGGAGTCGCCTGCGCCGATGGCATGAATACAACGATTCCCTCCGGAACGAGCGCAGCGACAACCCTAATGCAGTGGGGAGCAAGTCTACTGAGCCTCGCGTGCAGTTTCGAGATCACCAAGCTATGTCGGTGGCCAGTATATCCAAAGCGGTGCGGCAGCCTGGGGACCGTGACAGGTCGCTGAAAGATACAGATCAATCAATCATGTCAAGTGTCACTGAGGCTATATCACGCATCAATGTCAAGGTAGAGCCCTTCGAAACTCGCCCTGTGCGGAACACAGAACCTCCAGTCTCACATTCACCGCCGTCGTTGGTCACGTCAGAAGAACCAAGTGATCAAAACCTGTCACCCTCGCCTTTGAAGATAACCGACCCCATCAACCCACCCCCAACTCTCAGTCCTCCAGAGATTCGGACAAGTGAATATCAGGAGAATCTACACTCATCGCCTCCAATCGTCCGCCTCTCCCCAGATCAACACTCTAAGGAGCAACTAGATCTGGACCAAGATCCTGAACCTGAACCCCTAAAGCAACAACCACCACCACCACCACAAAACTACACTCTAGTCGAACGAACCCGCAAATCAATGTCTCTCATTCCACCCCTCCCCTCCCACGAGAACCCTCAACCTCGCCGCCGCGGTCCCCGCCCTTCATTCCCAACCAACCAATTCGAAACGCCCCGGAAGATATCACAGCCTAAGAGTATTCCATCCCGCGCATCAACGCCACAGGATCAACTCTTCCAAGAGGATGCGGATTACGCGAGTGTTTTCAAGTCAAGGCCAAGAATTGCGTTGAGTCCCGTTTCCTCCCCTGCGGTCCATGTGAGTCCTACCTTTGACGAGGACGAAGAATTCGACTTGGTTTATGATGATGACGATTACGGTAATGCGGAGCTGGAGGCTGTGGATTCGCCTTTGGCTACGCAGCGGGTGAGGCGTTTTTGAACAAATGATGATTGGGTTTTCCTTCTGCTCTTCGTGGGTAGGGTGTATCTATCTACTATTGCACATAGTTGAAGTATAAGCACATACATCGGGTGATCCCACGCAAATTACTGACTCCATCTTCTACACCTTCCCTTGTTTATCATACTACGCTTGTTTGGCACTACTAAGACCCGGGACGCATATCAGAGAGTATTTGGCCTCGTGCATGCAGAGCCGGGAGAGCGTTTTGTCCCATTGCGCAGATTTACTCAGGCCACACTCCTATATCTAGGTCTAGTATCAGTGGCTACAAAATGTTTGCCCGATCATACTATAGCTAATCTAGGTCTCGAAAAGTGTTATCGTCATCATTTCAAACCCCGAATTCCCCCCAAAACTCCTCCTTTCAACGACATCTCCATTGTTTCATCTTGATTGATTGATTGATTGATTCGCACGGTCTATGCTAGTATGAATCAAATGGTCAATGAATCAAGGGGGGACAAGGGGAATGCTGTTCAACGTCTCCGAGATGTGTCGAGGAGAAGAGAGGTAGAGATAGAGACGGAGGATAGAGGGAGTACCTAGGTACTACTATTAGGTACCTAAAGTGCAAGTACAGGTGCAAGCAAGTGTTTGAATTGGGGTGACTGTGACCCTCACCGAATACCTAGTAGGTAGTTACACTTCACAGAAGGCGCGATGGTGATCTGCTTGCTTGATTAGTACAAGAGAACTTCTTATAGGACTATGAGAATAATAATAATAGCACCTGGTTACTGACTTCAATCTCGAGCATCTTGCAATCCAATCCAATTCCCCTTAAGCCCTCAACCATTACTTACTACTCTACATCTATACCACCAACCACATTACCATGCAAAACTCAGAAGCTTTCTATGGCTACTACTACAGCGTCCAAACCAGTGGCGGAGCTGTCTTCCTGGCTGTCGTCTTCCTCGTTCTCACTCTGGGTCATTTCTGGAAAGTCATCACCACCCAGAACTGGTTCGGTCTCGCGATCGTGACTGGGGGAATCTGTACACCAAACCCTGACCCTGACCCTGACCCTGAATGAAATCCACACTCTAACCTTACAAATTTCAACCCATCAAGTCGAATTTGTAGGCCTCTCTGCCCGAGCCTGCTCTCACAGCACACCCAACGTTCGAGCACCCTTCAACATCCAAGTCGTTTTCATCTTCCTCGCACCGATATTCTTCGTCTTATCCATGCACTTATTCCTCCATCGAATGATCTCCGCCTCACGACACAAATCCCTCTCCCTGATTAAAGACACCTGGTTACTCCCAATCTTCTGTACCAACGACCTGCTCTCGTCCATCCTCCAAGCCGTCGGCGTCGGCTACCTCGTCAAAGCACGAAGACGAAGCGCAGCCACCGTAGCAAGATACGTCATGCTCTCCGGGCTCACTATTCAGATTTTATCCAACTTCCTCCTCGTGCTATGTCTAATCGTCTTCTCGCTCCGCGTGAACTCGCCCTACCTGGCCCTGGCGGTAGATCCAAACCTCCGGCTCAATACAAATCTGCGCTGGCTGGGTGCGTGCAGTCTTTTGATCGTTGTTCGGAATATCACGCGGATGGTCGAATTCCAGGGCAGTCTTGAGGGGTATTTTGAAGCTCATGAGTGGATGACGTATATCCTGGATGTCATTTTGATGATGCTCTTCATGGGTTTCACCGTGTTTTGGTACCCACGTGGTAGTGGTAATTCTCCTCGGCTCAGGAATAACTATCCGTTGATGCCTCGGAGCCGCAATCTTTGAACAGCCTGCATATTCTTGTCTTTCTGGCGTCATTTGCTACTGGATATGCTGGTTGGGGGACATGGGTCTGGGTGTGCATAGCCCTGCACTGGATAACGGCTTGGAGAAGTTGGGCTTGCGGCTCTTGTCTTACATAGCTTCATCGGAGTATGGACCGTATTTTCCATGAACTCGGCATCAACTTGGACTTGATGGATCAAGTCGAAGACCCGCAATGTGATAGTGTGATACTGGTGCATATCAAACCTCGGGTACATGTAGTACTTATGCTTACCCGCTGAGCGGTAACCGGCTCAGTGGCACCACCTCGAACAGAACTCGCATATGGTGGGTTAGATATTGAGCGAGGGATAAACTATTCCAAGTGGAGCTAAGTACTTATGTTTACGCTACCCGCCCAAGAACAACAAGATGTCCCCCAAACAAGAAATGCGAAAGATTTACTACTACCAACACGGTGCAACAGGTGGGTGGATTTACAAAAGGAGGATATACAACCAAAGAAACCGGGTATCAATTCGCGCTCAGACAAGCAGGCATACATACACTACCCTCTCTCGCAGATAAAAAAAGCATCAGACATAAAATTACAGACGGGCGCAGGACAGAATCCCAGAAGAAGAAAAAAGGCCCTGCACCTTCCTCAATGATCTGCAACAAGGTAAGAGGAGGGGGTTCAAGAAAGGCAAAAAAGCCCGCCAATAAATTCACATAGACAGGGCGTTGCGGGGGGAAGCGAGGGCCAACAATAAGGTCACGGAGGTATTTATGCGCCTGCTTCCTTGAGACGCCGTGGAACAGAACATTAAACAGAAAGGCAGACTCCGAATCCAAACTCCGGGTTGCATCATAGAATGCGAAGATGAGTGTATAATCATGCGTCTCTCTTGGAGACAAAAAGGTAATATCGGCAGGTGAAGAAGGGCTGGGATGAGGGTGGATTCGTTTCTGCGTGTCGCTCTTTCTCGGGTACCACGCAGAAATGAGTCTATGCAATGCAAAAGAGACCATTGTTATTGTGGTCCGGGATGAGGACTGATGGGATCATTCCCGTGCGGGGAAGATTTTCACATTCAGGTGAAGTGGAGAAGGAGGAGGAGGAGATGGCCCGGGGTTATGATGAGTTCCGGGCTTTGGCTAGCCAGGCTCTCCACCATTTGCAAACGCCGATGACAGCAGCGCGGCCGTCGTCTTTGCGTTCAGTTCCGTCTGGATTTCCCATCATCATGGTGAAGACCCAGAAGAAGGCGGCAGTCCAGGCTAGCAAGAGGATGGCGATACTGAAGAACGGAGAGAGTAGTAGAACTACGATGGACATGCCAACGGAATAATCTCTACTCGAGCTCCCCATTTCTGACGGGTCGGTATCAATCTCGGAGTGGATCCATTGTGTGGAGGAAGAGCGATTTGATGTGGGAGGTCGCATGTGGACGAGACGCTCATGAATGTGAAGGACTGGGGAGAGGAGGTCGCAGAGGTGAGAGGAGAAAGTTGTCTTGCTGAGGTATGCTGATAGGGAGCAAAGACGAAGTGGTGCCGTCAAGATGGCGAAGAAGAGTGCACAGCAGGTATATAGACAGGCCGCAAAGGAGTATACTGGGACAGGGACAGAAAGTCGGAACTATATGGAGAGGTTAGTTTAGTAAAAGGCTGCAATCTAAACAAGAATCTAACGGCGTGGAAAGACATACCAGCATGAGCAGTGCGTCCTGGCCATCATCGGAACTATTGTCGTCCGGGGACGAGCGCTTATGGTTGCGCGAGGCACTCGATTGCTCGCCCGGCATCAATGAGGGCTGATCAGCCCAGCTACCACGGCTGCGTTCTTCCTTGTGGGCTGGACTAGTGGGCACCACAATCCGAGTCACAACTGGGTCGTCCTCCACTCGGGATGGCCGACGGGAAGCCTCCGGGGAGTAGGCGTTAGATCCCCGCGGACCAGACGAGCGGGGGCTCACGTCGTAAGATTTTGATTCGAAGGAGGGTCGGGTCGGACTTGGATACTTTGGCTCGGGATGATCTGGAGATCGACGGGGTGGAGGGGCTCGAATCGAATTGTTCGTCATGCCGATAGTGCCCTGGCCTTGGTGGTAGGCTGGAGTATATGACATCTCCGGAGACCGCATGGCGAGCCGGAGTACAGGCGAAGGGCAAGGCGAGCAGCCGTAGGTCGTACAAAGCGCACAGAGGGCGACTTACGGACTAGAGAGCTCACGGCGCATGGTTTTCCCTAGCCAAGGGCACGTTTCGAGGCCTTATAGGGGGGGCGGGGCGATTGAGACCGGGGAGAGGAAAGGGCGGAAGACGAAAGACTGAGCCAGCTTTTCCCACCACGAAACACGAGGGAAAGAGCTAGGGCGGAAACACAGTCTTATAAGACGGAGACACAGCGGAAGGGCCAGGGAAAGCCATGGCAGCGGAGGAGGACGCAGCTGTTTGCAGGTTCTCTTGCCAAGACGCCCAGATGCCGAGCCCTTGGCAACCTTTCGAGGCTCGAGGCCATCGCCACGACACCCTCATTGATTATGATTCCATTAGGGGCAGTTCTCAGTAAATAAAGTACTTGAAGTAAGCATCTTGATATCTTTCTTCATTTTGATCCTCATGGAATGGTGCTGAAGATAGGTTGGACAAGGACTGTCCCATGCATCAATTTACGATGTTTTACCAATTGCCAAGATGCCAAGGCGCAAACTAAATGATGAGCCACCGAACTCGGCATTTGATTGGTGCAATACCACCTGCTGGGGCACCTTGGCATTCAATCTGGTATTTCACGTGATTCGGTGAAGACTTCCGGGCATGCCACGCTACTGTATTATATTACACAGTTATATCCAACATGCAGGATCTACGGAGTGCCCTAGATACCATACCATATGAATTATACTCCGTATACTTCTTACCATCAATATCATGCTCTCCCTCCAATACACCGCTCGCCGGATTATAACAACCGTCCGTCCAGCCACATAACCTCGGTGACCCGCGTGCCGAGCCTGCCCAGACGCCGAGAGATTGGCAAAATTCATTTGCTCTGAATGGAAAATGGAAGAAGGGGGGAACCCAGAAAACCAGACAAAGTGCAGGATTTCCGTGTGTTTTCAATATTTCTTAGGTAAACCCCTCAATAGTCTGCACTTAGGTTCCTGGGCACAAAGATAGATGCACATCCCCCATGATCGCCAGACCGCACACGCCAGTACCTACCCTACTTAGGCTTGGTCTTGATCTTGGACACGGACTTGGGCTCAGACATGTGTAATCTGGGTGTCCTCTGTACGATCTTCCCGTGTCTTCGAGAAATGATGCCATGCCTTGATACCATATTTCACCCCCCTCCTCTGACTCGTTCCTGGCAATTTGAGGGAGTCTTGGCTTCCTTCCTCTCATTCCACCAGGTCCGATGACTCAAGACCAAGACGAATCAAAAATCAGCGGCGGATTGTTGCACCCGCCCTGTACGCTCGTCTTTGTTTCGTGAAATGCTCATCTCTTGGCTCCGTCGCCCAGATTTGCTCGGCAACTCCCACATGCTGCAGAAATCTCGCGAGCCGCGCTTGGCTGGGGCGGTCAGATACGGGGTGTTGCGTGGCCCTGGCCTGGGCTTTCTTCCTTCTCGTTGCCACTGGGCCGCGCTTCTTGTGGTCGTAGACCCTGAAAGCCCGAATCTGAAACTGCCCAGAGTTGCCTGGTATTTTCCTCTGTCACTGTCACATTGGGGCGCTGAAGGCAACAATGTCAAAGAAGTAGATAGTCTGGGCAATCGTCCGGTAGGAAATCGCTAAGAAACTCCCCCTCTGTACTCCGTAAATGGGGGGGGCCCGCTGATATGACAGGAGGATGATCTCGTTTCGGGTTGACATTGACATTGACATCGACTCTGTCTAATCAGCTGGTGCTCTGCCGAGCTCGGGGAGTAATTCGGCTGATCATCTGTAAGTCGATCATGAGCTGTCACCACACCGCGACAAGGGTGGGTGTAGATCTTTCACATCCTTTCAGGTTTCTCTCCCGTGGCCGTGCATTTCACCCCACTGTGGCCGGGACTCTAGATATGTCCTCCGTGCTCCGTACAATGTCAAAGAACGCCCCCGGAGGTTCATGCGCTGTAATCCGACACCGATGGTTTCGAGGACGGGAGGGTCCGCTCTCTACCAATCGGATGGGTGTCAATCGACTGATCATTGCAGAAGCTTGGATTGGTCGGTGCCACCGGTGCAACAAGTCAAAGTCTGACCCTACAAGAGATTGACAACAATATCGAGCGGTGGATGGGAGATTTTTCCTCACTCCATGTGGATTTGTGGGTCCTCTCTCTGACACCGACTCGTTTTCAATCTCCTTCACCCCACAGTTGGTCTAACGGCTGAATTTTGGCCTCTTAGTCAATGATCTCTCTTGAGGGGCCTGTTCTTCGTTTCCTGGTATTTCGTGCATTCTGCAATCATGTTACATAATCAAACAAGGATGCAGGAAGCGGTTAGCTCCCTGAGTGACACGACACTGTTTACTACCAGTAGCAGTATGCATACCCGTATATCATGAAATTCTCGTCAGAGAGAGAATGTAGCGAGATCGATTGTTTGCATGCCGTATGCTGAGAAAAGAAACAATTTAGGTATTTTTGTATTCTGCCATGCCAGTTGACTCAGCAAGCCTATCAGTCCAGGCAAACGCTGCTGCTGCTGACCCCTTTGGCAAACCTAGGGCAATGAGACGTGTGTACGGAGTACATAGGGGGTGCTGGGCCAGTGTTTACATTGATCTGCATAGCCTTGCGACTGCAATTATGCACCAGCATTTCGTACAGAGTACTCCATCTGTACTCCGTACTGCATCGAGATATGATTTAGGCGCAGCGATAGATCAAGCCTAATCCGCAGCACCTACGCTGCATACTGCAAGGGAGTGATCAGCCGCAGGGCCCCGGGCACGCATGATGTGGAAGATCGCGTCGTCCCCTGCTTCCTGTCAAGCATTTCTATGATTGCGGAGAACGAGGTCAAGACTCCCCGATCTAGGGCTGAGCGCTATTTCTCAGGAAAAAAAAAGTCAAATGGCGCAAATCTCGGGAAGACGCATTGCCGGTCCAGAGAGAAATAGGCGTGCTACACACAAACTATGGACTAATATGCAGTACATAGAGTTTGGCGGTTTTTTTTATGCTTTTTGGATTATAAGTTCACATATCATTTTCCTTTTTTTCTTACACTATTCGTGGATGGGACTCGGATGTCTTTAAAAAGGAAAAAAAAAGGAAAAAGATAAGGAAAAGAAAAAAAACTTGGGTGTGGGCCCAGTCCAGGCTCTCGATCTGCGGCCCGTCAAAAATTCGCGTTTGATCGATAATAGTTTATGCAAACCTTTCTCGATCCAATCAGAAAGTAACCATAATTTATAAATTCTTAGCATAATTCTGATATTTTCGAGTAAAGGGCGATCGATTTAGCCTAAAATGTAACTTGTAATCAATCCGTGGAGGTTCTAGTACTGGGGCAAACTTCAAGTTCCAAGGTTCAAGTTGGACTCAGCCGCATGAGCACCCAAAATATGTATAAACGTCTGGGCAGTAGTAGAAGCCCTGGAGGTTTATTGCCAGTGGGTGCTGGATTACTAGTATGTGTGAACACACATTCCTCCGAAAAAGCAATTTTAAGTTACATGCATACTAGTATGTAATCTCCTCAGAAAAAGGGCTGAGCCCAATCATTACGCTCAATCCCTTCGTGTGTAGGCACGGAGTACCAGCTGTGGCTTTTGCTAGTGGTAAAGTACTAATTAGCAGTCAAAAGATCATCAATTGGCTGAGACACCAACGTTTCAATCGATACTGAGAAGCACTGGCAGGTAGATCGAAGGTGAAATAAGCTATACAAGACAGATAAAGTACCTACATACCTAGGTACATAACCTGAAGACAAGCGCCAGTCGGTCACCGTTGCCGTGGTACTCGAACAAACCACACTACCGAGTCCATCTCGGGCTGCCTGATCTGTGGCTGCAGCACGGTCGCCGCCATGGCGCACTGGCTGATCCGATGTCGAGGTTTATTGGAAAGCCAACCAGCCGGGCTAGACCAGTGCTTTTATCTGCCATGCTGCTGGGACACACGGGAGGGGGCTGGAATTCTGTCCGGGGTAATCCATGGCGGAGCTTTCTTCGTGTTCCCCGGCGTCTGCACGGTCGCAGATTGGTGTAGCCAGCCATTCTAGTTTAATCCGAGGGTGCATGGTCTCGATCTGATTGTCACATGGCTGTACCTGAGACCTGTGGTATTTTTTTTTTTAAATTTTCTTTTTACGTCTACTGCGAGTCCGTACATATGTACATACTCCGCCAGTGTAGCCTTGTGGTCTCCCTCCCGCACGGACCGATAGAAGTCGAGCGCGATCAATAGTGAATGTGGGTGATGTGGTGATCCTTAAGCTAGGACGGGAATCTAGTACGCAGTATTCTTCCGATTCTGGACTTGTGTACATAGATTCATGCTTTGCATTTATGATTCATGTTTCTCCACTTGGCGACGCGGGTCGTACATCGACCGTTCCGACTAGGCGGATCTGCAATCGCCTGCTTTGATCGAGCCTGGATCTGTACAACAAGAAATGGCGATTGCAATGCTAGAAATAGCCTGATATATTTACCGATACCTTCAAGAGCGGTCTCTGTTGGAAATAAGTCAATAAGTAAAAAGAAATGATTCTCTCGGGGAAACATCGAGTCACCGGGCCAAGCATTGCGACAATGTGTCCTCAACCTCCTCGGTTGAATATGCGATACCTTGCGACAGTCTGAGTGAATCGTGAGTTTGGTAGGTTGCACAGTCCCACCCCCATGTTGAAATCAAGTTTGAAGATCGTGCAATGACTTATCTTTCCTCCTCTACCTCAGGCCTAGGCACATTCTTCTCTCCCCCTTTCCCTTCCACAAGAGGCTCACGCGGCCTTAGGTAATGGCTCGGAGCCGGAAGTCTCCACAGTGGGCTCTAGTATGCGCGCGGCTGATTTCTTACGTGGAGCGTAGGGCACAAGTCCCGAGGAAATTCCCTGGTTACATCATCTGGCCCGGCTGTAGGGGTCCGAAGGGGAGGGGGCTGCGCCAGATCCGCTCCCAATAGCATGCATACTGGTACTTCAACTATGAGAGGGACAAGACATGTAAATGGGCGTTCGAAGGATCGGATTGTCTTATCCGGGGAAATGGGAATGTGACGGACTTTTGAACCAGGATCAGCGAATGCCGGTGAGTCCCACATCTCCCAAACGCGACCCATTCTGACTTTGGCCCCCATCCCAGCGGCTGTGTAACCCAGGGGAGATCTGCGTCTGCCAGACAACGATTTGGTTCATCATCGGGTACCCGAGGCCATTGGCGGAGGGAATGTGCGTTGGCAGCCCCCCGTCCGTTTGCCAGTGTTTCACAACTGACCTATAGACTACTACGCAACAGCAGCGGCTCGGCTAGCCAAACCCTGCACAGACGGAATGGGAGAAGGAGAAGAGTGAAAGATCTGTATCCATTTCCAGTGGAGCCCTTTGAACCCACTACAGTTCCTCATGACGCCATGGGGGCGGATCGAAGATTCTGCTGGATGCGGTAGGGATATGGTAGACTCAAACAAGGATCAGGCAGTGGGTGTGGATTGAGAGGGAGGGTCTCCTTATTTCGGGAGGGGGAGGTGTGGATTGCTGTGGACTGAACGGGTTGAGGACTGAAATAAAAAGGGGGGGGGGGCGCGTGTGCATTGTCACATTTTGGCTCCACTGGGTCAGAGTCTTAGTATAAAGATGATCTGTGGCGCTGTGGCTGAAGAAGAGCCGAATAATCGAATCAGAAAATTACAAAAAGTCGCAATAGAATTGGAAATGTATAGAAAGGGGAGAAAAAGCCCCAGAAAGTAAATTTTTCTAAAAAAATAAGACAATAAAATTGAAATTAATGAATAAAAAGAGAAAAAAGAAAAAGAGAAGGAAATTCCACAACAGGAAAGACACTAGACCTAAGGAGGTAAGTGACTGGGAGCGGGAATAATGACGGAAGGGGGCGAACCGTTTAGGAAATGCACTAGCGGCTGGAGGAATGCAAGTCAAGGAACCCTGCAGGTGCGGAGAATACAGACAAATGAGAAGAGGGTGAGAAAAAGATCGAGGCGTCCACAAAGCAAAGAGGCAACAGGAGAAGAGCCGAAGAAAACGAAAGTACATGAAAGGAATGGTATGGATATCTACTCCGTACAGGGTACAGGGTGCATGGTACAGATACCTAGCGTGCAGTTGACAGCTCTAGTAAATGTGGATAGCATGCCCTCAGATGCAAGATGAGGTATTGGTCTATTGTGGGGGGTGGGGGGAAGAGGACATAGTATACTAGCACGGAGTACGGAGTAGCAGGTTCAGGGCTGCACGATGCCGGCTTTGCGGAAGCGATGGGGCAGCAGCTGGGAGCAGACAACGAGTAGGCGACCAGGGGGGGTTACAGAGTGTTGCTGCACCTAGCGCAGCTACTGCGCCTAATGCACCCACCCCGACAGGGAAAAGGCACACAGGGATCTAACACGCACAGACCACCATGATTTTTCCTTTTTTTTTTTCCTTTTTTCTTTTCTTTTCTTTTTGTTTAGGGTTAGCTGTGACGGAGAAGGCTAAAGTAGTCGGAGTGGCACGGAGACGGGGACCAGTGGCACTAAGACCTTAGCACCAGCGACCACGGGGGGAGTCCACCCCGAGGCCCCACCAGGGCGCCACTCGGCCCAACCGGGGGCTTAACGGTGTGGATCCTGGGATGTACCAGATCGTGATAGACTAGTCTTATTACTGGCAATTTTGATGTTAAGAGATATTGATAGAGTGATGATGATTGATTTTGATGGATGTACTATTCCAAGCAATCAACCATTTTTGATAGAATATTTACTCAATGACTCCCCTACATCTTTAGGCATCTCCCACCAAAAGCATACGAACCCCAGATCGGCTCCACCACGCTAACCCACTTTAGGTCGTCAGCTTTTTTTGCGCGGTGGTGACGGCCGCTGAGCTGCGCAACCACTAGCGTATTCTTGGCCAATTTCACACCTTTCTTGCCAGCCCCTCGACTCTCTCTTCCCTCCTTCCTTTGGGCTTCATCTTCATCCTTCTATCCACCTCTTCTCCCCCTCCCTTTTCCCCTCCCCTTTGGACGCGGTTGATTTCTCATCCATACCGTCTTTCCTTTCTCTCCCCATCCCTCTTCCCTCGCGTTCCCTATTTTTGGAGCCTGTGGAAAGCTAGCTCTCTCCGGATTTTCTCCACGCGCGCTCCTTTCCCGTCCCCGATTCCATCCTCGGGAGAGGCATCACACCACACCCAACCCTCCGCCTTTCCCGATCGACCCTCTTCCATTAGGGCGATTCCGTGTCGCATATTCACTCACCCTGCAACACTAAATTTCCCAAACTCTACTTGTTCCCACTCATAGTCGGCTTCGATCATTCGCGCCCGCCTGTCATCCATCGACTCGGTACTTTGCATCATCGTGTCGCAAGACCCATCTAGTTTGGATTGCGACATCGTTGAATTTTATCGAGATTTCAATTTTCGCTCCGAATTATGTCTCATACTCAACCCTCACCCACCGCGGGTGTGGCTCCCCACCACGCCGCGGCGCACATGGCCGCTCACGCCCAGGTTAACGGACACATGCCCGCTATGCCTGCGCAAGGCCAAAAGGGGGTTCCTCTCACCACAGCCCAGAAGATTGCCGCGCTCAACGAGCAAGTCTGGTTGTCAATTGGTAAGAATGCGACCCGCGTTTCCTCACCTCTGTAATAACAACACGCGATTAAGTACTGACGGTGGATCTCATCTTGTAGGCAGTTTGACTGAACTTATGGGGGATCTCGATGGCGCTATGAATGCGTATGAGCAGGCTTTGCGTCACAACCAATGGTCCATCCCGGCCATGAACGCCATCTCCTGCATCCTCCGCACTAAGGAGCAATTTCCCAAGGCCATTGAGTATCTTCAGAATATCTTGAAGCTGGATCCAACCAGTGGAGAAACTTGGGGCAGCTTGGGACACTGCCATTTGATGATGGATAACCTTCAAGAGGCATACACCTCCTACCAGCAAGCCTTGTACCATCTGCGCGACCCGAAGGTGAGTCGCTTTTTGCTTTCCGCTCCCAACCCCAACAAAACAAAAATTAATTCCCACCTAGGAACCCAAGCTCTGGTATGGAATTGGCATTCTCTACGATCGTTATGGATCCCTTGACCATGCCGAAGAAGCCTTTTCTCAAGTTATGCGCATGGCTCCCGAGTTCGAGAAGGCCAATGAGATTTACTTCCGCCTCGGTATAATCTATAAGCAACAGCAGAAGTTCAGCCAGAGTCTGGAGGTATGTGACGTCCATTAATCACCCACGACGGTTCAATAACTGACTTGTTTCTCAGTGCTTCAAGTACATTGTCAATGACCCGCCTCGCCCACTGACTGAAGAGGACATTTGGTTCCAGATCGGTCACGTTCATGAGCAGCAGAAAGATGTAAGTTCTCGCCTCGTCACAACCTTGAGCCGGAAATGCTCCTAACACCATTGTTTTTTTTTTTTTAGTTCGACTCCGCTCAAGCAGCCTATCGCCGAGTTCTCGAACGCGACCCCAACCACGCAAAGGTCCTGCAACAACTAGGATGGCTCTACCACCAACAAAGTGGTAGCTTCTCAAGCCAAGAGAAGGCCATCGAGTTCCTCGAAAAGTCGGTTAGCGCAGACAACAATGACGCGCAGAGCTGGTACCTTCTTGGTCGCTGTTACATGTCGCAGGCGAAGTATCCCAAGGCCTATGAAGCCTATCAACAAGCTGTGTATCGTGACGGTCGCAACCCTACTTTCTGGTGTTCTATCGGTGTTCTCTACTACCAGATCAATCAGTACCGCGACGCGCTCGATGCTTACTCTCGTGCGATCCGCCTGAACCCATATATCTCTGAGGTTTGGTACGATCTGGGCACTCTGTACGAATCATGCAACAACCAAATTTCCGACGCGCTGGATGCCTATGGGCGCGCTGCCGATCTGGACCCGGCCAATGTCCACATCAAGGCTCGTCTGCAATTGCTCCAAAGCCAACTCCAGGGCGGCAATGCCCAACAGCCAAACGCTCCCGTGCCTCAACCGCAAGATGTTCACCCCCAGGCATACCAGGCTCCTGGTGTCGGTCAGCCGCCCGCTCCCCAGTGGGGCGCCCCAGCTCCAGTTGGTCCCCCAGCCCAGGCACCTGCGCCCCCGAGACAGATTGCCGATTGGAATCGCGGCATCAACGACCTCACGTCTCAAGGACCGGCTCCCCCGGCCAACGGCCTCGACCAGCGTGACCCAGTCCGTGCCCCCGGCCCTATTCCTCAGGCAAGCCCTCGACAGGAACCCGGTCGTGCTTTCCCTGACCCTGCTCGTGGCCCAGCTCATTCACCCAAACTGGGTGGTTCCTCTGCCTATCCTCCGCCACACCTGCCTCAGATTGCAAATGCTCCTCCCTCGGGCCATGAGCGTGCTCCTAGCGGTGGTTTCCCCCCCGTGGCTCGCGGGCCTCTACCTCCTGCCCCCCCTGCTGCCGCCGCTCCTCCTCCGGGTTCCAATGGCGGCCCTCCTCCTCCCCCTGCTGCTCCCGGTGCTGTTGGTGCACCTCCTGCTTATCACCGCCCCTTCACTCCCCCTACTGAGATCCGACCTATTCGGGAAGAGCGACCCTCTTCACCTGGTTCAAGCTACCCTCACCAACAGTATCACCATGGGCCCACAGCCCCTGCACCCCCAGCTCCTAATTCAACTGGCATTGCTTCGGGTGCTCCTGCTCCTGCATCGGCTGCGGCTGCCGCAGCTGCCGCCGAAGCAGCTGCTCGTGAGCGTGGTGAAGACCGTCCCGCCTCTGCCATGAAACGTGGCCGTGAATGGGAGGGCGAGTCTGGACCAGTGAAGAAGCTGGCCAGTGATGAGAACCGGGCCCGCCTAGATGATCAGAACAGTCGCCGCCCAAGCCCACCTGCACATTTGCCGTCTCCCAGCGAGATGCAACGTCGCAGCTCTTCGGAAGCCCGCCGTGAGGATGCCCGCCGTGCCAACGAGAACTATCACCCATCTGAGGCAGCCCATCATCCTCCCACCTTGCCCTCGATTCAAAACATGCCTCCCCACGCTTCTAGTGGCCCCAGCCTTCCTCCTATGTCTGAGACTGCTGCTCCCGCCTCTAACGGACCCCCCCTCGGGTCCTCCTTCGGCTAACACCCCCGTCAAGGAAGAGGCTCATCGCCCCGAGGCACCCGCATCTCACGAGCCCCCAGCTCGGAAAATGGACGTTGATGAGGACTATGATGATGATGTCGATGAGGAGAAGAAGGTTGCCGCGGCGCCCAAGGGTAGCCCTAACGGCGAGAGTGCGGCCAACGGCACCAGCAACGGTCGCCCAGGTACGCCTTCTAAGGCTGAAACCTCTGCATAAAAGGCCGGGGTTGATCAAATGTCTATTTTATTTTCTTCCTTTCACTTGACTATGGACATCCTCGTCGCTTTCATTCTCCGTTATGTCCTTTTAAACAAACCCCTTTCCACTTGCGCGATGTAGGCTATGAATGTGTCTGTTACGTTGATCTGCTTCAAGCAGCCGAGGCACTGGGTTTGATCAGACCTGTGTATTCGTTCCCTTTTCTGTTACTTTATGAATTTCCTCCCGTCTATTTTCTTCGAAATCTTTCGATGCCTCGGCATCTTTTTTTGTGATAGCCAATTCAGCCCTTCTCAAACTTGACCTGTCTTCGTAGCACAAGTACTCTCTGCACTCGGTAGAAATTAGAGTTCTCCCGTCTTGTCTGACTTAAACCGGGGAACAAAATTGTGGTTCAGACACGTGATTAGTACCCACTTTGCTCTTGGTGGATTAGTCATATTTTCAGGGCTTATCCCAAACGGGAAGCCTGGCTCGCTTAACCCACCACAGTGCAAAATACACCCAGATTTATCTCCATCTCTCGATCGTCACTCCCACCACCTCGAACTAACGACAACACAGGGTCAAGATGTGAGTCAAAGACTTCCAAGAATATCTCAACACATTCCTACGATCAATTGCTGACCTGAATTCCTTCAATTAGGAGTCACCGGAAGTTCGAAGCGCCTCGCCACGGTTCGTGATCAACTTTTTCCTTTGCGACGAAATTCGACATCGCCAGTGTGCAATTTTACTGATAATTTCTTCAACAGGCTCTCTGGCCTACCTCCCCCGCAAGCGCGCCGCTCGCCACCGCGGAAAGGTTAAGAGGTGAGTTCCCCTGGTGCCATCGTTGGTCTGAATCGAATCGTCGAAAAAAATTTGCGCAGCGTGGTATACTAAGACTTTTTCGCCTTTCGCCAGCTTCCCCAAGGATGACGCCAAGAAGCCCGTCCACCTGACTGCCTCCATGGGCTACAAGGCCGGTATGACCACCATCGTCCGTGACCTTGACCGTCCCGGTGCCAAGATGCACAAGAAGGAGGTCGTCGAGGCCGCTACCGTCATCGAGACCCCTCCTCTCGTTGCCGTTGGTGTTGTCGGTTACATCGAGACTCCCCGTGGTCTCCGCTCTCTCACCACCGTCTGGGCTGAGCACCTGAGCGACGAGGTCAAGCGCCGCTTCTACAAGAACTGGTACAAGTCCAAGAAGAAGGCCTTCACCAAGTACACCAAGCAGCACGCCGACAACAGCGGTGCCGCCGTCTCCCGCGAGCTTGAGCGCATCAAGAAGTACTGCACTGTCGTCCGTGTCCTCGCCCACACCCAGATCCGCCAGACTCCCATCAAGCAGAAGAAGGCCCACCTTATGGAGATCCAGGTCAACGGTGGCTCCATCGCCGACAAGGTCGACTTCTCCCGCAACCTGTTCGAGAAGACCATCGACATCGACTCTATCTTCGAGAAGGACGAGATGATCGACGTCATTGCCGTCACCAAGGGTCACGGTTTCTCCGGTGTCACCTCCCGTTGGGGTACCACCAAGCTGCCCCGCAAGACTCACAAGGGTCTGCGTAAGGTCGCCTGTATTGGTGCTTGGCACCCTAACCACGTCCAGTGGACTGTTGCCCGTGCTGGTCAGGACGGTTACCACCACCGTACCTCTTGCAACCACAAGGTCTTCCGTATCGGCAAGGGCTCCGATGAGGGCAACGCCTCCACCGAGTTCGATATCTCCAAGAAGCAGATCACTCCGTATGTTTTGTCCAGTTTCAATTGGTTTCTTCTTTTCTTTCTTTCTTGCTAACATGTCTCTAGTCTTGGTGGTTTCGTCCACTACGGTGAGGTCAAGAACGACTACGTCCTGCTCAAGGGCTCCGTTCCCGGTGTCAAGAAGCGCGTCATGACCCTGCGCAAGACTCTGTACCCCCAGACCAGCCGCCGCGCTACCGAGAAGATCGACCTCAAGTGGATCGATACCTCCTCCAAGTTCGGTCACGGTGCTTTCCAGACCGCCGAGGAGAAGCGTGCTTTCCTGGGTACCCTCAAGAAGGACCTTATCCAGACCGTTTAAGGGATTTTCTGTTTTTGGCTGGTGGAGTGCAACGTATTTTCTTGTTCAATAAAAAAAGCGGACAATACCTTTTCAACTGTTCCCAAGTAATCTCTTTCCATAGTAAATTTACTTCGTAGTTATATTTTGGTCTCTCGACACTAGCACATCAGTCCATGTGTATTTAACCATCAAGACCAAGCCTAAACTACTAGTGCTAGTGTACATAATAGTAGTTTTAAAATGCCCCCAGCAGCCGTGCTATGCTACTAGTATTCGAAGAATGACTGATTTAACACATGGTACTAGCTGAAAACACTCTAATTTGTTCGGCAGCTGCCCAGCTGACGGCTCTCAAGCTCAGTATTAGACACCATCTCTTTTCTTACAACTCTCAATATCACAGTCTTTCCCCATCTTCCCTGTCAATTTCTGCCGATGATTGGTGCTGCAATCAAGATGCGGCCCTCAATCAGAATACATTGCGTCATCTCACTTTTTTCGCCGACTACCAAACCACTTCAAGGAACACGAGCTCGCCACACCTGCTTTTCAGGTATAACATTCAACGTCTCGCCCTTGGTTACCTACCAGCACACCTCACTCCATCGATCCCTTTCATACAACACCCGGTCAAGCATCAAGCAAGTGCTGAATCGTCCGCAAACTATCTCCCGCTCCCCCGCAGCTTCACAACCAGCTCCATCTCACACCCACACTCACACCTCACACTTCTCCAACAAAACCTCCATCATGTCCTCCGACGACGCCTACATGTCCTTCCTGGACAAAGCCAACGCAGATCTGAACACCGGCCGCGCCACGCAGCAAGGGACTGACACCACGCGTACAGAGACCGTCCATGCCACGACCCAGATCCCGACTCCCCTCCAGTCTGTCGACAGCTACTACATCTCCGATACCGACGAGCCATTCGAGCCCGTCGCGCTGCTCTGGAAGGGTGCGCAGCAGGGCGTATGGCCTAGCCCAGGTACGACTCTCCCTCTATTCTCCCTTGACCCTACATATCTACGTCCTATGGGAGTGGTGTCTGTCCCTTAATGGGATGTCTTGGCCTTGTCCTTGTACCCGTGCTTGTGTCTCTGTCTGTACCTTGATGAATTATGCTAATCACTTATGCCTGTCATCTAGTTCAACTCTCCGACCTAATCTCCCCGAACGCCGACCTCAGCCAGGCGATCTCGACTCTGACGCCCTCGTCATTCGACCCTAAGAACCAATACTCAGCTGCCTTGCGCGCTGTGCGTTCTGCGGCCGTGGAGCGTGACCAGGATGCCGATCAGTCTGCTGTCGAGGTGAAGGTGTACCGGGTTGAGCTGAGCAGCACTAAGCTTGAATACTGGGCGTTGGCGCTGGATGTCTCCGAGGGTCGTGTTGTCGGACTGCGTGCCAAGGCCGTTGAGTCCTAAATCGGGGCTATATGCAGCACTTGTATGGTGAGGCTCGTTTGCTATTAGGATGATGATGAAATGCAGCGCTATTTTTCCGTTGATCGGCGTGGATATCTCAGTAGGCTGTGTGGCAAGGAGTGATGATCTGATTCGGAAAGCCGAAGGTATGCATGGCCGTACTCCGTACTCCGTACCCTGTCCAAGGGTCTCCCGTATCCCGCATCCCGCGTGGCAGATTTTTATGTATTAATTGTATGTCTGGTAGAATTGGGAATGGATAATCGAAGAAAAGTCTCAATTGGCCACCAGGGTCATTTTGACAGTTTTTTGCTTCGGTGTTGTGCGGCATTCCGGTTTTTGCGTGGCCCGAGTACATGCGAGACGCGTGTTTTGGAATGGTCGTGGTGTTGGATTGTAGCGGAAATTTTCCATGAGAGTACATATTGTTCTAAATTGACTTCAATTTTCAATTAAATTAAGGATGAGATTATGTGGTAAATTCAGTGTAAAAGTGAAGGATACAGAGTGACTTGACCCTCGTTTCGTCAAGGGTTGATGAGGTTGGAATTGGTGCAGCCGCTGTATCTGACTCTTACCAACTACCACACAGAACAAGAGCACGAGAAGATCAACCAATATACCAAATTGAGATGGCGATCTCCAGATTCCTGGCCAGCATTCATGCCGGTCCATTCCTCGCTGCCCTGGAGAGGGCAACGGGAATGCATCTCCCCCTCCAGTATCCCCTGCGATAGGACCGGGAGATGCGCAAGCTCTGGCGTCAACATCTGGCTTTCCAGTAGCGACTGAGTTTGAAGCAACGTAAGAACAAAACTAATATGTCTCTTTGATCTCGCATCGGAGTCCACTACAGTGTTCTCTTATAATCATTTGCCTGTTTGAAGTGTGTTCCTTCCATTCGGCGAACAGGGTATACACATACCACCGTTGCCCCCCTTGGACCCTCTGTCATTCCGCTCCCCTCGTGCAGGGCAAACAACAATCCCTCGAGCCAATCTAGGCTCTTCTTTTCTTTCGCGGGTCTCGTGTTTTCTCTCTCTTTCACCTGTGCCTCTACGCTTGTTCAACTGCTTCGCCTGGGACATTGGATGCTGTCCAAGTCGTCCTGTCCACTCATTCGGATATATAGCACTTGACGACTGTGCATTTGTCGGCTGGAGTAGGAGACTTTCAACAAGACGAATTGGAAAAGAAGCAACGACGAAGACATCGCCAGTCCCGACCCATACGCATGCTGAGATCCCTCGACGTGGATTGACCAGGAAAGAGCTGAGCGTTGAGACGGAGGACTGACAGAGGGAACGGTCCCTTCGCCATAATTTTAAGAGATTTGTCTGAATCAGATGTCGAACCAGGGCTCCAACCCCCCGAGACTCGAAATGCCTCACATCCGCTTGAACTCGGGCCGCCAGGACCCATTCATCGATACGAACGAGGGCTACGTCCCGCTCGAGACGCGGCCTGACTCGCGAGCAGAATCGCAAGTGTCACGATCTCAGTCTCGAGCAGACTCGATACAATTATCGCGAGCAGGCTCGCGGCTGGAATCCCGGTCCAATTCCCGCGCTGCGCAGAGACCCTTGACACCGGGTCCTGATATGGTCCCTGTTTCGCTCGGTGCTCAAGGGATGTCGCCCTATGGAGTATCACACGCGCCAGAATCTTCGGAATTCTTGTTACCTCCTCGACTACGACCGACCCCCCCGTGACGATGGGGATCGATCTGGATCGCCTGATCGCTGGTCTCAGGCTCGGTCGAGTATCAGCTCAATGAGTCGTGATAGTCGTCACCATATGGATCCGTTCGAGGATTCGCGTGCGCCATCCACTCGTTCGGGGAGTGATGAGTATGATGTGAACACTCAAACTGTCTCGGAGAAGTTTAATATTATGCCGACAGACGGGTTACTTCTTTTTCCCGAGGACGTGGAGAAGGACGACTATCTACACAACCCGGACCCTGCCGACAAAGAGGGTGAATGTGACATATGCAATCGACGAGGTGTCTTGAACGTCGGCGGATTGGTTGTATTGACACTGGGGATTCTAGTCCTTTTCATTGGATACCCCGTCATGTGAGTTGCCCGTGTATATCTACGCCAGAAAGTATGGCTAACGTTGAAACAGTACCTGGGTTGAGGGCATTCTAAAACCGACACCTCCCTGCCCTGCAGGAGATAATAACTGTCTCGACGTTGAACCGCGTGAACTTTTGGAAAATATACGAAAGGGCTTGATCGACCCTGATACCCCTGCGGACGCGATGTGGAAGAAGAATTCGGATGGCAAAGACTGGAAGCTTGTGGTTGGTAATTCCTTTTCCAACTGTATGTACAATCTACTCACATCAACAGTTTTCTGATGAGTTCAATATGCCTGGTCGTACTTTCTTCGACGAAGATGATCCCTTTTTCCAAGCTGTTGACTTGTGGTACGGTGTGACAATGGATAAAGAGGTAAGGGATTTCCTAACAAGAACCAAAATGCTAGTCTCTAACCCCCGCTATAGTGGTATGATCCCGATGCTGTGACAACAAACGAAGGTACTCTCGAAATCCGCTTCGACAACTTCAAGAATCATGATGTGGCATATCGCTCTGGCATGCTTCAAAGCTGGAACAAACTCTGCTTCAAGGGTGGTCGTCTCGAAGCCAGCCTCTCGCTGCCCGGAGACGGTCATATTCAGGGTTTCTGGCCTGGCTTCTGGGCTATGGGTAACCTAGCACGTCCTGGATACGCATCTACCACCGATGGCCTATGGCCCTACAGCTACCATGATGGCTGCGATGCCGGAATCACCCCAAATCAAAGCTCGCCTGATGGAATCAACTTCTTGCCTGGTATGCGTCTACCAGGCTGCGCCTGTCCCAACTCCGACCACCCTTCTCCAGGAAAAGCTCGAAGTGCGCCTGAAATCGATGTTATCGAGGGAAGCACAGCAGCACTCAATGGCGACGGACCTTTCATCGGTAGTGCCTCTCAAAGTCTACAGACAGCACCCTTTGACATCTGGTACATGCCAGACTACGGTGAGTAATATCCTCCCAATCTTCCTGCTTGGACCCAGAGTTTCCTAACATCTTTCTACACAACAGACTACACCGCCGTCTATGATCCTCGTGTCACTCAAATCAACGCTTACCGTGGTGGTGTGTACCAACAGGCCATGTCCGGCCTCACCAATCTCAACTCTCGCTGGTACAACGGTACCGAGTACCAAAACTTTGCCTTCGAATACTCCCCCGGCGCGGTTGGTAACGTCACTTGGTTCGTCGGAGAAGACAAGACCTGGACCCTGGACGGTCGGGCCATCGGACCAAACGGAAACATCGGTCAACGTATGATCCCCTTGGAACCCATGTCCGTGGTTTTCAACCTGGGCATGGCAGACAACTTCGCGCCGCAGAATCACTCTATCAAGGAGTATATGCCTGCGTACCTGCGCGTTGATTACATCCGCATCTACCAGGATCCGGATGAGGAGAGTATTACATGCGACCCGCCCGGCTACGAGACCACAGGTTACATTAAGGAACATGAGAAGGCGTACAAAGATGCGAACCTGACCACTTGGTATGTTTGTCCCTACCTCTCACAATCACCTAACATTCATTCATCCCACGGGCTTTTACTCATTCTATTTCACTACAGGGAGGCTGCCGGGTACCACTGGCCCAAGAATAGCTACATGCACGAATGTCCAAGTTAGGGTGTGTTTTGTTCCTGCGTCGTTTTAGCGGCATTGTGTTTTGGCGTTCGGGGTTAGGCATTATCTATTCTATACATGATACTATATTTTAACTCCTATTCTTTTCAACTCTTTTCTTTTCGATATTTTCCCATTCTCTACTAGGTAGTGTAGACCTCGGAACCTTCTGTTTGAATGGGGCCGCTGAAATCGAACCGGAACAATACAACGCTTTACCGACTATCCTTAAAACTTAGTCCTTAGCTACACCCAAGCCAAGTAGTGCTTTCATTGACTCATCCCAAGTATATTACAGCTGCCGTATCTAGTCAAAGTATTTATCTTTGTCCGAATTCGAGTTCCAACTTCCAAGGTTCAAGTTCCAAGGTTGTTGAAGTTCAAGATATATTAACCACCCGAGGAGTAGTCGTACTATCTAGTACCAACAGGCTGCATTTCATCATGATTCAAGACCAGTGGAACTAGATCGGGAGTAGTGCCTAAACACAATCAAGACAATAAACCCCTAGGTATAGAAAGCACCGTGGCCATTGCGTTCTATGTTATTTAATCAAGATAAAGCCCGCCCTGCCTATGGACACAGGTATTCTCTTTCTTCAACCAGGTGTCCCGTCTACACGCTGATTGGCAGATTACTCAGCATCCCCGCCAGCGACATCACTTCCCAGCTGTGCCATGACCAGGTACCTGAGAGAAGATCTCTTCAACTCGAACAAGTCTAACCGACAAAGATTTTAATTCAGGTCCATGATCATCAGTGAAGCAGTGAGATTGAATATTCTAGTCCACCTTGACATCCAATTATATAAACTGACATGGAACCAGATACCTTGAGCAAGACTGGCTGGTCCATCTATTGCATCAATAACAACTCCATACTTATCTGGATATTTCCCTCCAGCGACGATCAACAAATCTCCAGCAAGAACAGAAACATCCCAGGCTAGATAAATATTGTCGAGACTCCATCCGCAACAAACCACCATCTCATCCCTACTTTCCTAGCGGGGTACCTAGCCAACCCTCCCACTTCAACTTAGGCGTCAACCGAGCACTCAACCGCTCTGTTCTATCCAACTATTTTTTTATTATAAAAAAAAAAAAAAAAAGAGAGTGCAGACTACCTCAAACCCCTCCCACCCCCCAAAATGGCACCACCAACAGGCATAAACCGAACCCACGCAATCCAAATCGACGAAACCGACTCCGAACCCGACTCCGAAGACGGCGGTATCAGCATCCCCCTAGAAGAAGACAGCATGCAACTCGACTCCCCAGCCTCACCAGAAGAAGAAGAAGAAGAAGACTCCGACCCAACCCCAGGCTCCTTCCTCCAACTCGCCGGCGGCGAGATCGATTTCATCGACTACGGCGCCGAGGGCATGGGCGATGGTACGATACGATACGCTGATCCCACTTTCAACCACGACCACTAATCGCATACATACAGGAAGAGACTTTCTCACTACGGCCCCGCACCCCGATGTGCGTCCCGTGCCGGGCTTACCTGCTGGCGATATCGCGCGCCATCGGGCTCGCACACGGACGCGGGAGGAGGAACATGCTGCGCTTTGCGTGTTGGATGATTGGGAACTTACGATGACGCATGCGCTTAATTCTAGACGGGTATGTTGGAGTTTTGAAGCTTATGAAGGAAGGGGGGAGAGTTATTGATAATGCGCGCCGATTCGATCCGATCGGCTCGAAACGAAACGAAATCATAGCTAATTCCGTGCTTACGCAGACGATTCCTCAAACGAGACGGCGGTTTCAGGCGAAGATGCTGGCACCGACGAATTCGAAGCTGGAGGATGATCTTTATGGGGCGCGGTTTACGGTGCCGGAGATGCAGACTGAGTTTGTTCCTGCTGTTACGGCGCCGGGTCGGCGTGGTGTGAAGCAGGTTACGACTGGGCTGGGGACTGGGACTGCGTTTTTGGTGCCCGGGGCGTGGAAGGAGGTTGTTAGTCATGAGGAGGGGTCTTGGTGGCCGGAGGGGAGGGCGAGACAGCAGGTTGGGGGTGTGGGGTCTGGGAGGAAGAGGAAGAGTCTTGTTGCTGGTGGGAGTCGGTCTGGCTCGTGGTCGGCTTCGGGGTCTGGGGCTAGTTCGAGGGTTGTTTCTAGGGGTGGGTCTAGGGCTGCGTCGAGGGGGTTGGATTAGATTGGATTACCCTACAGCTACTGATGACATCTACATGGATCAATTGTTAATGGCTGCGTTTCGCAGCTATACCGTATATGTTCGCTAAAGTAATAAAGTACTATACAAAGAACCAGTCCAACCCAATGATATCATATCCAGCATGAGAGGGAAGAAGCGGGTGTCAGAAGGAGACAAGGTAGGTAGGTAGCGTGAGGCGAGGATAGAGGTGATAGGTGGAGCAGGAATGGGTATCTCGAATTTACAGACAGCCCTGGCCGAAGATCGACAGATTTCGGGGCTGCTGTGTGGGGTGGGGATGGGATGGGATGGGATGGGTGCTTCTCCCTCGTCATGCTAAGTACTAATTGAAACCAGACGGGATGGGGTCGATAGTCATAGCCATGGCGGATGCGTCCGAAGCAGAGAAGCGGACGAGCGCTCATAGCTCTTCCTCCGCTTCCTCGCGACGGCGCTCCTCCGCGTGGAAAAGACTCTCCGCATCTCCGACCTGTTTTCGCTCCGAAACCTCCCGACTCTGTAGGCGCTTGCGATGTGCCTGAGCATTCATAGGTGTCAGTCCTCGAGACGAAATTTTGGGTACCGGTTCGATGTAAATGGGATGCAGGCGGTGCGAAGTGGTGAACCGGGTCCGGCCGTCTCTCATGACGGGTAGTTGTCATTGCAGGGGCTCCGAGCTTGAAGAGAGACGGTTCAGATGAAGGTAGACGTCGGTTCCGTATCTGGGGGTTCGGTTAGCCAAAGTCAATTCAAGTTGTGGCACCAACGGAGCAATTGGCACTTACCCTTCCATACTGATCAGTTTGAGATCACCTCCAAAGTACCGGGCGTATAAACGACTGATCGGCAATCCGTAGCCAAAGCCGGCCATAGGGGCCTTGAAATCACTCTTGTCAAAGTCCGGGTCGAGGCTGGGGGGTTTGTTCCACGGTGGTGTACATGTAGGTCCACACCAAGGGGATGCTTGATCGTGGAATACCGCCTCCCTCGTCCGAAATCTTGATTGTGATGTCTTCCTTGCCTTCGGCGACGATCACCTTGGTGACGGGAAACTGCTCTCGGTCGGCGCCATGCTGCTCGACCACCGCGCGCAGCGAGTTCTTGAGGGTCTCGAAGAGCATGTGCGACAGGTGACCGGGCACGTACATAAAGTTCAGATCGTCCTTGCAGACCAGCTGCACCTTGGGCGCCTCGAACAGACCGTAGTAATCCTCACAAACAAAGCGAGCGTTGTCGATCGCCTCAAGCGCAATGTCCTTAACGTTGGTCTTGGTGCAGATGATTCCGACATAATTGGCGTGCTTGATATGCGTTTGTTCCGTGAGTGCGATGTGTTGACCAATTAACATTCGAATACCGATACGAGACATGTAAAAGCGATCGAGGAAGGACTGGATGGTAGAGTCGATTTGCATGCGTTGCCGCACCCGTTTCCATTCAAGGATACCCTGGGCGACAGTGGTAACGACACCATCGTGACGGCGCTTGATTTGTTGTAGAGTTTTGGCGAATCGTTGGTTGTAATCATTGAGTTCCGGTGGCCAGTCTCCGTGGTCGTCTGCGGGGAAGAAGTATCGGCGCCCGGCAGCCGCGACGACGCCATGTCCGTTTCCGTTGGTGGTCGGTAGGGAGCGGTATTGGCCCTCCTTGATGCTGGGGTTTTGCGTCGCCTCGGAGATAATCTTGGAAGTACTACCATTCATGCGATTCGGTCGCAGTAGACGAGCCTTGACTTCCTGGGTAAGGGTAGGGCGAGGTAGGTTGATGATTTCCTGGAGTGTCCGGGGTGAGTCACCGGTGAAGAGGAAATATGGAGAGAGGGGGGAAGAAGAAGAAAAAAAAAAGGTCACACGCGCGTAGCAAAAATGGGAGAAATCTTACCTCGAAGGATTGCGCATACCAGTCCTGGACCTTTTTGATAGATGGCATATCGCTGAGGCCATCGGGCAGTTCGCCCAGGTCTTGGACTCGGTGGGCGAGGCGAATGGGAAGCTCCTCGGAGAGAAATTGGGATGCGCGGAAGAGAGTGCCTAGCAGGGTCAGAAACGGGGAAGAGGCGACAAACATGCCAGGTCGGCTTGGATGAGAAGAAGGGCATCAACTACTCACCAGTGGAGGGACGGTCACCAAACTGGACCATCTGCCTCAACGAGACTCCGGTTGCGGGGAAGCTGGCATAGTGCCTGATGGTTTCCATCAGGCGCTCTGACGGCTTCCACATGGTGTCAAATTCTGGCCACCAGGCCTTGTATGAGAAAGGGCGATAAAAACCGTCGTCGATATCGTGGATGGCGGATGTGGAGGAAAGAGGAAGTGTCGCGTGTGACAATGACGGTCGTGACGGAGACGGACGCTCGGGGAGATTCGCATTGCCGAGGTCAACTCCTCCCGGTGTCACGTTCCGGCGTCGGAGGAATCGCCCCAGCTGCAAAAGGGCGGCTCGGACCATTCGAGCATATGATGGGAATTGATTTAATGGTAAGTTAGGGAAATTGAGTCAATTGGAATCGGGAGAAAAGAAAGAACCAAATTAGAGAAAGATTAAAGGGGATGATCGAACAGCGAAATCGCCCGCCAGAAGTGCCGACTCCGGGGGTAAATTGTCTAGCCCGAGGGGAATGAGTAATTCCGGTAGATATCTGTATATACAGTATTTCTACGGAGTATAGTATAGTCATATAGTATAGTAGCACATACTTAGGTATAGTATAGTACCTCTATAAATTATAAATTATAGAGTATAGAGTATAGAGTATAGAGTATACTCAAATTACAGTGTCTAGTATAATACTCAAGAGTGGCCAAGGTAACACTATACGGAGTCAAAACTATTGTAAGACTATCGTAAGCAAAGTACTACTGTAGTTAACTGTCCAGCCCCGGATTCCTTATGCCCGGATTCCCCTCGGTGGAACCCTCGTCATTGTACGTTCTGTACATTTCGTACTTTTGTCCCTCGGTTCCGTTCGGGTCATCTCCTCTATTCCTCTCTGGTAAATAATTACTACGAGGATTGCGATGCCTCTACTCCGTACTACTACTAGTATAGTATCTCCTGTCAAACCCTAATTCGATCCCTTGGTGTATATCCACTCCTCCATTCGGTCTTCCCCTCCCATCAGAGGTCCTCGAATGGCCCCCAAGCGCTGCCCCGTGGAGTCATGATTTCCCCTTTGGATCTCGTGCTTCTTCAAGGTGGTGCTGCTGGCTCTTAAGCGGGTCTCCTCTCCTCTCGCTTCGTATTCTTTGTTCGATTTGTGCGTTTACTCGCTCTCAGGCTGTAGGGTCTCCTGTATTTCCCTTTTCTCTTTAATTTACGCCATCCTCATCGACTCCGTATTCTCCTGGCTTTTTTTTCCTCTACTTCTTCTAGTTTCTTCATCTCCCTGGTCGAGGCTTAAGACTATATTTCCTAGGAATATTCCCTCCAAGTTGGACTCCACCGTTGGGCCTCTTTCCTACTCTCTTTCCCTTTTTCAACAACCATCTCATCTGGAATTAAGACAGAGTTACGGAGTAAAGGAAAAATAAATCTCCAAAAGTACAAAGACGTCCTTTTCACCGCTCTAATTTTACCCAGCACCGTGGTTCAATTTTCTGGGTTCGCTTGTGAGCCAAAAAAAAATACAAATCAGCCAAAACAGCAAAAGGACAGTTTTGTTGTCCACACCAATTTGTTCTCCTCACACCTCACACCTCACCTTTCCCAAACCTTTTGGAAGAACCGTTCTAAACGGTCGATCATGGCTCGTCGCAGAACCTCCCATAGCGAGCCGATGAATGAAGCACCGGCCTACCCTTTCTCCAACGGAACGACCTCCCCCTCGACCCCGCGTCGCGGACCCATCGAAGGTCCCAATGGCCGACGCTTGATTCGGCGCGTCACCTGGCGCTCATCGACCTACAAACTGATGGCCTCGTTGTGGGTTTTGGGCGTTCTTTACATTCTCTGGTTGATTCGGGATCTCTTTTACCTCCCATTCAATCCATCCGAGTCTATGCCCCCCATCCCCGCCGAATAACCCCCCCTCATTTCACATATTTGTTGGGGATGCGGGAATGAGTGATTGATGGAAACCCGCTCGGATCGGGGGCTGTATATCCGCATGACATGGCCCCTTTGTCGGGCTCGGACATGCACACGCACACTCACTCACCGAAGTGGGCTATCTTTTGTCTTGCTCCATGCCCGCAGGTATGGGGGGGGGGAGGAGGCGATGTTTTAATCTCTGCTGAACTCGGCGTGGCATGACCTGGTCTAGCCTGACCGACTCAACCGAGTCAACCACCATTTTATTTACCGTCCACGGTGGCATTGCTTTACCCCATTGATACCATATCGCGACCGCCATGCAATTGGCTCGGGGAATTCTAACCGGTGCTGCCGTCGATCCTCGGTGAAATCGGGCATGCCATGTTACACGCCTTTTCTTTTTTTTTTCCACGGGCATATCGTTGACATTCCCGCGCGGCAAACATGCTCTCACCTTGCTTCGTGCCTGTCGTGCTCGGCTATATCACCCATTGATCCGATTTGCCTCCGCCGCTTCCCCATATGCAAATGGAATCAACCTCGTCTTGATTGTCGTGCCTTTCGCAATTCCCATTAGTGGTTCAGTTCAGCTGTCTCCTCAGTGGCTTATGCATGCCTCGTTTCCATTACTTTCTAATCCAACATCCCACCATTGATTCCCCCCCCCCACCATCATGCATCACCCCTTCCCAACTGGAAAAAGTGAGCGAGATGTTAGACCTGTTCCTTTTCTTATTGGTATGCTTTGTCGTTGAAAAAAAAAAATATTTCTTTCAATTGTCAATATTTCATCATGGCTGTTTTTTTTTTTTTCGCCTCTTCCCTCTCTGCATGCATGACCCTTTTTTGCCATAGCGTTCCATTGCATCTAGCGTCTTATGGCTCCCATGCATACGTTTCCTCGTTTTCTTGCATGCATTATGCTAGCGTTTCCAAGGTCTCTCGTTTCTCGTATCTATATCGTCTTTTCTTTCTTTCTTTTCTTTCTTCTCCTCTATCTCTCATGCATTCATACGGTTTTCTCAGTTGTTATTAGACTCATTTCGTCGGATCAACAATGGATTGCATTGCATTCAGCGAGGCTATCACCCACCACCACGCTAAATCACCAATCTCGATCGCTCTGAATATTGTCCAGGCCATCGATTTTCTCCGCCTCGCCTCGCTCGCAAGAACGGTCTGGCGGGGTCGAGTCTCTTTATCCGACTGTCGCGTGATCATCCCGGGGCCGCAAGGGTTCGAGTTCGAGTTCGAGTTCGAGTTCAAGCTCGAGGATCCTTCGGCCGACGCATATGTAATTACTAGTATAATGGATATAATTCAAGTTAAGAATAATACCCGCGACCGATCACCTCTCTTCCCAGGTAGGTTCCTACGTAGGTAGTTATATAGGTATCCAATCCACCCCTACTGAACTTCGTCTCAAGGTATACATTTTATTTCATAGCACGTAGAAACCGGTCAATATAAACAACTCCTGACCTCTATATCACATCTTCCAGACCCGTGGTCCATTTTTTTCTCTGTGTAGATCCCACCGCCCGTTGCGAGTGGGTAACAGTAGCCGTAGCCGTAGGCTATGCCTGTCTGGCAAATCGGCTTAGACGTGCAGAGCAGAGGTCTCGGCCTTGGCGACCTGTGCGGCGTACGGCTTGAGAGCGGCGGCGACTTCGGTCGTGGTGAACTTCTGGACTTGCTCGGGGGCGCGGCCGACGAAGGTGCGGGCGTCGAGGAGGGCGTCTAGTTCGGGGATGATGGGGTTGAAGAAGGCGGTGCGGCGGATGCGGTCGAGGAGGTCGTTGTCCTTGCCTTGCTTCTTGACGTTGTCGGCGGCTTGGTGGGAGAGAACGCCTTGGAGAGAGATTTTGTTAGATGGGGTTCGGCAATGGGTGGAATAGAGTGGGGGTTTGTTGGGGGCAAATTGATAACTTACGGATCTCCTCGTGGGCGTCTTGACGGGACAGACCCTTCTTCACGCAGGCCATGATGATGTTCTCGCTGGGTGAAATGTGAGCTTGGGATGGATAAAGTTTGAAGAGGTTAGAAAGAGCTTACGTGGCCATGAAAGGAAGCTCGTCGTTGACATGGCGCTTGATGACCTCGGGATAGACGACGAAGCCGGAGGAGACGTTGTCTGAGAATCAGTGTTAGAAGAGAAAAAAAGTCAAATTCCAGAACATGATATGCCACTGGCAAAAGAGGACATACTCAGAAGAATGAGACAGGCGTCAGCAGACAGGTAGAGCTCAGGAATACTGATACGGCGAATGGCGCTGTCGTCCTAAACCAAAAAGTCAATAACCGAAGGGCAAAAAGGTTGACTCGTATACCAAAAGACAAACTTACCAGCGAACGCTCAAACCACTGAGCAGAGTAGGTGTCCAGAGCGTCCTTGGGGAGGTTCTGGAGGTGGCGTCCGAGGGAGCACAGACGCTCAGAACGCATGGGATTACGCTTGTAAGCCTGTTGATCATATTAGTGGCTGCCCATGCGACCAATCAGATCATTATGAACTTACCATGGCACTGCTGCCAATCTGGTCCTTCTCGAAGGGCTCCTCAACTTCCTTCAGCATGGCCAGGTGGCGGATATCGATACCGATACGCTCGCAGGTGGCACCGAAGGAGCCAAGGGCGTTGCCGACATCGACATCGATCTTACGGGAGTAGGTCTGACTGGAGATAATGAAGGCAGAGCTGAAGCCAGCCTTCTCGGTAACGAGCTCATCGAGCTTCTCAACCTTGGAGTGATCTCCCTCGAAGATCTGAAGGAAAGAGGCCTGAGTACCGGTGGTACCCTTGACACCACGGAAGCGCAGGTCATCACGAGCACGCTCAAGGTTGCGCAGATCCATCAGCAGATCCTGGATCCACAGGCAAGCACGCTTGCCGACAGTGACAAGCTGGGCGGGCTGGCCGTGGGTGAAACCCAGGCAGGGAAGGTCCTTGTACTGCTGGGCGAACTGGGAAAGCTTGTCGATGACAACGGCCAGCTTAGGGATGAGGATATCGAGACCGTCACGGAGCAGGATCAGGTCGGCGTTATCGGTACAGTAGCAGGAGGTAGCACCCCAGTGGATGATACCGGCGGCGGCGGGGGCAACGAGGCCGAAAGCGTGAACGTGGGCCATGACATCGTGACGGCGGCGCTTCTCCTCCTCGGCGGCGACCTTGAACTCATCGTCCTGGATGGTGGCGTGAGACTTCATCTGCTCAATGGCCTCATCGGTGATAGGAAGGCCAAGCTCTATAGAAGCAATGACCCAGTCAATTGAATGTTTCCTTTGCCATTACACTTCCCATGGGATTCCGATGTCGGATCACCCATCTATATCCAATTCCATGTTCGTACCTTTTTGGGACTCGGCGAGCCAGATCCACAAGTTGCGCCATGTCGAGAAGCGCATGCGAGGCGAGAAGAGATATTTCATCTCATCGCCTGATCAATTGCTAGCAGTCAGCGGTGGTTCGTTCGTCTGGGAACTCCCCCAGATTTTGCCCCTCATTGGCGGGACGGGAGGGTGATAGCTTACTCGAGTAGCGCGAGTTGAGGGGGGTTTGGTAGACATCGTTGCTGGCAGACATTCTGGCGATGATTTTCGAGAACGCTCGAACCGATTGACCGACAGGAACTGACCGAAAGGACGTTGGCAAGGCAGTGTGTGATCTGGTAAATTTTGTTGCGCCCCGCGGCAGATGTTGGCTTATCACGTTATCGGGATCGACATTCTAGTCACGTGCCAAATGATATACTTCTAGCGCTGCCACGCTTTAGTGAAACATGAGGTAATTGAATGAAATGGTATTAGAAACTCGCTATATAAAACTTATATGCAAACGATACTGCTGCTACTCAGCAGAGCTGCGCCAGCTGTACCGACAAGTTGGATTTGTCGTATTTGATGTATTTGCCACGGCCCTTGTCGATCTCCACATAGCGATCGTAGAACCGAGAGTAGAGTGGCTCGAGAACAGCTTGCAGCTCCCGGCCCAGAACCGATCGAACCTCACGCTCCATGTGAAGGGATTTGTGTTGAGAAACCATGCTGTCGAAGCTCGCATTGAACGCCTTGAACTTTTCCTTGATGGCGTCTCGGTCTTTTGAGGAAAGATTCTTGACAATGGCACTAGAGTCCACTGCACCTCCAGAGTTTGGCCGCGCGCCGGAGCGAGAGGTATATTGAACATCCAGCAAAGTCTGAGACACCTCCCTCCATGAATCGAGATACGTGGACGTCGCGCGTTTCCGGAAATTATCGATTCGGGAAATGCTGTCGGGGGCACCGAGATATCGCGCTAGTTCCGGGTTCTTCCGGATAGACCGATCGACAACGCAGAAGACGTTGGATAGGAATACTCCAAGTGTAGCTTTTGAGCGATGGAATTGAGAGCCACGCTCAGTCAGTGCCGCCATGAGAGCTTCAATCATATCGAGAATGAAATGAGAGAAGAGAGTACCGCTGTCCGGGCCCACGTCCAAGGGGGCCGAGCCTGCGGTGCTCGACTTGGAGCGCCAGTTTCCATCACCTAGAGATGTGAGGATGGAAGCCAAGGGACCTGAATAGCCGGTAAGTGTGATAAGGGAGCTCATGACTTCCTCTACCAAAGGCACAGGCCCGCCGTCTGGCGGAAGTGGGGAATTGGCAGCCTTGCGTTTTGTCTCCTCAATAAGCTCTGACAGTGAGGACTTGGCGGTTTCGCGAACGGGTCGCAAGGCTTCGATGAGGAGGCTCTTCAACTCCGCCGCCTTGGAATCGATGCGATAGGACATTGCCGTCACAATCTCAATAATCTCGAATGCCAAGAAGCAGTCGGTCATCAAGTTCATTCTAATATATTGATTCAATTCGCGCAAAGTCTTTGAGTACTCTGCCATCGGCGACATGAATGTGGCTTGCAATGCGAGTCCTTGCTGGTCCCCGGTGAACACTTGGGTCACGATGCCATGCTCCGTGATGATAAAGGCTTCCAGCGCATTCGAGTAAATCCCGATACCGTTCGTGCCTTGTTTATATGGGCCGTCGGTAGGCTTTCGTTTGACAGTGTTGACGGATGCGATTGCGAGGTTCTGCAGGCCCGAGGTGATATACGGCCCGCGCACATCGGCATAAATTTTCAAAGCAGGGCTTTCCCCCTTATTACGCTGCGGTCCATGGACGGATGCAGAGCCAATTACCGCGCATAACGGAGCGAGTTGTAATATGGTTTCTTCGGGAATGGATGGAAAGGGGAGTTCTATAGGAGGAGTCCGTCTTGTTAGCTCGTTTTGCACCAAAGAGGTTTGCCCCTTATAATTAGTTCGCCACGCACCTTTTGTAAGATAATGTAGCGGCTCGATCGGTGTAATGTGCTGCTGCAACTCGGATCGAAGCATATCTTGGAGCTTGTTACTACCGGTGCCTAGTAGGGAGTTGAAGTCTGTGATCGCGTTCTGGTTGGATCGAAGGTTCGTTGAATTGAGGTCGACCAGCGCTTTTTCAACACGTTTCATCGCCGAGAGGTATTGGGAGAGACCGGAGCTTTGCGGCCTGGAGAGGAAATGGATCAGTAAGGATCTACCCTTTCAAGATGCTCTTTTGAAGCTCGCCCAGACTGGGAGACTTACCCTGCGCGGATGATGCCCTCCTCGCGGCTCTTCGCGTCGAGGGGCTGTCGGAGGCGGTCAATGGCATCGTTGACCTTGTCGATGTTGCTATTTGTGATTTGGAGAGACTGGGTGTTGCTGTAGATAGGTCCAATGGCCTCCTTGACCACCTTGCCACTTGTTTCCAAGCGCACAAGGGAGCCTTGGATCTTCTTGGTGAGACGGTTGAGCTTCTCGAGGTTGGCATAGAGCACCTCCACCTCCGCGCTCTCCTCGGCATAAGCTGTGTTCCTGGGGGCCACCATGGTGACGATCACAAACGACAAACCGAGAAGACTGTGTCACCAGGCGTCATGTCTGGGTCTCGGGGTGTGGGGTCCACGAGTGATGGCCGGGCGGAGCTTATCGCCGGGGGCGTTCCTTCGAGGAACCATCCCCGATTGGGTAGCGGCCCGTCTATGTTCCGATGATCTATACAGAATGACATGGATTAGAGTGCATATACAAACTTCTTCTATTAAAATATGAGAGCGAGTGGTAGAAAAAGCCTTAGCGAATGCTAGCAGCTATATAGGCCTATATTGATGAGTCAGTTGAATACAGAGCACATTTCTGTTCTATTCATAGACAAGAGAGCCGGAATCTCCTAGCTCGCAAAAGATCTTGCTATCTAGCATAGCAACTGAAAAGGAAAAGGTGAGTTCTATCCGATAATATTACTCTTCAGTACAGAAAACATAGCCGAGCTCTGACCTTGTTAGAGCCTCTCTCTAAGAAAACTCTAGAAAGGGCGATTTAAGAGTTCAATTTTTCAATACCTTCCAAGTCGATTCGTAGAAGCGTCTGTCTCGGGCACCATGAAATCATCACTTGCCTCCTCAATAACCTCCACTAATTCAGCATTTTGTCAAAACCTGATATTAAGCGTTCTTTAATCTCCACTTCTTTAAAATCGTGTTCTGGATATTAAAGGTAGAAGGTTATTCGATTCGGAGTTGCTGTTTAGCCATACAATCACCAGGGGGAATCAGATTCCACATCCATGTTATGAATGACTTTCGAAAGTCAGGAACTCGGATAAGGTTCTCTTAATACCCTCTTTTAGTGTTGGAGGGAGGGGGGAGGGAGGGGGGGCAATGGAAACAAATCAAGCCAAATTGCGTCACCGTGTTTTCTGAGCTCTGCCACAACGCCATCATCTTTTGGTGGCCCCTCGGATTGTATCTCGAAGTCCAGCATCCAAATTCTTTCACCCTGTGAAAGAAAAGGCCATTTCAAATCTCTGACTAGGGTATATTATTGTCACTATCGCTTGAAAATGACCTCAATTGCCAGCCATATATCTGCTATGCACAGACATTGAGCAACATAAATGGATCTTCAGAATTGCTGTTTCTCTTGTTAAAACCTTACAAGAGACTTTCATAGCCAGGCCCAAGCTCCTTCACGAATGTAAGAAGCATTTTTCTTGGGATAAACAAACCCGGGAGTTTCATAAGTTCTTATCAAGCTCTTCATCCAATACAATGGTAAACAGACCCTTATATTGGCAAACTCGACGCAGAAGCTGCACACAGTAGTAAAAAAAAGTATTGAATGTTGGGACGATGATATAAACTGGACTTCAGTAGTTTCCCGTCCCAGTCTCGCCAAGTGATATCGATTACAAACGGCCAGATTCTCTCGTCTAGCTGATTCCAGGCTGGATCGATGATTGTAGCTTATATTCCAAGGGCTTCCCACATATTCGCCCAGCTTCCTTGCAAACAATTGGTTGCTTTGTATTATCAGGAACAATGACGAAATTGCCCGAATCAATACTTCTGTAATGCGATGGTGTATAAGAAGGCTGTTTCGAGCGGAGTATAGATCAGAGCACCAGAGGTAATTGCCAAAGATGGTGTTTATGGCGTCGTCTCCATGCATTGAATCGAAACTATGCACACCCTCAAGTCCTTCGTCATTCACCCATTTACTAAGTATAGGGCACCAAATTTGATCTTTTGTAGGATGGCGGGGGCGATATTTTGCCACGAGTTCATTCTGAAAGTGTACCTCATTCCGTTGATTTCTCATGTACTTGCAGAATGTCGTATCAAGTTTCATAGGCTGTGAGATCAGGAGTTTGAAGAATTTTGTGACAGATTTCCTCTGCGCTGATCGCTTATGATGACCAGGCTGCTGACCTGGAGGTCTGTCTAGATAGTGCTGGGCATGAAGACGAGGAGCTCGAGGTGTACAAAGAAATTTTACCGAAGTAGTGGATATTGTATTATGAACAGGAAGAGACTCGGAATAGACCGTAGCGATGTGTACGTGAAAGAAAAATAGAAGGCGAGTGAGGTGGTGGATATTGTAGTCGTGAAGAAGAAGAGATTCGGAGGAGACCGTAGAGATGTTCTACGTGAGAGATAAGAAGAAGGAGCGCCGAAGAAGAACTTGTAAGTATAACTCTTGGTCGCAACTACTATACTCGATTTGATTTACCTCAAGAGGTAGATCCGCGGACTAATCCATGGTTTTACCGACTTTGCCTAAGCCAAATCAGGGTTGTCCATGCCACTCTAGAGTACCGTTAAAAAGCTCCATTGAAATATAACTGACACCGATCGCGCAAGCGTGGATTACCCTAGATATTCAAGACGTACTAGTATTGCTATGCTATAGATTCCCAAAGGGTAAGCATGCAGGTGGGTCATTGACACGTGACTCTTCTCGACGTCATCCCCGCGGAGAGCTGCCAGGGTCTGTGCCATTGCCAGATTTAAGCTCACTGTTGGCTGTATGCAAGTCACAGTCGCAGCTATCCTCCCCTCTACCATAAAAATGGCCACAAGGGTCTCACGTCTGCGCTGGACTGTACCACCTGCGGCCTTGGCTGCCTATGGAACGGGGAGTGGGCTCACTCTAACAGGCACTTGCAGAAAGCCCACTTCACCAATGCCTCGGTCCACCAGGATTCCAATTCTGACCCACGAAGCCCCTCTTCGACCCTGACTGGTCAAAATGACGAGCAACACGGCGACCAGGCCTCAATTTGGCTGAATATTGTTCACAAGTTCGAAAATATCAAAGACAATGTTGTTCCGGGAGAGTGGCGGGATCTCCGCGGCAACATTACGAATCTGATCGTCCCCGACTGGGCGCGATTGCTACCTGCTACGGCCCAAAAGCTGCAGCGCGAGCTCTCTTTAGCCCCTGGCTCGCTAGCTGACGACATATGGAAGGAGTCTCAAGACCCCGACATCAACCCGGAAATTTTGCAGGATGCCAAGGTGCGGGTTAGCGATAAGCTCTGCGCAGAGGAGATTGAGTTCAGGAAGCAGCGACAAAAGCATGCGGTGAAAGCACTGGCTTCTTATCTGGGCATTGCGGTAGAGGACATTCACCCCGATGATGTGCCGGTTATTGCCATGTGTGGCTCGGGAGGTGGACTGCGTGCCCTGGTCGCGGGCACAGGTTCATACCTAGCTGCGCAGGAGGAAGGCCTATGGGATTGCGTGACCTACACAGCTGGAGTCAGTGGGAGCTGTTGGCTTCAGACTCTTTATCATTCGTCAATTACGGGCCGCAACTTCAATAAGCTCGTTGACCACCTGAAATCCCGTCTCGGCGTTCACATTGCTTTCCCACCCACGGCACTGGATCTCCTTACTACCGCGCCGACCAACAAATTCCTTCTCAGTGGCATAGTAGAGAAGTTGAAGGGAGACCCTGCTGCGGAATTTGGACTGGTGGACATCTACGGGCTTCTACTTGCCTCCAGACTTCTAGTTCCACGTGGCGAGCTTGGAGTCTCGGATCGAGATTTCAAAATCTCCAACCAGAGGGAGAATCTACTCAATGGAGCACACCCTCTTCCCATTTATACGGCAGTTCGACACGAAATTCCAGGAACTGTGGAGAGTCCCGATGACCCTAAGTCTATACCCGAGGACCTCATACGGGAAGCCGAAAAGGAGTCTTGGTTCCAGTGGTTTGAATTCACTCCGTATGAATTCTTCTGCGAGGAGCTCAATGCCGGAATTCCTACCTGGGCCCTAGGGAGACATTTTAACGGCGGTACCAATGAGCTTCCCGAGAGAAACTACCCTCTCCCGGAGCTCAGAGTTCCCGAATTGATGGGTATCTGGGGCAGCGCCTTCTGTGCGACGCTGTCGCACTACTACAAAGAGGTCCGGCCCCTAGTCAAGAGTCTCGCCGGATTCGGTGGTATCGATTCTCTGATCCAGGGCAAGAACCAAGACCTTATCCGAGTGCACCCTATCGACCCTGCTGCTATTCCCAACTACGTGATGGGCATGAAAGGTCAACTTCCGGCCTCTTGCCCTGAATCTATCTTTCGCAGCAGTCATTTGCGTCTGATGGATGCGGGCATGAGCAATAATCTGCCCATCTATCCACTTATTCGCCCTGGTAGAGACGTCGATGTGATAGTTGCCTTCGACGCTTCCGCGGACATTAAACAAGAAAACTGGCTTTCTGTTGTCGACGGATACGCCCGACAGCGTGGCGTCAAAGGTTGGCCCATCGGTGCTGGATGGCCCAAACAGGGTTCGAGCCTAGAAGAGACCAAGCAAGCTCTTCAAGAATCGCAGCACGCGACGGAACAAAAAGCGAATGAGAAAATGGCAGATGCCCAGAGTCACAGCCCCTCTCATCCAGATGACTCCACCAAGGCGGCAGACTCAGATTTGAGCTACTGTAATGTCTGGGTCGGAACTAAGGAAGAGCGGATCAGCGAGAAGGAACCTCCCCCATCGAAGCGCCTCTTCCACCCTGAACAAACAGGAGACCACGCCGATTCTGAATTTCATCTCATGCAGCCGGAAGCCGGTATCGCTGTCATTTATTTCCCTCTGATTCCGAACCCCGACGCGCCGGATCTCCCACCTGTCCAAAAAACACGCCCCTTATCCGCCGTGGAATCCATCAAGCAGAAGCAGAACGAACCTAATGCGAAGGACCCTGAACCACCTCTGGCCCCTCACCCGAACTCAATCGACCCTGAGGTTGATGATTTCTTGTCTACATGGAACTTTATCTACACGCCTGAGCAAATTGACTCTGTGGTTGGATTGGCCAGGGCTAATTTCAACCAGGGCAAAGAGCAGGTTCGTCGGGTTGTTCGGGCGGTTTATGAGCGGAAGAAGAGTGATCGACTACGAAAGGAGCAAGAGGATGCGCGGAAGCAGCTGGAAGGATTTGTGCCTCTCTAATGAAGACCCTCTATGAGGATAATTTGGTTGGCGTTTGAAGTGATATGTTTTCGATATTTGTTTCTTTTTTTATCATTAAACGTTGTCTGTCACATAGATGTCACGATAGATACTACACATACACTGTCCCCCTAGTAGACTTGGGGATTTCCTTTTTTTTCCATCTCATCTCAGCGTATATCATGATATTCCAAGGTTTACTTAAAGTGCTAGTAACGCCACCAATCATGCATCAAAATAAATCTGGGTATCTATACCTTCGCGCGAATCTCCTATCCAGATGGCTTTTCTTTGTTGTCCACCTTCTGTTCAATTCCAGCAGTATCATTCCCATTGTTGCCAAAATAAGATCTTACCCCCTCGCCATCAGAGTCCCCATCGTCAGGTTTCTTCGCATTTGCAGCCTCGACCCTCTGCGCCCGCCCCTCATCATCCGTTGTCATCGACCTCGCCTCATCGTCCGTTCCAGCCAAACTCACATCCTTACTCTCGTCTGTCTGCTTGCGCAACCCTAGTTGCCGCTGAAGCTCATGTAAAGAGCCCGCTCCGACGGCCAATAATCCAGACCCCGGGAAACCTGAGCTTTCTTCTTTGACATCTTGCTTCTTCTCCTTCCCGGGAACTATATTCTCCTGTTTCTGCCCTGCCCCTGGCCCTTCATCCTGGCCCCGCCAATCAGCCGCTGAGCTTTCATGGATAGGCTCCCCGGGCTGCGGTTCGCTGATCGGTCTGCCACTCACGGGAGTGGCGTCTTTCTTGATATCCTCGTTCGGTGAAGGGTATCGCCAAACTACCTTGAGCTTCTCGAATGCGCGAATCCCCTTCTTCGCACTACCTTTGATTCCATCCATTGCGTCCCATTCTATCTCGAAGACACCGGAGTCGTGCTCCTTGCCGCCTTCAAAGTAGGCATTCCACCAGACGTGCGCGACTGATGTAACCATGGCGAATCCGGTATATGAGGCCTTGCTGCGCCGCTCGAGGTCAATGTTGACGTCGGATCCTGGAACAATGATGGCCTTCTTGGGTTTGAATATCACGGCCGATAGGGCGCCGGTTGTAGTGGACCGACGCGAGAGGTTAGGTTTAGACGGTGTCGCGGAGGTATCTGATTGAGAGGTCATGGGCGACCAGGTTGTTGATGATGGGGTAGAAGTCTGAGGAGATTGATCTTTGACATCATTCTGTTTTGGCGTGGTGCTCCCAGCTCCTGACTCCGCCGCAACGCCCTCCATAACAGTGCGCTCGCTGCGGTGGAAAAGGTGGCAGCACTTAATTTTCTTCCCTTCATCCTCGTATCCTTGGACTGCGACCTTGACTCCGTCTCGTAGACCCCAAATGTGTACCTCGAGGATCTCGACTGGTCGTTCCACGTATTGTTTGTCGAGCTTGTTCGCCCATCGATCGATATAATCGACGTATCGAAGTTGACTGGGGATGCTGACGCCATTGCCGAAACCAACTCGCATGCGTCGATCGGTGAATCGCTGCAACGCATCTTCCTTTTTCCACCCTTCTTGGCTGATCAGATATGCAGTTGCGACGGTGCCGCTGCGCCCTTTGCCCGCCTTGCAATGTACGACCGCGACTCGCTTTCCTTCCTTCGCATCTGCCTCGTCAAGGTTATGCAGCCAGTTCCGCATGCTGCCCATAATATTCGGTATCAATGCGAAAGGCGGCGGGTGGTGGTCTGGCCAGGGAAAATGGTGGATGCGCCCGTAGACTTCCGAGTCGGGATACCCTGTGCCTTCGGCGCGAAATTCCCAGACACACCAATTTGCGCCATGTTTTGAGTCGAGGAAGTTGACTAGAGCGTCGAGTGGGTTGCGGTATGCGCGTTGGGGGTAGTTTCCGGAGGGGCCTGATGTGGCGATGACTGGGATTACACAACAGCGTTAGCTTGGGAATTGCGAATGCTCAGTCGTGTGGAGGTCATATTCATACTATTATCGGTTACATAGCAGAGGTCTAGTCCAGCTTCGGGGTGTTGTTGTCTCGGCCCCGCGACAATTTGGCGGAGGATTGAGGCCTGGGGTTGCGGGGAGTTAGCGCCTGTACACATACCATGGTCTGGGGAGTTCGGGAGCCATACCATGAGGCGAGATATTTCAACTCGCAGATTTCATATAAATGTCAGGACATGAAGAAATGCGACAAGCCTTAGAGATCTCTTGCGCATATAGCTTGGCTGATGGTGGAGAGGGAACTTGTTTATGGCAGGAGGCGCAGTCGGGCCAATGACATCATGTCAAAGAACAGAGTAGTGAAAATGCCACCACGTCAAGTCTTAATCCACACCACTCACACACACTCTCTCTATCTCTGCCCATCAAGAAATAGTTTAAGCAAAAATATAAAAGCAAAAATAAAAAACATACAACAGCAGGGATTCGCATGTGGTCACCCACCATACTACTAACCTGCCGGCGTGTGGCTTAAGTACGGCTGAGCGGACGGGAAGCCCTGTTCTCCACACCCTATGGTCGTATGTGCTAGAAATTGCATTGTAGGGGTATCTAGAGAAAGCATAAAAGGGGCAAGCGCCGATTAGGTTCGCGCGACTGGGACAGGTGGTGTATGCAGCAATAAGCCTTGGGGGGTCACGATGCGCCATACAAGTTAAAATAGTCCAATCACAGATGGCAGAAAATAGAGAGAAATATGAACATGATGTGCTAAAGCACCACGACAATACAAGAGAATGTTTGAACTATTCTAAGAACTCTTAGGAGCATATTGTGCATGGGCTACAGAAATAATTAGAATTTCATTAATACATACATCCCTGCCCAGGTCCATGGCAAAACTGGTCCTCTATAAAGTTTATTGTATTCAAATAAAATTCTCTCTGAGGATATAGCCAAAACATACTTTGGCCTTCATCAATTATCTAATCGAGGGGATTCTCGCTTCACAATTCGATCAATGACCCCGGTCAGAGTTTCCTTCGGTAGTCCGAGAAGGCCATTGGACAAGCCAAACTTCTCAAAGTCAGCTCCTCTATCTGCATCATCCGCGTAGAGCAGCATAAGAATCAGCAGCTTCAAGCCCTCGGAATAATCTTTATCATCAAGCTCGGCTGCCCTCCTCAGTGCATCTGTCGAAGACATGGTTTCAACCTTCCATGTGGTATCGGTTGCTTTTTGTAGTACCTCAAGAACCTCGCGCTGTGATACAGTGAATGATGCCACAAAGATAGGCTTGTTTCTTGTCTGCTCGGGATTCAATAGTACCCTAGCGACAGCGGTACTTGCAGTTCCGAGAGTTGTAGTCGACCATAGCTTATGGCCAGAGTCGTAGATTGTAACACGCTTCTCCTCGAAATGGTAGTCCAGCCATCCACTTTCAAGTCCCCAATCGAAAAATTGGCCAGTATGGATAGCTGTCCAAGTTAAACCTGAGGTTTCTTTACTTTTAAGGTAAGAAATGACCCTAGATTTATCCTCGTAGAGTGAGACCAGATCTGCAGCTGCAGTACAAGTGTTGTTGCCATATTCCGTAGGAATAAAACGCTTAACTCCTGTTTGAATTGCAGCGTCGATCATACGTAGATGAACTGTATACGGTCTCCCAGGTAATGTTGAGACCAGCGCGTCTTGCCCCTTAAAGGCCTCGAGAAGTTGATCGATTGGGTAGTCATTGTCCACTCTGTGAATTTTGATTCCAGGTGGAAAGGTTTGAGACTTCGAGGATTTTCGTGTCAGAATCGACAAGTTGAAAACCCCTTCTTTTTGAAGTGCTGCTAAAACCTCAGTGCCGAATAGACCTCCGGCCTATTATCTAGGTATATTCTTGAATTAGTATACCCTAGGTACTAGTAGGATTCTGACTCGGAGCAATAAGAAGCTTAGTACTAGGTATATACTTACACCCATGGTCATAACGTTCTTGATTGGTTCAAGTTGAGTCATTCTTGGAAACAAATTGAACCGAAATTTGTATGGGCGTAGAGATAAGGGATTCTCAAATTCTCAGAAATAAAATTCACCCCGCTTGGTTGGGTTATGTGCGTATTTATGCATAAAGAGGACACGTGAACCCATCAATTACAGCCCCACCTGGGCAGAGGCGCTCTAGTATTATTACAACCTTGGAAGTTTATTTTACAGCCCAAGTAGTACCTGCCGGCGAGGGGCTCTGCTACTCGGATCAGGCACTTATGCCTACCTGCAGGTGACTACGCTGGCCCACTCACCAACTAACCAGCTCACCCTGGGGCAGCAGGTCGATCAACTCAAAACTCGGCCATATAATCAGATATGGTCATTACCATGATAAATCCGTCCATCTGGACAAGGCCATCTGGGCAGAGTTCGATCTGACCACAGCCCTTTGCCAGGAATCAGCTCGTGTGACGAGGGGTTTTTGGCGCCTTTGTTGCGGTGCTTGGTTATATCGGAGCAGAGGCGGCCACCGATATCTGGTTTTCGTCGTTATTATGGCCCCCTCGATCTTTCTCATATCTCACACTTCAATCCATCCCAGCCCTGGCCCTCTTGATGCCCATGGGGGGGCCCTTTGCACAAAGCCGCTCTGAGCACCTTCGATATCGCCAACGCCCGAGATCTCTTGAAGGGCGCCCACGAAGGCCACATGTTGGGCACTTCGTTCTTTAAGCAAACGGAATGGACCTTCACCATTCCTGGTGCTGCTGATTTCGAGCCCCGTGCAGCTCGTAACTGCATGTGGGCGCGAGCTCTTCATTACATGCCTCTACCCGGCGAATTATCTGGAGCACTGGTAGGACTATCCCCTCCAGCCACGGGCGATGCCATCGAGAAGGGCATCCTCCCGTCCGCCAACAATGGCCGTATTCACCTACGAGCGAAAGTAGCCGTCTACCACCTTACCCTCTCTCGAGCAACGGCAAGCCTCGCAAATGGCGTTTGTGCGCGAGAACCGTGGCCGACCAGGCTCGTAAGTTTACCTCAGCATCTTCATCGCCGAACTCTCCGGCATCATTATATTTGCCGTCATCTACGCCATCGGTCGATCACTCTGGTGTCTCATCTGGCTGGCCCCGCTACTCCTCCGCCTCTTGAGCGCCTTCTTCGCCCTCGACTGCGAGCCTCTCACCCCTATATCCTCCATCTCATCGCCATTTACCACGCCGACGATCGAAGCCGGATCAAGTCGTGATTTCGTCCTCCACTTCCCCCAATCCCAAAGCGGCGACTTCATGCTGTTCACAGGTCTCCCAGCCCTCGTATAATAGTGCCCAGTTTATTGATTCAAATTTAAATATGATAGATCTAGTAGTGCATAAGTGCCCCTGAGATATCATTTATGTTTACGCCCTCACTGGCAGGCTGGAGACTCCGAGTCGGAAAAGTACTAGGTATTCTTGCTCCTTGAAACCCTTCTTACTATCTCTCCCACCCCTACCTAGGTACTTAGTACTAGAAGGGATATCTATTTACAGCGCATCATGAACCCCTCCCAGGCCTGGAACTTGATAGAACCCCCTTCCACACTGATCTGTCTCTGGAGCGTAGAAGGCGCCGCCCATTCAACTTCAACTGACTCGGGTATTTTCCAAGAAGTGTCCTTTCCCGTCCAATTCATCGCGATCAACCACCTTTCCTTCGACCGGGCACCGATCCTAAAGTATGCATAAACCTGTTCATTTTCCACGTCCACATCTTCATAATCGCCGTATACAAAGACATCATTATTGGTCTTGCGGATCCGTAAGGCTAGCTGCCAGTATTGCCAGACAGAGAGATCTCGATTCGTGGACGCCATCTGTGCTTCCACGTTCACCTGATGGTAGTCATCATTCACGATCATCCAGGGTGTGACATTTCCCGTTGCGAAGCCTGCATTAGGCCCAGAATTCCACTGCATGGGCGTCCGAGCGTGATCTCTAGCTTTTTTTTGGAGAAGCTCTCTGGCCTTTCCAAGCTGTACCGGGTTATTCGGATATAATCTCTTCATTTTGTTCCAGAAGTTAATGCTCTCCACATCCTTGTAGTCAACATCTGGATCCGAATTAACCAAGTTTCGCATGCCAATCTCCTGCCCTTGAAAGAGATATAATGTGCCACCGAGCGTGGTTTGCATAAGCGCGAGTACCTTGGCACCCTGTTCGCGAAAACCGTCGTTATCATCCACATAGCGTGAAACAGAGCGAGCTTGATCGTGGCATTCGAAAAAGACTGTACTCCAACCATCCCACTCAATCATTTTTCGTTGCCAGCCAGACAATATCTTTTTCAGCTCCGGTAACTTCCAATCGCGCATACTCCATTTAGATTCACCTTTAGTTTTCACATCCTGGATCTCCATGTGATCAAAAATGAAGATCATGTTCAGTTCTTTGGCAGTCGACCCCACTGTCTTGATGATCTCGTTTATGTCACTAACGTATGGCGTTTCACCGACAGTCATTGTATCATACTTTGATAAAACTTTATCATATATTCCGTGCATGAACTCATGGAAGCGTGGGCCATTGGTATAGAAGCTCTCGCCAGGCTGGAACTGGCAATTCGGTTCTACCACTGGGGCATCAGGAAAGGCTGGATCTTTAGAAATCAAGTTAATGACATCCATACGGAATCCAGAGACACCTCGGGATAGCCAGAAATGCATCACCTAGGAATTATAGTTAGTCATATACAATCAGAGACTAGAAATGGCAGGCACTCACATCATGGACAGCGGCAACCACTTCCGGGGTTTCCCAGTTTAAGTCCACTTGCTCTGCAGTATGCAAGGCTAGATAGAACTCCTGGGTTGTTTCGCTCCAAATCCATACACTGTGGGAGTCATTCAATATCTGTGCCCAATTATTCGGTGGCAGAGGTTTGCCATTAGAATCGTATCCTCGGGCAGGTTTCCAAATATACCAATCGCGCTTGGCCGAATGCTTGGACCCACTGGATTCAATGAACCATTGATGTTGATCGGATGTGTGAGTGACAACAAGATCCATTATGAGCCTCATATCGTGGTCATTCAGAGATTGAATCAGAGCATCGACGTCTGCGAGATTTCCATAACGAGGATCGATGACTTTGTAATCGGCGATGTCGTATCCCATGTCAACTTGAGGGGATTTATAGACTAGAAGATTATTGCGAGTTAGATTGTCGGTCCAATTTGAGGATTTGCCAACCATGCACACAGAGTCCTTGATATTATTCCCTTTTCTGGTATTTAGGCAAAGGATCTTTTTAATGACTCACTAGGACTTGTCCAAACAACGTCGACTCCGAGAGACTTCAGGTAAGGTACCTTTTCAGTAATCCCACGCACATCGCCCCAACCATCTGCTTCGGCAGCAGGCTTACTGCTTTTGAAACTCGCCGGATAAACCTGGTATACGATCGCCTCCTTCCACCATTTCTTGGTGATATAGTTGGATGGAGCCATCTCCACAGCTAGGAGCTAAATGTGAGAAGACGCTCACTTATCTTTCAAGGCTGTCAGAGCAATATGCCTGCTGAAGGGAGAAGATGGGGATCGTTAGCTGTTTATAATGCCATGCTCTTGTAAATAGAAGTGTCTGGTGCTCTGCCGCTTGAAACGCATTCGTATTACGTAGCTGTAATATCAAAACTTACAGATAGCATCCGAATTTTTAAATATTCAAACGTGAGTTTGAGATCCTGGAAGACGCTCGAAATGGAGTCAAATTTGTGCACGGACCCAAATGAGGGGAAGCTTGACACTGGCATTGGATAGTGGACATAATGAACGAGCAATCAAATGCCTGATTACCTAGCTAGGTATTTTCGCGAAGTGTGGTTTGAAGCTCCACATTTTATTGTGCTTTGAGTCATTCGTAATGACTTTATCTCTGAGGAAAGTCTCAGATGAAAGAGGCTTTCCCAAGGGTTGGAAGTATTCAAGTGGGCCACCGTTTCGTGAAATCGATGAAAAAGGAAGGTGTAATTTGATTACTACAGACATCCTGGCTTCCATACAACAACGTGCCTGATTCTGCTAAAGTTAAAACTTAATTGAAAGTATGGCCCTGCGTCTATTTGTCATACATCTTCAATAATTGGAATTCACGATCAATTGTTGTTGGGGGATGTACTGGTTCACCATACTCCGTATTCAGTCACGTATTTGTAACGTTCGTTTCATACGTGTTCCATACTAGTATGTGGCTTGCCCGATTTCCCATACAGAATGGTGTGATAGGAAGTAAATTTCATATTAAAATTGGTCTACTCTCTTCTTTTGCGGGCAGAACAGAGCTCACATCGACTTCTGACAAGTATTCGACTCGGATAACCCGCAACTAGTTCTTTCTATTCATGGCTGCATTTCCCCAGTCCTAAGAACAAGAAAGCACTTTACGTATTTTTAGACCGATTCAGCTTCGAAATCTCCTCAACCAGTTCAAAAGGTGCGCAAACGCCAAGACATCGTTTCATCAAAGTATTCATCAGCTCAAGGCCGCACAAATAGCTAGAATTTGCCCATCCAAATCTACCAGAGACTAGTCAGTATAAAACCAATTATTTCGAAAATGAGAAACACATACCCTTCGCGTGAGACACCGCGAAAGTCAGCACCTTGATTGCCATATTCCGCATTGACCTTGTGAGAGTCGGTTGATCGAGTAACATCATACTTTTCGACTACAACCCCGTTGAACTCAACGAATGTCTTGGTCATCATAAATAGCCATTTATAGGCTAAACGCTGTGCATCCTGCTGGTAGCCATAATTGAGCAACCCATTCCATGCAATTATTTGATGAGGAGCCCATCCAAAAGGATAGTCCCATTGACGGTTGGGCTTCTCGAGGCTGATCCCCCCCCCGAGAAGCCTCGGTACAAGCGACAAGACCCCCGCGGCTCTCAAATTTTGGCAAGGCTTTCTCAACTAGGAGAGTAGCCTGTCGAGGAGTAGCTGCCTGTGCCCAAAGTGGCCATAGAGTTGTTACACTCTCATACGGCATTTGCTGCTGAGTCTTGACGTTGTAGTCAAGATACAGTCCCTTTTCCTCATTCCATAGGTATGCATCCATTTGGGTTCGACGAAATTGCGCGCGGCGGTCCCAGAGAGCAGATTGTTCAATGTATTCGGCCTGAGCAAACCGAGACGACACTACTAGGGCGTCGTCAAAGTACTCACGAATAATAAAGGCAATATCGGTTTCGTACTTATAAAGCAACGAGTTCAGATCCACTGTGACAAGATTGGCACACACCTTTTCGAGTCTGTAGGAGGTATCATGTCCAGACTCTCGTAGAGATCGATCATGGAGGAAGTATTCATCCAACTCCGGCTCAGAAACTTCACCATGGTTGTATGCTCGAATGAATTGATCCATACTCAGATTGTGCTTTTTGGCATATGGCGAGAGTAGGTGAACAAAGTGCGATTTCTCCGTCTCGGGAGGGACGCCAACACCAGTAGCTTGATATCGAGAGAGACCTGTGAGAGGGTCTAATCGGGGACTTGCAGTCCATACAGTGTTATACTCTTTGATCGCAGCCCATGTAGCTAGACGGAGCAGCTCAAGGGAGCCAGGCTCATGCTTGATCCTTTTGAACGTGCTCAAGGCCATGTCCGTGAGAAATGGTGGCTGCGAGCGACCAAGGTAATAGGTTCGATTGGCGTTAAAGACCTTACCATAGTGTTCAATACAGAAGCAAAAGTTTCGAATAATACCACGGGCAAGATCCAGGCGATCGCTGCGAAGCAAGCCAAGAACGATGAAATAGCTGTCCCATCCATATAGTTCGTTGAAGCGAGCTCCAGGGACAACAAATGGAACTCCACGAAGCTCCTCTTTTTGTTTGATCGGGTCAAAGTAGCTATCAACTTCCAAAGCTAGGATGCCAGGTGCATCGTTCAAATCTCGCACGTACTCTGGTGTGATGTTCTCGGGAAGGAGGATGACGTCAAGGTTCAAAGCATTGGGGTTCTCATCGACGAATTTCTTGTAGTACTCATATTGCATCAAAGCCCCTCGTGGAACATAAAGACGACCTCGAGAATCGGGAGTCCAATCTTTTGGGTCCTTTGCCACTCTTGCGACATTGGAAGTATCAATACGACGCGTGAGGTTGTCCCAAAATGACGTACGGATCAAGCGTGAAAGCCGCGTGACAGGGTTCTCATTGAGTGCGTGGTCTGTCAATCGTGCGACAGTGCTGACTTGGGATTGGCCGGGTCCCAGAACCGCTGGTAAGTCGGATGGGCTTTGGAGTAGACTCAATTCCTGCAATAGGACTGAAAGTGGATAGGTCCCTCGAACTTCGTAGCGACGAAATCCGTCGGATCCTACAGACCCCAACAATAAGTTCTATATATAGATTAGCACAAATAGATAAGTTGACTGCAGGCTTTTGGGGCTCTTTTCACCTTAGGGCCTTTGTCATCGACTGTGATTTTATAATCATTGTCTGTATCTTCTTGAGCAAGCAGCCTTTGGAGGGTCTCCTGGATAGGGACAAGAAATTCAGTCGCGGAATATCCACAGTTGTAATCTGGGATGGTTATTTAGAAAATATTGCGAGAAAAAGATCCTCACAGCAGACAACACACCTTCACTTCCTCGTCGACGAGGGCTTGCTGTTCCTGCAAGCGTGGACCGTCCCCAGTGAAACTGAGCTGTTAGCAGTGACTCTCGTCGCCGGGCGCTTGGGGTTCTCACACTATTCAAGGAATGCCTTCGACTTCTTGGTTCATGTATCTCCCTTTCAAGATCGCCCGAAATATCTGGGAGTCTTGTATCTGAATGTTCCATCGTTGGTGAGTGAAAGTGTCGTCGAGTGTCTTCACCGTTTGAAATGACACCACTTCCTGGACAGCGGGACAAAGAATAAGAATTTAAAAAGTTAAAAATATACCGGTCGTGAGTGAATAGAGACTTAAGAAAAGATTCTCTTCACCACCCTTGCTTTTGTCACTGGCTCGTTTGAAATCTGAGCTGTCTGATGTGATTGTGGCCAATGCCGTCAGCTCCACCATGGAGATGAAGGAAAGGCTGTTAAGTCGGTGAAGGAATCTATTACGGTAGGACACATGGCGTCCTCGTGCGTATTGATGATTCAAGGCAATCGAGTGGTCCACCTTCTCAAGCCTGCTTTCGTGTACTCAAGTTCAAGTCCATAGAAGTGGAAAGGATCCACATTTATGATCTATACCTATTACGCCGAGAATACACCGGGTCGGTCAGATTGGGATTGGAATTTCTAATCGGCTGGGAACTTGTAATACTTCCAGCAATCATTTCCCCCAAGCTTTTGGTTTATACGTATCTAAATTAATTCAGATAATCTAGAATGAGGAAAGAAAAAACTAGATATATTTCAAAAAGTTCCTAATACTGAAGAATTATATTAGAGCAGTCCTATGCAATTATGCTACAATTTTCCGAGGCGAGTTGCGGGAAACATGAATATCCAATCCTGAAAAGAAGTTCTCGTGGGAATTTATGGATGAATGAGGAGCATAAAATGGCGATAATATTGACATGTGCTAACTAATAGGTAACTATTGACTACTACTACTGGCCACTATTAATGGGATAATAGTGCCTCCCGATGCACCTGCACAAACTCGTCAACGGCAGTCACATATTGGTCAATATCGCGGTCAGTAAGAGCCAGATGCAGTGGAGTGTAGCCCCGAGCAGCCAGATAAATATTTCGCTGAAGCATGTGGTGGTAAAATAAACCTTGCCATGAAGCACGATTGACCCCAGAAAAGCGGATATTCAACATACTACCTTCACCGGAGACAAACATATTTGGCAAAGGCTTTTGTGTCCCGGAGCTTCCATTTTCATCAAGTACTGTGGTGGGCCCTCTAAGACTGTCAATCTCTAGAATGTCTCGAGATGCACCGGCCGGGTGCTCGGGATATAATCCAGCACGAATTAGAATCCCCTGGAGCTTGATTTTCATATCGCGACCACGTGCGTTGAGAGCTAATACTGCCGCTGCATCATAGATATCAAGACCCGAGATACCAGCAGCCATTGTGACAATGTTGTTGTTGTAGGTCCCGGGGTGCTGGAGACATGATATGCTGGGATCAAAAAGAGCCATAATATTTTTGCGCCCTCCAAATGCGCCAAAGGTCATACCTCCGCCGATGTATTTCCCAAGGGTGATCAGATCAGGCCTGATGCCTATAGTAGCACAATAACCATGAGGTCCCAAGCGAGATGCCATCACTTCATCAATAATGAGCAAAGCCCCGAGTCTTGTTGTTTGTCTGCGCAAGAAGTGAAGGAATTCAGGAGAGGCCGGTCGGCACCCCCCCAGATCCTTGGAGTGGTTCAAGAAGAACCGCAGCCAGTGTGTTTGGAGGTATATCATCGAGTACCTTTTGTGTTTCATTGATATTGTTGTATGGTGCGAAGACGAAATCGTGTGGTAGGTTGGAGCTTGGTACATTCGGCTGTTGAATGTACTCAGGAGGAAAGATTAGAGTGCCTCCATGATAGCCTCCAGTGAAAACAAGAATCTTTTTTCTTCCTGTAAAGTTCAGAGCAGCTGCAATTGCCATGGTGTTTGATTCAGTTCCGGAGTTCGTGAATCGAACCATCTCCAATCCGCTCTCATAGAATCTCTCGACGACTTTCTTTGCCAAAACTTTCTCATATGTGCACGGCCCGCCAAAATTCCAGCCTTTTGACATGGCTGCCGCAACAGTGTCTTTGATAACTTTGTTTGAGTGACCGAAGATGCCTGCACTGTACTCTCCGAGGAAGTCCAGGTATCTGTCCCCGTCTACCGAGGTCAGGCTCGCTCCATCACCGGAAGCAAAAGTAATCGGGAATGGCAGCACGTGTAGAATTGTGCGAGTGTTTCCGCCGGGCATGTAGGTTGCCCCTTCAGCATGAAGGTTTTTTGACTCCGGGTTCCGCTTGGCATATTCGAGACGTGCGGCAGTCAGCGCGTCAGTTGCGTACGTATCGAACTTCGTCTGAGTCATGGTGTGAAGAAAGAGAAGCGTGAAATAGGAAGGGGCTTGCTTTGAATTTGAATTTCTCAGCTGGTGATAGCTTTCATCTTCATCTTATATCTTGGAAGTCCTAAATTGTTGACCTTGAAGTCAGAATAAAGATTGAAGCTGCCTGAGAACCGTATCGGAATCTGGCTACTTTAGGCAGTTCAATACTCAAACGGGTCGATATGCAGGGTTGGTTGGAGAGGAGGTGGGCATACGGAATTCAATCGGGATGCTACCTGAAAAGGAAAGTCCCCTTTTCGACCCCCGGAATATTATCCACTAGATACGAAATACATACCTGATCTGAAGGTTCGTGGGGCAAAGTCTAATATTTTAACTCAAATCGATATGTCTCATATCGCGATTTGTCACATTTGGGAAACTGATTCAGGGGCTGAGTCTCCTTCCACTGCCAGTGGTAGATTAGGATTCCTTTACTCAAACGGCCCACCGCAGGACGCTCGTTTACCTGTACCCGAGCCAAGCATTCTATCTTTCTTTTTCAAAATAGAGTGGAATGATAAATTCACAAGGCCTGCCCATCACATATTTTTGAAACCAGATAATAACTTGAACGCATTATTCGATATTGAATCCTGGAACTTGAAAACTTGAACCCTTACTGTGAGAATCATGACTAGCCCTGAGAATTATCATCAGAGTGCGCTGGCTAAGGTGAGGTTGTCGAAGGTGAATAATATATTATATTCAGAGTATCAACTAATAAGCCTGCCGACAGCTTAATAATAAGTCACTATTAAATGGCAATGCATTTATAGACGGCATTTGGGTGTCGAAAGAAAAGAAGTTTCCTGTTTACGGTAAGATGAACGATTGAACTGCAATCATGATGCAAATGAACAATAAATGCTCACAGAGAAGAAGAGCCATCGACAGGTACGGTACTTGGAAAAGTCTCAGATTGCGACCTTGCCGATTTTCAAAAGGCAATTGTGAGCGCGGAGTCTGTCCAAGAAGAATACTTTTTGAGCACGACAGGTGCTCAACGAGGAGCTTTATTGAGAAAATGGAATGACTTGATCATCGCCAATCGGAATGACAGTCAGTCAATGACAGGAAAACCTTCTTAAAATGTGTACATTTACTAATAGCTTGGTTTTTTGCCAGTTGCAATTATCCTCAGTCTCGAAAACGGCAAGCCGTACGCTGAGGCCCTTGGTGAAGTGTTGTATGCCGCATCATTTGTGTCATGGTTCGCCGAAGAGGCTCCTCGGGCTTACGGGCATACCATTCCATCTGCGACCCCGAATACGATTCTTTCAGATGTTCGCGAACCGGTCGGTGTCTGCGGCATAATCACCCCTTGGAATTTCCCTGCAGCCATGATCACGCGCAAAGTTGCCCCGGCATTCGGTGCCGGATGTACAGTGGTTATAAAACCCCCCCAGTGAAACCCCTTATACCTGTGCTATACTTGCGAAGCTGGCAGTTGAGGCTGGATTCCCTCCAAAGTCTATTCAGGTCTGCCCGACAAAAGATCGCCAGGCTGCTAGCGAATTGGCCACCAACCCGCTTGTGAAGAAGATTAGTTTCACCGGGTCGACTGGTGTTGGTAAGATACTGGCAAGATTGGCAGCTGGTACGCTCAAGAAAGTCAGTCTAGAGCTGGGTGGAAATGCTCCTCTCATCGTCTTCGATGACGCCAATTTGGATGTTACTATCGAAGGCGTGATGACATCCAAATTCCGCTGCTCTGGCCAAACTTGTGTCTGGTAAGTGAATCCCGGATCTTAAATTATTTGTTCAAGATAAAAAGTTTATTCACGACAAAACTCGAAATTTAGCGCGAACCGAATTTATGTCCAGCGTGGGATTGAAAAGGAATTCGTACAAAGGCTTGTGCAGGCCGTTTCACGGCTTAAGTACGGGGCTGGTCTGGATTCCACGACGACACAAGGTCCACTTGTCAATCGAAGTGCGGTGGATAAAGTTGCCAGTCACATCTCGGATGCTGTATCAAAGGGCGCACAGGTGGAAATCGGCGGCGAGGCTCCTAAAGGTGAAGGATATTTCTTCCCACCCACGGTCTTGTCTTCCGTTCCGACGAATGCCATTGTCACAATTGATGAGACATTCGGGCCACTGGCGGCAATTTGCGCCTTTGATACTGAAGATGAGGTTGTCAAGTTAGCAAACGCTACTGAGTTCGGCCTGGCCGGGTACCTGTTCAGCGAAAATATTGGACGCTGTCATAGAGTCGCGGCGCGAATGCAGGTTGGCATGGTGGCTGTGAATACAGGAAAAGTGAGTGCAACGGAAGCTCCATTTGGGGGAGTCAAGGCTAGTGGTTATGGAAGAGAGGGAAGTGTGTATGGCATGGAAGAGTATCAAGTTATCAAGGCTATTACCGTGGGTAATATACATCGGTAAATTGCAAATGATAGCATTTTGTCATTTATGCGGAGTGAAGATTTAACTATAAAATCTAAATTCAATGAGTTGAAGTTATTGGCAGTTAGTCAGATTGATAAACAAAATAAGCACCTTCCTTAAGGTTGGGCAAGTTGAAAATCGATGCCTTGATGTGTCAGGCATACAGGCTGCCATGCCGTCCCCTTGTGATTTCCCCCTCTTTTCATATTACCAATTTGAAATTTTCGTCACTTTCACCAATTCATAACACCCTTGCAAATAGACCAAGCAGATTGCAAGGGGCCTGATTGTTGTTGATATATGACCTGAGTGGCGGTCAAGGAGAACAGGACTTTGAAATAATATCCTAGATCTTGCTGCAAGCTAGCTCTGCACGGGGCTCGAAACATTGAGAGTACATCGATGAGTCGAAAGGAAAGTACCGGGAAAGTATCGGCACCCTAGATGCCATCTCACGACCAAAGACCCCTGACCATTCGATTACCAAGTCTGGATGCTTTCCGAAGCAGCCCCGCCAGGACCCACCGGGATATCTCTTGCGGGTTTTGGTCAGATTCCGAAATACAATACAAGTGAAATGCGGAGTGAGTCGTGAATTGTTATAAACGATAATATCCAGGGCACTATGATTATCTCAACCACCATTCTATTCTCTTAACACTCAATGCAAAGGGCGAAATAAGAACAGTGCGCGATGCCTTACGACTCCTTGATCAGCGATCCACTTCTCCCAGAGGCCGATCCAACAGTCTCTTACTGGCAAACACCGCTGAACGAGAATGTTAGGAACATTCAATCAGTACAACTACCAGCCAATTGCGACATTGCCGTCATCGGTTCTGGTGTCTCAGCTTGCAGCACGGTTCACGAGCTTCTGACGAGCGGTTATACTGGCAAAATCGGGGTCCTCGAAGCACGACAGATATGCTCTGGTGCAACAGGTCGAAATGGCGGACGTATCCACGTTCATGCGATGCAAGACTATGACCGATTCCGTCAACGCCTCGGAGATGCGGCAGCAGAGAAGATTGTCCGGTTTCAAATGTTGCACTACGAGGCGATTGAGAAGGTTGCCAAATCTCTCGGCCCAGAAGGTTTCAAGCAGGCAGCTCTGCGCGAAACTCAATCAGTTGCCGCAGCTTTCAGTGAGAAAAAGCTTGCTGATATGAAGACAATGTTGGCCAACTTTGAGGCCGCGTTCCCGGACTGGGCTGGTCGTTGGAAAATCGTGGAGGCTGAGGAGGCACAGAAGGTATCCTGGTCCCTTGACCCGACTCCTTGAATGAAAGAATCTGTCCCTAACATTAAAGTATTCTCATTCTTCAGGAATATAAGATCAAGAATGCAACCGGGGCTATGATTGGCGTTGCTGGAGCGATCTGGCCGTATCGGCTGATGACCGCTGTCTTTGCCGCGCTCCAAGAAAGATACCCTGGGCGCCTTTTCCTCGAGTCCAATACGCCTGTGACATCTGTGCATAAGAATTCAACGCCAGACTACGCATACTCACTCCACACCCCGCGCGGTATCATTCAAGCTCAACACGTCGTTTACTGTACGGAAGCTCATACGGCCCATTTGCTCCCAAAATTCAAAGGCATAATCGTTCCACGTCGTGGGCAGGTCATGGTCCAGCGACCTGGTATTGATTTTGAGGATCTATCCGGAGATCGCTCGTGGAGCTTTTATCTGGATGAAGGGCTTTTCTACCTGCACCAGAACGCAGCCACCGGAGATATCATTCTCGGTGGAGGAGAGCTTGGAGGCTTCGACGGTGCACACAATAGCTATGGTAAGCGTTCCGATGCCAGAGAGTCGCTCGCTGCCAAGACGCATCTTTCGGGCGCTTTGCGGGTGATCTTTGAACACTGGGGTGAAATTGCTCCGAATGAACAGTCCATAAAGGCATCCTGGTCCGGCATCATGGCGAACTCATTGGATCATCTACCCTTCGTAGGCCAGCTTCCCCAGGAGGCAATCGATACTCGTCGCATCGGTCAACCAGAGACTGGTGCGGAGTGGATATGTGCCGGGTTCAGTGGGTTTGGAATGACGAATGCTTGGATGAGTGGTGTTGCCCTAGCAAGGCAAATAACTGGAAAGGAAGTTCCTACGTGGTTCCCTGATCACTATAGAATCTCATCGCAGAGAATTCGTCAATTGCAAATGCAATTGGCGCATATTGGAGGCTCTGAGGAGCATCTTCGTGCATTGTACTCGAAGTTATGAGTTTTCTGGACCTGTCCCCTGCTCTATCCACGTTCTTCCATCTAACGGGTGAATGTGATTCTTCGGCATGAAATAATATTATCGCCAGTTTTGCAATCAAATCTCTCCTTGTCCAAATTAAGCTAGCATATGACAAAAAGTAATATTGAAGAGGTATTATTTAGCTATCACATGCCGGCATACTAATATCATTTGGAGAAGATGGCCACAGTAAGAAATTAATGAACTTCATCGCAGCCACTCCTGGATTATAATAATAGTACACTTTAAATGTGACAGTGCGAGAGAGCCTTTCCCCAAATCGCGTAATTTCCATATGTTGGCTCCAGCCAATCTCAAAAGCTCATCATGGCTGCCTTGAGATTTGCCCATGCTCTGACTGACACTGCAGCCTGCGAGTTGATTGCTTCAAAAGAATGTGTCACTCCTGGATACAAATGCATTTCGCAGTCTATATTGCATTTTGCAATGCGACTAGAATAATCAATACACTCGTCACGAAAGAGATCAAGACCACCAACTTCAATATAAGTCGATGGCAGGCTAGCAAGGCTTTCCGCTCTAGCTGGAGCAGCGTAGGGGCTGGTGCCAGGACCACCGACTTTAGCCAAATCCCCCAGATAAGCCCCCCCAGGCATCTCGGTTGTCTGCATGGCCCCAAATTGCCAATCTCTCCAACTCTGGATTCTGGTAGATAGTCCGGTCGTCGAGCATCGGGTAGATGAGAATCTGTTTTGCTAGTTGCGGCTGTAATCCCCTATCCCTAGCCATGAGAGCTGTCGCTGCCGCAAGGTTTCCACCTGCACTTTCTCCCATGACAGCGATGCGAGCCGGGTCAATATTGAGGTATTTGGCGTTGTCATGTATCCAATTCAATGTGGTCCAGCATTCCAGGAATTGGTGCGGATAAGAGTACTCGGGAGCAAGAAAATAATCGATACTGAAGATCTGAACACCACATTCTGCAGCTTGATACTTGAGTCTTTTGAGGAGGTATGGAACAGATCCGTAAATGAATCCCCCACTGTGAGTATGGATAATAGCGGGAAATGGTGAGCTGGATGGTTGTCGAGCGCGTGTGGGACATAATTGGTAAACAGAGATTGGTTCGCTGTGACCGGAAAATGGTATCTTCAAGGCCGTCACTGTGACACTTGGGTCATCTAGTAGGTGACAATATCGCTTTTCTTGAGTTTTAATCCAGTCGAGGCGGCCGAGATTGCGATTTTTTGGATCAGATGTCTTATTTGGCTCCATGCTAGGTAGAAGGTCTTTGCAACCTTCGAAGAATTCATGATCAAATGCAAGAGATGACATTCTGGGACTCGCAACAAATTGCTGGTTTTGTTTTGATGCCTGGGAGAGAGGAGGAAACTGCTCGATTCTGCTTGTGATATTCTCAATCGAGTCACAAAGTGGCGTACTGCAATTGTTTCTACCTACTAGGTAATCGAGGAAACATTTATCTCTTCAGAGGGCCAATTATCGGAAATGTGGACGAGAGACAAACATTACAAGTGGGCACTAGCTGCTTGGGTGAATAATCTCCACCTGGTACATTGCCCTTAGTGTGTCAATCTCAGATAACGAGTAGCAATATGTAGATTACTCCCGAGGTCGAGAACGGGGTTATATCCGGAGATCAAAAAAGCTCTTTTGAAGCTGGTATTAAAAAATTTCCTTCCATTCCTGGCCAAATCGCGGAGCATCCCAGCCAATACCTGGGGGCAAAGCTATGCTCATCTAGGCACTAGCTTCATCGGCCCCGGACGTCATAGTACTAGTAGTACCGTACCACTACCACTGTCACTACTGGTACAATCTTGGAATGTCTACCTAGGTATGAAAAGGAAACACAAAGAATGTACAAGTATACAGTTTCCAATGATGAAGAGTTGCATGGATATACTGCGGTACCTAAAAACGATCTAGGCTGATGTTTATTACTGATATTTCTATGGCAGCCGAGTGCTTAATTAGGTTTCCTTTCCTTCAACCTCAAGATTCATGGTAGTCTTTATTTTCCGAATTACCCTAGCAGGGTTTCCGGCAACAAAGTAGAAAGCAGGAACGTCCTAGTCGAGAGAATTTTAGCCAACCGGAAGTCACAGTAATTAATTATTGCCATTGAGTAATGGTTTACCTTCGTAACAACCGAACATGCACCAACTGTACTCCCACGTCCTACACGAACACCGCCTAGTATTGAGGCACCAGCTCCAACCCACACATCATCTTCAATGTGGATTTCCTTCCCAGCCTCAGGCCCCTTAAGACCGCGTCGCTCTGCGGGGTCTACAGGATGGATAGCACCATAAAGAGACACATTAGGCCCAAAGAGAACGTTCTCGCCAATTGTTATGAGGCAGGTGTCGAGTACGAGAGCATTGAAGTTTAAAAAACTTCCTTTTCCAACCTTGAAATTCAGGCCATGATCAATTGAGATGGGGCCATCGACATAGGGATCGGTCTCGTCGAATTGAGCCTCATCATCCTTCGCATCTGGAAGCTGTGGAGGTAAAATTCGGGCATCGCCAACAATACTAGTTATTCAATGTCAGCTTTAATTGAAGGAATTCTCGCTTTTGAGTCGTGATAGCACCAAAGAAGACCACTTGGCTATCTACGACCATGAACTCACTTCCTCCAAAGTCTCACTTTTTCCCGGCGCGAAGCGCAATTTGAGGCGTTAAATTCCTCACAGGCTTTCTTGCAACGGACTCTGTTTGCTTGAAGAATCTCGCAGCCCGCATTATACCACTCCCCGCGCAACATTTTGTCCCATTCTGGTGACGATGTCATTTTTATTCGCAAGATATCAAGTGATGCCGGTTTAATGGAATTGTTGGATGTACGCGAGCATCAAAAACTGTCAAAATTCGGATATAATGAGTAAAGGAAATGGTGGAAGTGGGATGTATAATGTATCTACCAGGGAGGATGATGTATGTCTGCGTACGAGTCGACTTGGGACTAGTGTCTCTCATCATTCACCAGATGGCCACTGATTCAGATCCTGTTTCAAATTCAACTCTCCGCTAAAATTACTACGCGTACTTAGGTATGGTAATTTCACCTCGCGTGTATGGACGTCTCTGCTAAGCACATTCTGGAATGTGAGCTTTGGTTGTTGAGGTGGGGAGCCGTGATGTTCCCCCGATATTTCCCCATCTATCAAATAGTAGCCGCGCTCCACTGTCTTGTACTTCCTGCCCCCACCTGCCTTTTTGGGTCATTTCTCGAGGGGGGCTTGAAAGGGTGCGGCTAGATCTGGGCCAGAACACGATCTGTGTACAGTGCGGAGTAGTGAAGATAGGGTACGGAGTACGGCTTAGGATAATATTGATGCGTAGTTATCCTTTTACCCCGCAATCTATCGTTTGCCCTATGACTTGCCGCCCCATTTAACTATCTCTTGAAACTCAATCCCAAGTTTGGCTTAGTGACGCCTTTCCTGAATCGTCAAATATCGAGCAAGTCTACTCCGATTAGGGGGGGGGGGTTATCTCCCCCATTTGATACTCGACTTTGGCCGTGATTTTTGAGTTCTACCTCGAGGGAGTCTCGCTTCCAAGGTTTACGATACGTATACTTATTTCCTTTGGTATACGCCATACATACTACTACTACTACTACTACTACTACTACTACTACTACTACTACTACTACTACTACTACTACTACTACTACTACTACTACTACTAGGAGGAGGATCATGGGACTCGACGATCCATTGGTCTCTGTTCATATTACCTCTGGACACAAGTGAGGGGAGGCTGGAATTTAGTGAAGGGTCACGTACCAGATCTCTCAGGTAATAACAATTCTCTATCCCGCTGTTCTCCGTTTATTTTAAATCCGCTTGTCGACCTAGATAATGGTCGATATGACGCGTCAACAGATACTTTTACATCACGTTATGCTGATCCAGTGCCCATCAAAATCTTGTAAAAGATTACGATCCTCATTGCCAGTGTTATGGCAGTCAGGTGGACAAAACTCATCGTGGCTGGCTTAAAGTAGCGCAGTTCACCCATTCTCAGTGAATGCAACCGAGTGTCAATGCCGGAAGGGACCCGGAATAGCCAATAAATAGGCCAGTCAGGCCTACCATGGTTTTCAATGTATCCTAGCACTTGAAATATCCTTCAATTTCGCCATATGCCGAACCTGTCCTGTGGCGATAAGAGATGCGGACACTAGAAATTAGTGACGGTTCCTACCATGGGAGCTCTTTATCTTTTTGTTGATAGCGGCCTAGAAAATAAATATCAATCAAGCCTAGAGATTAACCCAAAGTTTACCCCCGCACATGTGGCAGTTGGGGCCCTTTAAATGGAAAGTCGTACCCCACATCAGCCTGGTTTGGCATGAGCCTTCTATGCAGAAAATAGAACGCCAGCCTTGCCTGACAAAAATCACATCTCGCATCAGGAAAAACCCAGTGAATTCCTCAGTCAAAGCTTGATACAGACGGACATTATCTTTCAAATGGCTCGAAAATTCAACGTCCGTTTCGTAGGTGGGAATGCCTCTCCTGTTTCCCCGAAGGACTGGAAGGAAACACGCATTCTTGACCATCCGAACCGAAGACGTAAAAGCCAATTCGCGTGTCTGGACTGCAAAGAGCGACACCTCAAGTGCGACGAGGCTTTTCCTGTCTGCTCACGTTGCAAGCAGAGGGGAATTATTTGTCGATCTTCGTTTCGCTCGACACAGTGGCAGATTGAAATTCCTGGCTTGACAATTGGCAGCAACTTATCAACTATCCCATCAGCTGTCAAAAACCACTTATTGCGGTATTGGCTTGAAAAAGCTAGCCAAATAATGGTCATCGATCCAAACGTCAATCCATTCTCTTTTGAAATCCTCAAATACCTAAGAACCTCTCGATCCCTTATCTACACAATACAGAGTCTGAGCCTAGCTCATCAAGGGTTTTTTAGCTCCACGTCCTGTGAGGGCGTTCTCCAGGAGCAAGCCCACGCGCTCTCTCTGGTACAAATCGAATTGCAGCAAGATGCTCCTACATACGGCTCTCTCCTCGCTGTTATACTTCTGGGCTTATGCTCTGCATGGCTGGATAACCAAAGGGATGTCAAATTCGGGAAGGAGCACCTGCAGGGGACAAGAGCCATAATCGACATCTTATTAGCAAGCCCAGGAGCGGAAAAGGATTCTTTTTTGCAACAAAGCTTGGCAATATACCTGTGCTGGGAGCAAGCCGTTGCATTCTTCCTAAATGAAAACGACCAGATAATCCCTTATAGTGAGGACTTTTTGCGATGTGTACAGGAGATGCGAAGTCAGTATAATGCGACTATTGGATACAGCAGCGATATTATGCTGGTACTGGGAAACGTTGGTCGATACTGCGGAGCCATTATGAATGGTGCACTTCGGGACTTCTCATTGGAAGCCTTTCTCGAGCAACGTCTTTTGCAGCTTGATGATGCATCCTCGGATGCTCAATCGCATCTAGTTAATAATTCATTTCGAAGACACGGCCTGATAATGCTATATCGGTCTATTCAGTGTGCTCCATCTTCACTACTACTTGGATTCTCAACCAACGACTCCGATGATATCTTTGGTGGCCAGTATCCCGATGAATTAATTATCAAACAATACGCAAAAGAAATCCTTGATGACATATTCAGCCTACCAGTGGATAGCTGCTATCATAGTCTCGTTTCTCTGCCTCTCTTTACCGCAGGTGCTGAATTGGATTGCGATTCGTCTTGGGAGAGACAGCAGGTTAGGGAAAGATTTCAAAATTTGTTCTCGTCCACTAGACTTCCGGCAAATATCCATGCAGTGAAGATCCTAGAAGAACTTTGGCAAATGCAAGACAGCGGAAACGGTGTCTTTTGGCTTTTGTATCTTTTGGAAACGTCGCGAGTTCTTATTCTTTGTTAAGCTTTGATGACTGTGCATTTCAGGAGCAGCGTATCCCGAGGTCGATGGTAGATCTACGTGTCAATTTCTCGCAGGAACACACATTCGAAGCTTGTATGTTGAAGCCCCCGTCAAATCCAGTGCACACACATCCCAATAGCAGCTTGGCATCAACGCACCTGATGACTATTGTTTTTTTTCTTCGTCCATGGATGCTTTGCCCACTACATCCTAATAATCAAAGAATAATGTAGCTTGCACATTGATAGAATTTCTATTTTCTCCCCTCTTGCGCAAACGGCGCTGAAATCCCGAGGTCTCTACGTCAAGATGCCTTCAATGCTGTAAGAGAAAATAAACACCCGCATGAATATAGCTACCAAATACCCTGGCAGTTCATAAATTTGTACTGAAAGTGTGACTGTATTTACCTGCATTCTAGCTGAGCCCTCAACAACCACGCTCTCTAGGCTTTCAGGACATATAATGAGTGATGACACATCGTCGCTCGAGATCCACCTCCCCCTAACATGGCATAATTTCCAAGTCCCAATGTCGTTGTCGTATATCCCTAATAATATTTTGGATTCGAGTCAAACATCACGTATGTGATCGCAATTTCGGACCCCCTTCATCAATGATATGTACTTCCAGGACAATCCATGCTTGTGCAAGGCGATTAGACGAGAGAGACGGGGCCATCTCCCTCATGGGCAAAGAAGCAAGAGACATTAATGTAGTCTTCGCTGGACCAGAAAGTGACAGTGGTTCCCTTGGTGAAGTAAACACAGTCTCCCTCATAAAGGGTAAATGTATCGCCACCTTTGACTTCAGCCTTGACCCAGCCAGCCTTAACGTATGTAAATTCGTCGCAGGGGTAGGTCATTGTTGCACTCTCAGTCTCATGGAAAGTCCCAGCTACACGCTTGCCATCTGCCGAGCGGTACATGACAGACTTGTAGCCGCTCCATTCGGGGAACGGAATTTTGGGAAACGAATCATATTTGCCGTAGGGGATCTTATGGGAAGCCGCTGCATCGGGGCCATCGGCAGGGATAGAGGGAGGCATTTTGAGTAATGTTCGAGGAATTTTGTCGAATTTTGAAGTTGATAGGCTCGTGGGAGGATTTTGGTGTGTCCGCGAATTGAATAGATGATGATTTAATTGGAGATGAAGCCGATAAGTTGAGGTTGATGTTGAGGGTGGTGTTATTTATGTAGTAGATGAAGACGACAGTGATGACAAACTCTTCTTCTATTCTGGAGAATGAACGCATATACGCATGTATTGACTGAATCGGGAAATTATGAATATTCCCAAATGCGTGGCAGCATTTGGCGTATTCCATAGCTTTGACCCCACCGTAAGACCGACCACCCGCTGTCCGTCTCATGCAGCGACCCGCGTCTGGGACGCCCTGTTTGCTTGATATGCCTAGGTGCTAATATTCGCTGGCTATTTTTTGTGACCTTACTAAAAGTGGACGAATTCCGAATGTACTATTTCAAGTTCTTTCAAAGTTTCAAGGTTCTCAAAAAGCAGACAAATACTAGTAGATCTACTGGTATCGGAACTTGTCCAAAAAGCGCAGTCTTGGCAGAATAAACTTCGAATATTCCAGTTTGAACCGGACTAGACTAAATGATAACCACACCGTCGGAAATGCCTAGGTATGCGAGATAGCCCCCCGGCTGCCGCAGGGGGGCAGGGATTCATAGTCGCACGGGATATTCCAGGTATGTTCTCGCTGACAGTTCCTCGTCCGAGGTACCCCGCAGTGCGTATTTTCTTTCAAGCTCGAGATTCATCCACAAGAGGCAGGAAAACCTTGGAATCTTCGAAATAAACCCACCGAATCTGCATAAACTATTCAGGAGTCCGATATGTTGACATTTCTCTCAATTTGCCTGCTGCAATGGGCGTATCACTTTAATCCCATCGCGTATCAGTGATCTTAATTTGCTAATAGTCGGGTATCTGTGTACTGCAGGGCATACATATCTAGATAGGTGTGGAATACAAGCTAGTAATTCAAGCACACTTAGATACCATCGAAATAGATTCTACCATGTTTTGATCTGAATGGTACCAGCAGTTATTGCAGCACTCAGGAAATTCACCCAAAGGGGCAAGTATAGAACAGCACATTCCAACCCCACCGCTTTAATTGCCATAAACCTGATAAATGTGAGAATTTACTAGTTGATTCGAAAATGAGAAGCCGTGGGCTGTTTTTGGTACTGGGACAGAGCTGCGAAAAAATTATTGAGAACTTAAAGACCTCTCGAAAAGTCCTCTCGAAGTTCTGAGCATTCCAACAAAATTTAAAGAACTGACCACGGCGGACAAGTCAACTCAGATTTCAAGGTCAAATTTCGCAATCCAAGATGCCGATTTCCACATTTACCCTCAATGCCCCAAATGGCAAGGACATTAAAGTCAATACGGGTCTATTTATTAATAACGAATGGACCAGTGCGAAGAATAACGCGGAATTTGCTTCTATCAACCCCGCGTGAGTCCTGGATCTTGAACCTACCTCTGTGTCCCTGTATGCTAGGGTTCGGATTTGACAATATTGACCACATTCGTTCAGTACCGAAGAAGAAATTTGCTCTATCTCCAAGGCCTCTGCCGAAGATGTCGATCGGGCCGTTGCTGCCGCAAAAGAGGCCTTCAGTGGCCCTTGGAGCGACTTGGATGGCACGGGCCGAGGGAAGCTGCTTTTAAAGTTGGCTGATCTAGTTGAGGCTGAGCACGAGATCATTGCATCTCTCGAGGCAGTTGATACTGGAAAGACTTTTACGAAAGCAATGAAGGATGTCCACGAAGTTTTCGAGGTTTTCCGATACTATGGTGGCTGGGCCGACAAGCACTATGGACAGACTATCGACGCAGGCAAGCACCGCTTTGCTTACACTATTCGCCAGCCCATCGGTGTCACCGGGTCTATCACTCCGTAAGTGCTTTTTTCTTCGCCGCAAAGTGTCCTTTGCCTTTTACTTATAACTGCTATGTAGATGGAACTACCCCTTGATTATGGTCTCCCTGAAGCTCGGACCAGCTCTCGCATGTGGTAATACTTGTGTCTTGAAGCCTTCGGAATTCTCGCCCCTCTCCGCTCTATATCTGGCCAATCTCTTTGTTAGAGCTGGTTTCCCGCCCGGAGTTGTGAATATCGTTAATGGCGAAGGTGGTGAAGCCGGCGCGCGTCTCTCTGAGCATCCCGATGTCGCTAAGATCAGTTTCACCGGTAGCACCGCCACCGGAAAATTGATTATGAAGGCAGCAGCCCCCACGATGAAACGAGTTGCACTAGAGACAGGTGGCAAGTCTCCCGTCATTGTCTATGATGACGCTGACATCCCCAACGCCCTCAAATGGGTGTACTATGGGATATATGCAAACCAGGGTCAAATCTGTACTTCCACGGCCCGTATTTACATCCATGAGAAGATTTACGATGAGTTTCTCAGGCGATTCCTAGCTTATACCGAGAAACATGCTATTGTTGGCGATCAGTTTAAGGAGGAGACTTTTATTGGCCCTTTGGTTAACAAGGCCCAGTTCCAGCGGGTTCTTGACTACATCAAGATCGGCCAGCAGGAGGGCGCTACCCTTATCAAGGGTGGTGGCATCCTCCCCGAGCGACCTGGTGATAGAGGATTTTTTATTCAGCCCACTATCTTTGGAAATGTGACCCCAAGGATGCGCATCGCTACAGAGGAGATATTTGGTCCTGTTGGCGCTTTCTTCAAGTTCTCGGACTCGGATGATATCGTCAGGATTGCCAATGACACCCGCTACGGTCTCTCATCCGCTCTTTTCACCAAGGATGTTATCAGAGCTATCAAGGTTTCAGAGAAGCTTGAATCTGGTATGGTTTGGATCAACTCCAGCAACAACTCAGATTACCGTGTCCCATTTGGAGGTGTCAAGGAATCTGGCATTGGCAGAGAGTGTGGCGAGGCGGCCTTGGACGAAAACTCAGTCCTGAAGACAGTCTACCTTAACCTGCAGCTGACGAATGACGAGTGAATTTTCTAGCTGAAGAATTTCCTTTCTTTGAAAACTTGCTTATTTATTCAAGCTCGTCTGTTTTCTTACTTCGCCTATCGTAGAAATCGAAGAAAATTGAACGACCAAAATCCACTGCCAAATTAAACCTTTTAAGAACTTTCATCGCCTCTAGATACTAGCGCATGCTCCACAATTAGTTATATGGACCATGGGTGATAATGGCTCAACTCCATGAGAAGGGTGACAATACGCGAATGAATGTTAGGGAGATAAAGCAAGGGCAATTTGCGACCGGGATGCTTGATCAGCCTCAATACAAGGACTGTCATGTAGTAGAAATATGGTTGGAAAACCGAAGAAATATTGAAGTATCCTAACTATCGGAGGGAATCCCCTAGAAAATGTTGGTATGACGATTTCCAAGGTTCGGGTACCATAAAGGACCACTGGGCAACCGAACATTTACTAAGATGAGGAGGTGCAGTATGCAGCAATTCCGCAGTCTTTCTTTTCTTATTATTCTAATATTTAATTCTAATATTATACTGGTATGTAATTCAGCATGTTTAAGAGATTTCCAGCTATACTAAACATGAGATTGGAGTCGAACATGATACAATTTAAGACTTTTTACATAGGTAGCCTTGCTTTCTTCTCTCTTAGGTCACTTGAATACTCCGGTATACAATACTAGTAGATACATCCTTCAGACTTTATATTATAGAAGCGCTCTCTACCTACAAGATATCATTGCACGCAGTCAATTAAAAACAATGGTTGTAAATTTATGTATATGAAGGGAATCCAAGATCAGTTTCCTCTTTAGTAATTTCCAGCCAGCCCTTCAGTCCAGGGAAATAAAATGTCACGACAGGTTTCCTGCCGGGTACGTTTGTTCCAAAGATCCAGCTACTAGGCGCGTTGTGGAGAATTGATGATCTGGCTTCTTTGTCACAGATCTCTCGCCACTTCTCTTCGGACTCGGGTCGAGCTTCTATTACTACCTCACCGGAAACACTGCGACTCTCCGCATGTTTGATGAGCTTCATGATGAAGTTTGCTTCAACTTCGACAACCGTGGCACCATTTGACATCGGGCCCTGGGGTCCGAAGATCATAAATAAGTTGGGGAAGCCAGCCATTGACACACCGAGAAAGGAAGTCGGCCCGTTTTTCCAATGATCAGTCATCAATTTCCCATCTCGTCCCTGAATGGTAGTTCTGGTAAAGGCCCCTTCCATCGCGTCGAACCCGGTCGCGAATATCAGGACGTCTAACTCGTGCACCTTCCCATCAGAGGTACGGATGCCATCGGGAACAATGGTCTCAATTGGAGTTTCTCGAAGATTAATGATATCCACATTGTCTCGGTTGAAGATTTGATAATATCCAGAGTCACACAGAGGGCGCCGATTGTAGAGCCCGGTTGGTTTCAGGGCATTGGCCTTTCTAGGATCCTTCACAATCTGATCAATCTTTTCGTTGATGAACTTGCAAGTCTCGCGATTTGTCTCAATGTTCGTCGAAATATCATTGAATTTACTCAAATTGAACCGAAACGCATTGCCCTGCTCCCAGAGCCCTTCAAAAATCTTCTTTCGCTCCTCCCGGGGATAGGAAGACATTGGCCGATCGGATTCATTCACACCAAATCCGGCACCTGAATTCCAAACTTGCTTGTAAATGTTGTCATAGTTCTCGTTTATCTTCTTGCGTTCTTCTTCCGAGACGGGCCTCTGGCCAGATGGGACAGAATGTTGAGGAGTTCTTTGAAATGAAATCAAATTCTTTACCTCTGGCGCAATCGCGGTCATCAGTTGAACGCCAGTCGAGCCGCTGCCGATGACACCAACATTTAGACCATTCAGGTCAATTCCATCAGGCCAGTCCTGAGTATGTATCAGGCGACCCTTGAAAGAATTGATGCCTTGGATATTCGGAAAGTGGGCTTGGGAGAGACCACCCATAGCGGTGATCAGATATTTGGCAATGAACACATCACCCGTATCACATATGACCTTCCAAACACAGAGGTCTGCGTCCCATGTAGCATTTTCCATCGCGGTGTTAAATCGCATTAACTTGCGCAGATCATGCTTGTCGACGATGAAATTGAGGTATTTGAGAATCTCTGGCTGAGTCACGTAACGATTCGGCCAAGGGTATGTCTGGAGAGCTTCCTTGTCCCAGGAATACCGATAAAGAAAACTTTCAGTGTCGCTCATCGCACCTGGGTATCTATTCCAGTACCATACCCCGCCGGCTGTTGGGGCTCTTTCGACACAGCGAACATTATATCCATCTCTTTTTAACGCGTAGGTTTGATAGATACCGCCAAACCCAGCACCAACCACAAGTGCATCGATGACCTGTTCGGTTCTAGATGGCATATTGCAGGTACAGGGCGGATTCTGGGGATTGGAAAAGCCGTCGAATGAGAGGAAAGGTTGAAAATACAGAGCAGTTGAAATGGGAGATTTGCGAAGATGGAGGACTTAGAAATGTAGATTCTTTGAGTATTAAATACGTTATGATTCATGGTCGTTTAACGGTCCTCAAAAAGTCCGATTTTCGGATTGTATTATGCACCGATTCGATCATTTCCCGACCAGCATGCATACCCTAGCGTGATTCGTACCATACGCGGGAGCCAATGTCAGCATAGAATGCATCACGTTGTAATTGATCACTTCTCGTCCCCAGTTTAGTTACCCGAATGTATTATCTTACGGACTAAAAATATGCTGTATAGTTACGGGACAGAGAATTCAATTCCTTCCAAGCTTCCTCCGTCACCCTGCCTCGCTAGGAGCTACCCGGCAAAATGACCAAATGAGGAGGTTTGATTACATAGAATATTATCCAACAGCGTAACTTGACTGCAAGCAAGAGCGGAATACTCGTGTTGGTCTGTACATGGATATATGACCCGTGACCAGCAGAGGCGATTATTGGCGGGTCTGTCGTCTGAAAGTTGGAATGAAAGCCGACAGGCCAGGGGGTAGTCGTCAATCCTCCAGAAAAGGCAACTTCGCGTAGCCCCCACAAAAACTAAAGTCTCGGAATCAAGCTCAAATTGGGAAACTCTGACCAGTCACCACTGTGGGATTTAAGTTCTCGAAGTCAGTGTGAATCCTTTTTTATTGGCCATATCAGAAATGACTACCGTATCGCATTAAGCGGGGTTGAGCAACCTTTCAGCCATCAAGACCCGAGATAAGAGACTCTTTATCAACTCTCTCCGGGGCTCCAAGGTTTGGAGACATCAACCACTATACTTTATATAATATAGAGGTTTTGACGTCTGAAATGAGGTCCAAATTATTGGCCATCAAGTTCAGCCTTAGATATTACTTCTTTCTCACCTCATCTCCGCCCGAAATACTACCTCCGTGAGCATCCCTTTCCAAGGTCAGCGCCGAGGACAATGTCAAATCCAGAAATCGGAGAGTGCTCCCGTGCTGTTGAGTCCCATGCAGACCATGAGGCATCAGGGTATTCTGATCTCATGCCTAAGCAGTTCACACTATGGTCATTGCTGGCTTTCGCTATTGCGGTCTGTAGTTCCTGGATTGCCACCTCGAGTCTCTTGTCCACACACTTGATGTTTGGTGGCTTCGCAGCAGCCACATGGATTCCAATAGCCTCTGGAGTTGTGAGTATTATTCCAGCCCTAGGTCTAGCAGAGCTGGCTTCCGCATATCCTTCGTCTGGCGGACAATACCAGTAAGTAACCACTCAATTCAATTATTTATCCATATTCTATGCTTATTGAGACCTCAGTTACGCATTCATGGTCGCCAGCCCGCGTTACAAAAATCTTGCTGCATTTACCGTTGCATGGTTTGCCATACTGGAATGGTTATTTGTTGTCTGCTCCACAACTATCTTCCCCGCCCAGTTGACGGCGGAGATTGCGCTGTTATGGCATCCAAATTACAACCCCTCGAGATGGGAGATATATCTAATATATGTCGTTTTTCTTCTCTTGGGAACTTGTATGGTAGTTTTCTGCCATGCATGGATGCCCAAAATTGAAACAGTCTTTTGCTGGAGCTCTTTGCTCGCGTTTGGCACTTTCGTCCTGACTCTGGCGGCCGCGAACCCTACCAAACAAGCGGCGTCCACTGTGTTTGCTAGCTGGAGGAATACTTCTGGCTGGCCCGATGGCATGAGCTTCCTACTCGATGTTGGACAGGGAATGTGGATGTTCGTGAAATTCTACCCCATAGATTTCATCCACCAGTACTGACCAGGTTATATGTCAGTTATGTTTGCATCGATGCTGCAACTCATCTTTCGGAGGAGATCGACAAGCCAGGCACCCACGTCCCTCGCGCAATCGTACTGGCAACTGTTCTAGCGTTGGTATGCAATGTTGCATTCACACTCGCCGCTCTATTTGCCGTTCAATCTATCGACACCGTGATGGCTTCAGAGCTACCAATCTACGATGTCCTTTCCCAAGCAATCCCATCAGATGGCGCAGTTTTATTTCTCCTGATATGGCTGGACCTTGTTTTCATCAGTACTGTCCCCGGTGCCCTTTTAACCACTGGACGCTTAGTCTGGGCATTCGCCAGAGATGGAGGTCTTCCTCATTCACCCTTTTTCGGTCGCATAAGCAATCGCTATCAGGTTCCAGTAAATGCTACTCTTTTGAGTACCGCTTTTTGCCTTCTGTTTGGTCTCATCTATATTGGTAGCACAGTCGCGTTCAACACCTTTATCTCGAGTGCTATAGTGTTTGCTTTCCTTTCATATGCTGTGCCACAAGGTTTGCTTCTCCTTGCTGGTCGAGATACCCTACCAGAACGCTATTTTGATCTTGGAGATACCTTTGGGATGTGTATTAATGTCATTAGTGTTGTGTTTGTATTTGTCTTCTCTATCCTTTTCTGTTTTCCTTTTTCGGTCCCGACGAGCGTCACATCTATGAACTATGTTTCTGTGGTTTCTGTTGCAGCCTCCCTACTCATCGCAGCTTCGTGGCTGGGAGGTGGTAAAAAACAGTCTTTTACGGGGCCTGTTATGCTTGGGAACATTTTACAGGGGATTGACCCGGGCCAAACCTTGGACGAAATGGCAAGAAGGCTCTATCTCACTCCAAGGCTTGCGAACAGGATGATTAGGAGAGTACTTGAGATTGTACTCATATATTCAGTCAGGACTTCAAAGTGGGAGGGATTATATCATGTTCTTTTTGTGAAATCTCATGTCTCACCATACTGTTCACAGGCTGAAAACGCAGATTGCCGGAGCACAGTGGAATCAAAGTAAATAATTCAAAGTTTTCACCATCACCTTCATTGCGTTTCAAAATCTATCGAAGCACAATGTTGTTAACTTTATCGTACTTTCATGCAAGGAACTAAGTGAGTCCACAGGTGAGTAGCAGTTTTTTTACCAAGTTTTTGTTCTGTTTTCACTATACTTGCTTACTGGGAACTCATTATAAAGACGTAGTATAATTTACAGCCTTAGTGTAGAGGCGGTTAAGCTAATACCCTCAAGTAGCGAGGTTTAAATTGTTAGTCTGTAAGACTATGCACTGACATCTGCACTTCTAGTCATCTCGTGGGTCACTCGTTCGCACAGTAGACCTTGAGCAACGGAGAGCTCCGAAATTTTTCTTCAATATTCCAATCTGCACCAATCATAACCCATGGGAATACAAACCCCGATCCACAAGTGGCAGGGTATTTGATAAGAAGAATTGTTTCATTGGCGGGCAAGACTGCAATGTCACACTCCGAAACATGTCCCTCCATATCCCTGCCAGTGAGGATTTTTTGGTGAATCACGAAGAGCCGAGATAAGTCAAACCAAGTCATAGCGAGTGACGATATTACGCAATATACCAGCGGATACTATACACACGGTGATAGTAATCCATCGTGTTTAGACCGCCCTATAACCACCCGGGCGAAACCCTGAGTTACTCGGAAATCCTCCCTGTCGGGAAAGTGGGTCAGCTAGCACTAAAGTCGGAAAGTGTCCAAATTTGACTTCAATTATCCATACAGCTTCGACTGTCAATATTCATGCCATTTCCTAAATGATCATAAGTTTAAGTCGACTAGAATTCTACTTAAAGCGAGAACAGATCTCAAGTGCTTGGGATTGGTAGTATTTTCACTCCCGCCGAAACTGTAATCGAATCAATCCTCTAGTACGGACCGTGAAACTAAAAGGGCAAACAAGATGAGTACTACCAATGACGGATATACCTGGACCAAATCCCAGGGAACTAAGCAGGGAGGGCTCAAGTGTCGGGGAACTGTGTACCCCCCCTGAGAAAAGAAACAGTTGTCCAGATACCTATGACGTCATTGTCATCGGCGCAGGATATGCTGGACTACGCGCCGCACGCGACCTTGCTACGTATAGTGGGTATATCTCCAGAAGTCCACTTGATATATCCTGATATATAATATTCCAGATCGAAAAGTTTTGCTCCTCGAGGCCCGTGATCGGGTTGGTGGGCGTACATACACCGTGGAGGGCGATGAAGATGGTACATGCCCGTGATCTTCGATAATACCTGCCATACGGACATCTCGCTAAATAACACTAGGATTTCTGTACGAAATGGGGGGTACTTATGTCACTCATCATTTTGGATACGTGCTCGGAGAACTGCAGCGTTACAAGATGGATCGTGATTTAATTGTTTCTCACCAAGAAGGCTACGAGAACAACTACTATACACTGAATGTCGAAGGTATATCGGGAAATAAGAGGGTGTTTCTCCCCCGAATTGAATGCATAATACTGACATGTATAAAGGCGCACCGGCAAGAAATGTCAGTCACGAAGAAGCTGGACAGATCACATCTTCCGCTTGGGACCTGTTCGTTGACATCGATGGTAATTCTTGTCGCAACATCTGCCCACTTCCGCATTCGCAGCTCGATAATATCATGGTTTCCCGAGCTGATGTAGAGGCCATTGACAAGATTTCGTGCAAGGAGCGGATAGATCAAATCAAGCACCTCCTTACAGCAGAGCAGCTGGGGACTCTATCGGCGGTCATTATGCTTGTCACCGGAGGTAAACTCGAGAACTCGAGTCTATGGGAATGCATTCGGACACACGCTCTTCTCATTCATGACTCAGCTAATCTGGCTGATCTATGGACGACGTACAAACTGCGAGAAGGCCAATCCGCCTTTGCCCGGCGTATTTTCGACGACGCAGTAGACTTCGGCCTAGAATATGCTTTCAAAACTCCTGTTACAGCTATCGCAGATGAAATCGATAGTACTGAAGGGCGAGTCAAGGTGACAACCGCAAACAATGGGATTTTCAGATCTCACCGTGTGATAAGTACAATTCCGCTCAATATTCTCAAGACGGTGCAGTTCAGTCCGCCCCTTTCACCGAAGCGCCAAGAGGCGATCAACCTTGGACACATCAATTTCATGACGAAAATCCATGCTGTGGTCGAAGGGTCTGGCTTAGCTTCTTGGAATGGCATGTGCTCCCCTGGATACATTGCCCAAGGCTACGGAGATGGCGTCACAGCGCAGGGCAGCGCACATATTGTTGGGTTTGGCGGCGATGAGAGAGAGAATTTTACCCCTGAGCATGAGCCGGAAAAGGTTATTGCAGCTTTCCAGGCATTGCACCCGATGAATGTTGAAAAGACTGTGAGTTCGCTATCCATTTCCTTCACTAGCAGGGCTCCGAGTCCTCTTCTTTAGTCAAACTTGTGAAACTAGTACTAATGACCATCCCTACGAACTTAAAAGGTTTTTCATAATTGGTGTACTGACCCTTGGGCTAATGGTGGTCCCGCATGGTGGGCGCCTGAATATATGTCTAAATATCAAGATGAACTTCAAAAGCGCCATGGGGCAATTCTCTTTGCCTCCGGTGATTGGGCCCATGGATGGCGGGCTTCTATTGATGGTGCAATCGAGCAGGGAGCCCTGTGCGCAATAGAGGCGTTGAGAGACTTGCGTCTGACCGATGTGTCGCACGACCACCAACCGAAGCTTTGAATTGGCCTATTTCTTGGTATGGCCGATGACGCTTCAAAGTAGTCATGGAGAGAAAATCTAGCAGTACCGATTTTACACTTTGCCAACTTGAAACTACCCCCTGAGACCCTATATACATGAAAAGGGAAATGTTTTATCCAGTATCGACCACTGGGTATGACATTTTTCAAATCAGGTCGTAGCGGTAATAATATTAAGCTGCAGCGACCTCGGAGGGACCTTGGACTTCTACCAATATTCGAGGAATATCATGACGCTGACCTCGTGAATTTGACCGTATGCTGTATTCGTTGTTTCCGAATGCTGTATAAGTGGTATTTTACTACTATTGACTAGTAACTAACAGGTAATTATTAGTAACTAACTGGTAATTACTGGTAAGAACGTCGCTACCCTCGCGGCCTCACGGCCTCGCCGGCCAGGCGAGTCCCGTATTCAAAACAACAGAGAAACTGCGTGAACGTGGTGCCGAGCAAACTCGCGTAGAAAGCGTATTAGAACGGTAACATCCGCCTCACAATGCCAACTTGAAAAAGGGCCAAATCCCAGCTATGAATATCCACCATTGATTTCGCCTTACATCAAGGCTCAACTCGGTAAAATTTCTTCAATTTCTTCTTCCATTCGCTATATCATGTTGATGTGATAGTTTGAACATAACACCATTTCTCTAGAGCTACTCCGTATTGCAAGGCCCTTTTTCACACTTCTGTTCATATCCCTTCACCTGTGATACCGTCTCCATCATTTCGACAGCCGATCCCTCGATAAACAGACCGTCATGGGCAGCCATCTCAACATGTGTTGATTTGAACTTTCGCGCGCTGACCCGTTGCTCAAAAAGAATGTTCAGCTCTCCATATGTCCTCCCATTTGGCTCCGGTAAGCGAAAATATGTCCACACACAGCAGATAAAACCGGTTCCAGCCCAGAAGAACCCTGACTTCGCTTTCCAATTCCAAGCTGTTGGGGTCATTTGGTAATTAGTAATAATGTTGACAGTGATTGCTGCTGCACAATAGAAGCTTCTGGCCACGACTATCGTCTTTGCTTTCAGGCGAGTGCTCGGAATCTCGGCAACCAGTGAGTAACAGACTGGCCCAATGGAAGAATCGTAAACAAATGTGAAAATGATCAACAAACTACCAATGGCCCAACTCGCCCTGCTGTTTCCTTCATTTAAAAGGCCGCATGATCCAATTATCACCATCAAAATGAAGGAAATAATGCATCCGAAGAGGTATAGGGTGCGACGACCAATGTATGCCATCATCCACCAGCTGGCAATGGTTCCCAAAGCACCTAATGCATACATAGCCATTGACATGTCAAATGCATAGGCAGAGGAAAGGCCGGCTTGCTGGAAGAAGACAGTGCTATAAGTCATAAGGCCGGATCCGCAGAACTGTTGAATCAACCAGACACAAATTGATATTTCGGTCCGTCGAAGATTGACACCTTTGAGAATGCTGATATAGCTTGTTTCGGCAGTATTATCCTTCTCAAGTTTGTCCGTCAATCGAATTAAAGCAATCGCATTATCCAGGTCAAATGTAGTATCGTTTGGACTTGTGAGCCTGAGAAGGGTTTGACGTGCTTCAAAGATCATTTCTTTCTGTACAAGCCAGTATGGGGACTCTGGAGCGAAACAAGCCCCGATAAGAATAGGAAGAGGCCAGATCCATTGCAAAGCAAATGGTATCCGGTATGCCCACTGATCTGTTCGATCGAGCATTCTTGCCAGAACACCAGTGGCTATTAATTCACCGAAAACCCAGCACAGGTTCACGTAAGTCGTAAGGTAGGGGCGGAGAACAACCGGACAAATGTCGGAGGCATATGCGGTGGCTAATGCAGGAAATACACCCCTAAACAAAGTAAGTTGAAATCAAACAAAGCCAAGGCCAGGGAATATGAGTACCAGGAGAGTCCGCAAACTATTTCACCGGCAAGAAGCATAGGTAGATTCTGAGCAAAGAATGTTATGAAGATCGAGCCAGTAATCATGACCAGTGCACCAATCAAAGTCTTCTTATAGCCAAATCGTGCCTGGATAATACCAGATGCCCAAAGACCTAGGATTTCACCACAGGCCTCTCCGTTGGTGAGACCTGAGCGCCAGGGTGCGGAAACAACGTGCGTTCCGTCCGGCTGGATCGAACCATACCTTTTGTTGAAGGGTTCAAAGGCGAAGAAATTAGCTATTAATGCTGTGTCATAGCCTTCCATGATAATGGCAGTGCTGAGAAGGAGAGACCAGCCGATCGCTTGGGGATAGAGTTTGAGGCCTTGCAAAAGGCCCATAGTATGCTCTCTCTCAGTGGCAGCGTTTGCATCTCGGTTCAATGCTATAAGATCAAGATCCTTAAAGCATGACGGGTGTATATCTGACTGTATATCAATGCCATTTTCAAGCTTGTTGGAAGCTATTTCCGCGGTAGCGTTTGATTCTTGAGGGTTCATGTTGCGAGTATTATGGCTAATTCCGGTAGTTATTATCAGAGGCTGGGTTGCGCGGAAATACTGACGTATTTAATCAGCGAAATAACTCGATAGACATCATTAATTTCTATCTTATAGGGCATTTATTAACGCTACTTATAGATCTTAGACTAGGTATTGTAAACAGAGCCTACTTAGTTCATCTGCGGATGATATAGGCTTTAACCAAACGTTGCTTCTAATTTGCGGGGGGATACTCCAAGCGTCGGGAAACGACCCAATTAGGGAGCCAGCCCTCTGTAAACCACGACTAATTCGTAGCCAATTCGAAGGTTTACGGAAATTAGCCCAAGTAGGAAGCCACTAGTGGACAGTGGTCCACCGCCAGAAATGAATTGAACTTCGGTTATCTGACCCATACTCAGGATGACTAGGGCGTCCTCAAATAATATCAGCCTCCAAGACTCCATGTTGTCCTGGCGTGTTAAAATTTACGTTCGTGTCGACAATATCCAAGAAGCCCGTTCGCAACTCTGGAAGCCTCTCGATGTGTCCAATCGCAGAGGACCGAGACTTTGACACATTTCCCCGCTCCTTTCGTGTTTCAGCCGGTCCAATAGCTGTCTGGTCAGGTGTGTATCATGGGCATTACTGGTAATTATCAAACAATCCTTGTCTGGCACAACTACTAGTGTTTGCATTAGGACCCATCAGAATAAATGAGGGTCAGCATAGCTGCCTTGAACGCATGACTAAGACTACTTCGCAGATAACATATTCGAGTAACTCTGAAATTGGAGCCCAGATTATTGATAAAGTTGAAGTTATGTTCACAGGACCATCAGTAAAGATTTTTCAATTTTAACAACTACTAGTACAACCCAGGTACTACTAGTCAGATAGTTACTAGTCTATACCTAGGTAGTTGGTCAAATTCCCAGGTGAGATCTTACCACTTAGGGCCAGGTAATCATATGCAAGATCAGTAGATATCTAGGGAAGCAAGACGATCTTAGATGCCTGAGACACATCATAATATTGCTAGTTTGAGCTATAATTGAGTTGAAAGTAAATTAATTTAGCTTCTGTCATGGTTTAGAGCTCAGATTTCGAAATCATTGGGAAGAGAGAATGTTACCTCATTGCTGATGAACAAGATGTTTGGATATAACTGATTGATAGTCTGCAGTAGCAGTAGTCTTTGAAAAGGCAAAACAATGGTTTTGGTCGCACTTTCCACTTTTTACTTTCTCATCGACGTGTCATACTTTTTAACCGCACTCATTGCCTCTCCCTCTGCTTCCCGCTTCCACTATCTCTCTCTCGTTACCCACCTCACCAACTCGCAAAATACCCCATCGTATCAATACCCGCTTGTTATATACTCGAGATAGTAACATATGTTGATTCAGCATCATGATTACTGAAGGTATGCCCACAATCTCCCTCTCAATCCCCAACTTATCATGAACAGACTGACAGGTCACAGAAGACATGGAAGCTGATGAGCAATGCTCTACCACGGCTACACTCGAACGTGATTCTCCAATTTCGGAGGACTTTTACTCGCTATCTCGAGATGCGAAACTGTTCCGCGCCTCTCAGATTCGAAAATAGTAAATTAAGTTATTTAAGCGGGATTGGAAACTTTCAAGGTATACCGACTCATCCTGAGAAAAGTACCTTTGTTTTAGCTACGTCAGGGAGAAGCCTCCAAAAAAGGACAAGGTAGGTTTAGCAGGGAGTCCACGTGACTTATATCAAGCGCTACGGCTGTCGCCTAAGCGAGTGCCAACTCTTATGCTTTTTCCTTCATGTAACCCTATCCATCCTTCGACATCACCGCAACCATGCCCCAGGTGAACACCACTTCACAACAAATTCTTGATATTGAAGACGCTCTAGTATCCGAAGAGAACCCAGCCCATGATGGTAGTCTCGACTATGAGCGTTGCGCCAGACTACACAATTACTTAGTCGCGTATGGTTGGATGGCTCGGCACGAACGAGACACACCCGACCTTGATGCACTAGCCAGCGAAGAGTGGTTCTTTCAGGAGGCGGAAGAGGATATAGCAGCTATTCGGAGCCGCCTCATTACTCCGCTCAACTCGTTCCTGGATTCAATCTATGATCCCAACCCAGATTTCTTCTACTGGGTTAACCGTCTTGTGATGATGCCTTGTGACGAGTATATCAACGATGAAGACAATAACGAGATGGAAGAAGGCAAAGAGCGATTTGTTTTGATTTATCAGACTGAGATGGATCTGGGCTCGCACAATCTGGGCGTTATTTACGACCAGCAGCGTAATAAGGCCTCATTCCCTATGACTATAGAGAATACTGAAAGTGTGGAGCCTGTACATGAGCACGAAGAGATGTGGCTTCCGCTGGAGACTATTCTGACTCATTGGATATATATGATTCGAATTGGTAAAATTGTCCCTGAACTTTCTGAAGGGGGTTTGTCTGGTGATCCGAATCTCGCGGCAAACAGATCACAATTTGGTCTGTGGTCATGGCTCCCTTATTGTGATTTCCAGCTTGATAGCACAATAGCTGCGATCGAGCGCTACTCAGCGATAGTTGAATCTCGAATGCCTCCTGATTCAATTCTGCCGATTTCATCTGCGCCACTCTTTACTGGTGCAGATCTGGATGCGGCGGGCGTACCGCGGGATTGTTTTATTCGCTCGCTCTTGACACGGGTCAAGACTCCACGTTTCAGGTTTGTCGCTCCTGGGCTAGAAGTTCCGCACGATAAGGAGGCATTTATAAGGCGCCAGACGTTTACCAGTATGGGTATATCCCATGAAGAAGGTTGTATTCCGGGGGTCCTAATATTTGCAGCCCCGGACAAGCTGGTGGATGTCAACGACGAAATCCACTCCTTATTCTCTGTCGCGCATGAAGACTTGGGTATAGAAGGCGACTCTATTCCAACTGGACTTTACAGTGAGCCTGTGCGTCGGAGCAATTTTGATATGGAGGAGGCAGGCTTTCATATCGTGCTTCCGTTCGACTTACGACGGGCTAAAATGAGTGATGGGAGATCAGTCACCGACGGATTATTCACAGATAGCGAGGGCTCATTCACAAAGCTTTTTCAGCATGGTTACTTCCATCCCTTTGGGGGTGAACGGCGAGCACAGAGATTGGATAATTTATTTGACCGGTGGACGGTGATGGTTGAAAGTGGTATATGGACAGTGGGTGAAGATGGTGTGGAGGGAGGAATCGATAAATTCAGAGAAGCAGATAGAGGTGACGGGACCGAATATTCGATTGCATCAAGCTGGTGACTTAATTCTTGGTTTCTGTGTGAACCTCGAAAACAAAAGTCAGGTTACTACTGGTATAATGCTAAACCAAAAAGACGCCTGTATACAACACTCCTCTTCAACTAGTTATTGCTTTTGCAGTGTCTGAGTAGTCACGGAAAGTATACTATTGCCTATCCAGTAAGAAGAAAGCAGTAATGTTTAAACTGGAAATATGGTACAAATAGGGGATAAATGCACGTTCGGCTAATGTTCATTTCCACTTGAGTGGTCAATCAGCGTCCCATGCTATATCTAAAAAAACACAAGAGCCACTATAACAATTTGATACAGAGCAATATTCACTTGTGCTGCCACAATATCCAGCCGCAGAGCAAAAATCACCAAACTGTGATCCAACACATGTCATGTTGTTCGCAAAGTTAGGGCCACACTCCCCATTCGTAGAAGGATATCCCGTCGTCAAACAAGCCCCTGAGTAACAATTAGGGGGGGCTGCAGTAATCATTACTGCTACCGCAATATCCGCTGACCGAACAACATTTACCAAACTGCGTTCCAGTACAAGTTTTGTTGCAAGCAAATAGGGGTCCACATTCGCCGCTTGTTGATGGACCTCCATTGTCAGTGTCACAGCTTCCGGCGTAGCAGTTTCCTGCGCCGCAGAATTGAGTTCCATTGCCACAGTATCCGTAAACTATTTGAGTAAACAGGTTCCTCGGTCAGTCATTATGATCACTCAGAAAGCACTTGCGCGTAGAACCCAGCAAGTGAAAAGGCTGAATATAAAGGAGGGTACACTTACTACTGCAGCAGTCGCCAAATTCAGAGCCCGGGCAAGTCATATAGCTATTATCGGGCCCACAAAGGCCGTTAGTGCTCACAGTGCATTTTCCTGTAGACGAGCAACAGCTAACGCAAAAAACGTGCATTAGTTGATATTCTCCTTTTTGAAATCCCTAAACTTCGCCATTCAATGTCGCTGAAGGGAGATATGTTGATACTTACTTCCCAAATGCACTATCAATGCAAGTCACACCCACTCCACAAGCCCCATCAGTCGAGATACTCGGCTCAGAGACTGGTGCTACACATATATCATAGTTGAGCCAGAGATTGGAACAGTTTGAATCAATGAAAGTGTTCATGATATGCAGCTGTGTGAGATTAAGTCCGAACTTGAGATTCAGTGTAGCGCAGTCGTCACCCGAAATTACCTGGTAAAACTTGCCGCAGCTTCCGGTAGTGCCGCTTTGTGTTGGATAGGCTGGTGTTGCTGTAGTATAATAGACGCCAGTACCAGTGGGTGCTGTAATTGTGACTGATGGTGCTTTCCATGTACCCCCAGGAGCTTGCATACAAACGCGCTGACCACTGGAAACTCCGTCGCAACTACCTTGGATGTTCGAGTTCCATGCCAAAAACTGGGATATAGAAACATTGTTGGTGGTGTTAGAGGCAAGCTCAGAGAGAGATGCACTAATTTTATTATCCAATTTTAGCATATACTAGGATGGCTGTTGATTGACCTTACAATCTTGAATGTTTAAAGGAATTTTGGGTGTTCTTACCAGCTCGGAGATCCCCAGGTTGCGTATAACGGACATGGCAAGGGCAAGCAGACAGGAGTATCGAAAAAGCAATTGTAGTCTCCTGTCGCCATGCGCGCATCTCCCGTAGAGACGTTATACCTGTCAAAAACTGTCAGTCGCTATTTACTTGCATTCCATCTATCTTCTAGCGATCCAAGCCTATGAATTTATCACGGACTATTTACCTGTCAGAAAGATCGTCGCATGTAAGCCAATTTTTTATTGGCTGCCCTATTTGTCCTAGACAATCCGCTGTAGATTCGGCAGTACTGGTGGTGGTTGTGGTAGAGTCCGTAGTCGTTGCTGTTGCCGTCATCTGTGTGCCAATATACAGTGTTGAAGAAGATGTCGTATATGGCAGACTTGTGGAACAGTTCTTTTGGATGGAAGCAAATTATCCAATAAGATAATCAGTAAAGTTGGTCGATGCCAGCCAGGGATCCAGGAGCCGAAGCCGATATAGCTCTAGGAAGCATTCACTACAGAACTGGCAGGGGTTTAGCACGTTCACAGTTTGGGTTCTGCGGTACCACCTCCGAATTTTGCGGCACTGGCTGCCAGGATGGATATGGTTCATGTGGAGACGTCGACAGGCCAACTTGCTCCGGAACCTCAGCAGAGAATGGCCGGCGAATCGGATACTATGAAAGCTGGGCTGACGATTCAAGCTCCCGACTCTGCAATCGGAGAACACCAGATGAGATCCCACTGGTCGGTCTAACGCATCTCAATTTTGCGTTCACCTTTTTCAACCCAACCACTTTTGAAGTATCGCCTATGACATCAGCAGCTGCAGAGCTTTATAAGAGTTTTACTGGCCTCAAAAAAAGAGCCCGGGTCTGGAAACTTGGATTTCCCTTGGTGGTTGGACATTTAACGATGAGGGCAATACCCCAGACACTCGTACGGCTTTCAGTGACATGGTCAGTGCCTCTGCAAATCGGCGCCAATTCATTAGGCATCTGCAAAACTTCATGCAATCTTATGGCTTTGATGGTGTCGATATTGATTGGGAGTACCCCGCTGCCGACGATCGTGGGGGCTCATCTGCCGACACGGAAAACTTTGTGAAGCTGTTGAAAGAGATGCGATCAAGCTGGGGTACTTCGTATGATATGAGTGTAACTTTGCCATCCTCCTACTGGTACCTGCAGGGCTTTGATCTTGCCGGAATGGCAAAACATCTTGACTGGTTCAATTTCATGAGTTATGACATTCACGGTGTCTGGGATTCCAAGAATCAATATACTGGTCCTTACATTCGTCCTCACACCAACCTTACTGAGATCAAAGAAGGCCTAGATCTAATGTGGATGGCTGGAGTTGAGCCGAGCCAGGTGGTTTTAGGACTTGGCTGGTACGGAAGATCATTCACTCTCGCCGATTCATCCTGTTCTAGGCCCAATGGACTCTGCGAGTTCAGTGGAGGTGGCAATCCCGGTTCATGTACCAACTCTGCCGGGACTCTTTCAATCGCCGAGATCAAGAAGATTCAAGATTCTGGTGTCGCTACTGAGAATTATGACTCCACGGCGGCAGTGAAGTGGATTACTTGGGACAAAGACCAGTGGGTGAGCTTTGACGACGGTGTAACCATGATGCAAAAGATGAAAGCCGCAAACAAGCTTTGCCTTGGTGGTATTATGATCTGGGCAATGGATATGGACAACGATAACGGAGATGCTATGAGCGACCTCATGGGCATTGGTAAAGCCAATGGCGTTACGTCCACTCAAGCAGCTAGTTACAAGGAACAGTATGAAAATGTTGCCGAGCAGAACGCCGTCGCATCATCTTGTTACTGGAGTCTGTGTGGGGAAACCTGCAAGAGTTCATATTTCGACGTCACAGAAGCGAGAGGGCAAGTAGCGAACGTCCAACAAAGTTCTGTTTGCCCCGTGGGTGAATACCAAACACTGTGCTGCGCTCCTCAAACGACAATGGGAACGTGCAAGTGGGAAGGTTTCCGTGGCGTGGGTTTACCGTGCACTCCTGTATGCTCGGATGCCGATGCGGTTATCGTGGCGCAGAATAGTAACTCCTATTCAATGGACCACGTTATTCTTTGAGGCCTGAGGGATCAGGCTCAAATTATTACTGAATCATGCCGTGCCCACTGTGCTATGTAGTAGATAGCTTCAGGTCATTCCTCCCATAGTGGTCCATCATCATTCCAGCATTCATCCCTCCTGGTCATCAAGTATGTTGCCTATGTCGACAATTATAGCTGCATAGCTTGGTGGAGAGGGAACTTGTCTATGCTAGGATGCGTAGGATACACAGTCGGGCCAATGACATCATGTTGCCCGCCGCTAAGAAAGCGCCTCCCTTTTTAGCTCCGCGCCATCGGGAATCTTAGCATATACCTATACTTCTAGTCTAGGTCCTAAGTAAAGAGATGGAGTTTGCAGTACTTTGTGAAGTGTGCAGATAAAAAATGATTGATTTTGCTTATTGTACAGAACGATGCCTATGTGCAATATTCCAACCAGACATTAGACCCCTGTTATCCGGGTCTCCAAGGAGCGTCGAGGATGTGTTCAAACCAAAGATACCCTGCCCAACCCAAAACGCCTGTCATTAAGGAGAGTCATGCGGTCCTTGTTCCGCGGGGTCATAAGAGGAATAGAAAGAAGAAGATAAAGAAATGGAGGTTCACGGCCATTACATCAGAAATGGCCAGGGCCAAATTGTTTGCCCGTACCACCCGCAAGGAAATTGACCAGGGGGTGAAATAGACAAAGAGCAGCCAAGCCACTTTGCCCGTGAACCAGTGAACCAGTGAAAACGATATGGATCAAATCAGACGGTTGTTTACGCCACTCCGTAGAAGGAGTCAGGGATGATCCTGAAGCTTGTTGAGGTCTCGTTCACTTTGGTAGTGCCTGATTGCCAAAAGTCCTGGCGGTCGTCGTCCACATATTTGGTCCAGTGATGCTGCACCGTGAGGTTGAAACTGGGGTTGCCCAATTTCACGAGTTGCGCGACGACATTGGGATCGGCGCACGCGGTGGCGTTGTAGGAGGTTCCTTCACAGCGGGTGTTGAACGCGGGAGAGTTCTCCGAACCGGGGGAAGACACGTTGAATCGCCAGGCGACACCACCGGGAGAGCCACCGATGTCGAGATTGTTGGATCTGAAAACGGGAGCGGCGCCTTGGGGAGCGGCGTTGGTCAGGCTCAGAGTAGAGAGCAGGACAGGGAGGAGAGTGGTAAGTTGCATGATGACGGTGATATTATGGGTTATATCAAGGAAGTGTAGAAGTATTGTACAGTTGGAAGGTGAAGGTGAAGATGAATCTGACGGATGAAGGATGAAAGAGAGAGGATGAGAGGCGAGGTTGGGAAGTATAAGTAAGTGATGGAGTGACTCGGAGTGAGTACGGGGGAAAGAAGGCAGGGTCCAACGGGCTGACGAGGATAGTCCTTGGCGACCCAGTCAAGTCTCCACCCGCAACCACTCCGGCCATCCCAATTCCTTAGTTCACCCTTCCCCCCCCTCGGTTCAACTTTGATTCAACTCTTTCGTTCCTCTTTGTTGGCTCCACCGAACTTGCCGATCTTTTCAGGGGATACCCGATCGACAACGCACGCCAATCGTTCCCCAGTATTCACAATCTATACTGTATTGAAAGCACCCGTTGTCTGATGTTCTGACCCCAGTCTCACTGTCTGACAAGTCGCATGCAAGATCGCCGCCTAGGCGTGTTTCAGACATCCGGCACTAATTTGAATGGTGGAGACCTTCGAAGGAACCACTGGTTTGAGGGTGGAGGATTGGATTCAATGTGGGAACTGGGTTGGTGCGGATAAACCATTCCGCAACGGCGAACCATCCCACGTCCCCCCAAGACCGGCTAAATGGCCGGGGTATGCGTTTCAAGACGTTGATGAAAATTTCTGTAGATGACATAAGTACAGAGTGCTAATGTAGTAATATACAGGTTATCCATCTGATGATGGCTGGGTCGCACCAGATCTGCCTTCGTGCCACGGCATATACTTTGGTGCCTGCATCTTGCCACAGCCACCCGGTCCCGTCCGGGCTAGATTATGTACAATAAAGATATTATGCGAGTCTGTGGGCCTCATGCGTCCGAAGCTGCATCCCATCCCCCTTGAGACCCGATAGATTGGACTGTGGATCCGATCGTCCACGGAGCTTTTCTCTGACAAGTAAGACTATTTATGGAACAGCTCACTTTTTCTCCGAGACGACGGTGCCCTCACGACGTGCCTCTATCTCCGCAATGCGGGCTTCACGTTGTCGTCTCCGTCTCCGGCGTGTGGCCTGAGAAGGCTTTGGCTCCTTGTTCCAAACCACCTTCCCTGGCCTATCCGGTTTGGCTGGCTCAGCAGCCGGCAGGCTGACCGGCAGTTGAGCACTTGGATGATATCTCAACCGTAGGGCGTAAGGGTCCACGGACTTTAGACAGATCTCTTGGATTAACTCTTGTGTCTTCGGCGTAAGAGGGAATTCGCGTTCCTGCATGTCTTGAAGATACATCCACGCAGACTTGAAACTCCCGGCGTCGAGGCACATCCGAATAACAAGTTCGAAGGTCTTACCACTCGGGATAATGCCGGACGATGCCATTTCTTTCAGCATATACATGCCCAAGTCGACTCTTTGGGCACGCTGACAGATGTTGATGAATGAGTTGAAGATGGAAAGGTTTGCGCCGTCAGGATAGACTGTGTAGATTTCACGATACAATTGCAGGGCATCATCTGCCACGGACGGGTTGTGTTTGGCGTCATTTTTCCAGGCCTGCAAAATAAGCTCAATAGCGTCCATGGGAATGGATCGCCGGGTATCTTTGAGACGTTTGAGCATCTGCCACGCTTCCCAACAATCGATTCTCCATGTAATAAAATGTTGACATAATTGCCTCATAGTACTGTTCTGGGGCTTGAGTCCGGCTTCGTGCATTGTGCAGAGCTCCTTAAAGACGGCAAGAAGATTATCCGGGGATCCCTTGGTCAAATGAGATTTGATGACTTGGTTATGATTATCGGGTTTCGGCTGGAGGCCAGCCTTGCCGAGGTAATGAAACACAGCCTGGGCCAATTGAGGATCGCGGTGCCTCGCTGCTGTATTTAGTGTCCGCGTACAAGTATCCATCGAAGGATGAACGTAGCCCAAGTTCACTTTTCTTTCCCATATGTAATGAGACAGCTCATGGTGCCGGGCTTCGCCTGCCTTATCAAGCAAATGAGACAAAAGCTGTGGCGTCATTTCGTGGCCCTGCTCGAGCCTTCTTCGAACAAGACGGCTTATTTCCTCGAATTCTTTGTGGTCACACAGTATATAGATGATCAAACTGTGCAACCAATTCTCGATAGGGATGTTCTTGCGTTCCATAGCTTCAAGTTGTTCAAGTCCCTTTTCAAACTGATTCTCTCGCATCAAGCCCGCTACCACATAGTGCCAACCCGCCGGACTGAGAGGAAGCCATCGATCCCGAAGTCGATCAAGTAGTTGTTGGCGAAGGATATAATCGGGATGTACAGCCACGGCCTATAATTTCAGCATGATGATTAGCGAGTGACCTTTATAAAGCCTGTTCGTCAATTATGCACGTACCTTAAGAGCAGCATGAAGCGTGCCCGAATCCATTGCAATATCATTGAGATCCATCTCATCCAGCAGTCTTTGCACCGCCAAGGATGACCCGGATATATAATCACAATTCGCCAATATCAATGCTTTGTAGTGTCGGGCCGTCGGTCGGATCTGGCGATCTCGTATTAAGACTCTGAGAATACGCTCTGCGTCTCTGATCTCGGGCTTAAAGACCATAGTCTCCTGAAGCTTCCTTTCCAAAAATGAGGTTGGGATGTTCTCGTATGAACCGGGTGCCTTAGGGTCCTTGGTCATATTGTATAACCGTTGTAATTCCTTCTCTCTTCGGTCATCGAGCATATCGGTGGTTGAAGGGTAGTGTTCGAGGTCGTCCACGGGCGAAGACTCGGCCTCGGTGAGTGATTCATCGCGGGCAGGAGAGGCTTCGAGGACGGATGAGCTATAATAGCCGGTGATTTTGTGACTGTCGTTATTGCCGCTTGTATGGTATCTTCGTGGCAAGCTTCCTGCCGTGCAAGTACTTGCCGGCGCAAATGGTCTGGAGCTTCGCTTCTTCGTTTGTAGGTGCGGTAAGCGGCGGTTGAGTGTTCTGGGGACAAATGAAGGACATAATGAATACCAAAGTCCGTCCAGGACCAAGGCATGCCGAGACATGTTCGCTTGCTTGCGTTGGCGATGTGACTTGAACTTCGCGGAGTCGCCGCGGGCAGGAAATAATGCGATAACACGTGACTGATAACAGCGACGTCGAGAATAGCATACTTGAGATAGATGGCGATTTGCCTTAAGCTACACTGATAAAGTGATACGAAGTATTGGGGTTTCTAATTCGTTGTATTTGTAGGTCGTTAATCCAACCCCAATAGCCCAGATCCCACGGTAAAATACAGAGCCAGATATGCGCCGCGGCCATGCTCGACCAAAACTGTCCAGTCCAGTTCAATCGGACCTCTTCTCCCCCGACCGACCTTATCCACTCCGCCTTATTCAGGGTATCTCGTGTTTCAATTTCATCCTAGGCATGCAAGGTGATGTGTAGACTGTCTCATACAGCGTGGCCACCACGTCCCCGGCCGCCCCGACCACCGCGCCCGCCACGACCACCGCCACGGCCGCGGCCGCGCTCGCCGTCTCGTCCACGGTGACCGCGGTTTTGTGGTTGGTTCTGTTGCTGCTCCTTGACGAGCTCGATGATTTCTTCGGGGACGCGGAGGTATTTGATCTGGGGAAAGCAGTTAGAAACATGGATACGACACGATTGTGTGCAGCGGTGTAGATATTGACTCACATTGTTACCACGAATGTAGACTTCGGGCAGGCGGAAGAACTTGTCGCCTTCGGGGCTAGTCTGCACGACTTCGCGCAGAATCAAGTTCATCCAGTTATCGCAGGTAACGAGGTGGCCGTTTAGGGTCTCGCCGTTCTTGAGCTCCACCAGCATGGGGTGGCCCTGTGCGGCCGTCAGAAGGCCGAGAGGAAGCTGCGAGAAAAGAATGTCAGCTTCAGATTCCGACCGGCTTTATGATGTCGAGATAAAGCATACCATGGCGAAATGCGATCGATAAGAGGCGGATGTCGCAAAGAGGGGAGGGTGTGCGCCGTGGTGTGCGGGCTATAATCTGTGCGGGCAGGTGGCAATACGCCAATTTTCAGCCCGACCGATGGAAGTGAAGGGTGATAGATGACCAACAGAGGGTCTCGTGGAATTCGAAAGGGTTGTTGGCGGGATCAATGGGTGTAATAGAGCTCCGCATCAGCTGCTGTGACGAAGCCTGAACCCGGAAAAAAGGATGTGCCGAGATCTGCTAGCCTGGATCCTTGTGCCGCCGCCGCCAAATACGGCCACTACTACATAGTGGAGGTAATTGATATAATCACTTTACTTACCCATTCACTCACTACTCTATCTACATAAGATTCACCAGATTGCTTTTATTACTTAGTCTCAAAATTCTCATTTCAGCACTTGATTTACCGTTAAAAAAAACTAAGCCATTTCAAGAGATCTAGATCCAGATCCAGATCCAAACCAAATCCCAGTTGATAGATTACATAGTGCGACCTTAAGCCCAAGGGGCCAAACACATTCATCGGCAAGCCTAGACCTTGGGGCGCTTAGCTGCCTCCACTCCATTTTCTTCCTCGTCTTCATCGTCGGAAACAGCAAGCTTGCGCTTACCCCGTCCACTGCCGGAAGCTTCTGTTTTCTCATCCTGAGGCTCGGGCAAGCGTCCCTCAAGAGCTTCGAGTGTGATTTCATAACCTTCCTCAACATTCCGAACCGTGTCATCCAGCTTTTCCACCCGGTCGGTTAGATCCAGTTCGTCAAGCAACTCCCGGTGCTTTTTGTAAAGGCGTTGCTTTGTGAGCATGCGCCACCAGTAGTACCGGCGGTCGTCGGGGTCGTCGGCCTTGGACTTCTTAATCAATAATCGCGCAAGATTGGTACCTCCCGCAAGGCGATGACTCTTGGGGATCTGGCTCAGTAGGTACATCTCCAGGATGTGGGCAAACTGAGTCGCTTCAATCTTGAAGGCGGTGCGCACTTCGCGAAGGGTCTGGGTAGGGATAAGCGCATTGGTAGGAACCTTTGTTGGCCGCTTCTTGGCAGAGTAGATCTCATTTGGGTCGGGGTTGAGATTCACGTTGTGCTTGAGAAATTCGGGACGCAGCAGGCAAAAGTCCGCAGAGTCTCGGAGAGCATCGAATGCTTCATTGGGATCCTCGACAGTCAATTCTGTGATTGTAGGGTCCGCTAGGCAGAACGCATGGATTGTTGTGTAGAGATGGGTGCCGTGACCCGAGCGATGGTGGGATGGGAGGACGAGGAACTGGGCGATACGAAGTCGGGCTGGAAGTTCGGAGATCTTGAGCTCCGGCAAAGGGAATGCGACGTCCTTGACGACTGGAGTTTCGGAACGATCTCGCTGGTACATCCAGTATCGGTAGGTTGTAGCATATCCGACGATGGAGTATGAGGATGCAGTGGGTGTGGTTGGCTTCACCTTTTCATAGCTGCAATGGTTAGTTTTGGAAGCTCCTAGGCGGAAGTTAAGATTAGGACTTACACAAAGAATACGGTCCATCGCTCCAAGCTCCATTCGGGGTCATCCGTATCCAAGGGAGTGCCGGCTTCGATGAAGAGAGAAACCAGGACCTGTGCGCGATCCAGAATTCTTTGAACGGCGGGATCAGCGAGAGAACCTGCCCAGATCTCGTAGTTCCTCTCATCCACATCGTAGCTGTAGACTAGCTTTCCGGGGGGAGAGAAGTCTTTTGCGCTGGGGTCCTCCTGGACATTCTTCTCGTATTCGGGAAGGTTGATCAATGCTTCTGTGATGTGTTGTTAGTTCCCGAGTCGACGGCGCATAGAGTAGATGATACTAACCCTCTGGGATGAATGGCTTAAGAGTGGCTAGCAGATCCGTCGCAGCCGTGTCGTCGACTGCTTTGAATCGGTCGTCATAGGATATGTGGACATGAGGGCGGAGATCGTGAGCGGCGAATCGCAAGCGTATGACTAGGCCCTTGTAACCGAAGATTTGTTCATCGTCACCAAAGATCGGGTAGGTGAATTGTGGATGGAAGGTTGACAGGGTCTTAGGCTTGGTGTCGCCAGGCTGCACGACCGTGATATGAAGCGCATCGTTTGCGTCGCACGACCCTGAATCAATTAGTTGTCGCGTTACAGACGATATCGGAAAGAAAAAATGCGAGATCAACTTACAGTCTTCGCCAACCGCCATATTGGATAGATGTGAGGAAATAATGCAGAGATGAGCCGAGAAGACAAGAGTCTAATGCCCGAGCGGCGCGACGCGTCTGAAGCTCGTATTACCTAATGGGGACTAGTGTCATGTGCAACTAAGTATAAGAGCCCCCACGGAAATAATCTTAATAATTGTTGCTCCCGTATAAGCCGAGAGTTGATCGACGAGATGGGGGAAATACCTGGACTTTTATGTATAAGTCAGTCGTAATTACTATTTATTGCTAACAAGGAGCAACACAGATAGTATCAAGAGGCCGGAGATACTATGGCTGAGCCGGCTATCAAAACGGCCATTGCACTTCAGCAGGAGTATTGTGGTGTAGTAATGATGCGTCAACACCTTCAGAATTGATTAAATGAGCTATTATACTGCCGGAATGGCTATAATACTAGAAATTTCCAATTCAGATACATCCTGTACCCGGCAATTTAGCCGTCCAATTCTATCTAAGTCTTGCGCATATCTCGTCCGCTTCCAAGTTTTGATTACCTCTCTTTTCACGTATCTCTTTCAATGTTGGTATAAGCTGTAGGGCCCGTTGGATTCCCATAGTCTCCCCGATTTTTTGAAGTGTTTGAATCACCCATTCGTATGCCTCGTCAGGGGCTCCAGCAGCACCACCGGCCATAGTCAAGGGGAACAACAGCATGAATGCACCGTTTAGTGGTGGTAATTGTTGGCCTCCAACGTTCGGGATCATATTGAAAAAGGCACCCATATGGCTGGCGGCACCGGCACAGACGTTAATCGATAGGCGTGCGCTCGTCTCCAAGGCTCGCTGCCGTTGTTGCATGGTTCTTAGTGTCGGAGAAGGGTGGCTCGCTAAATGTTTCAATATTATCTCGTTCACAACCAGTCTGCCCCAAAAGTAATTGTTTAGGATCCTCGAGGCCCACACATCATTGTATATGAGATATTTGCCATTGAATGTGTTCTGGTGGTCTTTCGACTCGCTGAGGGTGAAGGCCCATTTGTCGGGGAGATTTTTCTCCCATTCGTCTAGTTCTGTGTCAAACGAAGCTGCAGAGCTAGCTATAGCCCCATGATCAAGATCTGGATCATTGCGAGCGGTATAATGTAGCTTCGCGAAGCGAATGAGAATGTCCACCAGGTCGACAGCTGGTTCTTCGTCGGGTGCGATAGTAGAAATTTTATCAGGGGACCAATTGATGAGAACGGAAGGAAGATCCCCCTGAACCATAAAGTATCGGACAATGGAAATAAAAAGGTATTGTAACTGTGGGCGGGTATTGGCGCTCAGAGCGTTGCTAAAACTGGCTTGTTTAAGCAGAGCCGCCATGCCATCCAGATGTACTACCCAGGAGTCAACCTGCTTGGATGGACAGCAAACCATCTAGCAGAAGAAGTTAGTTTAAGTCTTTTCCTCATTAAGAAAACACAAAAAAAGCAAAAAACACGGGTCACACGCACCTCAAACAGGCTAAGCATCAGTATTATTTTAAATGTCAACACGGGATTGGCCAGTTGTGGATTCTCCACTGCAGCGCGGATGATATTCAGGGCTGCTAGGTATTTCTCTCTTGCGGCTAGTAGGAGCGATTGGTCATGGGTCACGTTTGACATGGCAGCTAGTCCCACTGCCATCACAGCATCTTGAAGAGGTAACTCATTTGGAATGGTTGCCAGCAGCGGCGACTTCTCAAGGTCAGACATATCTAGCATAATGGGGTTTTTTGTTGCCTTCTGTATCGATGTTGCGAACCGACTGAAGAAGAATTTGAGACCCTGATCCTCCAGGCTGGAAGGCATCACTGCTGGTATCCCAGATATCCAGAACACCTCTGGCTTTCTCTGAACTACAAGCCCTGATTGGGATAACCTTGATTTATTCATTGGTCTGTCGTGTTTCACCACTGCTGATTCGTCTAGCAGTTTACGGCGGGCCTCCGATTTAGACTTGGCCTCGACAGACCGTTGAACCGTTTTGTCATTCTCGTCACGGAACAAAAGAGCCGGGATATCGCGGTAGCCACCACAAGGTTTCCCCACTCTCTTGCACTGCGAACAGACCGGGTCAATACGATCACACTATAGATTGGGTTAATAAAGTTAGCTTGATCAACTATTGATATGACTTCTAGACCTATGGTAGCGTCATACATGCCTTGATTCTCCTAACTCGACAGCTCTCACAGTTCTTGCTCGGGCGGCCGTAAAAAGGCATAGCTTTGATATGTTGTGTAGTGAAATTGAGCGACTCTCCTGGGGTGTTCCAGGGTCAAAAGGGGTAAAAGAATCGTGCAAAGCTGCAGATTGTCGAAATAGCGTGGTTGAAGCACAGCCCATCGGCTGGTGAGCCGCCGATAGATCGGCAGATCCACTAGCCTAATGGAGTAACTGTTGCGTCTGTGGGGTCGGTCCATGCGTGGTCTCGGCAGTACTTCATTTTTCCACCGATGTCAGAACATTGTTTAAAGACTTGGTTGAAGTGTTGTCGTAAGCACTCATATAAAAACGAATCAGCCACTACCTCAAATCTCCGGGATTCGGTACATCACGGGACCGATAGTCCCGATCTCACCGTACAGCCTTACTGAAATGCCGAACACCTATCCTTAAATGGAATGAGGCTGCCTGACTTTAACTAGTAAAAATGGATCCAAGAACGGAGTCACATATGAGTCTGAAGCAGTAAGGGTTGACTTATAAGTATCGGATCTCCTATGAGAGAAGAAGGTTCTGAATCTCAAGTCTTATCATTCTACCAACGATATTATCCCTGGCACCGGACTGACATCTAACTATGGCCCTTGCGACACGGTCTATGCAAGACTCGAATCAAGAGTCTCACTACAGTTATGACCCGTCATTGGCGGTTGCCATAGTGGCAGCTGTTCTTTACGGCACCGCGTTTCTTCTCACCTTGATCCAGTGGATTCGATACAAATCATGGGTCTGGCTGACTATGGTAATTGCAGCAGCGAGTAAGATTTTGATATCCTTCCTAATAATCTCAAATCTACTAAATTAGAAACCAGTGGAAGCAGTTGGCTATATTGCGCGATGCATTTCGACCCAAAACGTCACTGAGAAATCCGTCTTTGTTCTGCAGTTCGCACTCGTCATTCTTGCCCCAGTCCTCATGGCAGCTTGCTGCTACGTCTTGTTTGGCAGGATCATTTTCCTCGTTGTTCCTCGCGAATCTCAAACATTCAAGATCTGCTGGGTTCCTCCTCGATTCATCACCCCGCTCTTCGTCGGCTTCGACATTGTTGCTCTCTTTCTTCAGTTAGTAGGAGCTGTGATGATTTCATCTGTCAGTATAGGTGATACAGATGCAGCTTCGAAATTGAATAGAGGAAAATCTATCGCCCAAGCAGGTGTCATCATTCAACTGGTCGCATTCGGGATGTTCTCCGTCGCCGCTGTTCGCTTCAACTTCACTTCGAAGCGATTTACCAAATCCATTTCTGAGCGATACGAGAGTTCTGGAGAAAAGTCGTATATTATTGATGGCCTTGTGAGGAAGAAACATTGGCCGGCCTTGCTAAGGGTTGTCAACTTTACCACTCTGTTGATTTTGGTAAGCACCAGTACCTGATAATATCCGACAAGGGAGATATAGTTAGTATATGCTAATTTCTCTTTACAAGGTTCGCTCAATCTATCGTCTGGTTGAGTTTACGGAGGGCACAGCTGGTTACATTAATACCCACGAATGGACTTTATACGTTTTTGATGCACTGGTGATTTACCCCTGTGTCGCTCTTTACATCTACTGGCATCCTGGCAAGTATTTGCCGTATCTCGGGTTCCGTCTTCCCAAGGGTGCTCGCTAGTATACGAACTATTCAACTTTCTTTCAAGATGTGCTTTACGGTTACCAATAAAAGTTTGTTGGACCATATCTCTTTTAATAGTTTTCTCTGATACCATATATGAATTTTACCCTTCTGTCTTCTTTGTCATTTTCTCGAATTTGAGACACAATAAGCTCGTGAGACTGAGGAGGCTAGATGTCCAGCGGTTTCTTCCTCCTCCGCCCTAGTCCTTTCTTTCCAACCCCATTTCGTAAGCCATGACGTTTCTCCACGCAGTCCGGGGTTACTGGCATTAAACAATGTAAATATCGGCCACGGTTCAAAATTTATCCGTTTTGAGATGAGGAGAATTGTGTTTACAGGGGCTTTCGATAGATCTACTCGAGTAGAATTGATCTACCAGGGGTTGTTGATCTAGAGGTGATTATCAAATCTAATCGAGCGGGTCATTACTAAAAATAGACCCGGATTGAAGGGAATTGTTTGAACATTTGCTCGACGCAGGATTTGGCAACCTAGACTTTGTAAAGCAAGGCAATGTTGCTCGTCGGTACCGATGTAGGCTTGATAGCCCAGTGTTGCTTGATTTCCCAATATCTCCCGTTCAGTGGAGCACCGCGTTGCATCACATCGTCACGGTTGGACAGCGTGTTCTAGATCAGCCGGACAAAATCTCTGTACACTTGTATGCAGGATCAGGGGATTTAATTGGCATATAGTATACGGAGTACATACGATAGTCAACAGCCACAGGAGACTCGACCCCATTGCATTGAAATTGGCATTCGCACGGTATCCATGGACATGGCATGTTTTGATCCGAATGTAGCGGGCGGTGCCTGACCCGCGTGGGTCTCTCAAGTCGGAGAACGCCCGCCAAGAACTAGCCATTTTGCCTCCCTTTCACTCCACGCCCTGCATCCTACCTTCTTCACCTCTCGATCCCCGAAGAGAAAGACTCGAGCTAGATCTGATCGTCCTGTTTGCCCGATTTGGCACCATGATCGACGCCTTATAGAGCCAGCGCACGTGCAAAGCTCTTTCGCAAAAGAGGCCACCATGGAGGGACTCTTCACTCTGCTCGTTCTGAGCATTGTGATGGCAATTACGTGAGTTAAGCCTGTCGCTTGATTTTGATGAGACATACTACATCAATTCCAGCTCAGCTGTTAATATACCTTTGCTTCTTTCTGCAGATCCTTTGTCGTCGGCTCATTACCTCTCGCATTTACATTGTCCCCCTCTCAACTACGGCTGATATCCTCCATCGGCATGGGTGTGCTGGTCGGTACATCCTTGATTGTCATTATTCCAGAGGGTGTCGAAACCCTCTACAGCGCCAAAACTATTAGCAAGCAAAGCCTCAATTCCCGAGCGACCACCGCTGGCTGGCAGGCTCGCAACCTCCCCGTGGCCGGTATTCCGGCGCTAGACGACGACCACGTTTCTTCATCCACCACCACCCCCGTTTCGTTCCTATCGCTTGACAATGCGGATCATGGAACGCCCCTGGTCAACCGTGACCGGATTTCTACCGGATCACAAATACTCCGAACCCGCAATTCAGAATCGTCGAGCGACAAGTCAAGCCAGGAAGAAGAAGAGCACGAACACGAAAGCTCCCCGCATGCCTGGATTGGTATTGCCCTTGTTAGTGGATTCATTCTGATGTATCTTATCGACAAGCTGCCCGAATTTGCATCCCCGACCAAACCCGAACGACAGCCCTACCACATCTCTCTTGATAACCTCGGCTCTGGACTACGACGCAACTCCTCGCCTATCCGCGACGGAGGCCTTTTAGATGCGGGACAAAGCTCCCGCCGCAGCCACAGCTTCGCAACCACAATGGGCCTGGTGATCCACGCCGCGGCTGATGGTATCGCCTTAGGCGCTTCGAGCTCGGATACTGGCCTGAGCTTTATCATTTTCTTGGCTATTATGGTGCATAAGGCCCCGGCGTCCTTTGGTTTGACGTCAATTCTGCTCAAGCAGGGACTGTCTAGCCGGACTGCGAGGGCGCACTTGCTAGTCTTTAGCTTGGCAGCCCCTGTTGGTGCATTGGCTACTTTCCTCTTCGCCCAGATGATGGGATCCTCCAGCGCCGACGAGGCTGCTGCTCACTGGCGGACCGGTATGCTTTTGCTTTTCTCGGGTGGTACCTTTTTGTAAGTTACATGTTTCTTTCCCCTTCATTTGAAAGGACTGATTTAACTGGGTGTATTTAGGTACGTTGCGATGCACACCATGCAAGAGAACGGCCCTGGATCGTCTTCGCGAACACTTCCCGTGAATGGCTATGGCGATTCTAGAGAGCAGAGTGGAGAAGACAAGTCGATGCGAGATTTGATTGCTTCTGTGCTTGGCATGATTTTGCCGCTATTCTTGCAGATCGGACATGCTCACTAGAGATTACACTTTTGCTTCTACTGCTGCCACGCGGCATATGCATCGCCCAGTACAACCGATTATAGATCGTTGATCATCAATCGTCGATTCATTGATCCTCGTTGATCTAGCCGGAGTGGTGCGACAAAGTATCCAACAATTTGCTGAAGCGCCGTTTTTCTCATTCGATTCTTTTTTTACTGTCTCTTTTTTGCGGTTCGTCCTTTTTTTATCTATTTCACGCGGCAGGATGGACGTCTGGAGAGCATATACCCTTGTTTGGCATCTGTTGGCAGATATACCTCTGGAAGAGACCGGCTTTACTACGGAGGGCATGAGCGCTCGGTCGGATTGCGGAGGATCCGAATATGTCACTATCACTAGACCTGTATAATTGGAGCAGCGTGTTGGTTAAAATTCCATGGTTTATTTACCTCTCAGTATTGTAGACTCCACGCCCGAGTCGGCGGAACATGACGTTGTGCATACCCCTTTCATATGCAGAGGCCGGAACAGCCATTTCAATGAGCGGGGAGGTGATTCCTCACACCTTTGAATCAGGAACAACGCGATAGATCGCGCAAGGCAATCGACTAGCTTTCGCCGGACGAATAGGAAGGGGTATTCAGCCTCTGTACGAGCAAGAGGTCAAGCCATGGAGGAATTATGGCAGATCCGACAGCGTTTCCAACGGGCCCCTGCCACCGGGGTTCAACACAACAGACGCAGCAGAAACAACATTACCCTCGTTGCGATTTTCTTGGGTATGACTGCTACCATTGATTGCTATAGAAAGGGCTTAATAGGTTCGATATTCGATGCCTTTTGAACGGTGGAGTCATTGTTTCATGGTACATGCTGGTGATGATGGTTGTCTGGCTGTATCAGGGTTCAGCCATGTGACGAACGATACCATGATGGCTTCGCAAAGGAGATTTCCACGATCACACCGACGTAGCGTGACGTTGTACCTAACCCCCCCTCTCTCTATAAAGAGCGGGCCAATCCTCCCCTGCGAGCGTGGAGGTGATACCTCGATCACCTTTGAATGATGACCATCCATGTCGGCGGGGTGATGAAAGGTTTCGTCAGTCTCGTCAGTCTGAATCATCCTTGCCTGACGGGGCGTTCCATGGTCGGCGGCAACGTGCCGACCGGGCATCCACGGACTCGGGGCTCCGTATAGATCTGAGATCTGAGACGAGAGAGATTGGACGGCGTGGGGCCGTCGGGAGTAGCGCGGTATTCCATTCTGGAAGGGCGCTTGCAGGGACGATCGCGAGGTCCGGTGTTCGCCGCGCAGGTTCAGATGCCTAGCAAGGGGTGAAGTGGACAGCGCGGAGATATCTTCGAGAGCATATCAAAGTGGGCTTCTCTGGGTAGCCATCGCGACATTGCCTCGTTGCCTCACACATGGTACGTGTGGCCCACCTGTGGAGAAACATGAACGACGAGGACCATCGTTTCAGAAGTGGAGTTCAAATGGGGGGAGCTTGGCGGCGTTAGTCAGTGGCGGTCACGACACTCTCTTACCATTAGAGAAGATCACGGGTTGCAACTCTCTCACACTCGGTACTCTTGTTGGTTACCCTTTCTTACTTGGGATTTTTTTTTTTTTAATATTATTCCCATATTCCCCATACTCCCAGGCACACCCCAAACGGATTCCTGCAAGATCAAACGAAAAGAAGAAACGAAAATCACCTATAATAAAAAGGACCCAAGTCCAGGCCCGGGGGATTTTTGACTCCCTATTGCCATTTGCCAGCCCCCGATCCGCATCCGCACCTGCACCCGCGATACTACACCCCTCCTACCGCCTACCTTTCTCCCAGCTCCAGCTCTTGCTCTTGCTCCTTGCTCTTATGCCCGAGCCCCAGTTGCGACGAACGGCTTTCTCGAAGTGCTTATAACCCGAGTCCTTTCGCCGCTGTTATATAATGGACTCTGACACAGGACTCGGCTTGGACGGCATAGACGACTCGATGTCGTCGACTCTCTCCGATCAGCTGGAGTCCCATCCTCAGCCCTCACCTCGCGATTCTATTTCCAGTTTTACTAGCACCCCTACCCGAACCCTCAGTACCACCAGGAAAAATGTCACCTCCCTCCCTGCCAATTTACTCCCCTCGGCGCCCGCTTCTCCTCCGACACCCGCTCCAAGTCCGACGCCTCATCAACGACCCCCAAACTGGGTCTCATCCGATGACGAAGAAAATACATTTCTGCTCAACCTTCGCATCCACTTCAGTACCCTACCCAACAGTCGCAAACAGAAACTCCTCGAGGGACTCTTGGACGTATGCGACAGTCAACAACTCAGCTTTGTCTCTAGTTACGTTGGTCCCCGGTTACGCAAGGACCCTTTTCTCGTCTTTCCAAATGAACTGTGCTTGCGGGTAAGATGTCAACAGCGGGTCCCTCTTATATTATATAGACTGTGGGAGTGCTAACAGGGGGGGTGGTAAATACAGGTTCTCTCCTTTATCGATGACCCGAAAACGCTCGCCCGAGCGTCGCAAGTATCTAGGCGCTGGCGAGAACTGCTCAACGACGATATTACATGGAAGAACCTATGTGAAAAGCATGCCTATGCCGTACGAAGAATCTCCGACGAAGACGAGATGGAACCATCTACACCCCGCTCCGTGGGTTTGAACTTGAAGCCCGACTCTCACGCGCTGAATCGACGCCTGACCGCCTCAAATGAGCCGTCGATGGAAAGCGCCCCCGGGGCTTCCCCGCACTCTGTCCGGAGAGTGGCTTCCTCCACCAACCAGTTTCTCAACTCGCAGACGTAGAACTCGTCCGGTCTCTTACCGATCCCAGTTCAAACAGAAATACATGGTTGAGTCTGCGTGGAACAAGGGTGGTCGCTGCACCCAGCGCCATATCACCCCGGACCAAGGCGTAGTGACAAGTCTCCATCTCACTCCCAAGTATATTGTCGTCGCCCTCGACAACGCCAAGATCCATGTCTACGATACCAACGGCGATAACCAAAAGACCCTTCAAGGGCACGTGATGGGTGTCTGGGCCATGGTTCCCTGGGACGATATCTTGGTCAGCGGCGGATGCGATCGCGAAGTCCGTGTATGGAATATGGCAACCGGGTAAGTGATTGGGTCTCACCGATACCAAAAGCAACCCCAAAAAAAAAAGTGCGAAGGAGCTAACAAGCGGTGATATCAGGGCGGGAATCCACTTACTTCGAGGTCACACATCGACGGTCAGATGCTTAAAAATGTCTGATCGCAATACCGCCATTTCAGGGTCCCGAGACACGACCCTGCGCATCTGGGATCTGGCCACCGGGACCTGTCGCAATGTCCTTGTTGGGCACCAGGCTAGTGTCCGGTGTCTCGCAATTCATGGCGACCTCGTTGTCTCGGGTAGCTACGACACCACGGCCCGGATATGGAGTATATCTCAGGGCCGCTGTCTACGAACCCTGTCGGGTCATTTCAGCCAGATCTATGCGATTGCTTTTGATGGCCGACGTATCGCGACCGGAAGCTTAGATACGAGCGTTCGGATCTGGGATCCTAATTCAGGCCAGTGTCACGCTATCCTCCAAGGTCATACTTCCCTAGTAGGACAGCTGCAGATGCGTGGGGACACACTGGTAACCGGCGGCTCGGACGGCTCGGTACGCGTGTGGTCCCTGACTAAGAACGCCCCCATCCACCGGCTCGCGGCCCATGACAACAGTGTCACCAGTCTCCAGTTTGATAATACTCGGATTGTTAGCGGCGGCAGTGATGGCCGGGTTAAGGTTTGGAACTTGCAGTCCGGTCAACTACTCCGCGAACTCTCGACTCCAGCGGAAGCTGTTTGGAGGGTCGCTTTTGAGGACGAAAAGGCTGTTATCATGGCGAGTCGATCAGGGCGCACTGTCATGGAGGTAAGCTCAAAATATGCGTTATTCAACACCCTTGTTCCTTCTTGTGCAAATAACTAATTATCTGCTTAGGTTTGGTCATTTGCGCCTCCGCCGGATGACTTTGATGACTGGGTAGCGATTGAAAGCGCTTCCAGCACACCAGGCATTGGCTCTACCGATGACGCCGATTTGAGCATCAACCCACGTCGTCGAACCCTCTTCTCCGATCCCCCACCAACCATCTCCAGCAGTGACGCCGATCAACCAATGACCGATGCACCCTCCTAGCCCTGACCCTGACCCGACCCTTCCATCCATGCAGCAAATCTTTTGTTCGAATATAGCGTGCCATCTTACGACCACGGATATCCATTGTTTTTGTCTTCAGCGCCGAGGATCCTTTACTACAATCCTTTCTTTATATCATTTTAAGCATATCTTGTTCTTGGAAATGAGTGACAGGTTCTTTCCACTGTCCGAGCAGTTGCATATCTGGTGTTGCACATCCCCATCCACTTTGTTTTCGCCCATTTGATTTCCTTTTTTTGATTATACCTTTTTTACATCTCGACTTTTGTTGGACTTCGAGTTGCGCGGGAGTTGTGCGGGAGAGACCCATACTATCAATGTCTCTGGAGTTCGTCAGGGGGGAGATCGCCTCATGCAGTTGTTTACATCTTACCAGCATTCGGCTGGATCATTTCGGAGTGATATACCGGATTCAGCATACCTTGGATTTTGTTTAAGTTATCTTTATTCTACCCACAGTCATACTATTGGTCCGACAAGGACGGCTCTGGTAGACTTGGCTCTTCCATTGGGCTATCGCGACGCAGAGTCTGACAGCGCCGTGGAGTGAGCTAGTCTAGATTGATGAATGAAGAACGATCTAATAAACATGCCATCTTTTGATACCTGGTACGACCGTAGTTGTAAGCTCAGGGTTAGTCTACTATATGCCGTTGATAATTCTTCCTGTAAATGCCCCCCCTCCCGCCTGGAGTTGATTCTTGCGATCACTCCCGTCGCTCATTCCACGTCCGGTCAAAAACATTGATCGAACGTTGCGCTAGTTATAGAGTTAGAACCCGTCAAAATGCATCAAAGTGGGGAGACCGAAGGCGTCTTACCCGAAGGGACAATATCCAATGCCTTGATCGAGATATTCAACGGCTGCTGAAGCATGTAGATAACACCTTGGGCAATATCCCGAGCCAGCAGTGGCCTGTAAACCATCAGTCAGATGCGACCTTAAGAAGACGGGACCAAGCCAGATTAATGAAACTCACTCATAACCCTCAATAAACTCATCATACATCTTCTTATCATGGCCGACGCGCAGCGAGTGAAAATTCGTAGCAACGACACCTGGTCGCAGAGCAAGGACTCGGATATCCGTGCCGCTTAGTTCGTTCCGCAGGGCATTTGTGAAGGCCTCTTGGCAGGCCTTGTTGGCGTGGTAGACCGCTTCGCCGGGGAATGGGGGTACTTCGAGTCCCGTGATGGAAGTGATATTCAAGATTGTTCCTGCTTTCCGGGTCATCATGGAGTTATTTAGGACGGAATGGGCCATGAACATGTATCCGTTCACGTTGGTGTTGTTCATTGTCGTTATGTCAGTTGGTTTTAGGTTGGAGAATATACTCGGTGCGCCGATTGCTAGGCCCGCCTGGATGAAGTTGTTAGTTATGCGTGTCTGAGGTCATTATATTAGTGCTCTTCTGTTGGGAATAATGGGTTGGTACGTTGTTGATTAGGATGTCGATGTCTCCCATTTCTTTGATGGAGGATGAGACTGCGGCATCGACTTCTTCATAGTTGCCGACATCGACGGCTCGATAGGTGATTTTCACGTTGTTCTTGGCTGATAGCTTTTCTTGTAACTGTTGGAGCTTGTCCTGTTTTTTACCCGGGAAAATTAGTCAAATCATTTGATGGGATTGTGGGTGTGGACTCGGACTGACCTGTGATCGTGAGAAAAGAATGACATTTACACCAGCCTCAACTAAGGATGAGGCGATCGCTTCCCCAATACCCATAGAAGCGCCTGTCTGTTGATTCCAGAATAAGCATGTAGTTTTCAGATAGAGGCATGTCTTTTCACATACCAGAAGCGCAACTTTTCCTTGAAGTGCCATGATAGACTATATCGTCGGTTCGCAGTATTTGTCGTCGGTCAATGCTGGGTTGTCGTGGATATGGAGTAATGAATTGGCCCGGTGAGAGTGAGAAGAGCCGAAGTATATCAATGTGGATCGAGTGAGAGTATTGCTGAATAATGCATTTTTTCTGTTGTCTTCAGTGGGGCATTTATGGCGCAGCGCAGTTTCTTAGTTCATGATGTCATTTCAAGATGAGCGGCCCCTCCTTCCAGAAATTGCTTGATTGTGGTTAGTTTGATCCCCGCGGGGAAGTATTCATGTAAGAAAAATATGATCAACAACTTTAATCATTTCCCTTTGATTCAGGTTTGGCTTGTGTGCTGCTCATGTATGCATACTTCAACTTTCCATTCATACTTCGGTCAATCTATGTGGAGCTAAAAAAGAAGCTTCGCATTGCGTAGTCGATCGAATGCCATATACCAGGAGTCTTCGGTACTTAGTTCTTTGTTGAAACCGAGAGCCCTTGCTCTTCCCAGATCCAAATGGCGGTCGAAGTCCATCACAGTCGTTTTTCCCTTTGATCCAGTGTTACGAATACTCCTATATATGACATCTTCACGAAGGCCTCGTTCACGACATAGAGTTTGAAACTCGGTCCAGTGGCGATCGATATACTGAGCTGGAGTCACACTATCCTTGCTCGGTCCAGTTCCCTCGAGCCCGAAGTAGGCAGCGAGAAGCGGCCAGCGGGTCGACCATGATAGCGGAACTGAATTGTCGCCGATATTGAAGGTTTGGCCGTGCACTTTGTCTTTCGGTTGAAGAGAGGCAAAGATACAGAGTTGAGCGATTATATCTTGGTTGCTATCAGTTGATAGCAGGGTCCAGCCAGCCTCGGAACCTATGAAGGGGACACGAGCCCCAGGACCTTCAATTTCTCGGTAGAAGGAAAGGAAAATTCCGGTGGATTGGGCGATGCAGTTGGCATTTCCAAACGGAGCGACGCCTATCTGTTGGAAAGTCAGCATAACAGAAACGACAAGTCCGATGGAGATGGATTTTCGTGTACGATGATATCAGGTCGGATTTCGCACCATGACCATGATTTTCCTTTGGACAGTTCCTTGAGATGGTTTTTTTGATGATAGTAGAAGAGATCCTTGGCGAACTCATCTGGAATACGTGGGAATGATTCTTTTAGAGGAGCCTGCCCCCGAAAGGGAAACTTATCCCCTAGCAGAACACCATATGCCTATGAATGAATTCAGCAGAGCTACTAGTAGAAATTTGAAATCAACTGGATCAAAAGCGAATAATTCAATACCTTGGTACCAGTAATCAAGGTCACAAATTGCAAACAGGAAGAAAGCTTCTCGATCGTTTGCACCGAAACATCAAGCATTTGTTTATTCATACGGCATTCTTCTGGATCATCCTGGCTTTCACGGTAGGCTAGTTCCTTCGTTAGTGTCCAGTGATCACAAATATCGTGTTGGGGAACCTCTACCAGCGAAGTAAATATGGCTGACCGTCTCCACTGAGGGAACCCTCTCGGAAAGGATGGCTTGCAAGGAGACAATATCTTCTACTAGAAGATCAATGCCCGATATTACCTGCAGTCCATTTTTGCCATCTTCGTAAGGCCATTTGGTATCATCGAGATTAAACGGACGGTTGGAAATCGCTGTGACTTTTCCAAATGCGCCGATCGCAGGGTAGCCGCACAGCAGTTGATTAACCAATGCCCAGCCATTGATTCCCGTACAGCCAAATACAATAGCATGTTTGTTCTGATTTTCTGTCATTATTGAAAGTATATATTTGGGCTGATTAGTTGCCGGGTATGTCGATTTTAATGTTGATATGGATATGGACAAGGGTAGAATGCTAGTAGGTAGGCAGACATTCTCGCTTGAAATACCTGTTTACTGGGAACGAATCTCCTTTTCTTACGTACTAGGCTAGACTTCAATTACAGACTAATAGGTACAATCTTCATGCAAGTAATCACAATATTTCAATAGATCGCATGCTGTATGTTTCATAATATGTACCGCAATAATCAATGCAGGGGATAGGAATGCAGGAGAGGCTGCCCGATGCGAACCGTCCACACGGACTATCCATTCATGAAATTAATTAATTCGTTGACTATCTCCGCTCCAATTAGCCCCAGACTTAGTGTGATACACACAGCCTAGACCATAAAAACGTTGGTGAAGACATCTATCAATTTCTAGAGCCCGCTGTGCTACAGAATCTGTATCAACACTTTCTCATTTCCATGGCGGCATTTTGGATGACATTATGAGCTTGTGTCCTCAGAATGTCCAAATCCATCACTCTCCAGGAGAGGATAGAATTAAGCAGGCAGGGCATCGGTATCAGCTAAATTACCAATTCCCGGATTGTCTTCGGGCGCTTATAGCCCGCATTCTCAAGTTCGTTTTTCCAGGCCTTGGCAGCTTTCACTAAGAATCCTGGCCGTTTCTGATCATCTGGAAGAGAAGCCAGGAAACCGCTTGATTTAGCTTCTTTTAAGTGCTTTTTGGTCACTGCTCTTAATACCACTAGTCCAATCGCAATATTAACCTCTAACTACACTAATGAAGCAGAGAAACGTATCCTATAGATAGAGAATGCATGTCAAGTCATAGTCAATTAGCCCTAGGCCCATACAAGTACCAGGGCGCAAGACTAGCGGTAATGGTGATCATTGGCACAACGATTATATTATTACTTTCATCAAAGGTAAGTCCTCCGAATCAGGTAAAAGAGACAGGCAAGCAACATTCCCAAAATCATTGAAGAAACTTTATAATCTATACAAATACCTAGGTATCTTTTTCTTTTCCTCGGGCCCTATTTTAGACAACTTCTCGTCCAGAGGTATACCAGGATCAAACGACTAGAGGATCCAGCCCCGCTAGTATTACTCCCTAAGAAGTGCTGCCAGCCTAGTCACCCGGGCATACAGAGCGGCAGAGAATGTTCATGCCCACCTGTCCGCAAAGTTGCACTCCTCCAGACTACATATTACTTGATTCACTTCTACACGTCGCCATTGCAGCCAGCACTCTCCCCAATTTGAATATTTTCGGAAGTGAATTTATCTGACTACTATATTGGATGGTATATGATCAACGCCAGGCCTCACACTGATATAATCCGCTCACTGCAGTTGACCACACTCGATAATCTGGACAGGTGCGCGAGGCTGACCCGAGTTAGATCCAAGAGATTCAATGCTCTTAACCAGCTCCATGTTTTGAATAACACGTCCAAAGACGACGTGGGCTCCATCGAGCCAGTCAGTCACGACGGTGGTGATGAAAAATTGAGAGCCGTTACTAATGAATATATCAGCATTATCCGCGAGGACCTCAGAAAGAATCATCCGACAACTTACGTGCCAGGACCGGCATTGGCCATAGAAAGAAGACCAGGAATCTCGTGCTTCAGCTGGAAGTTCTCGTCGGGGAATGTCTCGCCGTAGATGGAACGTCCACCAGTACCCTTTGAATGTCAATTAAGATCAATCATGATCCAATACAAAGGCACTAAACTTACATCGCCACGGGTGAAATCACCGCCCTGAAGCATAAACTGGGGGATCACGCGGTGGAAGCTGCTTCCCTTATATCCGAATCCACGCTCACCAGTGCAAAGAGCGCGGAAGTTCTCAGCAGTTCGGGGTGTGACGTCAGCGAAGAGCTCGAAAACAATGCGGCCCTGAGGGGCTACTGTGTATCAGTAAAGGCAATGTTTTGGATAGTTCTGAAATGATTCTTACCGCCGTTGACTGCGATGTCGAAGAAGACAATAGGGCGAGACATGGTTGTTGGATGATAAAGCTGGTTGATGGTTTGATAAACAGTTGTTTATCACAATCGAGTTTTATATGCGGGTCAGCGTGCGGGGAGTGGGATGGTTTCGGACTAAGGAAAATACGCGACTAGTACCGGATTAATGTCTTTGCTATTCTTTTGGCCTAGCGGTATTTCTATGATTTTCGGTCGACAGATGGGGTGGCATTACATCCACTCCACGAACCTGGTACATCCACTACTTTTTGATCTCCCAAAACTTCTTTTTTTGTTTGACGTATCTCCAATGCTTAAGTTGTGACAGCACTGAACGCAGACATAGCTTCAATAATTGTACTTTAAAATTTTAAAATGATTCTTTCTATTTATCTTCTGTGTTTTATTTGGTTTCTTTCGAATTTAAATTGATCGAAGAACCTTGGAAGCTGTTGCGGGGCAGCTAGCTAACCGAGTTTAAGATGACCTTAAACTTTCTAACTTTAAAAATTTCTTCGAATCTCCTAGTTCTTGACAGATACGGATTCTTAAAAGGTCTCTAAAGAATATAAACTGAATCTTAATATGTCGTAATTTTTTCGCCTTTCAAAACGATATTTAGGGGTTATCGATCTGACTGGAAGGTGTTGCTGTCGAAAGTACGAAGTAGTGGGTCTACCATATTGGTGCAGTGGGTGTAATGCCACCCCGACAGATAGGATGGATAATTCAGTTGAGGCCATGAAATGTTTTCTTTTGGTTTTCGCGGGCATCATCATTCAATCACTTTACTTTTTTTCATTAATCGCATCAGCACGTCAAGGCAATAAAGTGAGAGCATCCGGTCGCGATCACTGGCACTAGAATGGAGAGCGGCAAAAGTTGCTAGACATTATCCAATACTAGACTGCAGTGTATGCAAGGCGTAGCCGCATGTAACGCTCTCCATCTCCCCAGCCCCTAGTATACATTCCAGTCCTGGGAGCTCACAAAAACAATCCACGAAATCGTAGCAATTTATTTTCAAATTGACCATTTCATGCCTTGCAAAGGAGACATTGGGGCCCTCGATCTTCCCCCAATATTGAAGCAAAAAGCTTAAGCTATTTCAAATCCTGGGGTTACCCGTATCAACCCTCTTATCTTGCAGGAATTGAATACATAGCGTCAACCCCTTGCACCTCGCCCAGGCACGTGTATCCACTCGCTCACTCCAATCGGTTCTTGCCCCGAGGGAAAATACTTTTCAACCGACAACCTTGGTGAAGCAACAGCAAATGCCTGTCTCTCTTCAATGGCAGCATGGAGACTTCACCAGTCGACACGGATCAATCCCGGGTCCCTTCGATCCTAATTTGCAATATACTACTCATTATCGCTTCCACGGTTGCTGTATGTGTTCGTCTCTATGTACGAATACGATACGTGAGCATTGGATGGGATGACTACTTTTGCGTGGTCGGATGGGTAGGAAGTCCTCCCTTTTCTATGTGCAATATTTGGGTGATTGCTCCCCATGGTATTGACAAGGGTCTCTTGATTTTAGGTAGGGACATTTGTAGAGTGTCTCATGTGCGTCCTTAGTAAGTTGCAAGGAAGAACTTGAAACCAGGGGCCCGTGTGTTGTTTTTACTTATGCTCGACCTCCTAGTGACTCGATACGGGTACGGGCATCACATCGACACAATCCATGATGAGCGCAATATAGAAATGTTTCTCAAAGTGAGCATTGATTCTGCTACTTATATCGATCCAGCAATTGACCCTAGCAATCGACTAGCTGGACTTCGTCTCAGAACTGGCATATGTCGTTGCCATTTGTGCGATCAAGGCTTCCTTTTGCCTTTTCTACCTCAAGATCTTCCCTGGCAAATTCTTTAGGATACTTTGTTGCTGTGTTTTAGCAATTATTGTGGGCGAGTCCATTGCTGGATTTTTCATTGTTATTTTCCAATGTTCGCCGGTTGCGAAAGCCTGGGATGCTTCTGGTGACTTAGAAGGCCATTGCCTAGAGTTATTGACATTTTATTATGTCTCATTTGCAGTCCGGCTGGTGACAGATGTTGCTCTCCTCACGCTTCCCGTTCCCAAACTCTTACGACTCAAGACTTCGATTGGGAAAAAAGCAGGACTGATGGTGATGTTTGGACTTGGTGGCTTGTGAGTATTCTCATTGCTCGTCGACTTATTCCTTGGCTAATGGAGTTATAGGGTGACGGTGGCCAGTATCATTCGAGGGACATATTTGAGCAACTTTTCCACGGATCATACTTGTACGTTCAAGTTGCAACAGCTATTGGAGGTCAATATGTGGCTAACAGAATATCTTAGGGTCACTCGTCCAGACCCTCAATTGGTCATCTGCAGAGCTGGGAGTGGGCGTTTTCATTTCCTGCGTGCCTTCTTTTAAAGCGCTGGTAACCTTTCAATTCCCCAATATCCGATCATTACTAGGTCTTTCTAGTAGCCAGAGCTATCCTGGGAACCGTGAAAATTATAATTTATCTGACCGACGGGGGACTCCACGAGAGGCCTCTCGATCCTGGAGACGATCACACGGGGAGATAGCACTGGGCAAGCTTGTTCCCACCAAGCGGACGAAATCTGAGGTTGGGACTACGCAGAATGCCTCGAAAGAAGACATCAGCTCGCAACCATCGGACGAGATTCGGGTGACGACAAATGTGACTGTTGACCGAACTGAAAATTCTCCCTCGGGTCCAAGCTAGCCCTCTGGAAGATGACGGGCGAGTGAATTACTGGGTGAGACAATGCTAAAAAGCGATTTTATTGAAGTGTTTCCTGTATGATACATTTAGAGAATTGGCGCAGGCCAGGAGACATTTGATAATAGCAGGAGAAGTCACTAATGGTCATTCATGAGGCATATTCTAGAATGTGAGGCTGTCAGGTACAAGGAGAAAGAGATCAAAGTGTAGAAGAATGCAATGAAAGTAATAAGCATGAAGTAAGAGGAACTTGGAGGGGAAAGAGGACTCGGATGAGACGGCAATAGTACATACGGATATAAAGTGGGTACCTGAGGTGGGTGCCTGCCTCGGATCATTGGATGGACAGAGCAAACGCAGATACTCCCCATACCCGCATCAAACAAATACAAAAAGGCATCTAGGACAGAAAAGACACCTTTGATGGCAGAAAAGAAAAACTTATATGCTCGAGCCAGGCCTCTCATGATCAGAGCAAGCTCGATGATCTCGAAGTACCAGCACGTCAGGTCTAGGGAGGGTTCATCTCTTACGGGCCCAAAGGCACCCTTTAACAAACGTAGCCTGGTTTGAACCGTTGGAGGGTGAAATCGCACGCCTCTGCAACCCAGATACCTGCCGGAGGCTAGTTTCGAACCCAAGCGAGTTTCCTGCCATTAGCCTACAGGATGGACGGGCTAGTACCGTCTCGCTACCTCTAACCAAGTGAGCCATCTTACCGGGCTAACTCTACTTTGTTCAGTTCTGACTTGTAGCCTAGTGTTTTCGTCATTTCCTCTGGTTTAAAATTTCTGGATTGGTTTTCTCGTTATCCCCTGAGGCTTTCGCATTCTCACGTGGCTCTTCCAAGGGTTTTGTGACGGTTTCCCTTTTGGGAACCAATATACTTCCTGCATATTGATGAAATCAGAAGAAGCAAAACCACGTATTACAACGCAATCAATGTAGAACAAGTCACGCGATGTATACTTTCTTAAAATAGAAACTTTCTTCTTTGGATTTTTTTAGTCGAATCAGAGCTGATCACAAGCTTGTTCAAGATCGTAATTTCAACTGCGCGCTGGGGGGGGGCAGTGAACAGAGGGCTGACTAATGACGAATCTTCTTTGTATCCGTCTCTTTCCTTCCACGTATGCACGCAACTCTTGCCAGAACGTGGACCTCCTCTCTGCTGTGTCGTGACCAGCAAGGTGGCTTTTGTTCGTGTTGGCTTCAATCCGAAGAGTTCAGCTCGCAGATCCCGGTCTACCATGTGCCTGCGCTTCGCTCGGATCAGATAGCCGAGCCGACTTGCGCACCATTGACGATAAGCGGCCCCTCCCCCGTGCTCTGTGGAACCCCAGTTCGTCCCAGTCGAAGAGCGGAGCCTTTTCAACCCCCACCAATTGTCCCGAGTCCTGGACCCTTTTTTTTGTTCCGACGGGGTTCTGGGGGATGAAAAATGGTGTATGGCGGTAAGCCAAGCACTGGATGTCACCTGTGTCGTAAACGGAAGATCAAGGTAAAGCACAATGGATGGAGTCACGCTACATTTTTCCAATGATTGTTTGGCTCGATTCCCGACGCCTCCGCCGATTGAGAGAAGAACCCTCTTGACTGACGCATTCTAGTGTGATGAAGGTCGCCCCGGATGCCGCAACTGTGGTGTTTATGGCCGGCCTTGTCCAGGATACCGGCCAGATGCGGTCTTTCGCAACGAGACCAGGAAGACTGAGCGATTGGTTAGGAAGGATGTGAGCTCATCGTCAAGTGACAGCGACAGTCAACATACCACCACGCCAAGCTCCCCCACTGACCCTGGAGTCATTGACATCCGTCGCGGAAACCGGACTCAGGAGCACTCTCTAACGACGATTCAAATCGCGGATTCCACATGGGAACACCGCGCATTATGTTATTTCTTTGACCAATATACAATCTCTGCCGAGTTTGAAGATGGTATGAGCCATCTCGAGTATGTACCCAATTTATATGCACGCGCTCTTGAACTGAACGACCGTGACTGGAAGGCATCGTCCTCTTGCCTTCGCTATGCAGTGGATGCAACCTCTCTGATGACATTTGCCAATATTTCAAATGCGCCGCAATTTGCCATGAAGGCCCGTCAGGGGTACGGGAAGGCTCTGCGCAACCTACGAGATGCTTTGGCAGAACCCTCCACGGCGGTTCAAGATGATACCTTTGCGGCAGTCGTGCTCCTCTCGCTTTATGAGGATATAAGTGGTGAGCGGAATGGGCTGTATTCCTCACATACAGCGGGGTTCGAATTCTTGATGAAAATTCGGGGCGAGGGTCAGCTGGAATCCCAAATGGGTCGTGATATGTTTAACTTCGCCTTCACACATACTGTATGTCTCTTCGCAACCCCTGTTTTTCAAAAGCAGGATACTGATTTTCTTTTTGCTCCAGTTTGTTGAAATTCTCGCCTTGGGAGATAAACCAAGATACGATATTGACTGGGTGTTGTCTTTTCTAGACAGCAATGACCCAATTGAACGACTCATGCTCGCTGCGTCCAAAATCAGCTCATTGATGTCAGCAATAAACTCGTCCTCCAAACCACCGGATCAAGCGACCGTGGAATCTTGGATTTCCCTTGGGCGTGAATGTGATTTCGAGCTCTCGCAATGGACACTGCATCTGACTGAGCGCTGGCTGCCACTGGTTGTATACTCGTCACAGGGTGATGAACTGCTGACCTACAATCGCATCTCCACTGCCGTGGTCTGGAACTACTATCGGGCAGCACGGATTATGCTCCAACAGCTTCTACTCAATGTGAATCGAAGCTTGCTCGCGATTGTGAAGAGAAAAAGCAAGCGCGGTGCCTCTCCATTGATCCAGTCCCCATTGAATGAGGACAGCCTACGCGCAACTATTCAGGAAATCACAACAGACGTCTGTCGGAGTATCCCCTTCTCTTTGGGCGATGTGGATACCCTCGGCCGATCTATCCGGACGACAGATGGCAATTGGACCATACGTGCTGCCCAAGGCAATGGATTACTTTGGCCGATGTGGTACATACTTTCCTGCGGGATGCCTACGCCGGAACAAGTATTACAGATTCGGACTGTGTTTTCTCGTGTGGGATCTAAGCTCGGGATCAAGCTGGCGCTAACCCTCGATCGTGAGGCTGAGCGAATTCGAGGGGGTTCCGGTGCTACTGGTGCACCTGAATCTGCACCAGAATCTAGAGTCGGTTCTCGGTGAGATGGCCTCGGGGATAATATACCCAATGGAGGGGGTGTTGACTATCAAGTTCATCTGATGCATGAAGATAAATATCCTATTTAGCGGGCACAGGGATTACAGATGGGTAGGAGCTGGAGCTTCCGGGATTGCATGAATTGTACATATATAACTCTCAGGCTGTAACTATTAACTCCTCACTATTTGTGCTATATGCCCAGATGTCCGGGCAACCTAAGTACTGCTTTCTTATGCACTGTAGCTGTCATGACGTCATCACTATTGTGTTGTAGATGGAGGATATCACTCCACTGCTAGTACTAACTAGTAATACTACAGGACTGGACGCTCAATTATGCGATCTGCAATCATAAATTATGTACAATACTATGCACAGTGTGCACAGATCTAGGGCCGATAAGGCATCTGGGCATCACAGGCCCCTATAGGTCAAGGTACCTTGGAGCAATCAGGAAGTGCCGGGCTAGCCGTTCGCGTCGGTCTGAACGGCACCGCCCTGAATCGGGATGCATGAGTGTGACGCCATGGCCTTCGATTCTTGCTTTCTTTCTGCTGTCAGCTTCAAGTTCAATTTACTCTTCTGTTTATTCTTCTTCACCTCTCCACTCTTCATCATGGCCCTGGTCCAACCCGAACGCAAGCTTCCCTTTGGGAAGATCGAGCCGAACTCTGCCAAGTATTTCTATAGCTGCATGTTCGGCGGCATCATCGGTAAGCTGCGACTGTAGCCCCTCCCCCCAGATCGTGCATCAGCTAATCTCTTCTTCCAACGCAGCTTGTGGTATGCGGGCCTTCACTTCCCACTTTTCAAAGGAGATAATTTATATTCTTCTTTGAAATTGACATGCTCTAACCTTCTACAGGACCGACTCACACCGCAGTCACTCCACTCGACCTGGTCAAGTGCCGTCGCCAGGTCGATCCAAAGATCTACACCTCCAACATCTCCGCATGGCGATCAATCTTCGCCAAGGAGGGCCTCCGCGGCGTCTTCTTCGGATGGTCACCCACCTTCATAGGTTACTCTTTCCAGGGCGCCGGCAAGTATGGACTTTATGAGTACTTCAAGTACCTATACGGCGACCAGCTATTCCCAGACACCAATCGCACCCTAGTCTTCCTGGGCGCCAGCGCGTCCGCCGAATTCTTCGCCGACATGGCGCTGTGCCCGATGGAAGCCATCAAGGTCCGCATGCAGACCACCCTGCCGCCCTATGCGAATAACCTCCGCGAGGGCTGGAGTCGGATTGTCGCCAAGGAGGGATTCAGTGGTCTTTACAAGGGTCTTTATCCGTTGTGGGCGCGTCAGATCCCGTACACCATGACCAAGTTTGCGACCTTTGAGGAAACGGTCAAGATCATCTATAAGACCATGGGTAAGCCCAAGGAGAGCTATAACCAGTTGACTCAAACTGGGGTGAGCTTCCTGGGTGGTTACATCGCCGGTATCTTTTGCGCTGTTGTCAGTCATCCGGCCGATGTCATGGTTAGCAAGTTGAATGCCGATCGAAAAGGTGAGCCTCCTCCCCTTCTTTCACAGTTCTTTGTTGCGCTGGCTGACCATCTATTCATTAGCTGGTGAGGGTGCCATGACGGCGGTATCGCGAATCTACGGCAATATCGGATTCTCGGGGCTCTGGAATGGTCTGCCAGTCCGTATTGTGATGCTGGGCACATTGACAGGCTTCCAGTGGTTAATGTAAGTTGAATCTGTTTGTCGTGTGGGAATTGAAGCTCGTTGTACTGACCACTTGTGATCCAGTTATGACTCGTTCAAGGTATTCTTGGGTCTCCCAACCACCGGTGGACATTAGATAGAACATTTCATAGCATAGCTCGATTCGTGAAAGGTTGATAATAGTTCGGAAATGCAATAAATGAATAAATGCGAATCTAGAGTACGAAATGCAGAATAACGGCGAGAAAGTAGTAGCTATTCACCGCCCTGGTTATCTCGGCAGCACCAAAAGACTCCCGTGAGACTCGCCGGTGCAGCTGCGCCTGCACCACGTTAGGTTCCGCCTCCTCTGTCTTCTTCTCCTCGTTCCCCCCGATACCACCCCCCCCTTCATATACCCAATCCTACTCCCTCAGCCTTCCCTCCTCCCCTCCCCTTCTCTTCCCTCACTACACAACCCGAAATTCAATCCGAACCAACACAAGCACCCGCAGATCATCCAACAACGCGATACACCCGACCCCTTTCATCCATTTTTCCCACCAGAGTCACAGCTCCAATTCAAAATGGAAGCTCGCCCCCCGACAACCGGACCATCCTTGAACCCGCCCAGCGTGGAAATAGCCTACAAGCGCAAATGCATCGCCCTAAAGAAACGTCTCGCAGAGGTCGAGGCCGAGAACGAGCTCATGCGCACCCGCAACCGTCGCGGCTGGCAATATATTCAGAAAATGCGCCTCGAGTCCTGCATGCTGCTTGAGCGTCTTGCCAAAGTGACCGGTATGACCGAAGAAGCCCAAGCCGGCGGCGCGGACCCGGAATTACGGGCCCGGGCCGTGGCCATGATGTCGAATGCTGCTTCTATGAATGGACTGGGTGGTGCGTCGGGTCGCAATGGTCCTTCGCTCGAAGATGAGACTGAGGGAAGCTCAGACGAGCAGCCCCCGACTGTAAGTTTTCCCAATCCCAAGATCCCCGGCTTTTCTCTTTATCGATCTGCTCGGCCCTAGTTTTTGTTTCCTTGCTCTGTGATATCTCATACCTGCCGTCAACCCATTCATTCTAACGAGGTTATGGTTTTTCTTTTACAGCCCGAAGACCGTCCCTTGCGCATCAAGCGCTCCCGCAAGTCCAACGTCGCCGGCGAAGGCGAAGATGACGGCCAGCCCCAAGATAATGCCGCGGAATCCGCCGACCCCGCTGCGCTGCCCCGTCTTGCTCCCGCGCCCAGTCAACAGGATCTCACCTCGTCTTTCCGCGTGCAGGCCGGCAGTGGTGCCGAGGGCGACGAGACCCCCGCTGCGGCGAGTACACACAGCCAAGATAACCGTGAAGAAGGACAGAGTGAGCAGCCGGGCGAGAGTGCAGACCAAGGAGACTCCGGGACCACGCCTATGGATATGGATGCGAAAGAGCCGAAGATTGAAGGTTGAGCTGGGAAATAAGATATATCGTATCTTCCTCCTGTCGCCTTGCTTGGGGGGGGTTTTTCCCCCGCTTCTATCATTCGAATGTTTTCTTTTTCTTTTTCTGGGCTGGTTCTGGGGTTTTTCTTATATGGACCTCTGCTCGACATTCTTCATTATGTGTTGTGCTTGGTTTGGGTTTCTTTGCTTTGGTACAGCGATGGGTTTACGGTTCCTGAGGTCTTTTTTCGATACTCGGGTGGAGTATCTAAATCTAACTGCTCCGTTTATCGGGGTCAGATGTATTCTATTCTAATAGATGGAGTTATGATTAGCGTGAAAAATGAAGGAGCGCATTCATACAATCTAACAACCTTCTCTACGCATTCAATGGCCCTGCAACATAACTAAGATCTAAGCACTAGTCGTTTGAGGACTAGTAGGGTATAATGCTTGTTCTACTCGGAGGATCCGCGTGGTAGTAGGTACCTAGGTAGTAGGGTAGTAGTACTGGTAAAACTGGACGAGTATGCATTCAGACATGTATTTATTGACAGATAGCCCTGGTCCTGTAACTCTGAATGTGCAAGCTGCGCCATAACCTCATTCCTTGAAAGTAAAGCCAAATGACTACCAAAACTCCATACCAGGGAAACGGTCAAAAGGAAGAAATGATTAATTTATTGATGAGCTCACATCTTGTCCTCATGTACAGTCAAGTCAAGATGGGGCAGGATTCGCGCGATTGTGTCGTATGCTTGGTCGGAAAGGAAGGTAGATAGATGCTGCCGTTACAAGGTCCTGTGTTTGGTCGTGTGGATGGCAAATAGATATCTGATTAATGCAGACCTGAGAGTATATCTTCTCGGGGTAGCGCATGTCCGGAGTCATTGCTGATGCTGTATCACAGCGGCAAGGTGCATTGCGTAGTGTAATGTCGTACACGTCTGTTTGCGATCCATGCACATAGGTTTCTTCGAGGATTGACCTTGACTGTCAATTGAAATGGGAGGAATCCGGTTCTCTCTCCACGTCTCTGGCTGGTATTCATTTTCGGCTTTCTGGTACGGAAGATCTGTGATTCTTGCGCAGATAAGACCTTAATCGACTCCAGCGTAGAGATCGACAACGATGTTAAGAACGGCGACGAGAATCTCAGCGCCGATGAGAACGATGACTGAAATAGAAGTTAGTTGGCTCTAGTAGACTTGTTTAATTCGTACGTACCAATCCATTCTAGGTATTCTCCGTGGCGATGTGTCAATTGATCTTTAAGCACGGCGAGAAGATCTGCAATGACATCCAGACGCTCGGTGAGTAAGCTGACTCGCTGATCCATCTCCAGATAACTTCGAACAGCTTGGTAGACAGGCTCGAGCTGGGGTTCCGCCCAGAAAAGCTCCGGGCTGTCGAGAACGGATCCTTGCAAATGAATATTGATTCGAAGGATGAAAAGCTCGCCAATTTGCATGTTGATTTGCCGACGAGTCAGGTTGACGCTACCCGTTTGCGCGATCTGAGCTGGCAGGGGAGCCGTATCGGATATAGTTTCAGAAACAAGGTCCTCGAACAGAGAGGTTTTCACCGATTGCGCAAGAGCATGCGAAATGGCCAACTTAATCATATGGTTGCGCGGGTCCCGGAGCGAGATGAAATCGTTGTATATGCGTGCCTGGTATTCGCGCGCGTAGTAGAAGTTGAAATTCTCAATCTGCGTATCATCCTGACTTAATATGGATGAGGCAAACTTGGAGATATCGGATAAGAAACGGGATTCTTGCGCAGGGCTCATTCCCCATATGACAACTGTACCGTAGTCGAACAGAAATATCTCGGGGGTATGAATGGTTGTGTCAATATCGAAGTTTTCATCCGATTGCGGTGCTGATACTGCGTGTTCTGAATTGACATCGACTGGGTGGCCTGTTTCGTCGCGAAAGTCGATCAGGTCTTCTCGTCGTGTCTTGGTGTTGTCCTCCACTTCTACCGCACTGTCCGAATATCTTCGCTCGCTTGTGCGCCGTTCATGGTGTCCATTGTTTCCTCCAACAGGGAAGAGCCGGCCTCCCTTCTGCTTTTCTTCGAATTGATAGTCGAATGGGGAATAAACGCACTCGTCGAACAGCTTGGGATTCGCCCCACGAGACTTAGCGCGGGACTTCAAGAACTTGATGACACCTTCCAGGCGGTATGAGTTGGCAGTGCAGTATGCAGTAACTCGGGGAATACGATCACGGTCGGCTTTGCCTGAGACGTGCAGCATGGCTCCGAGCGGCGGGTTCCTTGATGCGCGTGATTTGCGAATAGACATCGCGGGGAAAGTCACCATCTTCCTCTTCGGCTGTAACTGGGTCAGGGAGCAACTTGAGCTTTTGCGCTTTCTTCGTGGTACGTTGCGGGCCAATCTTAGAGCCTGCGGGCGTGTTCGGTGCAGTGAGGGGGGCGCCATAACTATTGCGACGACGAAGTTTGCTGTTCAACGCGGAGAGCATCGGCTGGCCCCCAACACGAGGGTGTCCGCCCTGTGCATTGACATTCTGGACTGGAGGCGAACCAGTCTGTAGAGGTCGGAAGGTCGGATCGGAGTGGGTGGTTCCGCCGTAGGTGCTGATTGTCGTCAACGGATTGAAGGTCACCTGCCGCGCGGCGCGAGTTGCCCGTGGCGAGGGAGGATTCTGCTGAGGCAGTAACGGCGAATCTTCTGATGTAGATGCCATTGTGAACAGGCAAACTCCGCCAGGGAGGAGGAAATGAGGGAATTGGAGAGTTGAAGCTGCGAAAAGTCGAGCTTCCAAGGTCGGAGCTGCACGTGCTCCACTTTAGTCATCGCAGTGGATCCAAACGACGTTGACGATGTGCATACTACTAAAGTTACCGCTACATTACTCGACAATATACAAAGTAAGCACAAGATATCCATATGCCAGTTCAACGTTCAGCTCACTACGACTAATTCAATTTCCTCGGTAGTTCTCATGACCGACCAGAATTATCAGTACACGTCCAAGCAGCGGAGCCACCAGAAGCTTTGTAGTCGTCTATTATACCAACAACAGCACCATAAGAGCCTGCTATGGTCAAGAACGTCCCAGTAACGATTATAAGAATGACCCAGGCGAAAGAAACCTTCCACATCGTGGTTCGACTTTTACGCCAATTGTCATGAAGCCACATGAAACCCATAGGTTGCATAGACATGAGCGTTCCACCAAAAGCACCAACAAGGGCCACAAGGCCACTCAGAATGGGAATGGCGCTTGCAATGATATATCCAAGGATTGCGTTTCCTGCAGTGCAAGAGATCCAGACTGCCCAATGGGTTGGTGTATTTTGGCTCAAGTGCCGAGAGCCGCGCATAAAGCGCAGAAAAAGATACTTTGCCGTAAACTGTAACTGAAGTTAGCCAGATCATACTAGTAATAGACATAATATTCCACAAGAGGAGTATCCTACATGAACAAACATAGCCGAGCTGACAACCAATCCCGGCAAGGCTATTCCATAGCAGATCTTTTTCATTATTACGCCGGCTGAGCCAAGAGCTGGACTTGAAACATAAGACCCACAATAATAATATACCACACAGCCAAGTGTGATATATAGGGCGATCATGAACGACTGGCAGGTCAGAACAGCTCGTGTATACATGCGAGGATCACGCATCTCAGACACGATATTGAAGAAGGCCGGGGTTCCAGCAAAAGAAAAAACAATGGTCGAGACTGCGGCGAAAGCTTCTTGAGGTGCCGGGTTTGTGAAAAGCACAAAATCTGACTTCCACGGGGCGATAGTTTCAGGTGCAGAAGCAGGGCGCTCTTGAACGCCGACAGATACTGTCAGTACTAGTACTGAAGCTAGTTATCAGCAATGTATTCATTATATATGAGTTATCGAATACCAACCTGAGGTAACTATACTAGTTATTCCAACCCAGGCAAGCCAGGAAATCCGCCCAAGGGTTCGTATACTACCAAAGCCAAATCCGATAATCGCGGCCATTGCGACGAATATAGCAGTACAAGCACCATGAGAAGATATTGCATTTAGACAGGTCGAAAGGGCTATAAATGACGCACTTGCAGTGAGTACCCAATCTTCTCCTGTCAGTGACATTATTATAATATGAACGTTAACACTTACAAATCACAAATAGCCATCCAAAAAACTCATAGCCAAACCTTCCCAAGAGGTTGCGGCCGACATCTTCGATACCATAGACATTTGGATGGCGCATTTTATAGACACCAACCATGTAGTTGGACCAGGTTATCATGGAACCAATTACCAGGACACAGATAACCCCCGTTATAAGGCCTAGGGTTTCAAAGACTGACGGGATTGCCAGGACGCCTAAACCAATTTGCGTCTTCAGCATTACCACGACTGTTCCTTTCCAACCCAGCTAAGATCGTAAGCGACTGATGTTTTAGTCATGACATTCACATACAGCACGATAGTTAGGGCCATCTTCCGTAATTTCTCCGAAAACCTCATCATGAATGGTGTGTTTCAATCTTCCCTCTAATACAGAAGGTGTGGGCTGAATATCGCCCTCGTTATTTTCCTTCTTTTGCGAGTCTTGCGGCATTATTGAGACTTGTAAAAGGGTATATGTTCGAGCAGTTGGGTCAATATGTGTTACTAGAAGCGCACAATTTCTCGAAGTGTAAACACAAAAACACCGTAGGGCATAGGGGAGGGGACGTCTATTTATGGGGCTGCAAACCAAGGCTTTATTTTAAGTTACAGCGGAGTTGAGTAGCGTCAAGTAATAATTATCAAGAAGCCGGTTATTTTTCCACAGAAACCGCACAGCTCTCTCATCTCCAAACACGATATCTTGATAGCGCAAGATTGATTCTCGCTTGGTGTCCACTCCTAGGTATCGTTTCATCTTATCATCGGAATGCCTGCCCGACTTTTCAATTTGGCATACGCTCGCCGGTGCTCAAGTCGGCGTAGCCGCAATTAGGTTTCATGCTTCTCCATTCCTAGAAATACGTGGAGTGCAGATTACTCCGTACATCATTTACGAATGTCAAACCTCGGGCTTCCAATTCGGGTATCCAGCTAATGAAGGAGACGGGGAGGGTCTTCCGCCACTTGCCCCCGTGGTGAAACGCAGCTCGAGGAATATTACTGGTGTTTTAAGCAGCACTAATCGGGCTCTTCACTATCGCGAATATTTCTTGCGATGGTAACTTGAAGGAATCGTGTCGACTGAAGCCGCATCCATACGAAGCGCATGAAAATTTCCTCGCCACTAGGGCAGCATTCTCAAAATTGCCTATCAAAAAGGTCCTGTCAGTATGAAAGTTTCTTGGTATCAAGAAATACACAGGCAGGCTCCTGCTAGCACTTGACGGACCCTTGATCGATTTACCAGTTGAGTCGTCAGTTGTGACATGCCCGCCAGTGATTTGAATCACATCCTTACTATGTTTCTCCGGTTGAGTTATATCGATTGACGCGAATCAGTTTTGGATCTAGCGGAATAACCGATATAGATCTTCAGAGCGCTTTATGGGAGAAAATTACTTATTGCCTGATGGATTTCCTCTTCCGTATGCAGTACCGTGGAATACAAGCTCTCGAAGTGTGTGCTCGCTATGCGGATGATTTTTGAGGCCAATTGCACTGGTAAAGATGATCTATTTCAATGGTTGAATAAGACTATTCCTGTCGAAGATCATAGCGTCATGGGAATTCGTCGGTCCTCTATGAAGGAGTTAAACATACCGAAAGTAAAGTGTTCCCTATATGCAGGTAAGATACCCCAATTCTTCCATCGACAATTAGCCCCGACTATTTTTGATGATCGGGACGGGTCCTGTAGCCGACTTTTCAGATATACGAATATCCTTGGACTCCAAAAGCGGCAGCCAAGCAGACAAACTATGAGGGGAAGCTACCCCGCTTTGGAGGAATCGCCGGAGAGAGTTTTGATGGTTATTGGATATAATTTACCGTCATATCGGGTCTGGTTTGCCTACTATACCCTTCTGGCTGCCTATAGCTGCGCTGGTAAAATTCACTTCGAGTTTCTCCGTTTCCTCGAAGGCCTGCTTGTCGTTGCAGCACAGAGCCGGATTTGAATGGATTTTTGAGCAGCGAATCACTGGAATCGGCGGACAATCAATCCTAGAAGGCTTCTTGTTAATGAATAGTAGCAGCATGTTACCCCTTCACGGTTCTATATCAAATATAGTACCCATTACCCTTGCTAGATTATTGCCCATTATAGCAAAAATATGAAGCTTTTGACTACTAGTATGTAATAGGGGATACAATATTACTACTGTGCAGGGCTATCTATACCAAAAATACTACTAGTAGTAGAAGCGATTTTCACCTACCTATTTCATAGCTCAAAGGCTATTTCCTCTCTCAGACAGCACTTAAACTCCTATGCTATACATGCCCTTGATCTTTTAGATATGTAGTCTTGGGAAGTGGATCCAGAGAAGTGAGTTGAGCTACTAACCTTTACCTTATGGCTACCCGTGAACAAATTAGTAATACAAGTGCATTACGCTGTATCGACTCCACATCCAATTCATACGATGCTATCTCACACATTGTTGGTCGTCGGTTTCAATGATTGACCCACTTTGATAAGTTAGGATTTCACGGCTAGTCCTTTTGGGGTTTTTAAGAGCCGCGCTTATCAGGAGGAACCCAAATAGTTGTCGAACGACCTTCAATGGGTCATTGAGTTACGAATGTTCGGTTATGTGCCCCGACAGAAGAGCATCTGGTTGATCTCTCCAGACCTCGTCTCTCGGCATCTCACACCGACAGTAGTAGCAATGATTTGTCTCGTTAATTATAAATATACTCAACCAAATGGCAGATTTCAAGATGAGCTGTATTTTCTTACGAACTCGAATGTGGTGCCAACAGAATCGACCCATCCAAGGAAGTTCATCTGAAAAACAGTGGTAACATTTCTCCCATTTACCTGGTACTAGTAATAATCACTAACGATGCTCAATAGGCCAACATGCAAATCACCGAAGTCACGGTCTTTACCTACAAAGCCAACTATAACTATGGCACCTACACCATGTCCGGTGGCCGAGTCAATGATGGAGAACCGTCTCTCGTGATTCGTATTCGCACTGATAGTGGCATCGAAGGCTGGGCAGAGAATGCCCCCTTGGGTAGCGATTACTTGCCAAGCTCTTTCACTGGAGAGCTTGCCGCTTTGAAGGAACTCTCACCGAAGATTTTGGGTCTTGATCCAAGATCGCCTGCCAGTGTTGCCGCAGTCTTGGACCGCCATATGCTTTCAGGACTCGCTGCAAAGTCAATTATCGACATGGCTTGCTGGGATATTTTGGGGAAATCTGTTGGATTGCCAACTCATGTCCTGCTTGGTGGAAATCTTGCAAAGGAAGTCCCCGCCTTCTGTGTGATTGGATTTGGTGATCCAGCTTCCGCTGTGAAGAAGGCAAAGGCTGAAGCTGCGAAAGGTGTGATTGCCATGCAGCTTAAGGTTGGAGATGATCCCTTGGAGGATGCTTGCCGTATTCGTGCTATCTACGAGGCTCTACCTAAAAATGTTAGGTTGTTTCCAGATGCCAATACTGGTTGGAATATCGAACAGGCTGTGACTTATTGTCGTGCTTTGGGACAAGACATAACTATTCCCCTGGAACAGCCGTGTCGAACTTTGGCGGATTCGGCAGAAGTAGGCCGGCGCACTGGCGTACCTATCATTGCTGATGAGTGTATATTCACTGTTGCAGATCTTGTCGCCGCTCAAAGGCAGGAATTACTGGTGTCAACATCAAACTTTCTCGCGTGGGCGGTTTTACGAAGGCCAGGATTCTCCGTGATACCGCGGTTGCCCTTGATATGATGGTCACCGTTGATGATACTTGGGGCTGTGCTTTGACAACCGCACAGAATACCCAGCTTGCTGCATCAACCCGCCCCGATCGGCTTCGTGCAGTGGATATATATACTGAATGGACCAACCCTATGATTGCGGATGTGGCTCGGATGCAGCCAAATGGATTTGTGGTTCCTGATGATCTTCCTGGCAACGGATTTGGTACCATCAACCAAGACATCCTGGGAGAGCCTTTATTCACAATTGTTGCTTAGTCGCAATCTTCTTCAAGTGAGACGAAGTGCAACCATAAACTTGAATTCAATGATATATGAAAGCCAAAAACAGAATGCAATGTCCGATTTGGTGTATCCCGACTACGTCCTTTCCTTTTCTTTTCTACAGCAACTTGAATATTCGCTATTGGCCTCCATGTGTAACAAACCAGATGGTCATTGCAGTATAGAGAGTACTATATTTTACTAGCTACTCATCAATACGTCTTTTTGCCGGTATGATATTACCATAGTGCTATTCCGAAACAAAATGCAGGTACGTACTTAGACAGTAATACAGCCCGAAATGATCATAATGGATAGAATGTACCGATGACTATAGTCGACTATCGCAAGCACGAATTATGCAAAGACTATTCACAAAGCAGGCCATCACCAGGCCATATGAAGATGGTTCGTTAGATATCTATACAAATTGGAAACTTCAGTCATTTTCACCGCCGGACAAAACCTGATGGTCCACCCGCTGTCCTCCGCAGCCCATTGACCTTGCCGGAGCTCTGGTCTCTCTTCATCCAGTTGTTCTTGACATTACGGCCGGCTTTGGAGGCCTTTGGTGCCAGCACGGGCTTGGAGCCGGACTTTGATGAGGGCGCATCCAATACTCGGATCGTAACATCTCCCACGTGCATGTCCTTCGGGGCTCTCTCGCTCTTCTCCAAAAATCTCAACTTGCTGGATTTCTTTGGTACTGCAAATGAGTCTTCGGCAGGTGGTGTGAGCGGTCGCTCTGCGGGTTCGGCATTCAGAATGTCATCGGGAAGCAGAGCGGGGAGAGCAGCGCGCCGTGCGTCTTGTGTGATCGATCCTTGGAGGGTAGTCGTGCTTTCGGACAGCAGATCATCGATGGGAGAGATCTCCTTGGTCTTCGTAGATTTGGCTTGAACTTTTCGGCGTTCGTCTAATTTCCTTCGCTTTTCTCTCTTCGCTTGTTCCTCTCTGTGGGGAAATGTTAGGCGATTTCACATGTACTATTTACCGGCAAGGCTAACATGATACTTACTGTTGCTTGATTTTTTCTTGTCGCTTGGCCTGTTCCTTGATCTTCAAAAGTTGGGCGGAGTTATCGATCGTCTCCGGTGCATCATCGTCGCTGTCGCTGTCGCTGTCGTCTTCATCGTTATTGGAGACGTTCGTGGTCGATTGAGGTAGAGGCTCCTCAGGCATGTCGGGCTCTTCACTGTCAAAGCGGCGATGACCTTTCGGCGCAGATTCTGTTGGCTTCGAGCTGACTTCGTCCTGCTTGCCATTCTTTTCGAGGGTATCGTTGGTCGCTTCAGCAGCTTCGATGCTATCCCGCTTCCTCCGCTTGGTCTGCTTTTGGTCGGGTTTCTCTGTGTTGGCGCCCTGCGCCTTTCTCTTGCCGCCCTTGGCGATACCGTTGGTAACGGGTTCCTCTGCAGATTGCTCGGGCTTGACAACCCGTTGACGAGTGGCGGTCACCATTTTCGAAGTAGTCGGGGCGCTGCTGCTAGCAGGATCTGGGGATGTCTCTTCAGAATCTGGTCGCGTGAAAAGACCCTTGGCGGCGGTGACAAATTGAGAGAACATAGAGGCCAAGATTGAAAGCCAATCCGAGGGATGTTAAATCACTGCGCAGAGAGCTGCCGAGTGATGCGCGGCACCAAAAAAAATCCCTCGGCGGAAGGATTTCCCGGAGGCTTGGCGCGGTGTGGGTCCAATCTATACATTCACTCCATTCACTCAAGAAAAGAAGTAAAACATACAAAAAGAACGCATTGGACGAGCCGAGTAAGACTCTAGAAAATGTAGTACACAGGTTCTCTTGGCCCTCCAAAATGTAGCCCTAGAAACCGATTGGCTACACATTTCTGTACTTATCATAGGAACAGAATACTTTCTTTATGGGGGTTTTACGCTTGGCTGGTGAACCACAGGGTGGTCCAGTCATGAAGTTGGATAGAACGTTCACATTTTTATGTACGCAAGTATGGATAACTCCTCCTCAATGCTAAAAAATAAGGTATCTTAATAATAAACGAAGCAAGCACAACGCCGGAGCTTAATGCTTTCCCATATCTGCAGTCCTGACGCCAGAGAAGAAGATTGAAAATAAATCAAGCAGACCATATGTCGTAGAAATCATGACCATAACGAGATCAGTTATCCTCGGCGGCAAATCGTCTCAGCATCTCAGCATCTCAGCCTCGTGTTGATCGGCACAGAGCTGGCGCTCTGCAGCTTCCTCTGCAGCGTTTCTGTAATCATCCGAACCGATCTCACTCACTTCGTCCAGAATTTTCTGCCATTCCTTCTCGTCGTCTCCTTCCGTGGCCCACATACTTTCCCGCAGTCGCTTGTTGCGCTCTCGGTCCTCTTCAATGCGCTGTTCAATCTGCCGTTTGTCGAGACGCATCCCGGACGCCTTGGGGTTGCGCGGGGTTCCGGTCTTGGATCTCACGCTATCCTCTGGTCCGTCATCTTCCTCGTCCTCGAGATCAAGGTGTGAGGGGTGCGTGTCGCGGTCTTTGAGAGCTGCATCGATTTCGGTGACGGTTTCGACGGACAGTATTCCCTTGCCTTGCATGCTGTCAAGGACGAGACGGACATGCTTGACGTTGGCAGCTCCTGTTCCATCGGGTGGGACGACTGCATCCACCACTCTGAGAATGTCGCGCTGCATCATGCGGACGTAGGGAAGGTGGTCTTCTTTGGTGGCCATTTCACAAAAGTGTTCGATGAAAGACATGATGTTTGCGCGGTTGTTCATATTGTTCTGTGACGTGAATCATTAATACCATAGCAGGTGCAATGGAAGGCCGAAGGCGTTCTTACTCTCTCGATTTGCTCTAGGATGCAGGAATGAAGATCCTCGTCCAGATCACGGTATTTGAGTGCATAATGCGCTGCCTTTTGCGAAGACGTGACAGATGCGCTGAGATGCTGAAGCTGTGTTGTGAAGCGCATACGCACTTCAAATGGATCGACCATCATCTTGGCGGTTGAATCTTGAGAAAGGCCCAATGATGCGGACGAGCTCCGAGCTTGACGCGGCATTCTGTCGGCGGTGCTGCGTGGCAGAATATGACGGAACTTATGGTATAGGTGGGGTAACAAATGTTTGGATGGCCAGTTTGCTTATAAAATATTCTGCTGACGGAAAACTTCATGATAACCAATACAATCCCATATTATACACTAAATAGTATACTAATTCAAGATAGAAAAAGTTATCAGTTAATATAATTATCTATTACTAGTTTCTATCTACTATTTTGATAACCTACTCTATATATTTATGTGGTGTACAAGCACATGATGGTGTAGGCGGTCAGACTACACCCCCTAGGGGTATATGCAAACTTTTGTTAAGCCGCTGGAAATCAGATCGACAGGTGCCAATGGAAATTCGCAAGGATACCTAGGTACTTGCTGTAAAAGGTGAGTAGATCTGGCTTTGGTTCTGTGGCGCGTTTCAAGTCTTTGACGGGTTGTCAAAAGTGGGTGCCAGTGGTTCAGAGAACTTGAAACTGGAGTCACGGAGTGCCCAGGTAGTACTAGTAGTACCAGTCCACGGGTGGTTTTGAAGATATATTGAATAGTAGTACTACTAGTAGTATTAGTAGCGCCTAGGTGGGCACAGCCCTGGAGGGCTCCAGGGCTGACGTAATACTATCCAAATCTCTAGCAAGTTTGAGGTATATTCATGAAAATGGACAGTAAATCGCTAGTTATAGTTCTAGCAAGTGTCATGATATCTTCGAAAGAAAAAAAAACGCCTCGAAAATTGCAGCAGCAGCGTATGGGCTTGATGCGCAAAAGAATAATCACAATGAATCCCGCCGTATGTTACTGCTGATACTATCTCTTTCCCCGCCGTGAAGTAGTCCTTCCTCTTCAGTGCCGTGATGATCTTCGTCGAAATGATCGCCTCGAAGAGCCTCCTGGCGCCGAAACTCCACACCACTGAGCACCGACCAGACATCTTTCTTCGTCAGTAAGCCCTGGAGAATACCCTTGTTTGCGAAGAGCACGTAGCGGAGACCGAGGCGTTGGAACATTCGCAACACGATCAAGAAGCTAATATTGCTGTTGAGGGTGATAGGAGTTTGATCCATCCATGGCCGAAGATCCAGCGTTTCGACAGGATCAGCAAATGGTTGGTGGACGAAGAAGACCTGGGTTTCGCCGGTGAGGCTCCTGTTTGTAGGCGATGTTGAATATCCCAGGGCATATGAAAGTTCGTTCCGTGTGATATACCCGAGCAAAGTTGGAGTTGATGTCTCTGAGATTACAGGAAAGCCTCGGTAGGTGGTGTTGGTCAAAAGAGCTCGAAGCGAATCGATGGTATGGCCTGTAGCTGTAATCACCGAAATGTCGTCGACAGTGGCCATGACCCGGAGAGCAGGTACGTCCGGGGGATTAGTGTCATCCCGGTGGTCAAGGAAGGGGTATTCATTGAGTTGAATCCACGATTCGTAGATGCCACGTTTGCCGAAGATGTCGCCGCACCATTTTGACAACATCACTGCAATCATGATTGGAATGACGTAAGTCAAGGCTCCCGTCAACTCAAACATGATGACCACGATCGAAAGGGTCATCCGAGTCGCACCACCTAGGGCAGAAGCAGCACCGATGATAGCGTATAAGCCAGGCGTCACGCACGGTATGTCAGGCTCGCACTTGGCAAAGAGCAAGGCCTTTGGATAGGCTTCTTGCAGCATGCGAACCAGAATACCCAATGCACGCCCATACATTGCACCAATAGCCACCGAGGGCAAAATAATACCGGCTGGGATATCGAGTCCGAAGGTCAGAGAGGCGAGAAAAAAATGCCAGAACAGCGGCCACTAGAAGAAGAGCGACAACACCAAGCGCCGACTTAGTTCCGGTAACGCAGAGACCAAATCTATCAGTTGTGTCACTGTTACACTCAGCAAATAGGGATTGGACCAGTTCCGAGTTCTGAGCTCGCATGAAGTGGTTCGGGAAGTTGATGAGAGCAGTTAGAAGTGCCACCACCGCAACTTCAATGACCGGCCTTGAAGAAGTTCGAGATCGCCGCCATTTGGCCACTTTAACATTCAGACGGATGAGGAACGCTCCAAAGAGACCACCCACAATACCAAGTATGATGAATGGGATGACTTCAAAACGGTGCCAGCCTCGGGTATAGGTGACTTGGTAGAGCACGATTTTGCCTGTTCGAAAAGGGTTCAAAGCTTGTAGTGTGACGGCAGCAACCATGGCGCAAACAAAGCTTTGCCACATGGTTTTGTCCGGGAAGTAGTATGAAAGTTGCTAATATCGTTAGATAAGAAAGAAGTAAGGAATAAGACTGCAGATATCCAAGAATTATCATACCTCCAAGCTGAAAAGCACGCCTCCGATGGGGGCACCGAATGCAACTGAGATACCTGCAGCGGCGGCTGCAGAAAGAACTTCACGTTTTCGGGCTGAAAAGTCAGTTTTAGTGACATGGTATGGAGCTTGGAAATCAAACCTTCGTTCCCGTTGAGACTATCAAAAGGTTTCATCATAATATTCGCGCAGCAGCATGCAACATGAACCAGGGGGCCTTCTTTTCCGAGCCATAGGCCGGATGCGACAGATAAACACTAATTAATTTTTGTGAGAAAATAGCATAATATCACCTCAAGAGCAACATACCAGTCCAAGTGACTTAATGGCCAAGGTCCAAGGACCCATAAAATGCCGGATAACAGTGCCTCCGAGAATAGTCTTGATTTCAGGGATTCCACTATGCCTGGCGTAAATGGCAAATCTACGAACCAGGATGCACGCGCAGAAAGCGAATACCACCTATTATGTGTTATTAACAGACCAAGGCAAAACAAAAGGAACATGAGGTTCTCACGGAAAACAAGATATAGAAGATATACTCAACAGCGTATTGCCCTCCCTTAGAGGACGCTCCTAATGCAGTCCCCCATGGCGTCCAATCTAAGCATTTGGAATAATCTGTTGAACGAGAGAATGTCATGAGCGACAGAAACCTCGAAGTTGCAAACTACCCAAAATACGACTTACCGTCCAGACCCCAGCAGCAAAAGCTCCGGTTCAAATAAAACCTGCCACCTCCTTTTCCGCGCTTGCAATAACCAGTTTTAAGATCCCCTAGCCAGTCTGTCGCAATATCAATGGACGCGGCAATGATTCCGACTGCAATACCAGTTGCAACCAAAACCAGCCACACATTGCTGGCATCGAGAAGGCGACGGAAATGACCCAAGATACCCTGTCCACTGGAATATAGCAGTCGTTTTCGTTGACGTTCTTTGGTGTATTCATAGATCCAATCGATTGCTGAGAAGTCGTCGTAACCAACGCGGCGACCGGGACCTTCCACATACCAATCCGAGGGTACACCGTCTTTTGAGGAATTGGGATCGGTATTTGGACCCAATGGTCCATATGTATCTAACGGCGAAGCATCTCCATTCTGTCCACCTTGGGTCCCTGTCGCGGAGAAGCCGAATGGTGTATTGCCTGAACCGCCCGCGGTATTCAAGAACAGATTCGACAAACTAAATCGCGATTGTCTCGTTTTTTTAGGTTTGAAAGATATTCTATTCAAAGTCCAGTATTAGCGGAATGGTCAGCAAACCTGGAAATGGTGGCTACTCACGGTTCATTAAGTCCCTCCGCGCCGCGATTAGCTTCTGGAGACTCATTGAACCCGAATTCGTCTTGCGGATCAGTGTATGCCGCTAAGGGATCATCGGCGTTGCTGGAGCCCTGACCAGTCATTGACATCGTGAATCATCAATGCCTCCAAGAGCTAGCATCTCCAGATGCGAAGATATTTAGACAAGATGGCCAGATGGTGTAAGATGGACCTGGAGCTGCGCAAGCTCCCCGGCCCCCGCTTAGTCACGGGCCCAAAACCAAAAGTAGGCCCCAAGGCGGTCTGAGGCAAGCGGGAGCAGAGCAGTGTGGGGCGGCGTGTTCACTACTGGCAGAAAAAAAAAAGGTCGCGAGTCTTTCTTTTCTTGACATCGAAGAGCTCCTCTAGAATTCGGGCACAACATGGACGATCTGCCCGTCTACGAGAGGACTCTATCTGTACCTCAGTTGCTCGAGCAGCTGCCGAGCGAGATCTCAAGTCTTGTTCGGTCTGCTTCGGGCAACCAGTACTTACATGCGCTTGCGCTTGGCGCATTAAACACGACACTCACAGAAAGCGTTTTCAGGATTTATGAGCCAGTGGTGGTGGATTTGGCTGCGAGATGGCTGCGATCCGATATCAGTACCGACTACATTCACGTTCTCTCGGCTTTCGCACGGATTCTTCCCTTCGCGCCGTATCTACGACCCTTTGCAAGCCAATATGCTCTGTCACCAACGGGGCCTCAGTCGGCTCTGACTGACTCCAAGGAACTCACAATTCGTCAATTGGACACAAATAGCACCAGAAATTTGCTTCTCACCCTTTTCCGACTTCTTTCATTCGACTTGGAGACATTTTCAAAGGCCGTATCCCCGATCCAGCTCCAATCCCTCTTCCCACACCAAGATCCGGTTGTCCGATATCTCGCCGTACGATGCTTTGCCTTATATATGCATGCCGCCGATGCAGCTATCGAAAACATGCTGCGTGTCAATACTGGCACCGACCCAATTGAAGGAGAATGGGAAGGAATCACAATTGACTATCGCCTTTTGGGTTTGTGGGAGGAACGTCGGTGGGCATCTCTCGAAAGCTCTATCCGGGAAACCCGGGCGTTAAGATCCGATGGCGATGCCTTGAAACTTATTGAGAATACCCGTGATTTCTTCACTAGCCGATCTGCTGATATATCCGGTGTTTTAATCCCACGCCTGAAAGATGCACACCCGTCTCCTTCTTCCGTTGTCGAGACTCCCACGGCAACTGCCAACCTGCGTCGGATCGCGACATCTCTCCTTGGATTTAAGCCTATCCTCTTGGTTGGCTTGCCCAATGCAGGCAAGACCACGCTTATCGATCATATCGCAGCTAAGATGGGCCAGTCAGAGTCAATGGTCACTTTGCATCTCAACGAACAAACAGATGCGAAGAGTCTACTTGGAATGTACGCCACATCTTCCGCATCAGGTTCCTTTTCATGGCAGCCAGGTGTCTTGACAAAGGCTGCGAGAGAGGGCCGCTGGCTCTTGATTGAGGATTTGGATCGTGCTCCGTCTGAAGTGCTTGGCCTCATCCTTCCAATCATCGAAAGAGGCGAGTTGACAATCGCCAGCCGAAGGGAGCGGATTAAGTGCGCAGAAGGCTTCAAAATCATCGCAACGATGAAGTCTTCCTACAATATTGCCGGAGAGGAAATTGCACCCACTACCTCCATGCTTGGCAACCGGCTATGGCAAAGAGTTCCGGTCACCTCTCTACCCGTTGAAGAGATGCGGGATGTAATCTTGCAAAAGTTCAGCCTCCTCGAGTCTCGAGTTCCAACTATCATGAACGTCTATGGTAAGATCTGTGCGGCATTCCACGGTAGTCTGGCCATCAAAGGGTCTCAGGGACGTACTCCTGGCTTCCGTGACTTGATCAAGCTTTGCAGTCGCTTAAACCATCGCCTGCAGCGTATTGGTGCGAAGACCGGCTATGAACCTACCCCAGAAGGTGTTGACGACGAAATTCTTTTGGACATAGTCGATGTTTTCCTCAAGTACATCCCCGACAAATCGATGCAAATGAGCCTTGCTTCTGTCGTTTCCGAGGCCCTTCAGATCTCCCCCCAGAGAGCACAGTTTTGCCTCGAGGAAAGGACGCCAACCTACACGGATAAGAACAACTCAGTTGTGCTTGGCCGTGAAGTTTGCCAGAAAATCAAGGTCCCAAGTGGATCCGCACAAAAGCTTGCTGCTGCAGCATCGCGATTTGCTTCTACCAGGTCCGCTCTATCCATCATGGAACAGGTTGCTGCCTCGGTCCAAATGGCAGAGCCTGTCTTGCTGGTTGGAGAAACTGGTATCGGAAAGACGACTGTCATTCAACATCTCGCCACATTGATGCGACAGAAGCTGACTGTTGTCAACTTGTCGCAACAAAGTGAAAGCACCGACCTGTTGGGAGGATTCAAGCCTGTCAGCATCCGTACGATGGCTATACCGATGTTGGATGAATTTACCCAGCTTTTCGAATTGACCTTCTCGGCCAAAAAGAACCAGAAGTTCCTATCTTCGGTGACGAAAAGCGTGGCTTCGGGTAACTGGGTTCGCCTGGTGACTCTTTGGCACGAAGCTGTCCGCCTAGCCAATGGTGTCTTCAATCCCGCGCCCCCGAAAGACGCCGACAACGCAGACGAACAGCCATCAAAGAAGAGGAAGCTAGACTCTCCCAAGTATCAACACTTGCGTCAACGATGGGACAGTTTTCAAACCCAGCTTTCTGATTTCGAAGCTCAAGTTTCCCAAGGTGACGCGAAATTCGCTTTTGCTTTCGTGCAGGGTAAAATCGTCAGAGCCTTAAGGAACGGTGAATGGGTACTTTTGGACGAGGTCAATCTCGCATCTCCAGACACTCTTGAGAATATTGCCAGTCTGTTACATCATGGAAGCGAAGGCTCACCTTCTGTCCTGCTTTCTGAAGCCGGTGATGTGGAAAGGGTCTTTGGCCATCCCGACTTCCGCATTTTCGGAGCCATGAATCCCGCAACAGATGCTGGAAAGCGAGATCTGCCACCTGGATTGCGATCAAGATTCACCGAGTTTTATGTTCATTCCCCGGACAGCGACTTGAATGATCTTCTCGCATTAATTCAGAAGTATCTGGGTGACCTGACAATGGGCGACCAGAGAGTCGTCCCTGATCTTGCCCAGCTCTATATGGAGACGAAGAAGCTTAGCAACGAGAACAAACTGACCGATGGAGCTGGTCAGCGACCTCATTTCAGCATCCGAACGCTAGTCCGTGCCCTTGTCTATGTCCTTGATCATGCCCACGTCTATGGCCTTCGAAGAGCGATCTTCGAGGGTTTCAGCATGAGTTTCCTGACCGTACTGAGCTTGAACTCCGAGAGATCTTTGGCTCCACTTCTCGAAAAGCATATCTTTGAGAATGCTAAGAATGCAAAGTCACTCCTTGGAAGAACACCCCGTGCGCCGGAAGACGGCCAGAACTACGTTCAATTTAAGCATTATTGGATGCGCCAGGGTCCTCTCATGCCGGAGGAACAGCCCCATTATATCATCACTCCCTTTATCGAGAAGAACCTGAAGAATCTGGTCAGAGCCAGCTCGACTCGGCGTTTCCCAGTTCTGCTGCAAGGCCCAACATCAGCCGGAAAGACGAGTATGATCGAGTACCTCGCCAAGGTATCCGGAAACAAGTTTGTTCGTATCAACAACCACGAGCACACTGATCTCCAGGAGTATTTGGGGTCGTATATTTCTTCTGACGACGGAAGCCTACGCTATCAGGAAGGTGTGCTGGTAGAGGCCCTCCGAAATGGTTACTGGATTGTTCTTGACGAGCTCAACTTGGCGCCTTCTGATGTCCTTGAAGCCCTGAATCGACTGCTGGACGACAACCGCGAGCTTTTCATCCCCGAAACCCAAGAGGTGGTTCACCCTCACCCCAATTTCATGCTTTTTGCCACTCAAAATCCCGCCGGTCTATATGGCGGCCGCAAAGTCCTCTCCCGCGCTTTCCGAAATCGTTTCCTCGAACTGCATTTCGATGACATCCCCGAGAGCGAGCTGGAGTTTATTCTCAAAGAGCGATCCCAAATTGCCCCATCCTTCTGTACAAAAATCGTCTCTGTGTACCGGAAACTGTCGCTGCTTCGCCAATCAAACCGTCTCTTCGAACAGAAGAACAGTTTTGCTACACTTCGTGACTTGTTTCGATGGGCTCTTCGCGATGCCGATGACCGTGAACAGCTAGCTGTCAATGGGTTCATGCTCCTTGGTGAACGCGTGCGAAACCCCCAAGAGAAAGCTGCTGTCAAGAAGGTGATCGAGGAGGTCATGAAGGTTCGGTTGGACGAGAATGTTCTATACGGCGACAAAGAACTCGAGAAGAGTGTTCCCCAAATGGCTGGGCTTCCTTCCGGGATTGTTTGGACTCAAGCCATGAGACGCCTTTTCGTTTTGGTCTCCAAAGCTCTCAAGAACAACGAACCGGTCCTTCTGGTTGGAGAGACTGGATGTGGTAAAACACAACTTTGCCAAGCAGTTGCAGAGGCTTTCAAGAGAGAATTGTTCATCGTCAATGCTCATGTCAATCTCGAGACTGGTGATCTTATTGGTGCTCAAAGGCCAATCCGAAACCGTGCTGCGATTGAGAAGCAACTCACCGATGATCTTCAGCTCTTAATCCATGGCGAGGTATCTGGAAATCTCCCTCTTGAACAATTGAAGCAAGATCTGTCAACCCTTGATGCGCAACAAAGACAAGAAAAAGATCAAGATCTTTTGCGCAAGATCGAAAGAAACATTATTCGGTCCAATGCATTGTTTGAATGGTCCGATGGTAGCCTGATCACTGCCATGAAAACTGGGCAGTTTTTCCTGCTTGACGAGATTTCGCTTGCCGATGATTCCGTCCTCGAGAGACTAAACAGTGTCCTCGAACCGCACAGATCGATTCTTCTGGCCGAAAAGGGACCAGTCGATTCAATGGTCGTGGCCGACGGAGGATTCCAGTTCCTCTCAACCATGAACCCTGGTGGTGACTATGGCAAACGAGAACTTTCGGCGGCTCTCCGAAACCGTATGACTGAGATTTGGGCACCTCAATTATCCGACGATGAAGATATTCTTCCTATCCTTCATATGAGACTGGATCTCAAGGATGAGAAGGTGGCCAGGGCCATGCTGCAATTCGCCAAATGGTTCAAGACAACTTTCCAAAACACATCGACTACCTCCCTATCTCTTCGTGACCTTCTTGCCTGGGTCGACTTTGTAAACACTTGCCAGAACGCAGATACTCTTTTTGCTATCATTCAGGGTGCTGCCATGGTATTTGTTGATACTCTTGGAGCCAACCCGGCTGCGATGCTTGCTGTATCTCTCAACAACCTCGAGGGAAATCGCCAGAAGTGTCTTGACAAACTGAGTGAATTGTTCAATGCAGATGCCTCTGCAATCTACCGGAAATCCTCGACAGTCACCCTTGAGCCTGGATATCTGCACGTTGGTCCATTCTCACTTCCAACTGTTGGCGAGACCGACCCCGACCCTCAATTTACCATGGATGCCCCCACCACGATTGCGAACTCGGTCAGAATCGCTCGTGGTCTGCAGTCATCAAAGCCTATCCTGCTGGAAGGCAGTCCGGGTGTTGGTAAAACTACTCTCGTTACGGCTCTTGCAAAGGCTCTTGGGAAGCCTCTCACTCGAATCAATTTGTCGGAGCAGACAGATCTTACGGACTTGTTTGGATCTGATGTACCGGTAGAGGGAGGAGACGTTGGTCAGTTTACCTGGCGTGACGCCCCATTCTTGCGAGCAATGCAGCGCGGTGACTGGGTGCTGCTGGATGAGATGAATCTGGCCTCGCAGTCAGTTCTCGAGGGTCTGAACTCCTGTCTGGATCACCGGCAACAGGTCTACATTGCCGAGCTTGACCAAACCTTCAAACGTCATCCAAACTTCGTTCTTTTCGCAGCGCAGAACCCGCATCACCAGGGTGGCGGCAGAAAGGGTCTTCCCGCATCATTTGTCAATCGTTTCACCGTGGTCTACGCAGACAGCTTCACAGATGATGATTTAAAGAAGATCTGCTCGAAGCTCTTCCCTGGAAGCCCCTCTCACCAGACAGAGCGACTGGTTGATTTCATTTCTGCATTAAACAGAGCCATTGTGACTGAACGTCGACTGGGTGCTGCTGGTGGTCCATGGGAGGTCAATTTGCGAGATATCCAACGATGGTTGCAGCTGGCAGATCGTGGAGATTTGCAGATTCCTACAAAACACTTCCTTGACGTTGTCATCAACCACCGGTTCAGGAGCGAGGATGACCGAACGTTCGTTTCACAGCTCTATGATCGTATCTTCACCGACTCGGAAATTGTTCCCAAAAGCTACTATCACAATCTGACTCCCGACTACTTACAAGTCGGCCTGGGAATCTTGTCTCGTGACCCAGTTCTCCAGCGATCGGTCGAGCCGCAAATGAAGATTCTTCCGAAGGATCTACATATTCTCGAGTCTCTCGTCCTCTGCATTGATAACGCTTGGCCAAGTATCCTTGTCGGTCCTGCCGGGTGTGGCAAAACCACCATTGTCAAGAAGCTTGCTGCTATCAAGGGCGCAAACATAGAGGAGCTTGCTCTCAGCGCTGACACTGATACTATGGACTTGATTGGTGGATTCGAGCAGATTGATCACCGCAGAGAAGTTTCCTCTTTTGTGCATGATATTGAGGTATTCTTACGGCACCAAATCATATATTCTTTCGCTTCGGGAGATGTTACGGAGGCCATTGCTTCAGCCCTTCAGATCTGCCAACACTTCCAAACTTCCGAAACCTCACTGGAGACTGTGATTTCTTCATTGTCAGTACTCTGCCAGTCACACCCTACTCCAGAGCTTCAAAACTTCCTCGAAAGAGCCCAGAACCTGTGGGATCTCATTCGCCACTCAGACAAGATGAAGGTTGGCTTTGAATGGACCGAGGGTGTTCTCACTCGGGCTGTTCAGAATGGTGACTGGGTTATTCTTGACAATGCCAATTTATGCAACCCGTCTGTCTTGGACAGATTGAACTCCTTGACAGAGCCCAATGGTACATTGATTCTGAACGAACAGCGAACCGAGGATGGATCAGCCCGGATCATCACCCCTCATCCCAACTTCCGAATCTTCCTCAACATGGATCCTCGAAATGGTGAATTGTCGCGTGCTATGCGAAACAGATGTGTTGAGATCTGCTTCATGTCAAATGAGGTCCAAGACACTCCCACCGCGACAGGGCCATCATACACCTGCGAGTCTTCTCTCTACCGCCTCCGTCATATCTGGAACCTCAACTCTGCCTCGGGATCTGCCAAAGCCCAAGATCTCTTCGAAGTCTGCCTAGACCATCTATCTTCAGCAGATCTTTCCTACCTCCAAATGGCGCCAGGCACATACCTGCCATTCAGCACAAGAGAAGGCGATGACGACCACCAGTTCTCCGCTGCGCTGCAACGTCATGCTTCTGCGCTGCAAGACAATTCCCAGTGGAAACCTCTCAACGCCACATCTGGTCAGATCACAATCGGTGGGGTGCCTTTGAGCCTCCAAGGACCGTTGCAGCCTATCCATCCTCTCATTAACGAGCCGCTTGTCTCTATCTCAGAGTCGAGTGACTACCAGTCTAATATGACCGTTTTGGCCTACCTCGAGGAATTCAGACATGAAGTTTACAGGCTTCGCCAAGGCCTGGTCCGTGCAAACGAATCTAGCCAGCAACTCAAGCCAAGCCAAATGACACGCCTGGAGCGATCATTGGCGTCGACTCGGATTCAATCTCTGATGAAGGATTCGACACAGCCAGTCGGAAATTTCCTCTCTGACTGTGGCCAAGCACTGTATGAGTTTATCCAAAACCTGGATGAGAACAGTTTACAGTCTCCAGAGATTGTTGCTGCACTCCGGACAATCACAAGTCTTTGCTGGGATATTTACCGAGTGACAGATGTGGACCGTGTTGATGAAGGCGAATTCCAAGTTTACCTCCAAATTGGTAGACGGGTTTGTACATCATTGCTCAATTCGTCCCCCTTGCTGAAGCCACTGGAAGAATCATTGTCGCGCGCACTTGCTCGTTTCCGTGCCGAGTGGGAGTTGACGACCGGTTTGAGTATGCAGCGAATGTGGGATTCATGGAGACATGTCACCCCTGCTTCCCATGAGCAGCTTGCGTCATTGATTGAGTTGGAGAAGACCGTCTCCGACTTCACTTCACTTGCTCTGCAAACACGCGTCGAGTTGTCACAGCTCAGCAAGATCTGGGATTCATTGTCGACTGCCCAACGCTTTATTCTGGATGGCGCGGACGGAGTTGCTCTTGTGCAGGGTATCAAAGAAACAGTCGCCGAGCTCAGCCACGCAGTTCGACGTTCCGACTCTGCACAATATCCTTACTTTGCGCAAGACTTTGAGGCCCTTTGCCAATACCACGATCTCTCGTTCAATGGCTCGGATCAAGGCAAGTTCCAAACGGTTGTGCCTCTACTGGCTGGCCGTCTGGCGCGTTCCTTGGACTCCTCAGCTTCCACTAGCCGAGTCCCTGAAATTCTGAACAGAGTCACCCTGTTCTCCGGCGCCGGCGAAAGTTCCCCGCTTGCCGTTGGAGGCGTTCTGTCTCTCTCCTTGTTGGAAAGGCTTACATCTGTTCGCGACACAACCCTGGGCCAGATGGACATGTTGCAAGCCGAGAAGCAAGCTCTCACCAAATCTCTCTCGCAAAGCACCCAGAACATCTCAGTGGATCAGTCTAGCAACCTCAGACGCACTGTTGCAGCTCTGACTGTGGACCTCCTCCAAGCCCACCACGAGCTTCTTGACACCAATAGCGCCGAAGAAGTGATTACCGTGCTTCGAGCCATTGAGGGAGGGAACCCGGTCAAGATTGAATCCTCCATGTCTATCGCTCTGGATAGAGCTGTTGGAAAGGACCACTTCTTCAGAGAGTTCGCCCAAACTGCCCTCCCAAGTCTCATCCACTCCCTCGCTTCCACCCCCTCAAGTCGCGAGGAGAGTATCCACTGCACTGGTGTTGCTGCCGTTCAGCTATCTGTCATGCTGCTCCGACTATTTGTTCCGGACAAGGCATTTGACCCATCGCTTGGTCTCGTTGTGCAAAGAAAGCGCCATTACCAACGTCTTGATGAAATCAGTGCGAAGTCTAATGCGCTCCTCTCCTTTGAGACCACGTTCTCTGGCCAGGCTTCCAACCTGAGATCTGCCTTGCTACAGACGGAGATCCAGCAACTCGGCTCCGCTCCGCCTCCTTCGTCCGTTACTCGCCCGGACAATTCGGAGTTGAGCCTTTTGCACGGAGAATTTGCCAACTTGATCAACTCCGTTCTGAACAGGAACCCCGAGGAAATGATTGCCACTCTTGAAAACGCCTCAAGATCTAAAGAGACCATCCAGCTGCTACGCGACAATATCAAGCAGCTGAGCAGCCGACTTCAGGTGCACTACAGATCGTACGATGATATGACCGTTCCCATCGTTCGTTTCCTCCGACTTCTCGATGTCGGCCTTTTCCTGGGCTCCAGTCAAACCAACCAGTCGAGCGAACATACCGACATTCAGACATTGAGTGGAAAAACCCCTTTCATGGGTGGATCTACGCATCCTGTCTTTTCATCGGCCCATGCTGATACGCAGCCAAGTGCTAGCAACGCTATCGAGATGCGTCTCCACGAGCTGTCTAGTGTTTGGACTGCCAAGGATGCCGACTCAACACTTCTTGAATTCAAGTCCAGCCACGGTACGATTCGGCGTATCTTCGCTGATTTCCACCATCTTTGGAAGACTAGACTCAGAGAGGACCAAGAGAAGGAAGCAGAAAGCAAAAATCTGTACCGCTACCGTGGCTCATGGGAGGATGAGGAAGAGGTCAACGAGACGGAATTGCATGAACTCTTCCCTACCTATGACGAAGGCACCCCGCTTGATCCCAAGGACGTTGGTCGCATCGACCCCAGAGCAATTGCTATGCGACTTGCTGCTCTTCATGCCAATATTGTGAGCGACAAGAAGACCGGCGAAGCGCTGTCATCTCATGTCAAACAATCAGCTCGTCTGTTAGGTTCGATATGGTCTAAGAGCAAGGGCTCATTCTCCCCTGTTTCTCCTGAGCAGCACCTGTCTGCAGTCTTCTTGCTTCTTGACGAGGAGATTGGCGAAGACAACAAGGATAGACAGAAGAATTACAACTTCTACACTGATTCCAACTTGGCTGAAGCTAGAAAACTTGTCAACCTCACCCTGGCTGTCCAAGCCCGTTTTGTTCAAATCCAGCTTGCCTGGCCAGAGCATGCAGTCCTTGCAGAGGTCATCAATTGCTGCTCCGAAATTCTTCAGTTCAAGCACACCGAGCCTGTCGCCAAGTTCTTGACCAAGGTTGAAAAGCTCCATTCCTACGTGCACGAGTGGCAACTGGTCGCCAGCCGGGAGTACTCCGCAGTCACTCAGTACGATGAAATCACCAGCATGACCGTCGGTTGGCGTCGTCTTGAGCTCACAACGTGGGCCAAGCTCCTGGATCTCGAGAAAGATCGATGTGAAGACGATGTCAGCTCGTGGTGGTTTGTTGCTTATGAAGCACTGTTTGCGGTGCCGCTGCAGATGGCTGATGATGGCGAGCATGACATGAGCGTGCATATTCAAGGTGTCATCTCAACCCTGGAACAATTCTTTGCTTCGACGACCCTGGGTCAATTTGGTCGCCGTCTTCAGCTTGTTTCCGACTTCAACGAGTTGCTTGGTGTTTTTGCCAACGATCATCCCTGCTTGACGCCACTCGTCTCCGCGTTGAATAATTTCATCGCCCATTTCCGCCCTTTCCAGCCGTCGGTGGACAAGATCCTGCAGGAGAAGCGATCCGCACTCGAGAAAGATCTCAAGGAGCAAATTCAGCTGGCAAGCTGGAAGGATACCAATATCGTTGCTCTCAAGGAAAGTGCTAGGAGATCTCACGTCAAGCTATTCAAGCTTGTGCGCAAGTATCGCGAAGCTCTCAACCAATCGGCTCAGCCAGTCCTCGAGCAAGGTCTTCCAGATGATATGGGAGATTCATTCGGGTCTCAAGCAGATGAGAAAACATTGGCCACTATTGTCATCCCTGAAGCATTGTCCGTCTGCCAGCAGGAGAATGAGCTGTGGGCATCCCGAGCTCTCCGATTCCGCAACCCTGATGGCACAGCGCGCAACATGATGAACCTCTACACATCAATCCCCCGTGAATTTGACATCGCGAAGGATTTGGACGGGTTCACCGTGTCCATTATTGAGGGCATCAAAGAGTTCAAGTCCCAGACCCCCAAAACCTTGACCGAAGACAACAAGGACGATGTCCAGCACCTTAAGGTTCAGAAGCGTCGCCTTTATGCCGATACTCTCAAGCAGCTCTTCGAAATGGGTGTGAAGCGCAATGCTGGAACAAGCGTGATCGAAACCCAGGCATCACTTGCTCAAATCATCTCCACCTGTGCAGCGTTCGAGACCGGTACCGCAATCTCGAAATCTGTCCACAGTGCTGATTCATACTTCCATCGCCTATTGGATCTGTTGCCTCGTGCTCGTCTAGCATCCAGAAACTACTCTGAGGAGCTCAGCAATGTTGAGGTTTTCAGAAGTATGGGTTCTATCGAGCATCTTCTGTTCGTCATTCGTCGACAGCGAGGAGCTCTTGCACCTGCTATGTCAGCTCTTGGGTCTTTCAAGAGTGTTCTAGACAACATGCAGAGTCTCTGGTCAACTGGTTCAACCTCGCTCGTCAAATCCAATGCTACTGCCACTGAAGAAAGATCCACTCTCGCAAGAACCCTCGCATGGCTTGTCCCGATCCTCGGTCTGGCATCAAAGATCATTGAGATTCATTCCAAGTTCTCCGGTATCCAGGCAGCTACCATTCTTCAAGAGCTCGAGTCTAGAAAGACCGAAATTGAGGACCTGCTGAAGAACCTCAGATCTCTCCCGGAACTTCCATCTGGTGTCGCATCCTTGGTCCGAGAAGAATTTTCCAAGCTGGCCCGTTCCTCTCTCGATCAACTATCTGCCGATCTCAGTAGGTGGTCCCAAGAACGCCCTGATTTGACCTTTGCCCTCCAGCAAATCTCACCGTGGGCCCTGTCGAACAACATTTCCCTCGCACAGCCAACCCAACAAGGCGATATTTCCATCCAGGCTTTTGATAATAGTCTCCTTGCCGCAATTGACAAGATGCTTGTTGGTCTCCAGCAACTCAAGGATGCCCCCACTGCTATCAACTTCGCTGGTCTACTCTCGCGAAGCGACGAGTTCTTCACCCGAGCCACCAAGGCTGTCCATATCAATGAGATTACGTCTTCATTGGTGGCTGTCCTTGATCAGTTGCAGCATCTACAAGACAATTCGGCAAGTGGTCTTCCAATTGCCGCTGCACTGGTTGCTAGTGTTCTTCCGATTGTGAACCAATACTTCTACATCTGCCAAGACCTGTCTCAGCGATTTATCTCTGCCCACCGCGAGATTTGCAAGACGTCTTACATCTTGACTAAGACTTTCACTCAAGTTGCGTCCGAAGGTTTCTGCAGTCCCTCCGAAGCGTCCCAAGAACAGGGCAAGGAGGGGAAGCTGGAAAGCGGAACCGGTCTTGGTGATGGTGAAGGTGCAGAGGATATCAGCAAGGATATCGGCGATGATGAAGATCTCTCCGAGCTCGCTCAGCAAGGGAAGAAGGAGGATGCCGATGATGATGAGGATGACATGGATGATGAGGCCGATGCCGTCAACATGGATCATGACGAAATGGAGGGTGAGACTGGTGATCATAAGGACGAAGAGGATGAAGAAAAGGACGACAAGGATGAGGAAGGAGAAGATGATCTTGATGAGGAAGTTGGTGATGTTGATGATCTTGATTCCGGTGCTGTCGATGAGAAGCTCTGGGATGGTGAGAATGATGAGAAACAGAAAGAGACGGAGAACGAAGAAGGAAAGGGTCAAGCTGAGGCTGATGAACAGACTGCTGCCCAAGACGATAAGAAGGGCGAGGAAGGACAAAAGGGTGACGAAGGAGAGGAGGAAGAGGAGGAAGAGGAAGAAGAGGAAGATCCAGACAATGAAGGAGAAGCAGTTGGTCGTGAAGACATGGACGTCACCGACCCCCAAACCAAGGAGGAAGAAGCTCTGGAGCTTCCCGAGGAGATGCAACTGGATGGTGATGACATGGACGGCGGCGATGATGGGGAAGACGATGATGGCATGGACGATATGTCAGACATGGGCCCTCTCCCCGAAGAAGAACAAAAGGCCGATGGAAAGGAAGATGAGGCCGGAGAGGGAGAGGAAGACGAAGACATGGAGCAAGCTCCTGGTGAGGAGGAAGAGATTGAAGGTGAAGGTGAAGGCGAAGAAGAAACCAACGAAGGGGAAGCGAATGAAGAGGAGGAAAATGAAGCTGGCGGAGAGGATCCCGAGGAGCCCGACCAGGATGAATTCCTTGCTCAACGCGACGAGAATGAAGCTGGCGGTGACGAAGTTGCTCCCAGTGAAGCTGTCACTGGTGGCCTTGGTGCTGACCAAGATCAAAATGAAGACAAGGGCGCTTCTGGTGACGCACAGCAGGAAAGTGGTTCAAACGACCCTAATGCTAGTGCTGAGCAGAAAACAGGCGCTGCTAAAGACAGCGAGGAGACCAAGCCCAGCCACGACGCCGGCGGAGGTGAGGAATCAGAGCCAAATGATCCTCAAATCCAAGCCTTCAAGAAACTTGGAGATATGCTCGAGGAATGGCATCGTCGTCAAAAGGAAGTCAAGAATCCCTCGCAAGATGAAGAGGACTCGCAGGCTCTGCCAGAAGACACCGACATGGCGGATGCTGATTTCGAACACCTCAAGGATGACGATGACCAGGCCGATACTCAAGCCCTTGGACAAGCAAATGAGGAGCAGGCAAAGGCTCTCGACCAAAACAAGGGTGTTGAGTCTGACAATAAGCCGACGGAGAATGACATCCTGCCCGATGTCTCTGAGGAGCTTCAAGATGCCCTCGACAACCAGCTACAGGATGAGATGCAACTTGATCGCGAAATGCTCCCGACTGATGGTCAATCCGCTGGAGCATTCATTCCTGGTGATCACACATCTAAAGACAACGCAAATGGCCATGCCGGTGCTCAAGATCTGACCGAGGAACTGGATGAAGTCGACACGCAACTTGCGGCAATTCACCTCTCTTCATCGCTCCCACCATTGACCTCCGAAGCTGACGCCCGCCGCCTCTGGTCTCAATACGAGAACGCAACAAACGATCTCTCGCTCTCCCTCACCGAGCAGCTTCGTCTCATCCTCGCCCCAACCATGGCCACCAAGCTCCGTGGTGATTTCCGCACTGGTAAGAGACTCAACATCAAGCGCATCATCCCCTACATCGCATCGCAGTACAAGCGCGACAAGATCTGGATGCGCCGTTCCATTCCATCCAAGCGCAATTACCAGATCATGCTGGCCGTCGACGACAGCAAGTCCATGCTCGAGAGTGGAAGTGGACAACTCGCCTTCGAAACCCTCGCCCTCGTCGCAAAGAGTCTCAGCATGCTCGAGGCCGGTGATCTGTGTGTCTTGGGCTTCGGCAGTGAAGATCATGTGCGTGTTGCGCACGAATTCGGCAAGCCTTTCTCCTCCGAGGCCGGCTCTCAGGTCTTCCAGCACTTCAGCTACCAACAGACCGGTACCAATGTGCGCAAGCTGATTGCCGATTCCATCGCTCTTTTCCGCGAGGCGAAGTGGAAGCGCTCACCTGGTTCTGGCTCTGCTGATCTTTGGCAGCTTGAGCTGATTATCTCCGATGGTATCTGCGAGGATCACGATACTATTCGCCGCCTGGTTCGCCAGGCTCTCGAGGAACGCATTATGATTGTGTTCATTATTGTTGATGCTGTGAAGGGTAGCTCCATTCTGGATCTCTCGCAGGCTAGCTTCGAGCCTGATGCGGGTGGTGAAATGAAGCTCCAGATGAAGAGGTATCTGGAGGACTTCCCCTTCCCCTACTACTTGGTTGTTCGTGATGTGAGAGAGCTGCCTTCTGTGTTGGCAACTGCATTGAAGCAGTGGTTTGCCGAAGTTGTTGATGTCTCGTCATGATGGGACTACAAAAAAAGCGATTTGCACTATTTGGCGTTTTGATTTTGGAGTTTGGGGATTTTTTTCTTTTGTATATGATAAAGCTTGATAGACACTGTAAATTCTGAACAGTAATTATTACTTACCGACATGATTTCCTACGCCATGTCCTGGCTTTCCATTTTTTCCCCAGCCAAGAACCCGACTCCTCCACCTACCTTAAGGGCACTACTAAGTGGAGACCCCCTTTGGCTATCTGAACACCCTATCCTGCCTAATAGAAAAGGGTGCTGTATGTGTGTACCTAACGGGGTGGTTACAGTAGAAGGCCATGGTTCTACTTTCTCACCGCCGGTTACCTAACTGAGTACGTACCAGTGCTAACTATCTCCAGGCTCAGTAATTAATAATATAGTGTCTGTCCCTTCATGTGCCAACTAGTTACTGAGTGAGAGCAATCTTTCAATACAGATATGTCCGAAACATGTAAGATTACATAGCTCAGGGGTAGAGATTACCTGAGGGCGGTGAGGGCTTGTTTTGTATGGCAAAACATCAAAACTCCAAGGAATTTCGCCTAGGCTATCTTTCTGCTGGTATTTGAGTATTGAGACCGTAATAGATAATACAATACCACAGACAGAATACAATATCTATGGATAGCAAAGTCTTGCTTTACTAACTAACTACTAGTAATAATAGGTATACACCCAGACCCTCGTCTGTACGCCTTAATCTCCGAGCATTCATGTTGAACTTGGAATGGAATGAGTTGCAAATAGTAAGGGACATGGGAACAAGGTATTTTCGAGTTGACTATCACAATGACAATCGAGAATCTGCACACAGATCAAACTTGGTATTGGTATCTCTAAAGCAACAGTACAAAGTAGTACAATAATAATAATAATAAACGCCAGATGCATGCGATGTCTACCACCCATATCTTGACCCAGACTCCTTTTTGTTCCTCCGACCCGAAGCAAAACTCTCTTCCAAAGCATCCTTTTGCGAAGCTGCCGCATTGACCAACTGTTGCAAGGAGTGTTTTCCTGGCGCGATGGCACGGACAGGGTTATGCTGGGTTGCGGCAAGTTCTGTCTCGGCCAGGGCTTGGTTATGCGCGTACTCTTGGTCTGTGTTGAATGTAAGGACTCGCGAGTCTGCGGAGGGCGCATTGCGACCAAAGAGTTGGCGGCGCTCGGACTTGGATAGATTCAGATCATTGGCGATGTTGTTCAATGAGGACGATACGGGGTTTGCTGGCGTATAGTTGGGTTCGGGTGCGATGGATTCAGGTGCGAGTGTAGGGCCGGCTGATGGTGTTTCCGCTTCATAAACTAGTGGCTCGTAGGCACTAGCTCCAGCTGATTGTGAGGGGTCGGTTGTAGATGTAGTCTCTTCTGAGGATAAAGAGAAGAGGCTGACTTTGGGTTTCGGGGGAGGCGGCGCAGTGCTTGCAGCGGATGCCGTTACGGTGGACTGCTGTTCTACTGCTGCGGGAGCGGGCGTTGAAAGTGACGGCTGAGCGGCGGCTGCGGTGGTCTTCTTCTTCTTCTTTTGCGGGCGACCAACAGACAGCGGTCTAAACATCATAGGATTGCCTTGTAGTTTGACCTCGCCGGTCGGAGTCTGGGTGGCGGCTGGACTATTGGACTTTGAAGCCGACTGTCCAAGACTGCCTGACGTAGGAGCGCCTTCTCCACCTGCGCCAGTGCTAGGCTCTGTATGATATTTAATCTCCGTGTCTGCTTCTCTGTCGAATCCACGCTCTGCGCCAGTTTTAAGGCTGAAGGGTTTCCGGGTAGAAGCTAGCGGAGCCTTTTTCTCCGCAGTACGTTTGGGCGCGGGGAGAAAAGAGCTGAAGCCAGAAAAGGCACCACCGCCTCCACCCACTCGAGGCTTTTTGCGCGCAGGGCCATCTTCGGAATCCTTGTGGGCTGAAGGGTCCGGCTTGAGCTCTGGGAGAGCGACTCGAATCTTGCGCGGGTTACTGCGGTCGACGGCAAAGCCTCCAGACTCAGTATTCTTCGTTGAAGGTGCGGGCTTGATGTCGGACTCGACATCTGAGCCTTCAGAGTCGGAGTAGGCTACCAGCGCCATTTCTGAAGGGTGGGGGGGGGAGGGACGTGGATGATAGGTTAGATGTGTTGCGTGGAATTGAAGGTATCAAAGATGGCCGATTGAGATAATAATCGACACCTGAGTGCCTTGGTGCCTTGATGCCTTACGACCCAATTGCCTGAGGGACTTATTACCACGTGACCATGACATAATCCGATCGGTGGAGTGCCAAGACTCCACCAGATTCAGCCAATCTTTCCTTTTCTTCCCAAAGGATGTGCCCACCAAACCAAACCCAAAAACAAATCGAGTACTAAAACCAGACCCAAAATTCACCAGACTCAATCCAGCTGGGAATTCAGTTCTCATCGCAACTGCCGACCAAGTCTGAGAGCTTAATCAAATTGGGTTTTTTCCATGATCCGCATGCGACGAGCTTATCGGGTCTCACACCCCCAGGCCAGCACCGAATCGAATCGTAACGTCATCAGCGTCATCAGGTTTCTCTGGGGGGGTAACTCCGTCGCTATGGGCAGTGTAAGGAGCATCATTCAAGCGACTACGTAGTATAGTTTAGTATAGAATACTAGTAGTATTGTAGTACATAATTATACATTCATAGTCTTGTATACTAGTGACCATATCTCTCTGCTGTTTACGAGTCGCGGCTTGCGGCAGGTGCCCTAAACGAACTTGAACTCGTCACAATCACCACCACTACAACTGTCAACCCTTGACCTCCTTTCTCAAGGATCAAAGATCCAAAATCCAACATCACAGATCACCGGTCACGACTTCACGCAATTTTACCATCTCAAATCTGAGCCGGTGGAGCCGGAGCTCGTCGGTCCAACCCCGGGCAGCCGAGATCAATGCGTCATTCTGGCCGTTGCCCCTCCCCACCTCTCCGGACCTCCCCTTCTGGCCTTGGCCTTTCTTTGAAAAAAAAAGGAAAGGGAAAAGAGTGAACCATTCCACCTCCATGCCGAGCTTAGGAGGCCTGCTAAAGAAGCGGCGCACGAAGGACTCGCAAACCCTCTCGTCCGAGTTGTCCGGCACCGACCACCATTCAGCTCAAAATCAAGCAACACCTCAGTCCGATTCCCACACCAACGATCCCAACCAGGACACCTCAGGCGCCTCCATGCAACCCGCCACCCCATCACAAGCATCTCCGCACCATCAGGGCCTGTCCAATGCCGCCAGCATTAACAACATCATAAACAGCCCGGCCAATGCTCAAGGGGAGCACAGGCCGAGCTCCCAGCCGGCCCAGAATGCCCCGGCCAATGCCCCGGCCAATGCCCAGCAGAAGGAGCGCACCACCAAAGGGAAATATTCCCAAGAGGACTTTCTTCTGCAGCGCACTCTGGGAACTGGGAGCTTCGGTCGCGTGCACCTGGTCCAGTCGAAGCACAACCACCGCTTCTATGCTATGAAGGTACTGAAAAAGGCCCAGGTCGTCAAGATGAAACAGATCGAGCACACCAACGACGAGCGTCGCATGCTCAACCGCGTCCGCCATCCGTTCCTCGTTACCCTTTGGGGTACCTGGCAGGACTCACGTAACCTCTACATGGTAATGGACTTTGTTGAGGGTGGTGAACTCTTCAGTCTTCTGCGCAAATCCCAGGTAAGGCCCGTTGCTGGCAAGGAAACCCCGCCCCATTCATCGCTAACCCCTCACGACAGCGATTCCCCAACCCAGTCGCCAAATTCTACGCCGCAGAAGTCACCCTCGCTTTGGAGTATCTGCACCAACATCAGATCATTTATCGTGATTTGAAGCCCGAGAATTTGCTCCTTGATCGTCATGGCCACTTGAAGATCACCGATTTTGGCTTTGCTAAGGAGGTCCCGGATATTACCTGGACACTATGCGGAACCCCCGATTATCTCGCTCCCGAGGTGGTTTCGTCCAAGGGCTACAATAAGTCTGTAGATTGGTAAGCTCGGCACCTCCTCTCCTTTCCGTCTAATTTTCCCTCTCTCTTCCAACTGGGAATTCGCTTTGTCTGACTTTCACATGCAGGTGGTCACTAGGAATCCTGATCTTTGAAATGCTGTGCGGGTTCACGCCATTCTGGGACAGCGGATCTCCTGTCCGGATCTACGAGAACATCCTGAAGGGCAAGGTCAAGTATCCACCCTACTTGCACGATGACGCCGTCGATCTGCTGTCACAACTGATCACCGCGGATCTCACCAAGCGACTGGGTAACCTGCACGGAGGTCCCGACGACGTGAAGAACCATCCCTGGTTTGCCGAGGTCACCTGGGACCGACTGGCCCGCAAGGATATCGACGCCCCCTATATCCCACCGATCCGTGGTGGCCAGGGCGATGCCAGCCAATACGACAAATATCCCGAAGAGACGGAGCACTACGGTAACGACGGTGAAGATGCGTACGTTTTCCTATCCTCCTCCCCCTTGGATCAAGCTTCTTCGGACTGACCTGAACTAATGTAATTCTAGATATGGACATCTATTCCCTGACTTCTAAGAGTGCCTGTACGATTTATGACGAGATGAAAAGCCCGCGATTGCGGCGATTGCGACTCGCTCGGGGGCTTGGCTTTGGACAACCGGCATGGTCGCCGGCGGTGAAAAACCGGAATGATACTTATATATCGAAAACCTACTTCCTCATATTATAGCAACTGGAATTGAATTTCTCTTTTTTTTTCTTGTTTGGTTCCATATACAAAGGGGGAGGTGTATCATCCATTGACCTCTATCATTGTTTGACTCCGGGCCATCTCAAATCAGAGAACCTCGCCCATAATGTACACGGGCTCCAAGGCCGTCTCTATTCGTACACAATCCATTGTTGGATCTTCCATCGGGGTTGTCCATTCTTGACATGACAACTCCATATTCCTCCATATTATTCAATCGCATCGATGATCCTTAATGATTTGTAGGGAAGATGCATTTAAGCCATGCGCTTTTGTTCCTGACCAAGGCGGGAGATGTAGGTCTTGCTGGAGATGTTCCACAGCTGGATGTACTTGTCCATGCAGCTGGAAACGCAGCCGCTCTCTTGGGAGGACATGGAGGAGCCCGGGGCGGGGATGCAGGCATCGAAGCAGTTCTCGTTGATTTTCTAGAGAGGCAATTGCATTAGTATGGGGAGACACTAAGGCGACAACAGGGGAAGAAAGAAAGGAAGAGAATGACGTACCTCAATCAAAAGACGGGCATTGTTCATGGCGGCCTCCTGCTGGAGTTGCTGGACGATGCTGGCCTTGACGTCCGCGCTGGACTTAGGGGCAGCGGGAGAGGTAGAAGAACCGGAACCGAACATAGACATGATGTGTAGGAAGTGAGGTTGATGTGTGGAGGGAGATGAGGGAAGAGCAGAGCAAGTCGAGGCTCGAAGATTTGACTGAGAGCTGCGGGTGTGGCGCAGTTAATCCGCACCAGCCACACCCACGCGCATTGGAACAGACATTAAGTGGACACCTTACCGCATCGCCGAGTCGCAGTACACAATAACCACCTTCTCCCTCTCTTTCAGCTTTCTCGGACCCTCGGCCTTCGCTCTCTCCTTCTTTCGCCGTTTCTCTTCAATTCCTCTTCTCCCGATTCTTGGGTTTTCGGGTCCTGGCGACACCGTAACTCCCATCTCCCAATCATCCCCCGCTCCCACCCCCGGTCTATCCTTGAGCTACCCTACCAATTGGGTCTTAATTTCCACCTCAACATGCGTTTCCCCGCCCTTTCTTCCCTCCTATGCCTTGCCGGTCTCGCGGCCGTTCCGGCTACTGCCTACGATGGCGATGATCCTAATATCAGAAGCATCCCAGTAAGTTCTACGTGTTTATTGACACTTTTGCGGAACCGAGGTACTAATATTGATATTGTATAGCTCCGCACCCACAGTCTCGCTCCGGTATGATACCCTTTAAGCCTATAGTCTACTACGACTGCTATTTCAAGTCGCCCTTTGCTCGCTTCCCACCTGCGAAACTCGGAAAAAGCCTTTGTTGACAGCTCGCGACAGCCATACCTAGACTCGGACTTCCAAAGCCGCTGGTTCGACTTCGGAGGTGATACTGTGATTCGGGCCGACAAGTGAGCTCCTTCTCCCTGTGGAACTACTTTATAAGATTCCCCGTCCTAATATTTCCGCGCAGGTATATTCGCCTGACAGCCGATCGACCCTCTCAACAAGGATGGATCTTCTCCCGCGTGCCTCTGACGGCCACTAATTGGCAGGTAAGAATTACGCAGAAAGAGAAAGAGAGAAAAGAACTTCAAACTTCGGACACGTTCCTCACACGACATCTAGATCGAGACCGAATTCGAGATCCACGGCGACGGCAACCTACACGGCGATGGATTTGCCATGTGGCTCACCAAACAGCGCGGAACCCAAGGTCCCGTTTTTGGATCGCAAGACAAATTCGAGGGTCTTGGTATCTTCGTCGATACCTATAAGAACAACCGCCCCGGCGTATCATTCCCCTACGTCATGGCCATGATGGGCGATGGTGAAACCACCTACGACCAGGCGCACGACGGCAAGGCTAACGAGCTAGCCGGATGCTCTGTAAGCTACATTTTGTTATGCATTCCTACCTGTATCGCAAGACTAACGCTATATCCAGGCCCGTGGACTGCGTAACGCTCCTGTCCCCACCAAGCTTCGTCTCACCTACTTCCAGGACAAGACCCTCACCCTGGACCTGCAATACAAGTCCGAGGACAGCTGGACCAATTGCTTCAGCCTGACTCCCGAGGATGCCAGCATCGCCATCCCTTCCGTCGCCTACTTGGGCTTCTCCGCCGAAACTGGCGAACTAAGCGACAACCATGACATTGTCTCCGTCAAGGCCGAGAACCTGTACCATGTCAAGGGTAATAACCGTGACCAGTCTACCGGCGGAAAGGACAGCAGCAGCCGTGGTCGCGGTGGTAACAAGGCCCCGCAAGAGAAGGGTAGCTGGACATGGTTCCTGTTCAAGGTCATCCTATTCTTCGGTGCCATTGTCGGCGCCTACTTTGGCTACACCGTCTACCGCACCAAGGCGCGGTCTTCGCGGTTCTAAAAAAGCCGTGCTTAAGTTATCTCCTTTGGGGATATCAAAATGAACACCAGTCCGTTCGTTCAGGGGATGAGTTGTTTCTGGCTGTCGAACGTTTGTCTTGCATAGCCTGTGAAAGCTTTGATTATCTGCGTTGCGTTTGGTGCCTTGCGTCACGAGTACTCCCTTCTAGGCAGCTTTTTCTCTTCCATTGAAATGAAACCAGTCATGATAATTCTTGTTGGAAAATTCTTCTTATTTTCTAATGTTGTAGTACCAGCAAAGTGGCCTGGGTATCCGAAACGCTATCTATAAAACGCTATAAAATGCAGCATGCCCGTCGATGGCGATGTCCAGCACCATCTATATCCAATGGATATCAGAGCTCCATCCTTCGACTCCGGGGCCTCTACTATCCCAAAAAAATAATACTAGTAGTAGCCCCGGTACTCCTTTCACCCCTCCTCAGCTCTTCCCAACCCGCTCCCTCTCCTCATTCCACATTCGATCCACAATCTGAAAGACCTCAGTCACACTGCGCATAACCTTCTCATCCACCCCAAGCACCCCATACCGATGCTGAATCTTATCCGGATGCCACCGCACCCGCTCAACCTTAAGCGTAGCCAACAAATCCCCCTCCGGCGCATGTCTCAAAAACTCCCCCACAGCACCAGGCGTCACATCACACCGTTTTCCCGACTGGACCGGCCAAACCAGCAAGTTCCGCAACGGCGCCGTCTTCCCCTCAGCAGCATCAGCATCAGCACCAGACTCCTGACACTTCCCAACAGCCTCCCTAACTCCCTCCCACCCATCCAAATACCTCTCCCAAACCCCAGCCCAAACCTTCCCCCTCCTCCTCTCCTCCCCCGCCTCAGACTATCCTCCATAGCCCGCTCAAACGCCTCCCGCTCCTCATCTCGCCCGCGCCGCCCTGCCTGCTTCTCCTGCTCCTTCCGAACCTTCGCCCGCTCGGCGCGTAGTCGCTCCTGCTCAGCCATCATGCCCTCCCGCGTGCGCGTCCACATCTGCGCGCGCACGTACGTCGCATACTCCTCCTCGTCCATGCGCTCTAGTTCGCCGTCCGGCCCTTGGACCTCTGGCACGGCGTAGGTGTGGATTGGTTGGCCGTAGACGGATTCCCAGTAGGCGGCGCCTTCGTCGTCGCCTAGAGCGTCGAAGAGGGATTCGCGGAAGGCGGTTTCGTTGTCGAGGGGTTTGTAGGTTGAGGGGTTTAGGGGGGATGGGGAGCGCGTGCGTGGACGTGTGTGTGGGCGCGGGCGATGGCGATGGCGGTTCGTGCTGTGTTTTTCGCGGGAGGATCTGTGAGAGCGGTCTCGGTCTCTGTCTCTGTCTCGATCTCGATCTCGATATCGATGTCGTTCTTCATCTCGGCTGGGGTCTGTTTTGTTGGTGGGGGTGTGTTTTGTGGAGGAGCTTTTGAAGCGGAAGCGGCCTTTGCTGCGGTGGGATGAAGTGTAGTCGTCTGGTGGTGCGGGAGGGGGTCCGTCACTCTCTGGATTTGATGGCATGTTGGGGCGTTATTGGGGCGTTACTTCATGATTGTGAGGGGTGGTGAGTGTGAGTGTGGGTGTAAGGTTGAAGGGAGGAAGGTGGGAGGAAGTTGATGTTCGCCGTTGCTTGGAGATCGCCGCGGAGCTTCTTATCGGGCCGTTCTGGCCAACCTCAGCCAACCTTACCTACTTAAGGTAAGGTAGTGACTATCTAAGAAATGCTAGTGCAACGACCCCCGCATCTGTGACCTGGCATACTGCGGCATGGAGCCAAGCTTATCGGATTCCCAGGTTCCTCGGGCTCTGAGTCCTCTTCGATCTTGATTACATCCTTCAATCTTGTCTGATCTGGTACCGTGATCCTTATACAACTACTAGTAGTATACTAGACGATAACTGCAAAATGGCGATTCCTTCTACACAGATCGCAGCCGTCATACCACCGACCGGAGCATCTGCAAACTCCGGCGTCAATATCGTCAACACTCATCCAGTTCCTACCCCGGGCGATGGAGATCTACTAGTGAAACTTGAATTCTCCGGCGTGTGCCATACCGACATTCACAGTATCCGAGGCGATACGCCAATGTTGACAGATGTGGCTGGTCACGAGGGTGTTGGAACTGTAGTTTCAGGTGAGAAAGTATTTATGTGAGGACTCGAGGTTAAGGTTTGATCATAACTGATTTGATTCCTTGTCGTATCTCAGTCGGGCCCCGGGTTGATGAAGGCCAGTGGCTCGGTCAGAGGGTCGGTATTAGGTTCGCGCTTCTGGGGAGTATCCGAAGTTGAAGCCATACTTGAATGAAATTAACCATATGAATTATTCAGATGGCTTTATTCCTCATGCCTTGACTGTGAGATATGCGCTATCAATCATACCGCATGCCCTAGTCAGAAAAATGCCGGTGCCGTATGTCTTTCAGAGGAGTATATCATTATCACAGTTATGTCCATGCTAATACTCATTGCCAATGAAGAATGTCCCGGGAACCTTCCAGCGTTTGAGCCCCCATACCAAGCTTTGATTCCGGACTTGAAGGTTAATTGGTATCTAGAGTATATCGTCAGCCCGGCACTCCATGTCACGAAAATCCCATCGGAGATTCCTCCCGAGCTAGCAGCACCACTTCTATGCGGTGCGTTTAGATATCTTCTACTAGTACTTGCCGTATGAAGGACTGCTAATTTTTAATAGCCGGCATCGCCATGTATTCTTCAATCATGAAAACAAAGCCTCGCCCAGGCGATTGGATCGCTATTCTTGGTGCTGGAGGTGGCCTCGGACATATGTGCGTTGAAATTCACGATGTACAAACAAACCATAAGTGTCGTGCTGACCTGAAAACTACAGGGGTGTCCAAATAGCCGCGAAGAAAGGATTGAATGTCCTCGCTATTGACAAGTACGCCCCATCCGAAAAGACCACCCTACCAAACCCGGTTCGAACCACGCCGCTAACCTTGTGCAGAGGAGCAAAAAAGAGAGAATTGTGTCTATCGCTCGGAGCCAAGTACTTCCTTGACTTTAGTGAAGTTGACATTGTTGACGAAGTCAAGAATCTTACCTCTGGCCTGGGTGCCCATGGTGTAATTTGTACGGCGAACGGCGCACGAGCATATGAGCAAAGCCTCCATATGTTGCGTCCGCTCGGGACACTGGTATGCGTTGGCATTCCGAGTGTGCCATTTAATCTGCCGGCTACTCCACTGGACATGATCATCAAGGGTAAGTGAGAAGTGAGACTTGTGTGTTTTCATGACCCTGGCTGATCTCTGATCTCCGTCTTAGGTCTGACTATTGTGGGAAACTCGGCTGGCACTGCAAGTGAGATGGAAGAGCTTTTGGACATGGCTATGGCAGGTGATGTGAAGGCTCATATCCAGGTTTTTGATCTGGATGAGATTCACGATGTCTTGGAACGACTCGAGAAATCGGATATTGAGGGGAGAGTGGTGTTGAAGATCCCTTGAGGAAAGTTGACCTGTATAGATTCTTAGTCTATCTCACTTTGAATCAAATCATGAAGTTGAACGTACTTGCATGCACATCTCTTGGATCGGTCGCAATGGGGCTCCTTCCGGTTTAGTGACCTTCGAGTGAACCCCCCCCCCCTCGTCGTTTATACGGCAGCCACCACTACTCGCGACATGGGAGCACTGGTACACAAAAAGCAAGGACAGAGATGACCCAAACGGCCCGCCGGGGAGCTTCATCATCCGTGAAAGTGATGACGGAGGGAATACTTGCGCGACATTGACAATAAACACTGACCAACAATCCGGCAATGGACATCCATGTACACGTTTCTGGCAGCCTTTTCTCTTCGAGTTTCCGCGACGTCTTGGCCAATATCCCGAAGGCACGTTGGTTTTGGCTGGAGTTCTTGTTGCTTCTGATTTAAGCTCCGTTTCCTTTTACCTGTGGCGGTCACTCGATCATGGGCAGACGTGGAGCCTGGGGCGTGAATGGCAGCGCAGTGGTTCGTATTACAAAGGGATATGGGAGCCGTTTCTTTATCTGGATAGTGGGAATCGGTTTGTCGCCATTTTCTCCGATGAGCATTCTTACTGGAGCCAGGCACAAGTGTCGGTCATATCTGATGATGGGGGCGATGCATGGGGTCAGATCGAGTTCGCTGTGGCTAGTTCCAATATTCATGATCGGCCGGGCATGGCTACCGTGGTGAGAATGGATTATGGCGAGTACACTTTAGCCTATGAATACTGTGGTACTGCCAATTGCCCAATCTATGTCAAGTTCTGCAACGACGGATTGAACTGGGTATCATCCGATACGGGGGACGCTGTTTCCACAACTGACGACCTCTTCATGTCATCAAGTCCATTCATCGTTTGGGAACCGACAGCAAAACAGTTGATACTTACCAGCCAGTCGGTGCACCCGATCGGTAATGGGTCGCAGGTCTCGCAGACCCATCGTGCTGTCTTCATCAACAGCGAGCATGGCCGGCGTCAATGGAGATGGTCTCCAGCTTCTTGGAATGTCCGCGCAGGATATCTGACTTGTAACTCCAATTACAGCCCCAACTTCTTGTAAATGTTCACATTCACCTTCAGCACCGGGACCCCGGGCAGAATGATGCCCACGCATGAAGGCACCGTCTCGAAGATATTGGGTTCCTGGGCAGCACCCTGGCCGGTAAAATCGAACAAATGGTATCGTCTGACCTTGACCTACCATCCTGAGTTGATTTTGACGGTTACGGCGGGAGTCCCTCCTGCAGATGAATTGGAAGAAGTGGAGACTAGCACGACCTACCAAATCAGCATTGCCACCAGCACGGACAACGACTTCGAAGAAGGCATGGCGGGGCTAATTGGGCGAGATTGCGGAGGGAAATTTAGGAATGTACAGATTGTCGCGAACTAATACGAGACCATAGATATGATCATTACTATCGTTACGAATATCATTTGATCATTCAAGTGATTCCATAGACCCTAATGCACATGGTGTACTCCATAGTACTATTTTGTACAGTATCTGGCTCATCCGCATCGGGTCGATCATTTGGAGAATCGCAAATTCAAATAAACCAACGATCCCATTCAAACCCGGGGAAGGTCCAATGTGCCGTCGATCGTCTCGCTGATAGGCCCGCTGAGGGAGTGCCAATCAGCGAGTGTTGAACCCCCCACGGGCGGCCCCGGTGCCTGTGAGTGGCCCACATCGCGACTAATGCAGGCCCGAAGCCAAATGCCCTTAAAGTTGCCTCAAGTCCATACTATAGCCATGCCTTAGGGCCTAGGATACTCCGTATTCGGAGACCATAAAACTGTTTTCGTGATCTACTAGGGTGGGGATCAAATGAAACTATATGGTCCCATGTCCTGGGTACTTCGCCTCCTATACTAATTTACCTTCGAATGCAAGTTCCAGGTACAAACTTCACCCATCACGACGCCTCCTACTATCGCAACCTCCCCCACCCATGTGTTGCCCTGATAGGATCTGATGCAAGCTGCTGCCCATCCCTCCACCCGCAATGGAGTGCCACCTGTGGGCTTTATGGAGATGTCCTATCAAAAGTGCCATGCAGAAGTACTGCACTGGAAGTATGGCCGGAACTATGACCATGTGCTCTCTGGGATGCTGATGGTATATGAAATATCAATCCCCTCGTGCCTTCTCCTCCCCCTCCCCCTCCATATTTCCCCTCTCTTTGAAAAATGCTTGTCAATTTCCTGCAAAGTCCCTCAATGGACTGGCTTCACGTCTACATCGCCGGGGCGGCCTTCTCAGTCTTCGCCTTGGTCGCGCTGGTCCTCCTTGTCTCCTTCCAGCCTGTTAAGATTGACCTCAATAATGGTGTCTTCACTTACCTCAAGTTCATTTGGGCCAGTTTCCTGAAGCCCCACGATAGACAGGCCGAAGACCAACAAGATGCGCTTGAAAGCTTTTACAAAACTCAGGTGCGTTGCAAAGTGAATATATCGAGTAACGAGCAAATAATAACCGTTCTCTTCTCTTTCAGGCCAGTGTCTACGATGCTACTCGACGTCGCCTTCTTCGTGGCCGTGAAGACATGTTGGGTCTCATTGCGGCGCAACTGAAGCACAAGGTTGAGAGCAAGGAAATCAAGTCTGGCAAGGCTGTGTGGGTGGATGTAAGCATTATTCAATTAGTATATTCCCCAGAATGAAGCTGACAGAGTCGACAGATTGGCGGTGGTACTGGGTGAGTGGCATATGAATACCACAGCCTCATGAATTTATTCAATTATTGAAATATACTAACCAGTATTTATTCACAGCTACAACATTGAAGCCATGTCCGCCTTCGTCCCAGTGGAGAGATTCTTCGACCACGTTTACCTCGTCGACCTTTCACCCTCTCTCTGCGATGTTGCCCGCAAGCGCTTCCAGCGCCTGGGGTGGAAAAATGTCACTGTTCTGTGCCAGGATGCGCGATCCTTCCGTCTTCCAGAGAAGCAGGTCGATCCCCGGTCTACAGAGGCTGCAACGGATCGAGCGGACATGATTACCATGAGCTATAGTCTTTCTATGATTCCAGGTAAGATTTGAAGTGCTTGAGAGATCAAACCATGGTACTCATACTAATATCACCTTTCAGACTACTACAGTGTTGTTGACTCCCTTACCTCGCGCTTGAAGCCGACTGGCTTGATCGGAGTCTGTGACTTCTATGGTAAGTAGCAACCAGAGATAATATTCTCAAACAGCTGCTCACACCCAAATAGTGCAAAGTATTGTCGACGTATCTTCCCGCAATTATATTGGTGGCGCATTCAATCGTCACGTCAACTGGCTTGGTCGAGTTTTCTGGCGTGCGTGGTTTGACTTTGACCGAGTCAACCTTGAAGCTGCTCGTCGCGACTATCTCGAGTACAAGTTTGGAACTGTGATATCGGCCAGTGAGCGTAACTACCTTTTGGGCGGAATTCCGTACTATATTTTCGTCGGCTGCCCTAAAGAGTTCGCCTCTACCCGATCCAGCCAAGCCACTATCGAAAAGTTGGACGCTTCCTTCACCGAATCTCCCTATCTGCACCCTGCCAACCACCAAAATGAAATGGACAAGGCCGTCCAGAAGAGCACAAGTGAGGTTCGATCCAAGGCTTACGAATCTGCTGTGATCAACCTCAGCGCCAACCTGCCTCTCCCGTGCTCTTTCTACCAAAACCATCATTACCGGATACACTACAATGACATGCTACCCAAGCACACGCAGTTCCAAAATGAGTATATCTACGCATTCACCTGGGAAGATCCCCGCGTGGATCACCGTTTGCTGAACATCGGCTCAGACGATGTGATCTTGGCCATCACCAGTGCCGGAGACAATATCTTGGATTACCTACAGAAAAACCCTCGTCGTGTACATGCCGTTGACCTAAACCCAAACCAAAACCATCTTCTCGAGCTGAAGGTGGCTAGTTACAGTGCATTGGGACATCGTGATATGTGGAAGATTTTCGGCGAGGGCAAGCACCCACAGTTCCGCGAGCTGCTAATTTCCAAACTGAGCCCTCACCTCTCGAGTCAGGCGTTCCAGTACTGGTTGGAACACACACATGTCTTTACCTCTACTTCTGGATATGGTCTCTACGAGACTGGTGGCTCTCGTCATGCTATTCGTATGGCACGATGGCTGTTCAACATCTTTGGCCTCCAGGGCGAGGTTACGAAGATGTGCGAGGCTCAAAGCTTGGAAGAGCAGCGTGCTATCTGGCCGCGTATCCGCCGAGTTCTCCTCAGCAAGCCATTGAACTGGGCTATCGTGAGTACCGAGTGGTTTGCCTGGAAGGCAGCTGGTGTGCCTCGCAACCAGCGTAACATGATCGTTGATGATTTCTTCCGTCGCAACGGGTTGACCTCGGACATGAAGCAAGGAAAGGACATCAGTGGCCAATCGATTTGGGAATATGTGGTGAATACCCTCGATCCAGTGGTCAAGGACACGATGATCAGCAACGACAACTACTTCTACTACCTGTGCGTGCAGGGTAAATTCTCGCGACGGTCAGTCAATCCCTCAAATATCTATCTTAGAGATGCATGGAGTTGATACTAATTTTCATCCAGATGCCACCCTACATACCTGTCACCCCAAGCACATGTCAAGCTCTCCACGCCTGGTGCCTTTGACGGGCTCCGTATTCACACCGACGAGATCAACGAGGTTATCAACCGCATCACACCCGGCACATTGACGATCGCTGTGGTAAGTATAAGAATATCCACCTTAAACCTCACATATACTCATGTAATCTAGGTCATGGATTCAATGGATTGGTTCGATCCCGCCGAGGATGCAGCCGCCGCACAAGCCCGTCGTCTCAACCACGCCCTGAAGAAGGGCGGCCGGATCCTACTCCGCTCCGCTAGCATCGACCCTTGGTATATCAAACACTTCGAAGACAACGGATTCACAGCTCGTCGCGTTGGAGCTCGTTTCCCTGGCACTTGCATCGACCGGTAAGCACTCTTTCAACTCGCTGGTCCCCGGGCACAAACTAACTAATCAATCAGTGTCAACATGTACGCTTCCACCTGGATCTGTACCAAAAATGAAGACATCATCCGCCCCAGCGCTGGAAGGGCAATGTCGTCCCTGTCCCTTCCTGACAGTGCTGTCGCGGCAAAGGCGAGGAGATCGACTAGCGTGGAGGACCTGCAACTTTGACTTTGAAGACCGCCCCGGCCTCGGCTTCTTCTCCCTCTTCCTCTTCCTCTTCTATATCCTTTAGATACCTTTTTCCTCTTTCATGACTCCTCTTGCCTAGATGGTTTTGAAGGTCGTTGCTTATTTTTATGACACATATACTATGATTAATGGGGTGTTTGGTGTATATACTGGGTTGGCGGTGTTTAGACGACAAATTGTGATAGTATGTTGAATACCACCTGCTTATATTGAATGGCGCTAGAACTTGAAAATAAACTTGAAGACTTGGAAGGAGGGCTGTTATTTATTGCAATCACTCAGGCTATCAGAAGGCTTTCAAGTGCTAGTAGTACCGTGACCTAGATTATCTCATCGAGTAGTACTAGGTAGTATTCATTAGTGAAAAAGGGGAATGCACCTCGGATACTAGTAAACTGATCATATGTTCCAACTTATACTAGTATGGAAGACAGAACTCCAAAAATGAAGAGCAATTCACCTACCTTCTTCCCGGCAGTCATAATGGGGCTACTGGAACCTTCGAATGGTCCAACCTCGATCAACCTTGCGGGAGATAGCTTGGATTCGAGATAGCCAGGCCAAGGCAGTCTCCCTGAGCAAAGTCACTCATTCAGTCGTCCCATCAAATTTGTTTCACTATCTTGCCCATGCGGAGATGGGATGATGGATTCAACGACGTCAATGGGCTCAATCTGATATCGGCGATAGCGCAAAAAGAACACTCGATCTTTATCCTCGGAGATTCAAAAGAGTAGATACATCCGACTTCTTACAGCGGTTGGCTGGAGAGCTTGAATTGATTAGCTTGCTTCCGAGCTGATAACCCGAATACATGCTGGTCGGGGCCTCTTGTGTCGCATGTGTTGCTGCAAAGACAAACTGGGAGAATGGTATGGGCTGTGAAGATGCTGGTACAATGTAGATCAAGAGGATGGATACTATATCGGGCAATGTGTAGTAGCAGATAACGAAAGAAATGAGCGGTGAAATGAGCAGGAAAGGGGGAACAGGAATAGGTACCGCAACGGATGCCATAACCAAGGCAAGAATACAACCGTGTGGTTCGTTACATGGGTGATATCTGCAAACCGCGCGAAACCCAGCGATCCAGAAATGCAATTATTTATAGTAGTAGGATCCTGCCCTATGTCGAGAACAATTTCCCCAAGTAAATCAATGACCTACGCAGCAAAAGCCAGATGTCTGCGACACTTATAAAAGTTCGTCGTAACAAGATATGGAAAGCTAGTGTGAACCCAGCTCCAAATCTAATCATATTTCACAGTTGAAGCCAATGTTAAGAATAGATAAAAAGCTTAAGAAAACAGGGACAAAAGAAGAAGACATGAAAAAAAAGCGCCCTCTAAAATAACAGGACAATTACAGCCAGAGATGGGGAGCCAAGAGAAAGAGCGAGGGCTTCTCAAATAGCGCCTCCATCTCTGGCTTTGTTTTCGCTGAAATCATATCTATCCATGGCTGGTGCGAGACACATACACACATTGACATTGACATTCACAACTCTTCACACTCCCCTGCCGACTCTCTTGTATAGTAGGAAAAAGAGGGAGGGAGCAAGCATAAATAAAAGTGACATTGTAGGGTGGGCGGGAAAGGGGAGAGCGAGAATATAACGGAGTTAAAGGAGATGGGATGGTGTTCATGAGCGGCCGTAGCGGGTCTTGCCGAAGGAGAAAGGCACATAGCGATACTTGATCATGTGCTGGATCTGGCGGCGCATAGTCAACACGAACAGGATGATCCAGTACATCACCAGGACGGGCCAGAAGACGGGGATATCGAACATGGAGAACCAACTGCACACGAAGCCGATGGCGATGGCGCGGGTGGCGGAGTGCCAGAACTTGAACTCCGGCAGACGTCGGATGAAAGGACGGAACTCTTCGTCCCGCTTGGTGGGTAGGCTGGGGGAGCCGGCGTCGCCGTCTTCCAGGCCTTCATCCTGGGTCAGGGAGGGGTCGAATTTGGGGGTGAGGAAGGCGAGGAAGAGGTTGAGGAGGTAGATTCCGAGGGTGTAGGCCACTATTTGGCGGATTTGTTAGCGTTTGTTATTCTGTTTGTTTGCGATATTTCGCCGCATCGTTCATTGCATTCCCGTTGTTTCATCAAGTGTATGTTGGTTTTCTTCTTGTATATTCGGGTTGCCTTTTGGGGGTGGCGATTGTTCGCAATTGAAGATGGGACTGGGGAGACGACACGTACCGATGTACCATCCTTGCGCGAAGACGATGCGCAGGAAGAAGATGAACAGAAGAACACCGGAGCCAACCCAGCGGTATGTGGTGTAGGGAGTCGAGGCATCGAGCCAGGCTTGATAGTGCTAAAACCGATGGGTCAGCATGAAACAGGTCGGGCGGGACAAGCCGGCGCGCCGGTGCAAAGAATGGGAACAACTGCGGCGGCCGGGGCCCCTCACGGGGAAAGCACTTACTCTGGTCAGTTTGGAGGTGTGGGCCGAGACGGCCGTGAAAGGCGACTCATTGGGCTCCGGGACATCCATGGTGAGGTGAGGGAGAAAGGTGAGGTGGAAGGAGAGAGAGAATGTCGGAGAGTCGAGAGGTTTCAGGCAGTCGCAGATCGCAGTGCTGAATGCAGTCGCTTGTTCTGGAAAACGAAACAAGAGCAAAGTGTCCCCTGGCCATCCACCAATCACATTGCAGATGACGCCTCCGGTAGACCACGTGATGTGCACAGCCTCTTTCCTGTCAGTTTAGTAATCATTCGCTCCAGCCACCGCCACAGTCACGCCAACTATTGAGGCTCGACACGGCGCGAAATATTGGATTTGGTGGCAAAGACACTGGATTGATAACAACATAGTTGTTGTGTGTAGTATGACTATGTTGACAGAGTCACAGAGGTTTTTGATTATCCAAAGTTTGAGTTACCCGGGGCTCCCATCTCTATTGAGGAAAGGACTCGGAGGGTTAGAGTACATATTTGAAGAGCAGAGTCGTCCATAGACTTGAATGTAATCTAGAGTAAATCTAGAGTAGTACATGAACACCCAATGTGAAAAATGCTGCCAAGCATGCCACCTGGGCAGTGAAATATTGGTTCAAGTTGACTTCTAAGGACAATCTTGTGTGTATTAACCACGGCTCCTGCAAGGTACCAACCTTGTTTAATTGGTTGGAACTTGGAAGTAAGCCGCATCTATATGGGCACAACTCTCTTCTTCTATTCGAAAGATCACACCGATCAAGTTCGCTAAAATTTTCTCTTTGCATACCCTCTTCTTTTCCCTGGACCCTGAATCAAGGTCGCTGCCAAATCACCGATCCACTTTTGTTGTTTTCCTTGAAATCTTGACCGAACCTCACGATTTAACTGGCCGCTGTGCTTACTTTTCCCGACAACAGCCAATTACTAAGACACACGCTGTGGGGCTAAACGGGCACTATTGATTTTCAAAGTAGTTTAGACACGCCAACAGTTGAGATAAACTATAGGAAAACATGGGCTTTCCTAGCGAGGAGAAAAACAAATATATCCCGGCAGCATCGTCCAGCCCACTGGTATCATCCTTCACCCCGCTGATGCCATCTTCAACGCCTTACTTGACCCCGTCTACATCACCGACAATGTTGTCGGGAATCATTTTGTCAAATCCGGTGACCCGTTTGTCGTCCACACCGCTGATCCATTCGCTGACGGCTTCTCGCACTACAACTAACTTGGTCTCGTCGACCCTGTTGAACGGTTTATATCTTCAATCTCTACAGACAACCCTACTACTTCGAACTCTTCCAATTCCTCTCTAAGTTCACCGGGGAAGTCTTCTTCTGATAGGGCCACATCTGTGAAACAGCCTGCCACCAGATCAATTGCGATTGCTATCACAACCTCGGAACTAAGACACTGATTAGATCATCTTCTTAGAGTAACCCAGCCTTAGGAACCTGCGGGGTAGCAATCGGGAGCACACCAAGCAAGGGCTACCATAGGTTCTATCGCACGACAACTGAAGTCTATACCATCAATTCTTGTGCTGCTGTAGTCACCAACTGCCCCACCAATTTACTGACAACCTTCTTCTGACAACATATCTGACTACCGATACAACCACCTTTGTCGCCACAATTTGTCCCGAGAGCGTTAAAACTACAGCCATCCAAGTCTCAGGCTCAAAGCCCACCGTCCCTGGTATGGGTGTGATCGAAACCGGCAAGTATAGTAGAAATTAATAATATAAGAAAGCAAGCCCTTTCTGGAACAACGAAACAATATCTAATTTGGAATTATCCCACGAATATAGACCCTAAGAATGAAATCCCACAAAAGGATTCACCTTTGGTCAAAATCAAACCACTAATTTCAGCCGGCTTCAGCTCAATTCTATGGTGTCAATATTTATTATAGCCAAAAAGGCCATATCAGCCACAGGTCAGGATCAAATACTCAACCTTGCCCGTTTTCCAGCCGGCAACCTCAGGCATGGCATTCACTGCGGACGTTGCCATTGACAGGGACCCGGGCATATAAGGACCCAACCTTCATTCTTCACAATTCCCGTCTCATGCCTTGAATAATTTTAAAATACTTTAAGTTAACCTTTTATAAAAAAATACCTGAATATATTCTTGTATTGTTGGCGATCGTTAAGTGGAGAACTGCTGAAGTAAGCCACATGAGCCTCGGGACGGTTAACTTCGGCCCTTTTTCGGTTGCGGGGACGCTCATACATCATAGCTTCCTTTCGACAACCCTCCTTTCCACCCGTTGATTGTACTTCCATCGTGATCCCTGTCACCAATCGCCATGTTTGCTCGTCGCTGTACTCGTTTGGCCACTTCTCGGACCGCCGTTCCTCTGAGCTCTTACCTGGCTCGAGTGCGCCCGTACTCCTCTGGCCCGAGCTATGAGCACATCCTCACCGAGACCCCGAAGCCCGGGGTTGGCCTCAGTAAGAGCTTCCCAACGCATGTTTCTGCGTACAGAATTACTAACTCAATAAAGTCACCCTGAACCGACCAAAGGCCCTGAATGCCCTGTCCAGCCCACTCTTCAAGGAGCTTAACGATGCGCTGAGCAAGTACGATAACGACAAGGACATCGGCGCGATCATCATCACTGGAAGTGAAAAGGCATTTGCCGGTATGCAACAAATTTCGCGACAATTTATCTGAGCGCAAACTGACACGTCCTAGCCGGCGCCGATATCAAAGAGATGGCCCCCCTCAGCTTCGCCGCCGCCTACTCTGACAACTTTATCGCTCCCTGGTCTCACCTTGCCAACACAATTCGCAAGCCAGTCATCGCAGCCGTCTCCGGCTATGCCCTCGGTGGTGGTTGCGAGCTAGCTCTGATGTGCGACATCCTTTACTGCACTGCGAACGCGACTTTCGGACAACCGGAGATCAAGCTGGGTACCATTCCTGGCGCGGGAGGCTCGCAGCGTCTGACCCGGGCTGTCGGAAAGAGCAAGGCGATGGAGCTCATTCTGACCGGCAAGAACTTCAGTGGCAAGGAAGCTGGTGAGTGGGGTGTCGCCGCCCAGGTGATCGATGGCGGAAAGGAGGAGCTTCTGGCGACTGCTCTGAAGACCGCAGAGACCATTGCCGGCTACGGCCGTGTCTCTGTTATTGCTGGCAAAGAGGTTGTCAACAAGAGCCAGGAGTTGTCGCTGCGCGAAGGTGTCGAGTATGAGCGTCGTTTGTTCCACTCCTTGTTTGGAAGCAAGGACCAGAAGATTGGTGAGTATTTCTTCCTATTGGGGTTGAATCGCGACATGCTGTTTTCGAAAATGAATATTTCTAACAGATTGCATAGGCATGACTGCATTCGCAGAGAAGAAGAAGCCCGACTGGTCGAACGAGTAGGGTCTTAGTTTCTTTCCATCTAAATTCCAAGAGCGTGATATTCCAACCAAACAATAAATTTCTATTGCAACGAGAGACCTCCTTATGAATTTATAGTACCCACTCGGCATAAATATTAGTCAACTATTTTGAATCCAGAATGCATTCCTCTACAACCAGCATGTCGCAAAAAAGGCTCGAAGTTATCGTAAAGCCCTCGCTGTTTATACACCTAGGATATGAACCCATCAGGCGAGAGTAACTTAATCGAAAAAAATAACTCAAATCATCTGCTCATTGAAATGTTAACTTCTTGAAAGAACTCTTACCTTTGTCAGGCAGTTCACTCCGCATACTTCATCGGAGCCCACCCTCCCTCCAAGGCTCACCGCCCGGGACATCACGCCTCCGATTCCGTCCAGTCTTCGGATCTGCAAGGGCACTGCAGAACCTCGGATCAAGCCATTACAGTGAGTCGTCCCCCGGTTCTAAGTCAATCCATGCCCTTGGAGCTCAGAGAGTTTCTCACAAGCTTTCATCCAACAATTGCACCCTCCAGCTCGAACTCCATCTCCCCGCACAGTGAAGCCAAGATCTCCAGTCAAAACTGACACCGTTCAAACAGCTCTAGTCCGGCGCGCACCCGGCGAGGAAGGCCAATTAAACACCAATCCCACCTTCAGCCCAGATGACGTCGAGTTCCGCATCGATCGCGTGGAAGACCAGCCTTCGGGCTCGTTCAATCCCCGCATCCCGCTGGTGTCAACGGCCGGCCTTGCTGCCGAAACGGGCCGATCGTGTGCCCACCATTTTGCGATATGCGTCGGATTCGGCACCCGCCACCGAAGCCGTGAAGGAAGCTGCCAAGGACGCGGCGAAGGAGGCGCCCAAGGAGATCCCCAAGAAGGCTGCTCGTGGTTCTAGAAAGGGCCTTTATGGTACTTCGTTGGCATTGGTGCTGCTGGCTGGATATATCTACGGAACCGATACTCGGGCTAGTGCCCACCGCTATGCGGTTGTTCCTCTTATACGACTTATCTACCCGGATGCCGAGGAGGCGCATCACGTTGGTGTTGACGCGTTGAAGCTGCTCTACCGTTTTGGCCTGCACCCTCGCGAACGCGGTGACCAGGATGCTGACGGGGCGCTGGCTACTGAGGTAGGAATGAATGCTCACTGAGACTGATTGACCTCACACTAAAGCAAAAGTTTCCTTAGGTCTTCGGCTACAAGATCAACAACCCCATCGGTATCTCCGCCGGTCTGGACAAGCACGCCGACATCCCAGACGTCCTATTCGACATTGGCTGCGGCATCGTCGAAGTCGGCGGCACCACGCCTCTCCCCCAGGAGGGCAATCCCAAGCCGCGAGTCTTCCGTCTACCCTCCCAACACGCCATGATCAACCGCTACGGCCTCAACTCCCTCGGCGCCGACCACATGGCCGAAGTCCTCAAGCAGCGCGTGCAAGACTTCGCCTACTCCGCCGGCCTCGGCGCGCACGAAGAATCCGAGCAGCGCGTCCTGGACGGCGAAGCCAACGTGCCCCCCGGAAGTCTTATTCCCGGCAAACTTCTCGCCGTGCAGGTTGCTAAGAACAAAATCACGCCGGATGGGGACATCGACGCCATCGCGCGCGACTACGTCTACTGTGTCGACCGCGTCGCCAAATACGCCGATATCCTCGTCGTGAACGTCTCCAGCCCCAACACCCCCGGCCTACGCGACTTGCAAGCCGCCGCCCCGCTGACGGCCATTCTGACCGCTGTTGTGGGCGCGGCCCAGAACGTCGACCGGAAGACCAAGCCCCGCGTCATGGTCAAGGTTAGTCCGGATGAGGACTCGGACGAGCAGGTCTCTGGGATCTGTGAGGCTGTGTGGAACTCCGGCGTTGACGGCGTGATCGTTGGTAACACTACGAATCGCCGGCCCGACCCGCGTCCTCAGGGCTTCGCTCTGCCGGAGAAGGAAGCAGGCACCCTCAAGGAGACTGGTGGTTATTCGGGCCCGCAGCTCTTTGACCGCTCTGTGCCTTTGATTGCCCGCTACCGCGCCATGCTGGACCAGGGTCCGCCGTCTCAGGCTGAGGCCGGTGAGGGTTCGGCACCTGCTGCTGACCAGCTTGCTCGCAAGGTGATCTTCGCTTCTGGTGGCATCACTAATGGTCGCGAGGCTCGCCAGGCTCTTGAGGCGGGTGCTTCGGTCGCTATGATGTATACTGGTGTTGTGTATGGTGGTATTGGAACTGTGACGCGGGTGAAGCAGGAGCTGCGTGAGGAGCTGCAGAAGAAATGAAGCGGTGTGGCAGGAGCTCAGGCTGCAACTTGCCTTGCCAGTACTGTGAAAAAAAGAGGAATTTTAGCAATAGATTGAACGATTGTGTTTTGTACATAGCATATGATAGGAATATTGATCATGAGTAACTTGTGTAGTATTCTTTTCTCCTTAGATTGGTATTTTTATGCAGATGAATTGAAATGAAATGAAATTCACTTCACTTCACGCTTCTCATTCATGCGACGAATAATCTAGAATATTCTCTAATGAATCCATGGTCTTATTCTATTTTTAACGAGGTAGGTTTCCATCGTGACGGCACTCGGTTGTGGGCACATTGTTATCGACCGATACCCAAGCTCGGCACGAGGCGCGGAGAGACGCCGGTCGTTGACAACAACAACTCCGATGTCCGACTCCGAGTCAGGGCCAATTCTTACCTACTCGGGCAAAGCCGTCGAAAGCACACAGATCGCCAATTACTGTGCTCGGGTTACTCAATCAGTGCAATGGGGGAAAAGAAGAGTCCACAGTGGACTCTCGCCCCTCTGCCCCTCTATGACATTTCAACCCCATCATCGACACACAGCACATGAGGAAAAAAAGGCACTGGATTGAAAAATCGGGCGACTTTCAAAAGAGAAAAAGTTCGCAGAACACCATCGGAGAAAGACCGACCTAAGAATGGATAGAGATAGAGTGCTCTTCGAACTAAATTTCTGATCGACCGCGTGACGGGGGTGGGGCCCGTCAAAAGATGGGATGTCGTGGGGGAAAGCAAACCCGCGTCGAGGTCGAGGTCGATGGATGTGGATCAAATATCCAGCCCACTTTTCTCCAGTCGGTTTCTCCATGACTCCATCGTGGTGCATGGATCTGGTGGAGCTGGGGATCCATCGACAACGGGATCCCCCAGATAGGCTTCCCGGGAGCTGCTCGGCTTCGACAGGGTTTGGGTCTGCTTGACTCGGAGATGCAGCGACAGCCCCTCCGACCCACAAATGAGGCCGACTTGACCCAATTGCTTCGCTGGGTGCAGGTTCGAAAGCTCATGTCCCCCTGTCTACGTTCTTGGGCGAGTGGTATAACGGTGACGGTATAGTGTATGGTTCGAAACGACAAAAATTACCGATGATTAGGCCAGGCCGGGTCATTGGGATTTCAGCAGTGGTGTGAGATGCAACGGTACTGTAGTCATTGTTTCGTGATATCTTCATGCGTGGGATAGAATGGCCGAAGCTATTGATCGGTAATGCTTTTTGTAGTCGCCTAGGCTTGCTGGCTTAGACCGCAACACCTAGACTCTCCTCCACCTCACGGACAACCTTGCGCACACCACCAATCTCATGCGCGAATCGGCCCAGAAACATTCCATCAACAGCTTTGCCTAGTCCGCCCTCGCCCCAGAGTCCGGGGCCAGCGCTGCCGCCGTAGAGGACACGCGCAGTCCCCGGTCGCGATCCAATTACCCCGCGAATACCCTCCACAACCGCGGCAACGTGGTCGACACCAGCGGGCTTGGGCTGTCCAATAGCCCACACAGGCTCGTAGGCGAAGATCACAGGCGCATCGGCGGGGATGGCATTCAGCACCGCTTGCACAAGAACAGCACACTCGCCGACAGCCTGGCCGACAGCTTGAGAAGCTACCGCGCCCGGGGCGGTCAGTTCACCGATACAGACGAGGGGCACCATACCCTGAGCGCTGGTGGCGGCAGCCTTGCGTGCTGTCTGTTCATCTGTCTCGCCGAAGATAGCGCGACGCTCGGCATGCCCTAGCTCGACGATTGAGCAGCCCAGCGAGCGGATGGAGGCTGGGGAGACTTCTCCGGTGTAGGCGCCGGATTGCTCCCACATGCAGTCCTGGGCGCCGAGGAGGAATGGAGGCGGGGAGATGGAGGTTCCAGAAGCTGAGAGCTTGGTCTCGTATTCTCTAATTATGTCGGCGCAAGGCCAGATGGTGAGGAAATCTGGGATCAGGGCGAGGAGGAGCTTCGTGCGGTTTTCGGGCCGCACGATCTCGTTGGCGGGGTCAAGGAGGCCCCGTAGGTAGTCGAGGGTGCGCTGGGGGGGTGAAGTACATCTTGAGGGAGATGAGGAGAAGCTTCTCCGGTAGCACGGGGTAGGTAATCGGTGTCATGATGAAGATGTGTGAGTGGGTGGAATGAGGAAAAGAGTCAAGAGTGTAGGAGAAGGAGATTCGAGAGATTCAAAAGAGTGGAGTTTCCCCAGACTCAGGCAGGACAACAGTGGGTCGGTGCGTGAATGACCCTCAATTGGGAAGCTGAACTTTGACGAAGAGAACAAGAGTCTTTGGGGCTTTTGGAATACGGCAGTGTTGTGAAACTTGAGATATTTTTTCTGCTGTTACTTCTGTGGAAGGAGGGGGCGTCAGCGCCCATCCCGCTCACGCATTAGCGGCCGACTGGCTGCACCCAAGACGAGGACCGTTCCCTGCTTACCAGGATGATTCAGATCGAGTGATGTCACGGCGTTTTGAGGCTAAAGTGAAATCATGAAATGGAGGAGGTGGACACTGTGGAGACAGGAGAGTAGAAGTAGGTACGGGTACTGTAGAGATAGGAGTAGAATAGAAGCTAGAAGTATAGAGGGGTTTGGTTGAAACAAGACAGAAAAGAAGTAATACTTGGAAGATTAGGCAGGGTTACGTATGTACCAGTGAACAAAAGTAGGCGTAGTGGGGAATTGGAATTCAAAACAAAACCGGTTCCTAAAGGTTGCGGGAAAGCTGAAATTATTCGCGCATACATTGGGCCTGGCCCAATGTTACCTGAGAGTATACTTGACACTCTACATACGCCTACACCTGCAAAGCCTCCATGATTCCTCCGGAGTACATACGACCGTGAATTTCACAGTAGGTTTCAAAACTTACTCTAACGGGATGCTCGAGCCAACGTTCGGTGGAGTCGCCAGATCGGTGGGGGATGGACGACGCAGGTGAAATGACTGGAGCCGATGGAAATGGAGACTGATGTGCGAATGGGCTGGCTTCCAGAGGTGGAACGTACATTATTGACTCCGTAAAGAGGATCTACTAGTTGGATATCTCATATTTCATACTGTATACAGAACCATATTTACCAAGTCTACAGAGTATCCGGAGTATAACGCTTTCTGTTACCATCCAGGGGCCTTTAGGGCTTCATGGCTATGTCGGCTTGGTTGCCTAAACACAATCCAAGGCAAGTCAAGCGTAACCGGATGGCTTCATCCCGACCTTTCCCTAGACTCTAGACCCCTCTTTGTCTTTGGCTTTGCTGGGCATGTCGCACGGTCCTAGCGCCTCGGAGACATGAGGCCCTGGTCAATGCTCTCACAGATGGAGGCTGCAGCTGGTGGCTTTGGTGACATCGATGGCTGTTCTTCCAATCATCAATTGCAATCAATTGATTCTAATTCACATGTCCATCCTACAACTGCCTTCAACAATGTTGAGATGTTGTGATGTTGATGTTCACCTCTGGTAATACGACGTACCGCCCCGTGTATAGTACAGTAACCAAAGAGTACATCACCATCCGGTTTTGGGCGGCTGGCACTCCCTCCATCCACTCACATCTTCTCAATCCCCAGCCATGACGCTATGGCGGGGCATACTGCCTCTCCCCACCTCGGACAAGATAGTATCGAGGTCGCTCATCATTCGTACCAATGCACAGTGGAACTAGAATCCAAGATGGTCCTTCCCAGACACGAGCATTGGCCCCATCAACCCGTCTCCACCACCCACCCGGGGTAATGCGTTGCACGGCAAGCGATGAGACTCCCCCAACTATAAAGGGCCCCTGGATGGCCCTGGCTTCGTGCAGGCGATATCCAAAATATTCAATTCTTCTACCATCACCTCCAAGATCCAACCCGATCCCTCATCCATTCATCCACCTCACCAACCTCTCTATACTCCACCCATAATGTCTGCTCCTCCCCTCCGCATCGTCATGGCCTGCGACGAGGCCGGCGTCCCATACAAGGACGCCATCAAGGCCGTCCTCGAGAAGAGCCCCCTCGTCGCCTCCATTTCTGACGTCGGCGTCAACTCCACCTCCGACAAGACCGCCTACCCTCACCCCGCCGTCGAGGGCGCCCAGCAGATCAAGGCCGGCAAGGCTGACCGTGGCCTCTTCATCTGCGGCACCGGTCTCGGCGTCGCCATCGCTGCCAACAAGGTTCCCGGCATCCGGGCCGTTACTGCCCACGACCCTTTCTCCGTCGAGCGCTCCATCCTGAGCAACGACGCCCAGGTCCTCTGCATGGGCCAGCGCGTCATTGGCGTCGAGCTTGCTAAGAAGCTCGCCCTCGACTGGCTCAACTACCGCTTCGACCCTTCCAGCGCTTCCGCCGCTAAGGTCCAGGCTATCTCCGACTACGAGACCAAGTTCTCTGGCTCTGCTTAGATGCAAGCCATGGCTTCGCGGCCTCTTCAACTGCCTAGTCTCGTACATTGTGTTCTCTTGCTGGGATGGTTGCTGGTCGTGATGGGTGGACCTGCGCAACTCTTTACATACCTGTTTTCATACCAAGCGCTTCATGATACCACGAATCGATTGTCGAGTTTTGCTGTTTGGTTTGCTTTGGTCGGTAGATCTAGATTCACAATACAGTATTATTCGAAAGCTATATCTCTGTCTTGCTCTTTTATGAACTAAATTGTATCCTTTGCCAGTTCTAGATGGCAGGTTCTCATTCTAGACGTGTAAAGTTGAAACCCGACTAGCAAATAAATACGCGGCAAGTCTGCGGGGGATTGCGGGGCAGTGGGGTTGGGCAGAGCACTACAGATAACACCGCGGGGTTGATGGCCTTACGAATATGGAACAAGTACTAAATAGTACTATGTGTGAGAGAGATATCATGAGTTATTGTTGCAAACTAGATCAATTGGATCTAATATAATTTTATTTACGGAGATGTACCAGTATCATAAAGGGATTCCTCTTTTGGCAACAGCGTGAAGTGATCTCACGGCGATGCTAATGTTTCACCATCTGCCTCGATCTCGCACAATATTCCCCCGACTTGCCGCGTGGTGTTTTCCGACCATTTTGTAAGCTTTGAAATACCCATGGTATGGCTCTAGTCTGGAGTTTGCTGTGACAAATTGGGTGCCACGAGATTCCTGGGAGAGTTTAATCAAAACATGGTTTTCCGCTTTAGATTTCCGTGAAGGAACGCCTTAGGCCAATCAATATAGAAGGCGGAAGGTAACGAAAGACTTGGAAGTATACTAAGAAATGGCCGGGCTTGATAGGTATAGAAAATGGATTGTGGAAACTTCAAGTTGAATCGATTAAACAGTAAGCGAGTGTTTGGACAAAAAAAATACTTAATTGTAGGTCTATTTTGACAGCACAGTATAATTTAAAAGTTAAATCTCCTTTCTGCCATTATGCTTAAATCGTTTAATATTGTAGAAATGGCGGCTTTAGATGTGAACAAAACTTCGATAATGCCAAAAAACTCGTCAGCACCAGGGTTCGAACCTGGGCACCCGAAGGTACTAGATACCGAATGAATATTCAAGTCTAGCTCGTTAGACCACTCCGACATACTGACTGTAGTTGCCTCTTCCACCACGCAGCTGTTTACGTGGGGTTGCGAGTTGCTCCTTGCTGCGGCTCTGCTTAATTTAACCCCGGTCGGTAGGTTTACACCAAATAATTTGACACGAGAAGCTAATTGAAAGAATAACTAGCTAGTTAGACATGACTTTAAATAGCCAACAAATACACTGGGTGATAAAGTCAGCTGACCGTACAAAGGCCGGTGAAATATTTCTCCATTAAAGACTTTATTTGTTTCGGATTAGATGATACAGTTTCCTTTGGAACTTCTACTGGAGGAGGACCATGGATGGATGGATCATGGATAGATGACTATGGGAGGAACGACCTGAGGCTATTTACGCATGGCAGTGGGGCAGGCTGACCCGGCCATTTTTGTGCCTGATACACCAGGCACTCAAAACAACCTCTTTCCGATCTTCACCTTGCCGTCGATGCGATGATTACAGCAGTCTACTGCGTATAACAGCTCCGCACCCTGCATACCCTGAAATACCACAACACTTTTACCTCCAGGACTTTATCAATGAGATGGGGTGTTGAGGGCTCTGGCACTTACACTTTAATGGTTTGTGATGATGATCCATACTATATGGCTTGCGAACGCTAACATACTACTCTCTTAGGGAAATGGTACCGCCTCTCTCGCGCTCAGGGGCGGATGAGTCCCCCTGCCGATGATTCGACAGTGCACACAGTCATTCATTTATGCAACAACTTGAAGCCCGAAAATCTTCAAAGATGGGAACCAGTCCCATTTCCTAGCCCAATGCACTCGAGTCTGGATTGGATATACACTGTCGATATTGATGCTGGTACTTTGACAATCTCATCAATGAGTGAGTGGCGCGGATTATTGGCACCTTCACCTTCATTACCGCTGGATCTCGCCGAGATCTACGAGACATATAGCATAGATGGTTGGACGGTGCGGAAACCTCGATATATGTTCGGTGAAGATATCCGTGAGAGCAATGAGGCACAAGCAAAGCAATTTGAGACATTTGAAATGGACCTTGGTATCCCTTCACCCATGAACGAGCTACAGGGGCGATTCTTTACCGACCTTGTCTTTGTCTGGCGCTTTTGGATCGATGACCCTTCAACATGGAGGTATAATTCTCCTGTATTCAGGGTATTATGTGCTGCTTTCCTACGTCTTGCTGCCTGGGATTTCGAAGTGTCTTTTGATTCAAGGTGCAGCGAAGTTGAGCTTCCAATCGATGCTACGTCGATTCCCCTTTGGAGTTACCCTGATACAGATATCTATTGGTTTCATGGATACCTTGTTGTTTTACAGGAGAATCTTCAATCCGATGCTATGATAAACAAAGCTATCTCAAAAGCCAAGTCATATATTGGCACCTTGGACACTCGGCCTAGGCATGGCAAAACTCGCTTAATTTGCATCTCATTACGTCAGGTCGTTTTTGTGGAGCTTTCTCAGGAGGCTGCTCTAGCCTCCAAGAGCCTAGTATTGCTTTCCAGTTCCTCAGCAACCCAATGCTCACCTGGATTCCGTGCTCTAGCCCGGGTTCTAACGTCAAACTGCTGGAAGCCTCACGCCTACAGGGAGAAGTGGCCTGTCAATATGCCACCTGAGATTATTGAGATGATTTTTTCTAAAATGGAACCAGGAGATGCTGTAGCATTTTCGCAGGCATTCTCCGTTGCTGAGCAATGCTACTACGCTTCAGAATTCCAGTTCAAGAACATTGACGTGCAAAGTTTTGAGTCCTCTATACCTTGCTGCGGCAAGCGTACTAGGCTAGAGACGCATGGAATTTGCTGTTCTGAATGCTATTCTTGGCAACACTTGGAATGTCTCGGCCTAGAAAATGATTCTTCTAGCTCCAAGGGTCGATACGTTTGTTTAGACTGCCAGGAACGAGAAATGGTACTTGATCCTGGTGGAATTAATAGGTTCAGCTGTCGAAAAGTAAGAGAAGGATGTCAGGTCAGAGCCAACGGTCTTCTCAAATCGCTTCAATTGCGACTCTCTAAACCTGCCCATTTACGACCAGAGCTACGATCCTATGCAAGACTTGACTCAGTTGCACCTTCGCTCATAGATTATACAATCCTTTTCAACCACGCCTTCTCTGGACTGGCTTATGGCTTGGAACCTTTGGAAGATACTAGTTGCTAACTAGCGGTCGTGAATAGTTCAATTGCATAAATAGGCCGGAAATTCGGTTCCCACTTTATCCCAGACATGGAACCTAATCACCAAATATTCACAACTAAACTACTATTGAAAGCACTGTTTCTCAATATAGATGACTGTATCGTGCACTCTTCGGGTTCCCTTTTGTATAGAGTATGCAGTCAACGCACCAACTCTTCAAAGACCACCCACGTCTATAACCTCTCACATTTTGAGCCCATTAACTCCCATCAATGCGAACAAAAGTCCGGAACTCGCCATCATACAAAGGCTCCCCAGTAGAAGGATCCGCACTGTTAGGACCAAGCAATCTCAAAGTCCAATACGGCCGTCCAGCACTCCCCGCCGAGCCAGAATTAATCTGAATCCCCCAAGTCGTCACATTATGCGAGCCCAGGAAGATACCATCCTGCTTCACCCCGGCCTGATAGTGATTGTAAGCCTGGATGGGCAAACTGTATTGACCCAATCCCCACATGAGCTCAGCACTATAAGCGTAATCGCTGATATTGACGCTCTTCCACTCGGCTCCGCTTACGCCGGAGGGAACGTAAGACTCGAAGGAGCTTGTTTCGTCGTTACAGCGGATTGGGCTCTTGGCTATATCATTTTTGTCGACGATTGCGAGCTGAATTGCGAGAGAGAGAAGGGGTTAATTTTTACTATTCTCTTCGCATTTTCGATTGGGAAGGGGGGGGGGGGCATACATAGCCTCTCTCAACGCTGGTATCTCCCTGTTGCAGGAAATATACGGCTTCACTGCCAAATCCTTCCATGGTGCAGGCATTGTCGGATGCGGTTGTGTTCACGCACTGGTCAACAGTCACGACCCACGGTCCAGCAATTCCGGCTGAGGAATCGTAGCCGGGAAGCTTGGTGCATCCTCCCGAGACCTCGACTGGACGGACGGAGGCGGCTTGTGCTGCGGCGAGCAGCGAAAAGCCGGCGATGAGGAGAGACATGGTTTTCGATGTTACGGGAGGACCTGCTGGTAATCGTATTCTTTGATTTTGATGGGTAGTTCCAAGTTTAGCATGCGATTTTCGAGGAGTTCCAGGTGATATTTATAGTGCCCCCTACTCCAGCCTTGGAGACCAATTTCCAAGGTTCATTTCGGGGAATTTCCACATTCACCGAGTGGTGCCTGTGCCTGACCAGGCTGCGAAGCAACAATTTGAATCCACTAATTCCTAGCCTGGAAATTGAGATTGGGGTCCAAATCAGACTTTGTACTGCTTCTCAAGAGTTCAGGGGGTTTAGTGCCTGTCTTAACATCTTGAATGCCTAAAGGAGCCTGAAACGAAGGAGCCGCCCCCGGCTTGGCGAATGCTTTTCTTCCAATCTTGACGCCACGATGGGTCTCGTTTATGGCCCCATGGGGCTAAATCCCCTTATTTGCGGCTGAAACTATCACATTTTCGAATTTTCTGTCATTGCTGTTCTTGTTATATCTTTGTAATCATCTATATTGATGTGGATCATGGATAGTGAGTAAAATAAGGGTTTCACTGGTTCTGATTCTAAGGTTATATAGAAACACTACCTCGCTGTTGAAGAAGACTGATTGACAGAGTGGATTTCCGCGGGCATGTCTAACCTCAGCAGAATTTCCGTGACAAGAACTTCAACTGCCTCACGATGATCGAGAAGCAGATGGTCCGCCGAAGTCCTCTACTAGCCTCCAATGTGATACGCACTGCTAGAAGTATGCATCATTTCTCTATGGAAGCTCAACGGAGATCTTTGACCGACTTTATAATACCCCGTAATCCTATTAATAATTAGATTGTTGGTGATAAAATCTGAATAATCCCGAGTCGCTAAGAATCCTTCGTACATATCCACTTACCATTTGACGCGCATCAGTCCTGGTCTTTCAAACTTGGCTAACAAGTGAGACCGATCACATTGCTTTCCTACAGCCTGATTACTGCATTATACGTCCAAAATTACGCCAAGGAAATGACTCAATTTGCGGGTAACCCCGTGTCGTATTTTCGTTCCCTCTAATGACTCACTTCGCTATACCATCTTTGGCTTAGTCCGTATGGATTGCTACGCATTGACATGGGGGTATAGCAAGTCGTCAAAGTCTTTAAACATAAGAAGCCGCTATTATCCATACTTGCTGCATCAAAATATATTGTATTTCCCTCCTTCTCTTTACTTTATTTCATATTCCGGGCGGGAGGCATCAAGTATGACAGATATTGAAGCAAGGTTGACTTATCTCCAATGGCAGCCCAGCTATGCTCTTACTCGCCCCTATCGAATTGGGCAATTTGCCGGGCGAAGAAGGCCAGGAAAGCAACGTGAAAAGACCACCAATTTAGTATTCTGTGCGGCAGAACAAATGGAGACTATAAGGGATATCAGGACTTGGGCGGGGGATCCCCCGTTTAATCTCGACACTAACGGTTTCGCTTATAAAAGATGCCAGAGTCCGGCTCTTACAAAATCATATGATTATTCGGACCAAGAAAAGGTCAAGAGCATATTTTTGCCGGAATGCGAGGCTATTTTGAAAAATGAGATTGAGGCAGCCGATGAAGTTTTAATTTTCGATTGGAAAGTAGGCACCGTAACGCGAATCTGCTTTTTACCTGCGGGCAACTGACCTAGATTTCAATGTTGATAGATCAGGAAGCGAAAAAGCGCAAAGGAGCGAAGACGGCGAAATCCAAATTTGCAAGGTTTTGCCCAGCAGGTTCATATTGGTGAGTCCAAGTTACAGATTTGCTTCATCGTGATGGCCGCGTCTGTCGAGTCAAAGTAAATGTTGCTGACAGTATTCAAGACACGCTTCTCACTCGGGACGAGATTGGAACTCCTATGATGGAACGTATTCGAAATCATATTCCCGAGGAGTCTCAGCACCTTCTTTCTGGACGAGTCCAAATTATCAAGTGAGTCGCAGGATCCAAAAGAGTCTAACTCCTCCCACTCCCCTCCCTCCAAATGCCTTCGGCAGTAGACAGCCGATTGAGTATTTGGCCCTAATTGACACAAATAGTCTCTGGCGACCAATAAGTGGACCGATTGAAGACCACCCTATCGCTGTGTGTGATGGCCGGGCCTTGGACCTGCATAACCTGATCGAAACTGATATGATACTTGGGAATTATACTGGCACTCTTCTCTATCCACAGTACAGGCCCAATGATACATATAAATGGTATTATATGAGCAGACAGGACGTAGAAGACGTGCTTCTATTTAAGAGCTTTGATACGAAGGAGGGTAGTGTCAAATGTAAGTGGTCGACCATGCGTGTTGTCAGCTTAATACCCCTATTCTATGCCCTTCCAAGATTACAGCCTGGAGAAGCCATACAAAGTACACTAGTCTGACAAGTCTTTGCTGCAGATGCTCCTCACACCTCATTTACCCCCTCGAAATTTTCCGGAATTCCTTCTCCAAGGGTCAGCGTCGAGGTCAGAGCTTTGGTGTTCTCACGCCACAATTGAGAGAATCTATGGAGCAGGACTACCAGCTATCTTTGTGTATGAGCTGAAAATACATTTGAGATATACAGTGAACAGATTAGGATTTGATCCGGTATCTTATTGCTGATAAAGATACGTGATATGGATATTGTACAATATCGTTTTTGAAAAGTCCCGTTACTCTGGTAGCAGGACCGTGATCATGGTGATTACCATTAGCGTTCTGTCGAATAAAAGGGGCGGTGATCCAAAGGGAATTAGTCTGTTCTATAATCATTTCCCGGGAACCAAGTTCGAAGAGTGTGAAGGTGAAGCTGTTTAGTTAACTTTAGTTACTGTATAGGAGTACTTGTAGTATTCGGCTGACTCATTCATTCTGCGGGGATCGATAACCTTCCACAACACCGTGACCGTATAAGGTACTCGCTCATTTCTTTGTTATCCTCTGTCAATTACTATAAAACAAGCAGGCCAGGGGATCTGGAAAGAAGAAAGCTATTTTATTTATATTATTCCGACCTCACTGTTCACCTACTCTAACCTCGATACGTCCCTCAACTTCCCTGCATGGTGGGCCGCCCCACCTGGAGAACTGATTGATCAGCGGTCGTCAGCCATCTTTCGCGACAACACACCTCCGACACTCGGATTCCGAATCGCATAATGGCGCAAGAGCTGAAGACCAAGGGCAATGAGCTCTACAAGCAGGACGATTTCCAAGGCGCGGAAGACTGCTTCTCCCAAGCGTAAGGCGTCTTCCCATTCTTGCGGGGAAAATACATCTCATACCCCCCCCCAACACATTCCCGCACGCCCTCATGGGAGGTGGAATATGCTAGAGGCATGGGCAGAAAAGACGAGACGCTAACGATTCTCTCTTCATATCAGTATTCAAAAGAACCCCCACGACCCGACCTTCTTCTCCAATCGCGCCATCACCCGCATTAAGCTTGAGAAATGGGCCGAGGCCGAACATGACGCCCGCGCCGCGATTGATCTCTACGGCCTGAAGAATCCCACGGCATTAAAGAGCTCTTACTATCTATCAAAAGCCTTACTAGAACTTCAAAGACCGCAGGAGGCATATGATGTGGCGGTGGACGCTTACCAGCTCAGTTTGGGTTCTAAAAATGCGCAAACGGGGAACTTGTCGCAGATGATCCTGCGTGCTAAGCAGCGGATCTGGGCTGCGAAGGAGACTTCCCGACTGCGCGAAATGAATGAAACGCTGCGGAGTATTGAGGCTCTTATTGAAGCGGATTTAGAACGCTCGGTTGCGGAGTTGCGGAAACAGGTTGATGCGGGGGAGCTGGGCGAGATTGGTTTTGGAGAGGATCAGAGGGCGTTGAGAGAGGATTCTGAGAAGAAAATCCATGATCTACGAGAGGCTTTTCGAATTGCTTCGCATGGAGAGGTGAAGGAGCGTGTAAGTTTTTCCTGTTTTTCCCTTTTTCCGGATTGTGGTGGGGATGGGGTACTGACTGTCGGCTTCTTATAGCATGTCCCTGACCACCTGATTGATGGTATTACTTTTGAGGTCATGCACGACCCTGTCATGACGCCGTCTGGAAGCAGTTTTGATCGTATCGGCATCACCAAATATGTAGAGCAATCGGGTGTCGATCCAATTACCCGAGCTCCGTTAACGGTCAAGGACCTGCGCCCGAACTATGCCCTCAAGGCTGCCTGTGAACAGTTCTTGACTGAAAATGGGTGGGCGGTAGACTACTAGATGTCCGCTTGGGTTCTATTTCTGGCAGTATGTTTTGATCTGTTTTGTTTTTGATGCATAGCGAGTGATATCCACGAGCACGAGCATCACCATTTGCATCAGCAGGCGTCGGGATCAGACGGGTTCGTGAATGATGGATCTTTTATTGATTAGACTGTATCCGATGTATGTTTATTGTTAAAATTGCATGTTTGATGGTATAAAAAGAGCAGATTCAATTGTTCATCACAGTATTTGCGATGGAAACTAAGTTACCGCAAGGTAGCTTTGGTGATCAACTGGCGGGTGGCATGTCAGCAAAACCCCACCAAGCCCCTCCTCAACCGTCTGCTTCTCCAACTCTCAACAATCCTTCCACCTTTTCAAACCCCTCACAACCATACCAAATTTCCACCGGAGCTCTATCCACAATGTCCGACATTACCACCTTCATCACCGCCCTTGAGGCCGCCCAGAACGGCGCCCAGTACTCCGCCGAGGTCCAAAAGGCCGCCGCCGGAATCAACACCGATGACCTGAAGAAGGCCTACGCCGCCGCCGAGGCCCAGGGAGCCAATGCTGAGGTCGCGGACCCTGCCCTGAGCGCTGCCCTCAAGGCTGGCTTCGAGTTCGCCGCCAAGCTGGTCATGGAGCTCCAGTCCGCCCCCGGCAACAACGAGAAGACCAACCTTTACGTTCACTACAAGATTGGCAACGGAGTTGTGGTTGAGAAGCCTGGCATGTTCGATATGGTGGTATGTATTGAATGGGCTGATTTCCTTCTCGTTTTCGTTTTTTCTTTTCACTCAAAGAGACCATGTTCGGCTAATGCTCCTTTTTCCGCTCTTACAGAAGAAGCACCTCTTCTCTAACTACGAGAAGGCCATCGCAGCCGGATACAACGCTCAGGGATCCCAGGCCGCCTACATCAAGCAGGTCATTGAGCTGATCGCTGCTAAGGGTCTTAACTAAATATTAAACGAGTAATAGCTCATCGCGGAAGGAGAGGAAACTACCCGAAGACACGACCGCTGTGAGCCCAGCATCGAATATAGCTCGACAAGGCTGCTATGGGTACATTATGAAGTTCAAATCAGAAATGAAGCGATGCATCTACGATTAAATTATATTGCATATTCTGTATTGATATTGGGCCCTCGATTATTGTATAGAAATGAAGCCGAGGGTAACCGCGCGCTGGTGTTACCACGTTCTTAGTGGTTCACGAAGTATCCTTCCTCGTATCATAGGCTGGGTTGCAGCATTCAAAGCCATAAGGCTGCTGTTGGTAAAATATCATGGATATCTCCTCTACCAGATCATCCCTCTCCAGTCGGGGGTGTTGTGAGACGCAGTCGCGCACCATGGCTCATCGGAGGCGGTATATGGCGTTAGCGGGAGGTCGTAGGGCATACGAAATCCGACGACTGTCTGCAGATTGCGTTGTCCGAGATCCCCTGTAGGCGAAGTTGGAAGGTCACGCTGGAAACACGGTACCATCCTAGCAGATATTCCAGGTGATGTGGATGATGATGAGCCCCCAATGACAAAATCATCAGCAAAGAGCTCAGGCCAAACAACAACGCCGATCTCGAAACTTTGGATCCTCACTTCGCCGTTGGCATTTGTCGCCGCGCCCCATGCCTGTGTGGACAGGTTTGCGGATGTCACCATTGCCCAGTCAATGCTGTTCATCGTTTCCGCATTTGAGAATCGGATATAGGTCTTGATGTGTGGTGCAGCACGACCGCGCCCGGCGTCTTGTTTGGGAGGCTGGTCTAGGTCTGAGTCGGACGAATCACTGGCCCAATGACAAAGATAAGGGCGCATATACTGCAGCTGCTTGGCTTGCGGCGCGCTTTGCGTTTTCATGTGGATCGAGCCACCGGAATAATAGCCGTTGAGGGAGCGGCGGATTTCGTCCGGCGTTGGGAAGATAATTGAATATTTTGGGATGGGGCTCGCTGAGGTCGGTGCAAGTGCTTTGAAAAACACTTCTTTCAACCATTTATCTGTCTGGCCAAGGGTGGCCACCGAGGAAACCTAGAAGACATTAACATCGTCCACGCAAATATGGATGAGGACGATGGAGATCATACCTGTGTGACAATATGAGGCTTCTCACTCCCGCCATTGTCGGTTGACTTTTCCTGTTTGTGGATGGGTACTTGCTCCAAAACATCTTTCAGAGCTGGCCAGCCCCAAAGTGTGGATTGTTCCGAATCCAAGTCGCTAGGCTTTTGCCTGGATGGTACACTTGTAACAAGGGCCGCCCGAACTGCTTTGAAATCATAGCGCTGTAGCTGCTGTACCAATTTACCGGTCTTCTTAGATCCATATGCTGTTAGGTACGCGAGAATATCCCTCTTGAAGCGAGCGCCGGTACCAACGCTGGTCTGTATGTGGGCCGAGGATGAATCTCCCTGCTTTTGCAAAGGAAGTAATGGCGATCGCCATACTGCTTGAGTCATGTTCGCCCAGTCACCAGGAATCATATTGGCGGTATGTATGACGACCCTGTAATTGTATTGTTAGCGAAAACATGATCAATACCCCAGCACATCAATTCTTTCTCACTGGGCTAAATCATCATGGCGAAGGAGAATCATCATCTTCGAATGATGAGTTCCGAATGGATCAGGCATATAAGATATGATAGACTCAACATTGGGATGTCGAGCACATCCTTCCTGTTATCTATTAATATTTCAGACGTAAGTGGTTTCGGGGGTTGTGAAGCTTACATCGATCATGATTCGATTCGGCGACTCTTTTTTCCACGATCCATGTACCACTTTGACTGTTACCAATCTTCGAACATCTTCATCGAATTGATTCATCAAGAAATCCACATCGAACATGTAATTGAATTGCCAGCATTCGCGTATCATGGGATCCCCGAGGATATCACGTAGTCTCACCGCGTCGACATTGTATCCCTTTAACGCAGGGTAATCCGCGATGTGGGTGAGTTGGACTGGAGATGGGATACAACGCGCAGGGCCAGAGGGGCGTGTAATATCGAGTATCTGCTTCGAGTCTGCAGTCTTTAACACATCGTTGGCTAATTCTGGACATGCGACATCTGTTGCGGGCTGGGTTGGCTGCGAACGCGTCCGCAGAGGTGGGGAGATGGACCTGTTCAACGAGTTCAAGGGCGTCTCGGTTCGTCTCGGACGGCCCTCTGTCTCGAGGTCTCCTGTGGAATCCGATGAGACGCGTGCTTTTTTGGACGGGCGCTCCATAGTTGGCAAAATGCTTATATTGCGGGAGATCTTGCTGGTCACATGGGACAAGTGTGAAGGATGCCTCAGATGGAAGTGTGACGAACTAGTAGGCCTCGCCAGGAAACGGCTCGAAACTCTTCTATTTGGGTGCCAGTGAAGAGGGAGAATCCAAAGTCGAATTGATTGTGAGATCATTAAATATTCAAGTTCGAAATGTGATCAGAAGGTAGAACCTTGGAAGTTAGTGAGTTCGGGTAGAAGTCAGAGAATCTCCAACTCTGAGACACAGCCCACTGGGAGCGGCCGAGAAATATATTATCTCCAACAGCGGCCTCGGGAGGTTGATTGAAGCGAAGAACTGGCCGCACCTGACGTGACCACCACTGGCATCCCTGGATTAGAGCAAAAACTTCAACGACTTGAAGAGCTCCTTGGAAGTTGAGACTCTTTCAAATCTATATTCGATAATAAAAATCTAGGTACTAAAATGCTAGTATGACAATATTGACACAATTAAATTTTTAAAAGTCTAGCCTCTAAATAATATACAATAGCTTCAAGTGATCAGGCTGAGCAAGAATCGGATATCCAGGGATCACCACATAAACCGCTGGATCTTGCCAGGCTCCTGGGGCCATTCAAAGCCCTTGTAAAGGAAGACATACCCAGTCACAGCGTTAATAATGATAAACCACACAGTCTCCAGAAATTTAGGAGCATTAGTGATCATATCAGCGCGGGCCTTCTCATTCTCCAGCTCCGGTCGTTTCTGACGGAACATAGCCGGGGTCGGGGAGGAGGGTAGATGCAGACGCCACATCACCCAGGGAATGATAAAGTAGCGCGGCTCAACAAGAGGGGCAGTGACCAGTGACAAAGCCGTGGTAGCAAGCCAAACAAGAACGAAGCTAACTCGAGGCGCATTGGGTTGTTGATTCTGACGTTGATTGAGAGCCTCTTGGACCTTTGCGAGTGCTTCGGGAGACTGCGGATCGGATTGTGTCTGCTTGCTCTTCTTGGATCCAGCGTCCTTTTTGGATGTAGCGTCCTTTTTGGAGGTGGCTTTGTCCTCTTTCGCCTTGGCGCGACGCTCTTTCCGGTTGCCTTGGGGTTCCTCGGGGGTGGCAGCGGGTGGGCTGGGCGCAGGTGCGGCGGGCTTCGAAGACGCAGGGATACGCATGAGTCGAGGCGGAGCTAGGACGATAGAGAAGCCAAACGCGGAGATGACTGCCCATCCGCAGAGGAAGTATACCAAGACTGCGCCATATTTGACTGCCGGGTGCACGCCAAGTAGGAGGCGGAAGACATAGAAAACGTAGTGGCGGTTATCAGCGAGAGTAAAAGGGTGCACGATCGTATTGAAGTGCACGACGGTAAGCATAGCCGGCAAGACGACCAGAGCAGCTATGAGTCTCGGTAGCTTCTTTTGCTTCTCGGGGAACCCGTAGTTCAGACACTTGGGCAAGACGCTAGTCGGGAGGACGAGGTTGAGCACGGGGATGACCAATAATGGCCAGGAGAAAAAGAAGAAGTACGGCCAGATATAGAGCATCTGGGCCACATGGATCCCGGCAGTGTGGAATTCCTTGTGTCCAAGCACAACGCCCTCATTCCAAAGAACAAATCCACCGAATGCTCCCAGGATGATGATGTGGGGGATTATAGAGGCAACAATAGAGAAGGGGTCTCTGAGGCTTGCCGTGGCAAGCGATAGAGCGGTTTTGAAGTAATCTAACGAATGTGGTATCAGCAATGATAGACGATCAAGTCGAGGAGACAAACATACCTTCCAAGGAGGCCTCCGCAACGAGCGGGTCGTAGACTTCATTTTGGAATCCACCCTTAACAACCGCGGAGATATCAGACGATTTACAAATTTTCGCAGATTGGCGAACTGTACGGACGACCTGTAGTCCACCCAAGAACACAGACACCCAAAAAATATTCGTCTGGCGGCAAACCAGGGCAGCCAATCCAAAAACTAGGAAGCCCAGCGCATAGATCGGACCATATTTACCTCCATTCACACGCTTCAGATCCCAATTATAAGCTTCAACAACAACCAATAGAGCGAGGATGTCGGTATAATACAGTCCCGAGAAGAAGAACAGCGGAGGGAATAGACATATGTTCAGGACGGTATGGCTAAGCCACGCGCTGAAGGGCCGGTTGTTCCGCACTTTCTGTACGTTATCCAAGAGTGTTTGCAATCGCCACGGTAGAAAAACCGCAGTTGCGGCGACATTGGTCGTACGTAGAGCCGCGACGTCGAGTTTCGCCGGCGACCCGCGAAGGGCGAGCATGGCAGCGCAAAGGAGGTATGACCACAGGTACAGACCCGGCGGGGTTGTGATCTTAGGGTCCCAGTGTGTCCATTTGTGCGCCCAGTAGGCCTGAGCCTGTGGGACATGGAACACTTCATCCAGATACGCCTCCGGCACTTTGGCATTGACTTGTGTCCTCCATGCAGCGATGAGAACGAGACCGAAGGGAATGGCGTAGCGCGCCGCGCGGCTGAGATTCGATTCACGTAGACTCATTGTGCTCCTGATCTTGCGGGATGAGCAAGCATCATCTGTGAGGAGGGGAGCTTTCGAAGGGGAGAAGAGAGCAAGCTCCAGTTCCGCGGGACAGCTATGTATAATCTGCTTGCAAACACCGCAAACACACGCTTTTGGCAATCGTCGATACGCGATTCGCGACCTTACTCCGACGCATCAATCAATCAGACATGGGGTATTAACGTTCCAGAGCCTTGTATTTGTGTTGGGACTATTTGCTTTGGGAGTTGTTTCTTCGCCAATTTTTTAATATCCAATGGCCTTTCCTCTACCGCGGGGCATCACGCCCTCGGAGATCGGCTTTCTTGCGGAGATGGAGATGGTGACGGTGGTGCCTCGCCAACGTCTCGAGGGCCTAGAATTACTTGGGGTAGGTTCTTTCTCATGATGAATTCGTGGAGAAGCACCAATTGACTTCTACAGGGCCCGATTGAACCTCTCGTTCCTCCACGACGCGCCTCTTTGCCCCTCTGGCTCGCACTGCTTCTCAAACGCCAACGCCGCGCGAATATTATGCCTCCATCATGGCTACACCCCGAACCTCTCAATCTGATCCTTGAGGTCGAATCCCAACATCCAGATTATAGGGATGCCTTCTCCCCTCCTCCCCCGCTGCCCGGCCAGCCTAGCATTCGGGACGATGGCCTTGCGCCCACGGCCCGACCTCAGTATACACCGGACGGAAATAGATATTATGCCTCGCCGCCATTCTTACCACAAAACACTGCTCAGACGGAAGGATTTTCGTCCAGGGATCCGCCCGCATTGCCTTTCCATTGGGTCGAGATGGGGAACATGCTGCTCGAGTCCGCGAGTGATGACCTAGTTGAACCGGATCAAATCCGGCGCTTATTGAAAGACCTGCGCGAAGTCCGTCTAGCTAAAATGCGAGCCGGTACGGACGTCCTCGATGCAGCGGCAACTGGTGGCGGGGGTGTTGCCTTGACAGGTGTTGGCGCAATGGAAGTTGGCGAAGAGCGAGGGTTCCTAACTGGGGTAGTGGATAATCTCCGGTATGTGGCGTCGATCAGTGATACTACGATGAAAATTTGCATTTGCATTTGCATTTGCCGCGCCCAGTGTAATCCAGTTGCTAACCTTTTCTCCCAGCAAAATTGGCGCCTCGAAAGAGCAAGCCCGGCGCGAACAAATGGCCGAGCAACGGGCCAATGGCGGATACGATGGTGCCCAGGACGAGGAAGAGGAGGACTACATGGAGTTTTAACCTGCATGGGATATTGTTTTTGTTTGGCTATTCATCTCTTTTTTGGCGTTCAAAGGCGCATGTGTGCAACGCAGATAAATGCCCCCCCCCCCTACCCTCCCTCTCACACCCCTTCATCCTCGAACGACTTTATGTATATAGACGCATATACCCGATTTTTCATTAAGATAAACCAGCGGTTGTGAAGCCGAAACTGTTCCAATTTACCTAACACCATACATCATGCGAAAGCGCTCTAATACAAAAACATAGGCGGGGAACGATACCGCTAGGGATAGGAGGAGAGGAAGAGAGGAGAGGGCGGATAGCAACGTTGGGACAGGGAATGCCGTAGTTTGAATCAAGCATCAAGGGCCGAAAAGCAGTGGTTAAAAAAACATAAAAGCTCAATAGCTCCACTATTGGGTATTATCCTGGTTCTTCTGCATCATCTTTCTTCGCGCCGCGAGAATCATTTCATCGCGGCGTTTTTGGAGGAGGCGTTGACGCTCATCCTTGTTCTGAGACCATGAGCTTGTAGATGATACCGTTGAGTTTCTCTTCCTCCTTTTCACTGGCAATCTTCGAGCTGAGGTTATACCGAGATATCAAGTCCTGCCCATCAGCCTTGGTGGTGGCGGTTGACGGAACCTGTGGCGCGGCGGCATTGGTAGAAGGGACTGCGATCTGAGGTTGGAACGATGGGGGCGGCTAAGCATGGGAAGTCAATATTTTGGTCAAAAATCGCATGGAATCATCAAGACAAAGAGAGAGGAAGAGAGTGAGCGGTATGGTGCCGAGAATCCGAAAGTCAACACCGCGGCGCAAGGTATGTGTGACGTACTGTTTCAAGTCCCCGTCCAGTCAGAATCCTCTCCGTAGTTGCGGCAGCGCTGCCTCCATTGCGCTGAAGATCCCACATGATGTCTCGAGTACTCAACTGGGGGAACATCTGGGAGATCTGCTCGACTTGCGCTGGGTCAACACGTCCACGGGGCCGGCTGGCACCAGCGGGACCGTCGTCGCGGTTAAAGAACCATCGAATGACGAAGAACGACACTACCGCAAGGGTGAGGAGAGAAGGTATATTCAACGAGGGCTCATCGTCATGCATTGTGTTTTGGCCGGAGAGGGGCGTGGGTCTCGGGTTTGGAGGAAGTTCGGGCTGTCAAGGCCGAATCGCGGAGGCGGGAGCGCTTCCACGGGTTAGGCAGGAGGTCGTGTGCGAAAGGTGATTCCCTCTGGTTCGGAGTTGTCGCGATGTAACCGGGTTAGAGAGTGAGATATAGAGCGCGGAGACGGTTGCTGTCGCGAGGTGTGGCGGCGTTGACGGAGTTGCGGGTCGGGACCTGACGGTTGCACGTGCCGGGCACCTTTGATGGAACCAGCAAAGCAGAAGTGGAGAGGACAATGGAAGATATATGAATATA